AAAAGAAAAGAAAAAGAAAAAAAAAANAAAAAAAAAAANAAAAAAAAAAAAAAAACTAAACCCTTGAAGAGCGAACAAAACCCATCGGATGATTACTCTGAACATGAAAAAAAGTCAAGTTTAATGACATAATACAAGACCTTGAAGTCTAAACAATACTAATAAAATCAAGATATGCAGAAATACATGGAAGTACCTCATTCTCCGACCCCCATTACTACACAATTCTTTACAAAGCCTACTTTTTTGTACACATAAGGTAACGGGCCTTCGGGCCTTCCCGCATCTGACCAGCCTCAAAGTCCCTCAAAGTCGGCCCAGTCTTTGTCGTTTATCGCCTTTTCGTTTTATCTAGCAGATCGGTCTCTGTGTATCGTACATCGGGTGCAGACGGTAAATGTGTGTGTCTTGCAGCCCCAAATCCCGATTGCAACCGTCCTTTGCCCCGTGAGCCACGCCAGCACGAAAACGAACGCGGCGTACTTCGTAATTACCGGCCCATGCAATTGCAAGCTTCTTGGCGCAGCTGTGCAGCGTCCTCGGGTTGGACTGCAGCTTCTGTTTCTTGTCTTCCCGAATACGAAAGGGCTGCAGTGGATCCATGTGCAGGAAGAGCCGTGGTGTGTAGGACGGAACGGCAGCCGATTACGATGGCCCAGAAGCGACACCGTGCGTCTGGCCAGGTATTCGTTCACGGGGTTCCATGCCCGTTTTGTATGGTGCATCTCTGTTGGGGGCCCCTGGTAAGCTGTCTCGGCTGTTTCACATTTTCCTCGGGTGCTGTCCAGATGCGTGTGTCTCTCTGTTTTGTCCCCCACCGTATTCACGCACTTTGTTTACGCTCAAACCCCCAAGGCCGATGACCATTGTAGATTTGGTGTTCACAGAAACTTCTAGCCTCTTCATGCAGCCTCGCTCCTTTCATTCCTTCCGTTGCTTCGTCCGCCGCCGGCAATCCACTGCGAAGCCTGGCCGGCAGAGGAGTCATGGCCCATCCGTCCCAGAGGCACAAGTGCGGATGAACTCATAATGAGAAATGCAGGCTAAAAGACCGAACAAAACAGCACCAAAAACAGAAAGTCGCCGATAGCAACACGCCCCTCCTCTGTCTACCGTCTAACGCGTTCTGGTCTCTTTTCTCATAGTATTTCGTATATTGTATTTCGACAGGCGAGTAGGTTATGTACCGGTGAAGACCATGGAGGCAAAGAGGAAAAATAACGTGTTATGGCGCCTTTGGCGTTTGACGGGCGCGTGCACGGGCGGGACCTGACGCTAGATTGCAAGCGAACAAAAGGGAAGAGAAGAACGGAGAAGCTTGCTTGGAGAATGGAAAAGGCTCCAGTTGCTGGGGCGCTGGTTCGTCGCCTAAGGGGTGGTGACGGAACGAAAGAAAACCGTAGACGAAAAAGACTGACCAAACGATACGAGACTACAATACAAAGAGGATGAGACACAGGCCAAAGCGTCCAACTGACTGCCCGAGAAGACTAACAATAACTAACAATAACCAACAATGCTACAAGGCTAACGAGGCTAACATGCTAACAACAAACATGTGCATAGCTGTGATGACCTGCTGACGCGGAGTTTGGCTAACACCGGAGACTTTAACGTCGTGCCAACAAATGTCAGGCAAAAGGACCCTGCAGACGCCAACGCGGGCTGGAGGCGTTGTGAGCCAGCCGACAATAACGGAGGACGGAAGTCAAAGACTGCGACGGGCGAGGGCCGTCAAGGCTGAGGCAGATTGTGAATACAGGGCTTCAGGCATACAAGGCAGTGCCGATGCCTGACTCCATTGTGCTTTCTTCGTCTTCAGAATAGCTGCGATCGTCCGTCACCTGTCTACATCCGTTTTGCCGTCTGTCATCCGTCATCCGCAGTCCGTCAGACAAACACGAAGGCGCGTGAGAAGAGTCGAGAAAAGGGAAAATGAGCGACAGTCACCCAGTGGATGACACTGGTGTCCAGGGTTACGAACAAAGGAAAAAAAAGAAAAGAAAAAGAAAAAAGAAAGAAATGGACAATGGACAATGGGGCGGTGTTACGGGACTCGTTTCTGCCGACTTTGATCTGTCATCATTTTTACAGGGCTGTCTACAGGGGAACGCAGCAGGGAGTCCTGTTTCGGCCGTAAGTTCGGGTCGAGCGACTGCAAGCATACGTCTCGAGAGAGGCTGAGACAGACTCCCCGGAGCGGGTTTCTAGGGACCCCGTCGCTGTGGTCGTCCAGGGATTTCCATTCCTCTGGCATAATTTTCAGCGTGCTAGTGCTCGTGCTAGCGCATGCCATCCACTGAACGGAGCCCGCCCTCCCGCCGTATTGGTCAGGATCGGAGGAACAGATAAAACAACGAAAAAAGCAACAAAACGTGCGACGGGGCCAATCTCTGTTACATGGTTTTAAGGCTTTTCTCCGACCGGCAAAGGGGGCTTATCGCCTTGGGCTTCGATCCTCCTGGGCATGACTACATGTATCTTACTCAATGTGCATTGCCACAGTACAGGCGACGATCGTTAAGTCCACCGTACATCCGTAGGGCCAAGCAGGGAGAACTGCTGCATGTTGTAAATAGGGCGCACGATACCGCATCTTCTTTTTCGGCAGCCAAGGCTCTGAAGTGTATGTTGCATGTGTTTGTCTTTGCATTATGTCCTGACGCCCTTTGTCGTCATTGCCCTCCTTGTGTGGCCTGGGTTCACAGCCCTGTCGCCGCACAGAGAGTTCTCCGCAGTATTCTGAATGTTGTACGATGTCTTCTCTGGATGGCCGCCCTTTGACTTTTCAACTCTGACATGTAAACTCCTACTTTTCAACTCGGCCCGCCAGCCAACCAGGTATCCACGTCAGTGGGTCCCGCTGCCTTGCGAGCCTGGGCGCGTCGGGGCACGCGAATGGTGGTTTGGTCGCACGCTTTTATCCGTCTGTCGGTCGGCGTGGTCCAGCGTGCTGGATTGGCTCAGAATGAGTAGATTGCCCCGGCAAACTGTGGATTCTAAACTGTGACTGTGGACTGTGGCCTGCGACTGCTGTGGGTTCTCTGACGCTCTCGTTTTGCTGACAAGGCCGCGAGAGTCAATCTCACCGACCCGTGCGCGCACGCCGTTGCAATTCTGCTGCCTTTCGCCTCCTTTCCAGAAACGCTTACACAAGAAGACAAGAACACTGGGCCGGCGGGCGTGAAACTAGCACGCCCCGTTCTTTGTCGCCTCCTTCGGCCGTCGATTCGGATTTTACTAGCCCGTCGTTGCTTTTCTGTCGTCCCTTTGGTGGCCGCTGCTGACGCCTTACGGCACAACCGTCCAAGCTCCTTACATCTCAATCCTTTTTTTGTCTTTTGTCATGCTGGCCCCGTGTTTGTCATTGTCAGATATCTCCAGAAAGTGGACCGTAGCTGTCTTGGTTTTTTCGGATCCCTTTTTCGTCCGGTCGAGGCGTGAGATTGATGGATGTTTTTTTTTTTGGGGGGGGGGGGGCGTGTCCAATCCGTCCCCTTTTGCTATGGCGTTATGTTGTGTCTTCCTCCGTGCTTGCTCATTTTCTCACGTCTCTCATTTGGAAATCCAAAGAACAGGACAGCGCCCCCCTGGAGTGATTTTATTATTCTTATTATTCTTTTTTGTATTTTTGTTTCAACGGTCAAACATCCTGAAGGAATTTACATATATATCTGTGTCCCCTTGTCTCGTTGGATCGATCGTGTATTTCCGTTTTCCGTTCCTTTTCTTTCCCAAGCCAACCTTGATTCGATCTGATCACATTTGATCCTTTGGCCCTTTGATCTTTGCCTTTATCTTGCTATCAACAGGCCAGGTCGACATCAACATTGCCAGCACAACACAACAACACAACAGCACAACTGCACAACAGCACAACATCCCAACATCGCCACCAGGATCAGCTACACCCGCGTCATGTCTTCACCATCCAGTGCCCTGGCCGTGCCGGCCACGGCGCACAGCGCCAACCAGATTGCCTCGTCGCAGGCCTCGTACACGTCGGTCGACGCAGAGAAGACGGACGTCGAGCAGGGCGACGTCACGGACCTCGAAAAGGACCGCCGCGGCGACAGCGGCGATGTCGACGTTGAGGCGACGGCCGAGACCAAGGAGGCGCAGGCCGCCGCCAACAGCGCGGAAGAGGACGACTACCCGCACGGCGCCAAGCTGGGCTTCATCGTCCTCGCCCTTGCTCTGAGTATTTTCCTCATGTCTTTGGACTTTGTAAGCGGCCACCTGGATATAGTCCTCTTTATTTCTATTTTTTTTCTTATTTATTTTTTTTTTTTTTTTTTTTTTTTTTTTTTTTTTTAACTTTTTTAAAAAAATAGTACCTCCCTTTTCCCGACCTTTACTGACCAATAGACCATTGTTGCTACTGCGATTCCCAAGATCACGGACCAGTTCCACGGCCTCAACGACGTGGCCTGGTACGGCTCTGCCTTCTTCCTGACGGTCGGTGGTTTCCAGTCCACGTGGGGCAAGGCGTTCAAGTACTTCTCGCTCAAGTACACGTACCTCGCGTCCATTGCCGTCTTTGAGCTGGGCTCGCTGATCTGCGGTGTGGCGCCCAACTCCAAGGCTCTTATTATCGGCCGTGCCATTGCTGGCCTCGGCGCTGCGGGCATCGGCTCCGGCTCGTACACCGTCATTGCCGTGACGGCCCCGCCCCGCAAGCGCGCCATGTTCACCGGCCTCATCGGCGCCGCCTACGGCATTGCCTCGGTCATCGGCCCCCTGATTGGCGGCGCCTTCACCGACAAGGTCACGTGGCGCTGGTGCTTCTACATCAACCTGCCCATTGGCGGCGTCTCGGGCCTGATCATCCTGTTTTTGTTTACGACGCCCTCGCGCGCGAAGCCCGTCGAGGCGCCCCTGCGCGAGAAGCTGCTGCAGATGGACCCCGTCGGCACCGTGCTGGTCATGGGCGGCGTCATCTCGTACGTCCTGGCGCTGCAGTACGGCGGCCAGACGGCGCCCTGGAAGTCGGGCAAGGTCATCGGCCCGCTCGTCGCCTTCGTCGTCATCACCGTCATCTTTGGCTTCTGGGAGCGCTACAACGGCGAGCGCGCCATGATTGTGCCGCGCCTCATTGCCAGCCGCAACGTGTGGCCCAACGCCGTCTTCGCCTTCTTCTTCGCCTCGTCCTACTTTACCCTCATCTACTACCTGCCCATCTACTTCCAGAGCATCGACAACGTCAGCCCCACGGCGTCTGGCGTGCGCAACCTGCCGCTGATTATCGCCGTCACCATCGGCACCGTTGTGTCGGGCGGCATCATTTCCAAGACGGGCATCGCCACGCCCTTCTTGCCGCCCATGACCGCCATCGCCGTCGTCGGCACCGGCCTGCTGTACACCCTGGACATTGGCACCGGCAGCGGCAAGTGGATCGGCTACCAGGTCCTGGCCGGCCTCGGCTACGGCTACACCTTCCAGATCCCCATGATCTACGGCCAGGCCACCGCCAAGAACGAGGACCTGGCGCCCACGACCGCCCTCATCATGTTCTTCCAGACCATTGGCGGCGCCTTCATGCTGTCGGCCGCCCAGTCCGCCTTTGTCAACCACATGGTCAACGAGCTGCCCAAGTACGCGCCCTCTGTCAACCCCATGCAGGTCATTGCCACGGGCGCCACCGAGCTGTGGACGACCTTCCCGCCGGACGTGCTGCCCGGTGTGCTCCGGGCGTACATGTCCGGTCTCAAGATCTCCTTTGCCATTGCCATTGCCGGTGTGGGCTCGGCCTTTGTCGTCAGTCTGGCCAGCAGCTGGAAGCGCATCAACCCGGATGCCCTGATGAACGCCGGCGCTGCGTAGAGGAGAACAAGAGGTCGATGCTTTTCTTTTCACGTTTTACAACACCTGCCTGGCGTCTGGTTTACCGGTCATGGTTTCTGGTTTTTCGTCGTCTCTATATCCCTTCTCTACAATAATCTTTTTTCGCATTTTAAGCGTGTCCTTCTACCTTATTATTTCCTAATTTTTGTTACTTTTTCCTTTGTTTTTCCTTTCTCATTTTGTTCCCAACAACGGCTCTTTAGGTGGCTCTTGTTTACATAAGATTCTGGGTTTTGCATTTTATCGCCAGCGACATAATAGGGGGGAGACGATGGGGCGGCTATTCACCATTCACTCGTTTTTTCTCAAGTACCAACTATAGAATGATTATAAAACATCCTGGCAGGCGTTTTTGGCTACCATGTTTCCTCATCATTGTTTCCTGTTTTGTTGAAGATTTTCAGATTAGACAATAACAACTACCATGCCACTTTGAAACCCTCATTTCCCTGCAGCGTCTTGTTGGCAGTGAACTCGTTTGTGGACACGACATTTCGCTGCTTGCTAATGTTTATGCTCCTGCTGATCTGATACAGTCGTTTGTCGAGATGGAGTCAGACACTGCGACATGGACGGTTGGGACATTAGGCGCTGATCACCCTCTGCCCAATAACAGTTCTACACGCGTGTGACGCCTACATAAAGGCCTCCTGAACAGTCTCACACGTCTGATGGTGGACAGTCAATCCATTTCGACTGTGCTGACGCTGGCACAGCGAGGCACCCGGACACCAGTGGCCGACAGCCGGGCGCTGGCACGGGGCATCTCACCTTATGTCCGTCAGCACTTGTCCAGGGTAAAGAGGGAAGTTGGTTGGGAACACGAGAAGCGAGAAGCGAGACTGGGACGCCAAGGACAGAAATACGAAGCCCGTAGCGTGCACGCTTTGAATATGTTGACGATGTGTATTGGTCGAGTCTGTCTCTCTGTCTCGACGACATCGTAACAGAATGGTATCGCCACTCACTCCGCCTGCCTACAGAAGCGATATTCAAAAGCAAAAGCCATGATCCAGCACGACTCTACGGCCCGGCGCCTCCTTGCTGCCGACTCCCGGATACCATGCTGTTGTTTTACATCGTGTCTACACATTTTGCCTGTCCGCTTGGGTGAGACTCGGACTCTCTACGTCCTCCGTCTTATTGCTTCGTTTCTCGCTGGTGCCATCACACGACCGAAAAGCATACTTGTACTTTGTAACGCTTCACCATGTTTGCGGGAGAATGGAAAATCCACGGAGCATGGAGCATGGCATGCAGTGTGTCGCACGTCGCAGGTGTCTTGGTCTTATGCCCACCGGCATCGAGCAACAGCCGTGTAGCCTCAGTCGAGTTATGGGCGCGGGCTGTTGAGAACGCCGTAAGCTCCGTCCAAACACGCTTGCCTGGCGGATGACTGAGATAGGGTGGTGAGCATCGTCTCACTGTGTGCATCTTACTATGTACTTTGAATGCACGAGCCCGTCTGTGTGATCCGGGCATCTGCCCCATCTGGACATTGGGCCATCTTGGCTGCCCGGCTTGCCATCCTTTTTGCCGTACGACGTACAACATACACATACAACATACTTTGTACATGCATGTTCCATCTTATCTCCACCGGCACAATCAAAAAGACACAACTCAACACTCAACACTCAACACACAATACACAATACACGCCCTGCCAAGTACACGCCCACCAACCACACCAGTGGCTCGGACACCCATGCCCGAGCCCATCTTAGATCTTACACTCTTACACTCTCTGACCCCCGTTTTGGAATTGACCGGCGGGCCACGGAATTGCCATGGAATGGCGCGCAAGACGGGCCTGGCCAGCGAGTGTCTGTCGTGGATGGAGGACGGGCGCATTGGGGGCAAGGCCCTGCCGAGCGAGGTCGTAGGGCAGGATTCGCCAGTTTTTAACCGCTGTAGCTTACTGTATCTTAGCGTTTCGCCTTGGTCCAGCCCTAGTCGGAGTTGTGTCCGAGGTTGGGACCCTTCCGAGCGTCCACTTTGTTTGTCCGCCGTTCGGCGAAAGGAGGCGAATCAAGCACGGGCCAGAGCCCGGCCTGCTTACGTACTTGTGGGTCGTGCCTTCTCTGGTTCGGGCGAACGACTGCCCGTTTTGGACAGCACGCTGCCTGCCGTCGCACCTTCCTGGCACCTCATTAATCAGCCAATCCGCAACGGGTTGCATCCACAACGTCCTCTCCCAACGGACTCCGTACGACGTCCTCCGTCGCTACGCTCTATTTTGACTACTTTACTTTGTCCGAACCCAGTGGACTCGGGCGAACAACGCATGCTACGCTGTGTAAGGACCGACGGCATAACCAAGGCAGCAAGACGCAAAGGCGCAGGGCTCAAGACGGCAAGACGACGCCGACTAACACGCAATCGCAACGGAGACAAAATAAACAAGTCCGTGAAGCTGGAGACTTTTGAAACTTCAGACGGCAGACGCACGATTCGACACGGCGAGTCTGAGTGCGAGTGCGACGACTGGTCCCGTCGGACACGTATGGCAGACAGCGGCCTGCTCTACACAAACATCGACCGAGTACATCACTGTACGGCAGATTGTGACTCTTCGACCGCCGTTGATTGTGCTCGATTTGTCGTTGTATGATCGTCTCTCTATTCCTCTATTCTGCTCACGTCATCCGAGCTGCAAAGCGGTCTTGGACGGCCGCTGCATCGTGCCGTCTGGTCATATGGCCTCTGAGCGTCTCATACATGTACTTTGTACGCTGACAAGACAAGCCGACGCCCGTCTCACATCATCCAATATACAACACATCCCTTGCTCTTGCGCCGGCCTTTTCTCTTTGTTCGTATTTTTAATCACCCTTGCTATCATCCTGCATCATCTCGCTCACCCTTTCGCACCGACCGCCGTCTCGCATTGCTGGCCACTCCGTATCCACCCATTCCTTCCCCAACCCATCCACAACGCCCTCGCCCTTCACCCACCATGGAGGACAGGCCCGCGTCGTCGTCGCCGCCTGCGCCCCCGTCCACAGTGGCCAGCGGCGCCACGGCCGCATCCGCTGACAGCCCCGAGCCCAAGCGCCGCAAGGTCCGCAAGGGCACGCACACCTGCTGGGAGTGCAAGCGCCGCAAGGTCCGGTGCACCTTTGCCGCCGCCGGCGACGCCGTCTGCATCGGCTGCACCAAGCGCTGTCTGCCGTGTGTCAGCCAGGAGTTCCCCGAGGACCCGACGACGCCGGCCGTCAAGAGCCGCCTGGTCGGCGACCGCATCGTGCGCGTCGAGGCCATGATCCAGCAGCTGGTGCACCAGTCACAGCAGTCGGCCAGCGGGCAGAGCCCGGCATCCCAGCACGTGCCCCAACTCCCCCAACTCCCCCAGGCCCCCCAACTCCCACCACATCCATCCCATCGCCCGAGCCGGGACGACTCCCCGGACACAGCCACCATGGCCACGTCGACGACGTCGTATTCGTCGTCGGCGACGGCCGTCAGCAACATGCACACGCCGGCCAGCGAGACGTCGGCCGCCACCGCGTCGTCGGCCGCCAAGGGCGCCTCCTTCACCGGCGCCGCTGCCGGCCTCTCCCTCCCAGACATCTCCTCCGCCCTCCTCGCCGCGCTCCCCTCGCCCCACGACCTCGACCTCATCGCGGCCTACGGCCACACCGGCTACAACTACTACCAGATCGTCGTGCGCTCGCAGCAGGACATCCAGAAGACAGGCTTCTGGCCCACCACCGAGCTGCGCAGCCGCCACACGCCGCAGACGCACCCGGTCGTCATTGCGCGCCAGATGCTGCTGATCGCCATGGTGCTGCAGAACTCGGACCCGCTGGCCCAGAAGGCGCTCGAGGACGGCCACCTCGCCGAGCCCGTGCGCGGCATCATCACGCGCCTGGGCGACACGGCCGCGCGCCTCGTCAACGCCAACGACGAGCTCATTGACACGCTCGACACGCTCGACGGCCTCGAGTGCATCATGCTCGAGGCCATGTACCGCGGCAACGCGGGCCGTCTGCGCCGCGCCTGGCTGACGTGGCGCCGCGCGCTGTCGCTCGCCCAGCTGATGTGCATCCCGCGCCGGCCGCACCGCAACCCGGCGTCCTCGCTCCCCGTGCCAGGCGCCCCATCCGCCCCATCCGCGTCGTCGGCGTCGTCCGTGCCGTCGTCGCTCTCCGCGTCGCTGACCGGCACGCACAGCCTGGACCCGCAGTTCCTGTGGTACCGCATCCTGTCGGCCGAGCGCTTCCTGTGTCTGCTGCTGGGCCTGCCGCAGGCCGCCTTCGAGGCGCCCATTGCCTCCAACGAGATGCTGCGCAACGACACGCCCATGGGCCAGCTCGAGCAGAAGCTGAGCATGATCACCAGCTACATCTTGGACCGCAACGACCGCGGCCACCGCTTCGACGACCACTCCACCACCGAGCAGATCGACCGCGAAATGCAGCGCATCGCCGCCACCCTGCCCAGCCGCTGGTGGCTCGCGCCCAACCTGGCCGCCGTCCCGCCGGGCGACCACGAGCAGAGCGTCTGGGAGATGATCCGCCTCACCAACCAGGTCCTCTACTACAACATCCTCAACCAGCTGCACCTGCCCTACATGCTGCACCCGCCCTCGTCGTCCGTGCCGCTGTCCGCCGCCGACCAGCGCCGCCTCGAGTACAGCCGCGTCGCGTCCGTCGGCGCCTCGCGCGAGGTCCTCAGCCGCTACGTCCTGTTCCGCAGCTTTAACCAGTCCGCCTGCTGCTGCCGCCTGCTCGAGTTCTTTGCCCTCATGGCCTCGCTCACCCTCATCCTGGTCCACATCGACGGCCACCGCCACACCGCCCAGCACGGCCCTGCGAGCAACGTCCTGGCCCACCAGCGCCTGTCGGACCGCGCCATGATGGAGGAGGCCCTGGACAGCATGGACCTCGTGGCCCGGCTCAACGAGGAGGACACCATCAGCGAGACGAGCGTCGACCTGCTGCGCCAGCTCATGGACATTGAGGCCGACACCGCCATGGGCTCCAGCCGCGCGCTCGAGTCCTTGTGCCACCGCACCGGCCGCGGCGGGCTGCTGGGCACGTTTGCGGACGGCTCTGGTGGGCTGGGGCTGGCGCCCGACCGAGCCGGCGACGAAGCCACCGGCGCCGCTGCAAACGGACTCGACAAGGTCAACCACGCCGCCGCTGCCGCCGCCAAACTCCGCATCTCCGTGCCCTATGTGGGCTTCATCACCATTGCCCGCGACGGCGAAATCACCAAAGAAGCCCACCCGCCGCAGGATTCGCCCGCCTTCCCTGCCGCCCACGGCGAAGACATGGTCATTCCGCGGCTCGTGCCGCTCATGTCTGACGGCCAGCAACAGCAGCAGCAGCAGCAGCAGCAGCAGCAGATGCAATCCCTCGCCGTCCACCCCCAGCAACACCCGACACATCTCGGCCTCGTCCCGGACGTCAACGTCAACACGCCGCCACCCTTCTCCGGCTGTCTCAATGACGCCGATGCATTGGCGTCCAACCAGCCGCCCGTCGGCCTGCTCTACCCAAATGGTACGTCCGCCAACGCCACGACTGCCAACAACAGCAACAACAGCAGCGGCAGCAGCAGCAGCAACAACAACAACAACAGCAACAACCACAGCAACAACAACAATCACAGCGTACACCACACCACCCAGCAGCACAGCATCATTGGCGCCGCCGATCCGTGGGCCTTCCAGGGCGTCGACATGGCCTTCTTCGACAGCCTCATGCGCGAGACGTCCAATGTCCAAGTCGAGCCGCGGACGTGTACCGCCGACGCGACGGGCACCACCAACTGCACCGGCAGTCCCGTGACCTCGGTCAACACGGTCAACACGGTCAATACCAACGCGCCCGGCGCCAGCCGCACCGGCAGTCTGTGGATGTCCACCACGAGCGGCGCGCATGGTGTCGAGCAGCAACGCCAACAGCAGTTCCTGGGAAATCGAGTGGGCTGAGAAAGGCTTGTACTTGCTTGTACTTGCTTGTCCTTGTATTTGTAATGATCACGAATTGGATACCATGGGCGGATATCACCTCTATTATCACTATGGCGGGCGTAAAGGAATCATTATCGTATTTATGCGTTCATCCAACCACAGCTATGGTGCTTCCATGTTCCTTTCCTTTGTACTTTCAGGTTGCCCCGTCTCACACAGTTTCTCCTCCAGTATCCCTCCATCTTCCTGTCACAGCCCCATTTGTTCTTCTTGACTTCATTGGACGTCCCTGGGCAGCATGCAGTTGACCTCACGTTACGAGTGGTACGTCACACTGTACACGTTGTAGCCCACTGGCGTCGACGTGAACGACAGCTTGCCGTCGCTGTCAATGTTGAGGTAGGCGCCGTTCTCCTTCTGCAGCTTGTACTGGCTGTTGCCAATGTAGGTGATGTTGTACACCTCGGCGCCGCTCTCCGAAATGGACAGCGACGAGTGCTGCGAAATGTAGTAGTTGTTCGACGCGCTCTGAATGTGGAACGTCGTGCCCTCCTCCTCCAGCGCGTGCAGCACCCACCGCTGCTGGATCTCCTCGTGGCCCGCCGTCGCCTTCTTCGCCGTGAACTGCTTGCTCTTGCCGTCCGTCGTCAGCGCGTACCCGTTGCTCTCAAACACAAGGTACCGGCCCTCCGTCAGGTAGCCGCGCACGCCCTTGAAGCCGTCCTCAAAGTACAGCGACTCTTCCTCCGTCTGGTTGCCGTACGGGTACGGCAGGTAGTACTCGCTGCTCGAGCAGCTCGTGCCAAACACCTTGGAGCAGTAGCCAGCGTACAGGCCCAGCAGGTGGCCTTCACTGTCCTGGATCGGAGTCTCGGGGACCGGGAGGTCAGGGATCGAGAAGTCGGGCTGAGACAAAGGGTGAGAAATGTCGTGTTAGTCAACAGAGGATCCGTGGCATACAGCGCGGGCCTCCTCAACAAGGACATCACCATCCACACACATCAGCTTACATTCTCAAAGTCGAAAGCGTTGACGAGGTTCGACTCGTGCTCGCGACGCCAGTCCGACATGGTGTCCTTGGTGTCAAGACCCTTGTAGCCGCGGGCAGCCAGCCACTCCTCGAGGAACAACAGGATCGAAGAGTGGTCACCACGCTCAGTAAAGACATGACCACCACGGGTGTACGGCGAGATCATGATGAGCGGGATTCGAACACCGGGTCCCGACCAGGTGTATCCCAGAGTACCATAGGGGTCCTCAAAGTATTCACCTGCGATTCAAAACAAAGTCAGTCGTAATCAGGGGGGGAGCAATTGCCATGGAAAGATCAGCGATCGAGAGAGGAGCAAAGAAAAAGAAAATACAACAGCACAGCACAACATGAGCCAAGAAACAGAAACACAGAAAAGCACAGTAGGGACATGCTATGCGGCCACTGGCTCGCAAAGGGTCACTTCACCCTGGAGCACGTTGTTTTCGGACGAAGACGAGAGCACAAATGGAGCCACGGACGACTTGCTGCCGTGTATGGAGTGGACGTATGGAGTAGATGTATGGAGTGAATGCGTGGTGATGGAAACAAAAACAGACGCGAGACGCGACGAGGGAAACATATAAAGGACAGCAGACGGCAACATTGACCAATATGGAAAGACGACAATGGCAGCAGGCGCACTGGGAAGGTGCGATCCAGACTCTTGCCGGAGTCCATCACGACGGAAAAGTGGGTCCGCATGTTATCGGAAGGTGCGCATGTGTGGCCGAGAAGGGAAAGACCGGAAACAATGCAAAACAACAGAAAGCAAAACAAACAGAAACTCTACAAACGGCAACTCTGCAAACGACGACAAGACACGACAAAAGCAACATGGACTCACCGGCGGTGCCGTTGGGCGGAATGACGGGCAGGACGGCATCGCCCCAGCCGCCGGCCTCGTCCCAGTTCAGGAGGATGACGGTGTCCTCGTAGTTGGGGCCGTGGAGGGTGGCGTTGACAATCTCGTTGATCCACCAGGAGCCGTCCTGGGGAGTGTAGGGCGGGTGCTCCTGGAGGTTGCCGGGGGGGAAGCACCAGGAGACCTCGGGCAGGGTGCCGTTGGCGGCGGCGGCCTTGAAGGCGGCGAGCGAGTTGTCGCCGTCAAAGGCGAGGCCGCGCTGGTAGAGGCTCGAGTTCTGGGCGGCGTTCTGGAAGGCCTCAAAGTAAAAGAGGCCGTTGTTGGTGGCCCAGTTGTACGACTCCTGGTACGAGCGCCAGTCGACGCCGGCCTCGTCGAGCTTCTGGGCAAAGGCGGGCCACTGCAGCGGCAGGCAGTCGAGGTTGGTGGCGACGCAGCCGTTGCTCTGGTTGTCGTCGAGGACGACGCCGCCGCTGCCGAGCGGCGTCTTGCCGCCGGGCACGTTGATGGTGCCCGACTGCCAGTACCAGCGGTTGGGGTCCGTGTTGGACATGATGGCCGCGTGGTACATGTCGGCGAGCGTGTACGACTCGGCGAGGGCAAAGTGGTACGCAATGTCCTGGCGCTTGAAGTAGCCCCAGGACTGCGGGTCGTCGATGACGGCCCACTGGTCGTTGGCGCCGTGGTTCATGGCCTGGTGCGTGGGGATCCAGTTGTTGGCGCCGGCGCAGAGGCACTGGCTCTTGTTGTAGCCCTCCTCGGTGTTCTCATAGTTGAGCCAGTAGGGGAGCAGGTACTCGGCCTTGTCGGTGAGGGTGCTCACGGGTCTGGAGAGGTGAGCCGACAGGCGCAAGAGAGACAAGGGCGAGCGGACAAGAGACTCACTGGTACCAGATGGGAAGGTTGTTCGTGGGGTTGATCTGGACGTTGGGGTCGGCAAAGCCGCGAACACCGGCCATGGTGCCAAAGTACTGTGATGTGACGTTAGTGGCCACACTGTCTTGTCGTCGCTGTCAAGTGGGCGACGTACATGCTGCAGCGAACGGTTCTCCATCATCATCATGACGACGTGCTTGATGTCGGCCAGGGACTTGGCCGCGTCGGCGGTGGCCGCAAGACCCAGGAGGGCCGCGGCCGCAAACTTGGCCATGGTGGAAGGGCCGGAGAGAGGCATGGCGAGAGGTGGGGAAGCACAGGACGCTGCACTTTGTGACCTGAAGCTTGGGACGGACAATGGCAGATCGGCAGGAGCTTGGGCCAGGAACGAGAGCCTGACAGTCGCGAGGCGAGGTGGCGATCCGGGTACCGTCTTATAGTTGTCTGCACAGGTGAACTCCAAAGTTGTTGTTGCCAGTCTATCAGATTGTCAGTTTATTCGTGTTTTTTCTTGCTGCTCGTCCCTTGTCCCGACCATTTGTTTGGAGTGCCGATCTATGCGGGCGAATGCTATGGAGCCGGGGGGGAGAAGCAGGTCCAGGTCGGCCTCAATGACGGACGTCACCTCACACGCTGTCAGACGGCCTGTCAACCCCCACATCCTCGATTTCTAGAACGAAACTGCATTTGTCCTCTTGCGATCTCGGTCAGCCCCTCTGGAACCTTGAGAGCCACTTGACTGACCCGCCTCGCTTGCCTGATTCCCGGGTGCGAGCGCATACGGAGTATGTGGTCGACTTGGCATCACACAAAGACTGGGGCCCCTCTGTTGCATATTCCGGTGGGAATTGCCGATGCTGAAAAATCTGCGCAAGCAACAATCGGACTCTCATCCCGGCGTCATGATAGCGTCGAAAGTCGTCAAATAAAGGACCGCGGAAGCAAGAACAGACGTTGGGTCAAACGCCCACGTGTTTACAGAATCGACGACAGCACAGAGTCTGGACGGAAATACGTCACCAAAAAAGACTCGAAAACGCCAACGAAGACACTCGGTATGCCATTGCGGTTACAACCTCGCAACTACGCCATCTAGGCTAGGTTGGAGGAGAGTAGGATGCAAATACAACGCGTGTCATTCGTGGAGAGCGAGGTAGGACAGAAAATGGAATGCTGCAAGCTAAAGCAGTACGAAAATAAAGCTACTGAAGAAAAGAGACGGCGTCGTCGACTGCGTGATGCAGAAAACTGGCCGGACACAAGAACGCAAGAACGGACACAGGAACGGTCGCAGGCTGGTCCCAGGATCAAGCATCGAGACAGTGGGGGGAAATAAGCCAGACTGCAAGTGCACAGAGAGGCTGGACAGGCAGCGTGGGCAGGGATGCGAGGATGTGATGTGAGCAGGTTGTGGCCCGGTGTGCCGGTATACCCGACTGCAATGGGGACGGCGGAGGTGAACGGAGAGGGTACGGAGGTTGCAAGAACAAGAGACGAGTGAACCCAGCCGGCAAGCAGACAGTCCAAGTGGATCCATCTGGCCCTCGTTGTGACGTTCATGGTCCTTTTGTACTATTTTGTCCGCTTTGATGGTCCGTGTTGTTGGGGCAGGCAAGTAGGCGGTCATCCGCCGTTGCATGTCACATATTCATCAATGGTCTGCAAGTACGATGGCATGTTGAACGACGCTGGTTGCGGTGCGTGTCAGACGCCATGTGCACAAGCACAGCGCTAGGTACGACTTGGCAGGCGGGTGGCTTGCAGGACAAGAAACGCCGAGCAGGCGAAAAAGAGCCGCAGTGCAGCCCCGGCAAGAAAGACGGGGAAAACGTCGGACGAACAAGTGCCGAGGAGGAGAGTTGATTTGTTTGATGCGTCTCATCTCAGTGAAATCACAAATGCCATGACGGAGCGTGCTGTCTCCAACTCTGTGTGAACCAAGACAACAACAGGATACAGCAGGGACAATACGTCGTCAGCGCCTTGATGCACATAAGCAAGCGGGATGAGAAGCGAATCAAGAAAAAAGACGAGCAGAAACGAAAGGTGAACAGAACGAGACAGAACAACCAGTCCAAGTGCTGCAGGAGCATCGCTCTAGCTCTGCTCAAGGGTACGACTGCAGCCGGCGCTGTCGGGGTTCACGATTTCGACAAGTCTGGATACGGTTTGAGCACACGTGTTGACGATCGGCAGTCGAACCCTGCGCACGAAATCGACAGGGGTTGACTTGAGAGCCAGTGGGCCAATCAACAAGCTGCATTGGGCAGAATGGCACCAGGACTTACACTGGATACCACGGGGCGATGCAGCGCTTTAGCCTTTTAGGCCAGTCAAGGATCATCTGTGCTTACTCGGAACGACACACAAGCGCTACAGTACGCAATACTTATCTCAGAAATTGGGTTGGACAGAGAACGGCACACATCGTACTACGAGTCGTCCTCCGACTCCCTGCAGATGTCCTGCAGCAGTGCTCTTTGTGGCTACCTTGCCCGCAGAACGTCCACCGCAGAATGCAGAATACCACCCACACTGCCGCACTGCATGGTCCAACGTCGTTCTATGATCGTTCTTGGCGACCGACGACCAAAAGACTCGGAGGACACATGAGGACTAGAGGCAGCTAACCCTTTAAAGTCCAAGACTCTAAATTGTCTAAATTCTCACCAGGTACGACAGTCTCTTGGATGCCGTTGCATCGGGTGTCGGAGCAAGTCCTCGACACAGTGGGACGATAAGGTGGAGAAGAGGGCGAGAACCCCGAGATAGAGAGGGGAGGAGGCTGGTGTTCGTGTTGTTGCTGGTCACGCTTTTCGGACTATACGGCGTATTGAGTATCACTTCTTTTGCTGTTGGCCTTGTCCTTTATGCTGACGGCCGTTTTATTTTGTTTTATGTTGATGCATTGTACTGGTCTACATCGGAGTTCGGACCATTTCACACCAGCTCCTCACTTGAAACCGGCGTCAGTGACGAACGACTTTGACAGAAGTCTGTGGTAGTCACTGGCTACTTCGTCTGGCCGTATGACTCGTTGCTCGCCTACAATGACAGCATAGGGCACAACATGCCCGACGACACGTCCGAACAGGGCGACCGGCTGCTCCGACCGCCGCTCGACCACGTGCACGAGTGGAGAGCGGGCGAAGACGGACCTGGCGCACAAGAGACCGGCTCTGACAGCGACGAAGAACACGCACAATGGCCGCCGGAATCGCGCCGGCCGCCGTCGCGATGGCAACGCTTGTGCCGGGCGCTTGCCACCGTCCGCCAGATCGTCATGCCGGCCTTGGCCATACTCACAGCCCTGGCTGTCGTGATGGCCCTGTTTCTTCTCCTCACCGGCGGCAGCCTGTCCATGCCGGCGTATGACACCGATACAAACGCTCCCAAAGCACGCCCTACGGCAAAGGATCCCGTCATTGTCCTCCACCCCGAGGACCATATCCATCGTGAGCCACAGACTATCCATCTGTCGTGGAACATCACCAAGAGCCGCATTGCGCCCGACGGCGTCTTCCGGGACGTCGTTTTGATTAATGGTACGCCGTTCGCCTACAAACGCACTTCCTTTCTCTGTCCATGCATAATACTCACTTTCCAGGCGAGTTCCCCGGCCCGACAATCGAGGCCCGCACCGGCGATACTCTCGTCGTCACCGTCACCAACTCGCTGGTCGACGAGGGTCTGTCGCTGCACTGGCACGGCCTACACATGCGTGGCGCCAACCACATGGACGGCCCTGTCGGCGTCACGCAATGTGCGATCCCGGCCAACGGTGGCTCGTTTGTGTACCAAGTACCGACGGGCGACCAGGCCGGCACGTTTTGGTACCACTCGCACTCGGAGATGCAGCGGGCAGACGGCCTGTATGGAGGGCTGGTTGTGCACGCCCCCACAGACACCCCGGCTGCCGCCGCCGTCGACAAAGAAATCCTCCTCCTCGTCGGCGACTGGTACCAGTTCTCCGGCAAGACGGTCTTTGCCGAATTTCAGGACCCCACGAGCAACGGCAACGAGCCCGTGCCCGGGTCGGTGCTCATCAACGGCCGCGGCGCGTTTGACTGCGGCAGGGCGACCAAGGCGGCGCCCGTGGACTGCCACGCCGTCGAGCTGCCACCGCTGCGCCTCGACACGCGGCTGCGGTACCGCGTGCGGCTGGTCAACGTGGGCGTGCTGACGGGCATCTCGACCACCGTGCCGGACGCGCGCATCGACGTGCTGACCGTCGACGGGGGGCTGCCGGTGGTCCTGCCGGACGATGCCAAGGCGGTCGCGGCCAACTCCATTGGCGTCGTCTACCCTGCCCAGCGTGTCGACTATGTGCTGTCGTGGCCAGACGCCGGCGCAACCGGCGACGGCACGCAGCTTGTTGTCACCGTCGACGGCGAGTACTATGTCGGCAACTGGCAGGACCCGCCGTCGCAGACGTTTGCGATTGGGGCAGCACCCTCGACCCAGAGAAGAGCAACGCGACCCGTCCAGCGCGCCGCCTCGCCGCCGCCGCCGTCCTCCCAGGCCACCCGGGCCGTCGACCTGCGCACGGTCCGCGGCACCGCCCTCGGCACGCCCCTGCCGCCGCCGGACAGGCTCTACATGATCTTTGCCGTCGTCGAGATCCTGTCCCACAACAGGTTCATCCCCAAGGGCTACATCAACCACACCATGTGGGTTCCCCAGGAGCGGCCGCTGCTCAGCCTCGACCGCAGCGCCTGGGACAGCCACCAGCTCGTGCCCTGGACCGGCGCCGCGCCGGCCTGGGTCGAGCTCACCATCAACAACATCGACACCCAGGGCCACCCGTTCCACCTGCACGGCTTCGACTTTTACGTCGTCGGCAGCCACGAGGGCCTCGGCGGCTGGGACTACTACAACCCCTTTTTTGTGCCGTGGAAGCCGCCCCGCGGCGGACCCATGAACACGCTCGACCCTGTGCTGCGGGACACCGTGTACGTGCCGCCCTACGGCTATGTCATCCTGCGCTTCCGCGCCGACAACGAGGGCATCTGGGTGCTGCACTGCCACATTCTGTGGCACCAGGCGAGCGGCATGAACATGGCCTTCCAGGTGCTGGGCCACAGCGAGCACGGCCTGGGCGGCACGCCCCAGAGTTTCCGGGCGGCCGAGTACTGCCGGACGCGTAAAGAGAAGCATCCGCACTTGTAGGGATGAAGGGCTTGGAGCATCTATATATATATATATATATATATATATATATATTGTAATTGGATGAAAACAATAAACGCTCTCCACAGCAATCTCGACTCGATTGGGAAACAAGTTTGGATGTTGGCTTTGGCGTTCCTTGATGAGGACGATGCCGGCAAGGCTGAGGCTGAGACCAACAAACAACCAGGGTGTGAATGTCGACATAGCGTGGGACCTCCGCAGAGCACTGTTGCGTCTCTTTACACGATATACAACTATCCAGTAATTATGTTAGGAGACTATGCATCTGTCCGAATAACCACACGACGTGCTGGGTGGCCATCGAGAGCGTCGACGGAGAAGGTGCGATGGCCGACGCGACCCACGTGGGGCCAAGGGCCAACCCGAATGCGAAAACAGGACAGAAGCAGATACGACACAGGCAGGAGCCGAAAGAGGCAAGTTCAACCACGAGTGCATGCTGCATGCATGCAATAGGAACAATTAACTCTGCACGACCAGCTGTAAAAAGCAAAAGCCGTTTTCAAGTGTACTCGACGAGTCGTGTTTGACGTCAACAAGTCGACCGTTGTTGTATGTGTGTTCGTTGCGGGATGCGCGAGTGGCTTGGACGCGGCTGAGCACCTTTCGCCATTTCGCCATTTCGCTAGTAAGAATTAAATACGTTGGAGGTCTGTTCAGACCATACGAAGGCTGTGATACGCCGTATTAGTACGTGCCTAGGCTATCAATTCAGGGCACCGGCCAGGCGACCTGTCGCACCATGGCACCTGTTCTTGGCCAAGGGCTAGGGAACTGTTGGCGGTTCCTGGAACAAGCCGAGATCTAACCGCTTGTCCCCACGAAAGAGAAATAAACTCAAAATAGCCAAATCCAAGCTGGCGAGGGAGGGAGCGATACCGACTTCGGGGCCTTGCCCACGTCCCTTGTTTGGCGCCCTGGAGATGCTTCTGTTGCTTGTTGCAAGGGGGACCCAAAGGCCAAGAGTCAAGAGATCCATCTCGTGCTCCGCATCTCCAGAATACCAAGACGCGCTGACGTTTTCGCTTTGCCGATTGTGTCCTATTGTTTTGTCTCGTCACTCCGTTTCTGTTTCTCCGTTGGCAAGGCTCTGCCGGGACGGGTGTCGTAGGCTGTGGACGCTGCAGACGGTACTCGTAGACCAGTAGACTTGTAACCCGTCAGCCAGCCACACAGAAGCGCCGCGCCTTGCCTTGCTTGCGCAGCATCTTTTAGGCTGCAGAGACAAGGTCATTGAAGGCACAGAATCGACGTTCCTGGCCTAAGCCAGGCCGTTGGGTCGCTCTTGCCTCGAAACAAGCGGGAGGATGCGAGAGGGGTGCAAAGGAAAACGGACAGAGAAGGAGCACAAAAATACGCCTAGCAGGCGCCATCGTTCCTTCTCGTGCGTCCTCCCACTTTCGCCCGTTCGCTCGTTCCTCCCTCTTCTGCACTTTCCCCCGTCACAGCACACCTGCCCTCTGAAAGGTGTGGAGGGGTCGAGCTCCAGATGGCAGGACCCTGGATGGCGAGACCCGGAGTTGCCGCAGAGGTCAACAGGGTGGGCCGTCTCTCGTTCGCTCTCTTTCGCCGCCTTTCGTTGGCTGTCGATGGCTGTCGATGCTGCCCCTCCGTCTCCATCAAATCGTGCTTGGCTGCGCGAGCCAATACGTAACACGCAGCCTCCCCCGAGCTCCCCAAGGCGCCACACAGCGCCGCTACCACTTCAAACTACCACCAGCGACACCCCTCTTCGCGCATCTTAGTAGCTCCTGGCGAACCTGCTCTGCCCTCTCTGGGCCCCCTCGATGACGGGTTGGCAAGGCAAAAGGCAGCTTGGTACTAGTGACCCCAGTTTCCCAAGCCGGCGTTTCCTCCTGTTCTTGGCTGTTTTGGTATTTATTCCAAGTGGTCGCCCTCTCCTTTCTCACCCCTCGTCGTCTTTTTTTTTATTTTCGTCTTCCATCACCACCGTTTTTTCATCGACCTTCATCTCTCCACCAAACAAACCAACTGTACCGCACACACATATCCCGAAACCATGTCGGCTCAGGACTACTACGGCGGCGGCGGCAACCAGCAGCAGGGCTACAGCTCTGGCCAGTCTTACGTATGACTTCCCCACCGGCAGCTGAACACCGCTGGCCACTTACGTGCTTGGTACATACCACGTTCTGCAGCTTGCTAACACAGTTTTGTTTTCGCTTTAGGGCGGCCCCCAGCAGCAGCAGTACGGCGGCCAGCAGCAGCAGTACGGTGGCCAGCCGCAATATGGTGGCCAGGAGCAGTACAACGGCCCGCCCCAGCAGCAGTACGCCAACGCCTCGCAGCAGGACAACCGCGGCTCGTCGCCCTACCAGGGCGGTGGCGGCCAGCCCCAGTACAGCTCCCAGGGCCCCATCCCGGCCGCGGGCCCCGGTGGCGGCAACGGCGAGACGGACGAGCGCGGCCTGGGTGCCACGCTGGTCGGCGGTGCTGGTGCCGGCTGGGCCGCGCACCACGCCGGCGGCGGTGCCCTGGGCACGATTGCCGGTGCCGTGGCAGGCGCCATCGGTGCGAATGTCATCGAGCACTTTGTTGAGAAGAAGAAGGACGAGCACCACCATCAGCAGCAGCAGCAGCAGCAGCAGCAGCAGCAGTACCAGCAGGGCGGCTATTACGGTGGCCCGCAGGGTGGCCACCACGGCGGCGGCCACAACGGTGGTGGTGGTCGCTGGTAAGCGGTGACGTGGCTGCTGTTTCGTTGTTGTGTTTTGTTGCTATTTTCTGCTGTCGTCTTCGTCCTTTCATATCTCGTCTCTCACCACTGCCAAAGAGTATCCAGGGCATCCATTACGAATTGGGCAATAGGCTCTTTATGATTATGGCATTTGATTTCGTGCTTTGTAGTTTCAGGTTAGGTTATTTAATAATATGAACGCATGACAATGTTGTATTTTTTATTGGATTATTTTTTAAATAAAACTTGTATCAAATACATATCCATGCACTTGGTATCTGGATATGTAACAAAAATGAGAATAAAAAGTGAATATAGTGCACAATTTTTACAGTTCTTAAACAAAAGAAAATCTATGGTGGGATCCAAACCCAAACCAAAACGTCAATGCCAATGCCAACGCCCAACCGCCAAACATTACTAGACCGTCATCTGTCATCTGTCATCCGGCACAACACCATTGCGTCCTTTGAAGCCTTCCCCGGGAAATTGCCACTCAACACCAACAAAGCCATCTCCCCCCAGCTACGCGGACGTCTTGAAGCTGTCGCCTTGGCGCAGGCCATTCAGGAACCGCACCATCTCCGGACCGACAACGTCCGGCTTCTCGTACTGCGGTGCGTGGCCCACGCCCTCGACCACCAGCGTCGTCGTCGCGCCCGCCGCAAACTGGCTCGCCACCCACGCCGCCTCCTCCACCGGCTGGCTCCAGTCCGGGTCCTTGTCGCCCACCACCACGAGCGCCGGCTGCGTCTTGACCTTGGGCAGCCAGGGCGCGACGTCCTTGTCGTGGTCAATCGTTCCCATCAGCGACTGGAACGCCGCCCACCGGCTCTCGGTGCTGCCGCTGCTTGCGGCGTCGGCCTTGCGGGTCAGGAGGCGGGTGGACCGCGCCGCGCGCGCCTTGGCTCCGTCGGGGCCGAGACCGGGCCACAGGGTGGCTGCGTACATCTTCCACATGCTGGGGCCCCAGGGGCGCAGGAACAGGAGGTACATGATGAAGCGCAGCACGGCGCCGGCCGAGCCATTGCGCAGGAACGCGCCGAGCAGGACCACGCCGGCCACCAGGTCCGGGCGCTGGCCGGCGGCGATGGTGGCGGCGCCGCCGGACATGGACGCGCCGGCGAGGACGGCGCGGCCACCGCCCGGTGCGAGGGTCTCGACCACCTTGATCAGGTCCGAGGCCGTCTCGCTGTCGCCGTAGCTGCCAAACCCCGTGGAGGCGTCGCCCTGGCCGCGGAGGTCGACGAGGGCGACGCGGTAGCCGGCCGCAACGAGCTGGTCCGCCACGTTGTAGTAGGCGTCGCGCGTGTCGCCCAGGCCGGGAGAGCAGACGACGAGGGGCGCATTCGCCGGGCCGCGGGTCTCAACGGCAAGCTTGCCGCCGTCGTTTTCAATGAACTGGAGAGACATTGTGAAGTAAAAAGTGGGGCTTGCGGTGTAAGTGGAAGCTGTGATGAAAAGGAGTGCTGTTGTCGAGGTCGTTGCAGAGTTGCTTTTGCTTAGTTGATGGATTCCTTGTTGAGGATGATTTTCTTTTCCAATGTTCTCGTCGCGGCGGACAGTTCCTTGGACTTATATACATTTTGTATTGCACTGTATTCTGAGTCTGCATCGTGTCTTTCAAGCGTGCCATACTGGCATCGTCGTAGGGCTAGATAGCTCCGGCCCAAGCTCGCCAGCGCTCGTACGCGGATCGCCAGCGACCGCCAGCGAACCTTGCGCGAATTCACAGCGAAAATGGCTGGCAGTACCACCAAAAGCTCGCCTTTTTCTCGCTTCCGAGTCGGGTGCGCGCCAGGCAGCTCTTTAACGCCATTGGCCCAGAGTGGATACGGTGGGGCAACCTTCGCGAGAGTTGTATCTTATGTGTGTGTTTCCTGCAAAACTGTACTTTTCCATCCTTACGGTAGACTGCAGCGTCTACGAAACGTTGCGTCACACAATTGCACATGGTCTCTGCGCATGTGTAAACCACAAATAGGCATCAAAAAGAACGTTTTCAATGCGACCGACAAGGCTATGCTGAAATAAATACTGCATCAAACGATATCCATGGCCATGTTCTCGAATATTCTGTACATACAGCCTCACGTGTGGACTCGTCGTCACTTTAATTTTACCATGTGAAAGAAGGCAGGCAACTTCTTGTCGTCACAATCTGTGTCCTGTTTTCGTCGTCTTCTCAGGTGGGAAACGAGTCATTGGGAATATCTTGCTTTATTTTGTGTTGTCTTTTTGACAGAAACCATGTTTTATCTTGCCCATAATAGTCATACCCATGAAGCCGAATCGCAGAAAAGATAAAAACATGAGTGAAAGACAGGAATAAAAGGACCGTGCAGCAGGCAATCAAGATCAATGAAGCAAATAACGAAATGTAAGAAGTGGGATATGCAACGGACCACGCAAAGGTCGGTGTCGTCAGATATAGTATGAAGAGTCAAGGAAAAGCAAACAATGGTAACTAACGCCTTGCCCACCATATGCTAGTAAAACAAAACAGACCCGACGGCTCCGTTGTTAAAACGGCCGCAACAGACATAAAGGCGACAAAAAAAAAGAGAATAGCAAGGGTTGCCGGAGCAGTCTATCACGCCTTGAGCTTCCACGTCTTGTTGATCCCCGTTCCTGTCCGTTCGGCCAGTGCCTCGAGCGAGTTCTTGATCTGGCCCTTGGTGCACTTGCCCATGAACTCGACCGACAACATCTCGACAAGGCCCAACTTGCTGAGCTTGGCATATTGCAGGATTGATTTTTTCAAGTCCGGCACGAACTCGGCGGCAACACCAGCCTTCTTCGGGTCTGCAGCCTTGCCGTTGTTTGCGTCTGCTGTCGCCGGTGCGGCCGATGTGGACGAAGCCGACGATGCTGAGGTGGCCGGATCGAATTTGGTCAATGAACTGGCCGCTGCGGCACCCGCTCCCAATGCAGCAAAGGCGTCAGACGGAGCAGGTGGTGGCGCCATGGATTTGGACTTGCTCGGCGTGCCTGATTCTGTAGTTGTGGCGTCAGGTGCTGGTGCTGGGTCTTTTGTTTCCCAGTATTGTGTCGAGAAAGGATCAATCGGTCCATCGTGGTCTGTTCTTGTTAGTGATGTCGCGGCGACGACAAAACAAATCGCAAAACAACAGAGCAGCAGAACATACCCAGAATCAGCTCCATCCGGAAGCTGTCCAGCGCAGGTTTGCACCCCTTTCGCTGCTCGTTCTCCCAGCACACGCCCGTGCTCTCGGGCTCCATGCCACCCGAAAATGCCGGCCGCAGGGGCATGGCGTCTTCCGAGTCGTCCAGGAAGTCAGACATCTCGCCATCGTCGTCCAGCTCCTCTTCGTCGTCGTCCAGGTCGTCAACGTCCTCACCATCGCCGTCGTCCACCCACTCAGCCTCCGAGTCGTAGTCGTAGTTGAGGGGCAGCACCGTCTTGGCAAGTGGGTTGCGTGCCAGTTTCGACAGCCGCGCGGTTGGTGGCTGGCTGGTGACCGTGCCAAAGTAGGCCGGGCGCACATCTTCGCGGAAGAAAAGGTACTTCATGGGTGTCGACTGGAGCAGATGCAGGGCCAGCTTGGTTTGTGCGTCACTTTCGCCGCCAAGTCCGCTGCGCAGGCCACCGTACATGGCGTCAGGGCCTAGCATCGTCATGATCTTGCGTACCGTAGGACGGTTGCGACCGCGTGCCAGTGCCGGTTTGCCAGGCAGGTGGAAGTAGTCGACAGCAGCCGTTGCGCTGAAAGGCTGCGGTGGTGCAAACTCGCCACGGGAGCCTGCGAGAAACTCGTCGAGGATGCGCGACTTGGCCTCCTTGGTTTCGTCGTCCATGCCATAGAGGTCGGTGGCCATGACGACATTCTCCTTGACGAAAAAGGGCTTGAAGACGCGGTCATATTCTGACACCGCGGCAGCGACGGCGCCCGACTCGGACAGGCTCGTGGCGTCGCCCGCAGCAAATGACGTTGGCTTCCGTGGCGACGCAGAGTTTCCGCGAACGGCCGCCGGCTTCCGTGGTGAGCTGCCAGTCGGTAGCAGCGACCCGGATGCTGTTGTGACTGCTGCGGTGGAAGAGGTGGATGTAGATGTGCTGCTGTTGCTGGGGGTCTTGAAGAAGGAGTTGAGTCGAAGTTGGCTCCGCTCCTTCTTGTCCTTGGCTTCCTGGATCTTGCGCTCCTCGTCCTCCTTTTCTCTCCGCTTCTTCTCCTTCTCCTCGTTCTTTCGGCGGTCTTCGTCCTCCTTTTCTTTCCGCTTCTTTTCCTTCTCTTCGTTCTTCCGCCGGTCTTCTTCCTCCTTTTGCCTGCGCTTCTTCTCCTTTTCTTCGGCGGCCGCCTTCTTCTTAGCCTCGGCAGCCGCCTTTTGCTCGTCACGCTCCTGTTTCTTGGCGGCCTCGGCCTTTTCCTTCTCGCGCTTTCGTGCCGCTTCCGCCTTTTCCTTTTCTAGTTTCCGCGCGGCGTCCGCCTTGGCCTTTTCTTCGCGCTCGCTGGGTGTCAGGCGCTTGCGTTTGGCAGCCGGTGGTTGTGTCGTGGTTGCGGTCGTGGTGGCTGCGGCGGAGAGGCCTGGTGGTGGTGTCGCGTCGATGGTGATGACGACTTGCGGGGACGCACCGGCGGACGACTTGCATGGTGTGGCATTGGGCGACGTGGACCACCGGGCCGGTGTGCTGCTGCCGGCGTCGTCGGTGAGGAGAGACAGTGCATCGTCAGACATTTCGGACAGCGGAGAGTCAATGGCCATGAGGTCAATGGGGGATGTAGGCTCGCCCGTGCCATTTTGTTCCTTCTGCTGTTCCTTTTCGAAGGAAGCGAGGTTGTCGGCATCGGTGACGAGCTGGAGTTTGCTGGGGGTGGAAGGCTTGGTCGCGAGAGCGGCCGCCTTGGCCGTCTGCGCATTGGCTCCCCCGAGAAAGTCCATAAGGGTTCTCTTCCGGGACGGCGTTTCGGTGCCGCCGTCCTGGATGTTGGGGGACATGGCGAGAAGGGGCATCGGGGCGGTCGACCAATAGTTCAGGAGCGGAGGAGGGCTTCTGTATGGAAGGATGGTAGGATAGCGGAGAGAGTCGAAGGTGTGGACAAGATGTCCTATGTATAGTAGCGGTTGTGAATCGCTTGCATCGAAATGGTACGAAGTTTACGGTGTAGTTCGACGTGACAGCGAGGTCGGTAAATGGTTGTTGGTTCGACGTCGCTCGTGATCCGAGGTTGGGCGTTGGGTGTTGGGCGTTGTCAGAAGTAAAGAAGACACGCGATGGTAGACCAACCAAATACAAGAGCGGGAAAATAAGCCACGAGGGAAGAGGAGGAGGTTTGGTATTGTGGGATGGCGGTGCTCTGGGAGCCTGTGAGAGAAACGAGAGACGGTATTGCGTGAGGGAAGAGGAAAAGAGGCACGAGAAGGGAGACGCGTAGATTGGATCCGTTCCTTACGTTGTCCGGAGTGGAAGGAGCGTCCACGGTTGCACTCCCCAGAACAGGGCACGAATTGCTGTGGAACCCTCCCGGTGGGAGCCAAAAGAGATCAAGCACAGGGAAAGAGCGACGCGTTCAGTTGGCGTCTCTTTACGCGTTATGGGTCAAAGTGTGGCTCGTGTGTGCGTGGCTGATAAAGTGGGTCTTCTCACGCTTTGCGCCAAATTAGGTACTTTAGCAACGTGCAGCAAAGCCATGAGCAAACTGGTATTTTACAGGGATCGAAGAACGGAGTCAAGCCAGTTTCTTACTATTAAAAGGTATCGATAAGTGTGAGCGACTGCACCAAGGCCACGAAGCAGCGAGAGAGAAATATCATATACAAAGTGCTGTCCAGAATCCTTGGAGAGAGAAAATAAAACAAGACGATAAAGAAGAAGGATCCAAGAAAGGTAGTTTGGCAGAAACAATAAACGAAAGTATTATGAACGTATGGTCGGTGGAAGACAAAAAGAACTCCTCACAATGCAGTGGCATGTCATATGTGCAAATTAAAAGCGCAAATTCGCTAAACGAGAGAATGTGGTGCATTAGGGAAAGACAGATAGACAGATTGCGCCGCTGAAAATTGAACAGGAATAAGGCAAGCCCTGCCAGGGGCTTAATCGGGGTTGGCAATAAACAGGCGGCCCGCCGTCGAGAGTGTCATGGTCCGCTCGTCGACGCTGCCACGGCGCCGCAGATCTTCCGGGTTGCGCGTGCTGCGCTCACGCGTGAGTGTCTGGTTGATCGTGCTGTTCGCGGGCAGGCGGTTGGACGAGGCCATATCGGGCACATTGTCGGCCCTCTCAGCGCTGCTACCGCTCGCCGTACTGCGCGCTTTCTCGCTGGCGGCATCGTCGCGCAGGCCACTGGCCGCCGACGTCGTGAAGGCACCGTCGTCCACAAGACTGTCGGCACGTTCGGGGGTGTCGTTGGGGCTGTAGCGTCGGGTGCCACTGCCACTGCCACTTCCCGAGCCCGACGTCGCCAGTCCACCCGTGGACGTCCGGTACGGCGGATTGCGCCGGCCGCTCGCCGTGCTACTGCGGCCGCTGCTTCCCGTCCGGCGGTGGTTGAGGCGCATGCCCGACCCGCCAGCGCCGAAATCGTCCTCATCGCTGTCTTCCGGCTCGACCTCGGTGGCACTCAGGCGCAGAGGCACGCCGCCAATGCCGACGTAGTTGCTATCTGCGCCGAAGCCCAGGGCACCGGCCTTGCTGCCGTGGTGGCGGATCTTGGCAGACATCTTGCCGCCGGCCGAGCTAATGCCCGTGCTCGTGCGTGTGCCGCCGACACCGCCGTTGTAGCCGCCACCGCCGCCGCCACCGGCGCCGTGGATCTCGCGGTTGGCACGCATGCGGGCGGCCTTTTGCTGGGCAGCGATGCGGGGGTCCTCAAACTGGGCACGCTCGCTCCAGACGGTGGCCTTTTGGCGGCGGAGCAGGGCGACGTATGAGGTCTGAGGGGCTACGGAGGCGCTGCCAGAGCGGGAGGAGGTGGACCGGCGGACGTCGGTGGTCGGACTGGTGCGGTAGGCGGCCGGTGGCGCCATGTTGCCGCTGCCTCCGCCGCCGCTAGAGACGGTGCTAAAGGTGTTGACGGAGGCCGAGCGCTGTGCGTGGCTCATTTGCGGCTCGCGGGGCTGCATGTGCGGTGGCAGATGTGGTTGCGGTGCGGCATTCGGAAAGACGTTGGACGAGGTAGTGCGCGTGCGGGAGTGTCTGTACATTTGAGATGGGTCGACCGGGCGCTGTCGCACGGACAAATGAGACTCGAACATGGCGGAGAGAGGGAGAGAAGGGTGAGAGCGAGAGAGAGATATAGACAGGCCGAGACGAGCTGTTGGGGAGAAGGCGGCTCGCAGTGAAATCCGAGACGGGAAATGCGGCAGAATAGGCTGGCAAGAGGAGCAAGACGTCGCTTAATGTACTCGATCTCTTGGGAGCCAGCAAGGGCGTGCGGCGGAACACCAGGACACGAACACAAATAGCAAGTGACCGATCAAGATGGCGTAGTTGCTTTTCGTGTTCACTTTAGTTTACTGGGTAGCCGAGCTCGTCGTCGTTTGAAGAAAATCGAGGCCCCTTTTCTCAAATGTGCCGGCTGGCGGCTGTTTTGAGGAAATACGGGATTGCCGCGATCGAAGCAGACGCAGTGAATCGCTTCGCCTGCGGAGAGTATGTGCTACGGGCTAATGTCGAGGCGCATCGAGGGTTGTGCCGTGTTGGGCCGCCGTGGGCCAGGGCCACAAAGATCGGGCGTTGAGGTTATCTTGAAGCTGTCCGTAAAAAATGCAGTTTTTTATTGGGTCGAGCCCTTGTTGGCGGCTCGAGTGTCAATTCATTCCTGGTGTCGGTCGTGGAGATGAATGGAAGATTCGTGACGAAGGGTGAGGGGCGAGAGGAGTCTTTGGTTGGGAAAGGTGAAAAAGAAGGCGAGATGAAGAAAAAAGACGACGTTCCGGAGAGGGAAGTGGGAAGTGGTGGAGAGATAAAGAGGGCGATGAGAGCAACGACGAAAGAGGGAATGGGGGAAAGAGGGGGGGGGGGGGCTGCACTAAAACATAGGCCCTTAGACATGTCCTAGAAAAGATTGGCGGGAAGCTAGGGAGTTTTGTTCGGCGGTTTGGCGTGGACCTTTGCGTTTTTTCTTCATTCTCACTGCATTTATTCACACAAAACACACATTTTTTTTCTCGATTCGCCGCCGCCTCTGGTGTCTCCGGGTAGGGCCCGTTTACCGTACGCTTTTGACTTGGAGATTTATTTGCATATTCTTAAAAGTTGTTCGTAAATTAGGATCCTTTGCTTGCAGCTCATGAGGCTTGTCTGAAGCTACTTCTTTGAAAGTAAACAGCCGACTCGATACTTTCTGTTGCTTGCCAGGCTATTGCGTAGTGTGTTACAGGGGGGTGCTCTTGATGCTTGGAGGCTGTTGCTCCGTTATGTGTAGGGGTGGCAGGGAAGACAGGTCAAGGCTTAACCTCTTTTAGGGATCGTCACTGGTCGTCAACGTTGCATAGCGCTCCTGCCCACTGGGACAGAGCCGGTGATGATGCTATGATCCGAGCTGGTTGGGAAGGCTAGGGAAGGAAGGAGGGTGGGCTGAGTAGGCTGTGCTGGTTCGGCGGGTGATGGGAAGAGAGGGAAGGAACACCTTTTTCGCTTTTTGGGTGGGGCCACTGGTGCCGGCCGAACAAGGGTGGGATTGGAACTCATTGGGCAGTTGGCGACTCGGCGCTTGTGGGCTATCGGATTGGTGGGAGTTTTTGTTTTTGTTGTCGTTGTTGTTGACGGTGTTGTCCATGCTGATATGGCGATGCCGATTATTGATTTTGTTGTCATTATTGCCATGTCGCTAGTTGATTGAGGCGTCAATGGTCGACTGTGTTTGAGGTTGAGCACGCGGAGCCAGATGTCGTTCCTGCTCCTTTCGGCCGCGGTTCCAACTAAGAATTTGCATGACGCCTTGACTGCGTTGTAACGGGAAGGAAGCAATGACGTCTGGGATAGAGTTGACCGAAACACGCCGTCCCAGGATGTGCCTTTCTGATGAGAGCTCGTCCAAGGAACTTAAGTCCTTGTTCGGTTCGTTCGCCGCCGAGACAGAAACGGTGCGATGGAAAGCAAAATGCACGACTTTTCCGATCCGGTAAGATACAGGTCTCGCTGGGACATGTTATGCCTGCGTTGGAGCACATGGAGCACCAACATCATCGGTCCACTTTCAGCCCGCTTTGTCGGACTGGCCGGCGTAGTTTTCAGGGCGGCATGTGGTTACTTACAGCCGGTTGAGTGGACCTGACGAGCGCCAAAGCCCAGTAAGATAATTCGTACAGGGGACCCCCATGTCCCCACGTTTGCTGATCGGCCAAGAACCAAAAAAGACCAGTCGTGCCCGCATTGTGATGTCAAGCCGTGGAGAAGAGGAGAAATGGAAGCGCTCGCGGCCGGTGCTGTTCACCTTGCCGAAAGTACCCTCCCCCAAACGGCAGGACAGATCGAGATTCGCAAGCGAGTAGATTGCAAAGTCGGGTAATAGCAAGGGCAAAACAGGGAAGGCTCAGCACAACAACGAGCAGGGAGAAGAGACCAGGACAGCACGGGAGGGAGAAGGGAGAAGGTCGATGGGCGTTGCAACGGAGAGCAGAGCATTTGTGTCCCGGCGATTGATTGTCCAAAATACGACGGTGAGCACACTGTCAAAGTCGTGCTCGCATCCATTGTACAACGATACAATACACACAGCTGCGTTATGACAGAGCATACAACTGCACCCCCAAGGTTGTCTCGCGTAATATTGGTGCAGATTGATTGCATATTTATGCATGCGGTGAGCCCCAAAGGCTGCCATTGGCATTTTCGTCACACATCCCACATCACCAAATTCCTTTTTCTTATCCTGCCATTTCTGCATTGTGCGGAGAAGCCCTGTCAAGCTCTATGCAGCGTGCAAAGACTAGTGAACAGCCCTAGCGCCTTGCATTCCTGTTTGGGCAGTCTCTTTTCCGCGAGCAAACAACATACATCCGTCGTACACTCGCGCAGGTTGGCGTAGGCAACTTCCGCGTTGGGATGGATGCCCGCTCGGTCCATTGGCACAAGCAGCACGATGCCACGCATCCCACCTCTGGGAATGCATTATCTCTTACAGGGGAAACAGTAGAGTGGCATCAAGTGACAGAAGGCTGGTGGGAAATGAGAAAAGGATTCCGTGCGAGGCGGGGGCTGGAAACAGAGTCTTCGGGGATCATCATGGAAAGGCGAGGGCGGAGACATTCCTCAAAACGGTGATCCAACGGACACATAAGCTTAGCTCTGTGCTTTTCCTCTTTCTTTTCTAATCACCCTGGGCTTGTTCCTTTGAAAACCGCTTGAACAAAATAAGATTTTGCAAGTTACATACACTGATGTGCACAACTCGCACAACGGCGACGGAATGGGAAATCGCAGGCGAACGGGATCTGACAACCATATTGCAGCATTGGCAGCGCTGTGGCACCACTGCACGGGGGCCTGGGCGTCAATAAAGTTACATCCACAGCAAGGCTGAGCTTGGTGCAGGGGGACAGGGGCGGACAGTGGCACCGACTGACGAGCAGATACGAGCGGACAAAACGAGACAAGGTTGACTGGGAGACTGGACCAAATACCAAATGGCTGTGCGTTGAAATACAGCGAGCATGATGCCCTGAAGCAAATACATAACAGCGTACACAACGCACAGTGTAGTCCGACCATCCGGGTTCTGTACAGCGCTAAGGGCGCTGGACCCTAACGCTTGTTCTCTTTTCAAATTGCCTGCTGTTTTTTTTCTTCTTCTTTTTTTTCTTTTCTTTTCTTTTCTTTCTTTCTTTTTTGTCTTGCCCACGACCCTTTTCTCGACGCCATTCCCCTTAGCTTCCAGTCCTGAATTTGAACCCGCGACCGTTCAGCTCGTGTCTCATCGCGTCAAAACTGCCGGTCAATTGTTTTGTCTCAAAGCATGGGTTCAGTTCAGTGGACGGAACTGGAAAGAAGCGAGAGACTCGGCATATGTAATAGTGGGCCCCTTCGTACTCGTATCTCACGACTCTCCGTTTTGATTTTACAATCTCTTCTCTTGGTTCTCCTTCTCCTCTCTCGGCTCTTATGTCGCGTTTCGTTGCCCACCCGGAGGCAAAACTGGTGCCCCGGTGCGCTTTCGGCGATTTTTAGTCGTGCCGGCCTGAACGGAACGTGTACAATTTGTACCTGCTTTTCCCCATGTCCAGTTGGGAGTCCTCTTTTGCATCGAGGTCCCCTGATCTCATCTTCTTCGTATCCAACGTTTTAAGATTTTTAGCCACCCCAAGGCACTAAAACACAGATTGACGTCAAGCGCAGCCGGCTCCCTCAAACCCCATTCCTCAAAATGCACCTTGCCTTTGTCGAGGCCATTTGCCCAACGCTTTCTTCGGGGCACAGGATACGACATATGTTTCGATGAAAGAGATGCCTTTGCTCCGAGTCTGTCAGTTCTACCGTCGGCGATTTTCATGCACTGGCCAAGGTCAAGACCGCTGCACTGACGTATGCAATAACAGCGCTGTTAAGTCTCTTGAACCTGGTACGGGCGCTTTGCCCTGGCTGCACTGTCGCAGCGCATGTAGCATAAGACGTCATGCATTTTCACAGGCGCCATTGCGTGCCTGTCCCAAGATACACGAATTGAGCGATGATGCTTGTCCAGGACGATGGACCGTTCTGCCGGTCGGCAAGGTCACTGTCTGGAATGCTGAAGGATGATCCTGACCGGAATATAGGAGAGCGTCCACACACCGACCACCCACGCTCGCACGTCACCAAAAATAGTAAGACACAGCTTAGGCGGCGGACCGTCGTGAGACTGAGACGATCGTCGGAGCCGGGGGGCACATTCCTCACAGAGGCTATTTTCGGTAGCGGTAACGGTCACCGTAGGTGCACATCGGATAAACATACGGAGCGCTTCGCGATTTTCAAAGGATACGGGGGGTTGGCATGGTTCGTGCTCATCCACATACCCTTTGCTCGTACAAAATGGGAAGCCCTGCGGCTTCCTGCAGGTCGCCGTCTCCGTTGCTCTGTGTTTCGGGGGATGCCGTTCTGGTTGTGGCTGTGGCTGTGGCTGTGGTGCTTTTCTTTTTGCCCTTTGCGGGCTCGTAAAGCCTTGTGCCGTGTATGTCGTACGCCGTTGACTATCCGCATCGACTGGCACGTTACGCCGGCGACATGCACCGCCAATCTAACGCCACAGGCGAGCGGCTGATCTGCAGAAGTCGCCCTGCTATGAAGAGTAAGGATACGACATGCGCCAATGACGGATAAGCCGATATCAGACAGGGCAAGCAGCAGGTTTTACCACGAAGCCTTGCTCGTATTCTTCAGCCTTGCTGTATTGAAGGGATTTGACGATGGTGTTTTGGGAGTGTTTGCCAGTGTGCCCAATCAGAAATGCAGAACATGCACATGAGTGAAACCGCGGCCGAGAATAACAGCTTGTTTCCTTTGCTATCTTTCTTTCATTCATTTTATTGTATTTATGCATGCTATGTATACTCTTATACACCTTTTTTGTATCTTACAGATATAGTAAATCCTTTGCTAAACACACAAACACGATTGACTGCGTGAGCTACCTTGGCCTTCAAACTGGACATAGATGTCACATTAGATGATGATTGGGAATGATTCATGGCGCTATTCTTATTCTTGTGTGCGTTAGTACCCCACACCGCCCGCTGTCCCGCTGGGGAAACCCAACTTCCACTGTCGACCCTTCTGCCTTATTATGCCACCGGCAAACAGCGATGCCGCAGGCCTTAATTACGCCATACCTGCGGGGCTTGTTCGAATTCTTTGAGTCAGCAAAAACAGAGAGGACCATACAGTAGAATGCAAGTAGACGAGACGGCAGATACATGAGATTCTATGGCAAATTCGACGTTTTCGTTGGACCCTACCTTGACCCTATCTTGTCCAATCTTTTATCTCTTTTTGTTTTACCCGGTAAACGGCAAGAGCTCGTGGTGGACCCGCGCCGCACCTTCACACCATGAGCCAAATGGCCACCAAGACAATCCGAACCAACCCAGCGGTAGGCGCAAGAAACTGGCCTGCAGGCTGAACCAAACTATTTCTTTGTCTTTTGACATCGGACGAGAGCATCGTACACGTCCGGCCCTCGAGTCTTCGCTTGGCTGTCCTTCACACAACGCCATTGTCAAACAAGCTGAAGTAATCACGAGACGCGAAATTTGACTCCGGTCGGTAGCTCTTTCTCCGGACACGGCGCGGGGTGTTCTTTCCAATTTCAACTTTCTGCGTGCTACAGAAGATCTCTGGAACGTTCCTTCCTTGCAGCGCATTCTTCTTCTTTCCTCTTTTCTCTTTCCTCTTTTCTCTTCCGCTTGCCAGCCCGCGCTTGTCCCGCTGGGCAGGTGCTCTTACAGGCGAAACGGGCTACTATTTGCGCCTGGTCTAGCGTGTGGGGATTGTTTTCTGCCGCCAAATGTTCTATCGCCTTCTGTCTCGGTCTTGCCTCTTGCCTGTGAGACCTGAACAGTGCGCTTCCAGACTCCCCCACATCCCACGCATCCCACTTCCCCCGACCACGGCCGCGTTTTTGTCACCAAATGACAAGACCACCGAGGCCACCAAGCCAACGAACAAAGCAAAGCCAATAACCGCCAGACTGTCTGTCCCTGTCGCCCGGTTGGCTAGTCCTATGCGGCTTAACTTTCTTGTTAACTTCCTTTTTGTGTCTTGCTGTGTTTGATCAAAGGGTTTTGCCATTTCATCCTGGTGCTGTATTTCGGTGCAACGGGACCTTTTTGCTTTTGCTTGTGACATTCAGCGGCCACCAACCAAACAGCAACCCGTCGTTGCGACGCCTCGCCGGACCAGCCGACCAATGACGGACCAGACCAGCGGCCGGCCGTCGGCCGGCGACGGAACAAGTCCCAACGGCATAGGCCCCCACACAAACGGTGCCGGCAGCGGCGACGGACACCCATTGCTGGCGTCGTCACAACCAGCTGCAGCAGCACAAGCACACCACTTCCCAGACGTCTGCTACAAGCTGCGGCACAAGGTCCTGGCGTTCCTGGACGAGGAGATCCCTGCCTCCGAAGAGATCCTGCGCAACGTGCAGAGCCAGGTCCGCATCTCCGTCTCCGTCATTGAGCAGGCCCTGCATCGTTATAGTCTGGACCAAATCTCCTTGTCGTACAATGGCGGCAAGGACTGTCTGGTGCTGTTGATCCTGATCCTGGCCTGTCTGCCGGTGGTCAATGAGCCGGCGGTGCCTGCGGGCAAGACAACCGAGGGGGCACAGACATCAGCATCGACCGCAACACGCGCGACTGCGCCGACATCACAGACGTCGCCACAACCGACACTGCCACTGCCGGCGGCAACGGCACCACGGGCGTCCGCGACACCCCGCCCCTTCCAGGCCATCTACATTGTCCCGCCCGACCCCTTCGCCGAGGTCGACGAGTTTGTCGACCAGTCCACCGCCGACTACCACCTCGACCTGGCCCGCTATCCCTTGCCCATGCGCGCCGCCCTCGACGCGTACCTCGCCGACCGCCCGGCCGTCCAGGCCATCTTCATGGGCACCCGCCGCACCGATCCCCACGGAGAGCTCCTCACCCACTTCACGCCGACCGATGCCGGGTGGCCCCAGTTTATGCGCATCCACCCGGTCATCGACTGGCACTATGCCGAGATCTGGGCTGTACGTCTTGGGGACCTTTGCTGCGTTTGCCGTTTGTCGTCGGTCGTTTGTTAACCTTTTCTAGTTCATCCGCCACTTCGACATCCCCTTCTGCCAGCTCTACAACCGCGGCTTCACCTCCCTCGGCGGCACCACCGATACCCGCCCGAACCCGGTCCTCGCCAAGAAGACAAAGGGCACCCACGATGCCGAAGACCACAGCGGCGCATCCACGCCCATGTCCTTCCGGCCTGCGTATGAGCTGATGGACGACGACGAAGAGCGCCTGGGCCGGGGGCGGTGAGCAGGAGAAGGCGCCATTGCGAACCGCGATGGTATTGCATACAGGCCGCATAAACAGACCATACAGAACGAGAACGACGTCAACGACGGAAAGCGGCGCATTGTTGGGAAGAAGCATTACCAGTGAACAGGAACCACTGACACAAGACGCATAGACACAGGCTTTTTCATACCTGCATATAACACTTTATATACCGCATACAGACCCAGAGGAGGGCCCAACACATACCAGAAACAACCACCAGATTCTTGTTTAGCATTTCACTCACATATTCTATCCTGTTTTTCATTCCGAATTTATATCTTGTCGTCTTTTGGCTAGGCGTCGGTCGGCAAGGGACGCGGGAGCTAGCTGTCTGACAGGCCCGGCAGTGTGAAATTGCTGTGGCACGTTGTGGTATACGAGCGGGCGAGTGGCGGGTGAGATGGAGATATCAGGAAACAATCACTCCACGTCTTGGCAACGACGTTCCTGGCCACCTTGACGAGCATCCCTTCTTCCGATATCCTTTGCACACCCGGGGGCCTTATTCCATGATTGTGCTTTATGTCTTAGAGACTGGTTTTCTAAGCGCAACGTCTTGGCACACATTTTTTTGTTGCACTGAACAAACGTGGGGGCGAGATAGAATATTTTGACGAGGAAACCAATCTCGCACGACGGACACGGGTGAGTCCTGGACTGATGCGATGGGCAGTCGCAAATCCCTGTTCTGTTTAGGCATGCGCTGCTGGGATGGCAGCAATGATCCCACTATTCTGTTTGAAGGCCATATCCAAGCCACGCCTTTGCAGCGGACGAGATGCGGGCTATATATCTTTTTATCATCTATTGCTGCTGTATGTGGTATGCGACGTACTTGGCGATCACTGGATATCTGACAGTTGATTTGTTATCGAGAAACATCCTTGTCGTCTGTTTCTGGGAAACAGCTCGTTAAAATACGCAAAACGGCAACGGAGCGCGGCGGCCAGCGAGTTCACTGAGAGCCCACACGCGAACACTTTCCCTTCTGTGAGGCCGAGCAAAGATAAGGCTGGCCCGCACTGTTTTGTCTGTCGATTTCGTCTATCAAGCCAGCCAACGTCCCAAAACCACAGACGTCTATATCGTCGGGACGAGTGCCCCTGATTACAAAGGGAACTTGCCCCAGATAAGAAGGTTTCTTTTTTTTAAAAAAAAATACCTTTACTTTTACAGCCATGCTTCTTCCCCCCCTCTTCTTCTTGACGGCTTGACGTGTGATTGATGAACCAGGATTGACTCTTTGCGGGAACTCCATACACTTGCTTTATCTATGTGTCCAACGGTGTGGGAGAGAGTGGAGTTGACGGAGAAAGGAGGTGTGGGATGGTCATGGTGGTCTCGTGCCTGGATGGAGAGGGAAGAGAGTATTGTCCCTCAGCCGTTTCGATATATGTATACTCGTTGCGGCCGGTTTACCCCTTTGCCGACACATACGCTCGAGCCATGAACCCGGCGCCACGTTCGCATCATGATCTTGTCTCGAGGCATTTCTGAAACAGTAAACTCTGCAGTTTGTCGACTTCACTTTACTGCCTAACACTACGGAAATTGTATATTTCGTACCAGCACCCGCGATGGGCGTCCTCTTTGAAGTCTAAACGACGACAAGAGTACACCTTCCCGTCGTCCTCAACTCCCACGATACGATGGCCAAACACCTCCCCGGCCTTCTGCCCGGCTCGTGGGCGCTATGGAGCATTGGCATGGCGACTGTGTTTGCCCGCTTCTTGTCCCGCCGCCTCGCCCTCGGCAGCTGGCGCAAACTGCAGCTCGACGACTACCTCATGGCTCTGTGTGTCCTCACCTTCACGGGCGTCACTGTCTGCTCCAACCAGGTCGGCATCAGCGGCAGCAACTACGCGTCCGACGCCGAGATCGCCACATGGTCCCCCGCAGAAACCCGCGACGCCGAATGGGGCAGCAAAATGCTGCTGGCCCTCGAGGAATGTATGATGGCAACGGTCTGGCTCGTTAAGGCGTGTCTGTTGATCTTGTACGGCCGCCTGACGTCGGGCCTCACGGAGGCCTTTGCTGTCAAAGTGGTGGCCATCTACTGTGCCGTCGGCTACGTCGTCGTCCAAATTTTGTATTTGGGCGTCTGGTGCCGGCCCATTGACGACTACTGGGCTGTTCCGGTGCCGGAAGGACATGGTGAGTGTAAACAACAAAGGAGACGAAAATGTACACACATGTGTCCTGCTTGTCACTAACGCCACCGCCAACAGAGCAGTGCAAAACCTACCTCCACCATATGATCACCGTCACCGTCTTCCACGTGTCCTCCGACCTGCTCATGCTCCTCGTCCCCGTTCCTATGATTGCCCGCGCCAAACTACCGCTCCTGCGCAAGATTATTTTGTGTGGCATCTTCAGTCTCGGCCTGCTCGTCGTCCTGGTCGCCATCCTCAACCGCTACTACAATTTCACCGTCGCCAACAGCCTCGTCTTTCTCATCTGGTACAATGGCGAGGCCAGCACGGCCGTCATGGTCGCCAACATTCCCTTTTGCTGGACCTTGCTGCGCCGCCTCTTTGCTCTTGACGCCTGGGGCATGTCCAGCCGCCGCAGCCGCAGCACCTCGGGTGCCTACCGCCTCGGGGACAGAGACATTCCCGTGGGTTCGGGTGGTGCAGCGGGTGCAGCTGCTACTGCTAGTACTACTGAAACTACTGTCGGACGTGGTGGTGTGTCTCAGGCCGGCCGCCGTCCATTCGCCACCCTCGTTGGTATTGACCTGGCGTCCACAACGGGCAGCACAGAACGGATCACGGCCGGACAGACGGGCGATGCCGCCGTGGACCACCTCGATTGCAGAAATCACGACAAAAGAGCGGCGTATGGTGCACACAAAGGATCGAGTGATGGCGACTACGATCCAGAAATTGGACTATGATATGAATTTTATGTATCCGTTAATATTTTATAGAATATGTGGTGGACTTGACGTCCCTTTGTTGGTATATTTTGATTTTTCTTTATGCTGTTGTAGATGCGATACCAAAGATACCACAATTTGATCCAGAAACTCAAGAAATATATACAACGCCTCTTTCCATGAAACGTTACTGCCTATCTGTACGTCAACCTGAAAATTGCACTGGAATTTCTGCCAGTCTGTATCTTTTATGCCTGAAAATCGCCAATATTGAAGTTTTTTTCTCGATGTTCCTTTAGAAAATTTTGCTAGTGCGCCTACCGAATGTGGTTTCGGTGAGGCTTTTCATCGCCCCGTTAGCCCCATTCGCCAAAGCGAGTTATCTGTGCATGCTGTTAGTAGTAAAAGAATTGTGAAGCCCGTGATACTTTGACTTTTCGTCTTTTGAAAGAATATATCAACTCAATTGGCCACAGAGACTGGCGTGAAAGCAATCTACAAATGGCCTTCGTTCTTTCCATGTCCTGCAGTCCATTAGATGCACCTGCCGCGTGTTAGTGATTCTGCAGAGGAATGCCCCACCAGATACAATAAAGATGGAGCTTGTGCTCTATTGGCGGCTGCTCATTGGCTCCCGAAATTGCCTTGTGCAGGTTGGGCCGGGTCGCGCCTTCCTCGCTGCTGAAGTTCGCGCCAACCGAAAGTTTATGACGCTTGGTGTGCACCTTCCTTCGCACTTAGTTACTCCGCACGCTCTAAAATTTACATTTGGCAAGAGGCTTGCAGCCTTTTTCGACTTTCTCTGCTGTGGAAGCTACGCCCGAGACCAATTCGTCGACAAACTTGCTCAGTGCATTTCTATCCCAAGTCCAATGCCATCCTAGCATCACCAGCTGTCCCGCCGCGCGCGATTCCACCCATGGTGGCCGTCTTGAGCACCCTTCCCACGTCCTGATTACAGTTGAATCGCCGGCCTCGAATTGGGCAGCGTCTTCTGACGTCATGAAGTTTGCCAAAGAGCTCGACCAGGAGCTCGTCCCAGGTGAGTGGCCGACGACGGTATGGTCGATGGCAATACTGTGACTCTCCCGCAGCGGCGTGGACATGGCTAACCAGGCGGCAGAATGGCGTATCAAGTACCTCAACTACAAGGCCGGCAAAAAGTACATCAAGGCCGTCTCGCGCGCCATCTCCCGAGCCAACGCAACGCCCATCCTCCGCCGCTCCGGTGACCTCCCGCCACGACAGACGCCGCACCTGTTTGCATCGGGCAGTCCGTTTTCTGCGAAACGCGGGAACAGCAACAACAAGAGCAGCAGCAACAATGCCAGACGCCCGGGCCCGGTTGGGCGGTCCAAAACGACCAGCTCCACAATCCCGCAATACGACGCCAGGTCGAGCAAGAACGCCACCGACGACGGCCCCGATGGCAGCGACGCCGGCTCTGGCGAGCGCCGTAGCCTGACATCAACGCCGGTCGATCAACGGCAGTATGGCAGCATCACGAACACCGGCCGGCTTCGAAGTCCCTCTGTGGCCACGGATGGCTCCCGCACCTTTGAGCTGCCTGCACCCGCCATGCGCGTGCCTTCGAATACAAACGAACCCGCACCGCCCGCCTCTGTTGCCAAGTACCGGGCTCCCACAGCTGCTTCAGCTGCTTCAGCTGCTTCATCTTCACGGGCCCCGCCAAAGCGCCGCAGTGCCACAATGGCGAACATTCCGAGTGCTGGCATGTCTGGCGGTGCAGGCGGTGCAGGCGGTGCTGGCAGTGCTGGAGGTGAAAACAGTGGCCAGACAGCTCCGTCGTACCGCAGCTCGGTCTTCCCTTCGCCCTTCGATCTGACACCCAGGCAACGCTTGCGCCGCATGTTCTCGATGGCCTCGCCACAACAATGGCCGTTGGGCGGTGGCGGCGGGGGCTCAACTGTCGGCGACAACAAGGACGACATCAACATGCATGCGTTTGACGAGGTCCGCGAGCGCGAGCTCGATTTCTTCCGCTTTTTGGACGGCGAGCTAGACAAGGTCGAGGCCTTCTACAAGCTCAAGGAACAGCAGGCTGGCGAGCGCCTGGCCCTTTTGCGGGACCAGCTGCACGAGATGCGCAACCGCCGCATCGACGAGATCCAGCGTGCGAAACGACGCGGCATCGAAGAGGCCGAAATCAGCCCCAACGCGTCGGGCGATGACGCTGCATCACGTACACGACGTGCGGGCAACGGCAGCGGCAACGGCAATGGCGGCAACAGCGGGCGTCAGAGCGACGGAGACGACAGCAAAGCCTGGGACGTCTACCAGGATTGGATTGCGCCCGTTCGCGCCAAGATCTTCAAGCCGGGCCCCAACTCCAAAGCGCTGCAAAAGATGCCGCAGACGCCGCGCATGCTGGACCGTGTTTTGGGCGGCGGCTCGGGCGTGCCGGGCGTCGAAGGCCACCGCGACTATGTGCGCCGGCCCGGCGATCACGACATCCCCTACCGCACAGCCAAGCGCAAGCTGAAGCTAGCCCTGCAGGAGTTTTACCGCGGCCTTGAGCTGCTCAAGTCGTACGCCATGCTCAACCGCACCGCCTTCCGCAAGCTCAACAAGAAGTACGACAAGGCCGTCAACGCCCGCCCGCCCTACCGCTACATGAACGACAAGGTCAACCGGTCCTGGTTTGTCAACAGCACAGCGGTTGACGACCTCATTGTCGCCGTCGAGGACCTGTACGCGCGCTACTTTGAGCGCGGCAACCACAAGATCGCCGTCGGCAAGCTGCGTGCCCTGACGAAGCGCCCCGGTGACGAGTCCGGCAGCGCCTTCCGCAACGGCCTCATGATTGGTGTTGGTGCCGTTTTTGCTATCCAGGGTACCGTGGATGGCGCGAAGAAGCTGTTTGCCGGCGACCCGCTGCTTGCCACGCAAACGAGCTACCTGATGCAGCTCTACGGCGGCTACTTTTTGATGCTGTTCCTGTTTACGCTCTTTTGCATCAACTGCCGCATCTGGACGATCAATAAGGTCAACTACCCGTTTATCTTTGAGTTTGACCCACGCTCGCATCTCGACTGGCGCCAGCTGTCCCAGTTCCCCAGCTTCTTCTTTCTGGTCTTTGGCCTCTTCATCTGGCTCAACTTCTCCGACGCTGCCAACCCGCGCCTTTTTCTCTACTACCCCGTCGTTCTTGTCGGCTTCACCATTGCCCTGCTGTTCTTCCCGGCGCCCGCACTCTGGCACCGCAGCCGGAAGTGGTTTCTCTACTCCCACGTACGTTTCGTCGCTGCCCATCGGCCCTTTGTCTTCTCGTTGACTTCCTGCTAACACAATCAGTGGCGCCTCTTCTTTGCAGGGCTGTATCCCGTCGAGTTCCGTGACTTCTTCCTGGGAGATATGTACTGCTCCCTGGTTTATTCAATGTGTGTAAGTATACATTTTATCAATCTGCGCCCACGTCGTAGTATTGGCCCGCTAACCTCTCTTTCTTAGAATATTGAGCTCTTCTTCTGCCTCTACGCCAACGGCTGGAACAGCCCCCAACAATGCAACTCAAGCCACTCGCGCCTGCTCGGCTTCTTCTCGACTCTGCCGCCTATCTGGCGGCTGCTTCAGTGCTTTCGCCGGTACCGCGACACCCGCAACGTCTTTCCCCATTTAGTCAACGGCGGCAAGTACACAATGACCATCCTGAGCTACGTCATGCTCAGCTTGTACCGCATTCAAGAGTCGCACACCAACCTCGCCCTGTTCATCACGTTCTCCACCATCAACAGCTTCTACACGTCGTTCTGGGATCTGTTTATGGATTTCTCCCTCGTTCAGGTCGACTCCCGCCACTTCATGCTCCGCGACATTCTGGCCCTCAAGCGCCGCTGGATCTACTATGTCATTATGGTCCTCGATCCCCTGCTTCGGTTCTCCTGGATCTTCTACGCCATCTTCACGCACGACGCGCAGCACAACACCATCTGCTCGTTTTTCGTGTCTTTTGGCGAGGTCGCCCGCCGTGGCATGTGGGCCCTGATTCGCGTCGAGAACGAACACTGCGCCAACGTCGCCCAATACAAAGCCTCTCGCGACGTGCCTCTCCCCTACCACCTGCATGAGCTTGACTCCGCCCTCGACCTGGCGCGCCATCCGCTGCTGCAAGATGTCGATGCCGACAACGACGATGACGACGACAAGGAGGACGAAGGGCAAACCACGCCCGGCGGCACGGTGCGCCGGACAGACACTGCCGCGCCGGGTCTGCAAGGTACGTCACCGGCGGCCGGCAGCGCCAGTATTCGGTCAAGCAAGCAAAAGCACCGGGAACGTCCCAGCCCGCAGCCGACGCCTGGCACTGCTGGAACGGCTGTCTCGACGGCCGCTTGGCCCGACATTGAGGAGGAGCACGGGCCGACCAATGCTGCCGCTGCCGCCGAAGAGGGCACGGCCGGTGCCGGTGCTGGTGAAGGGGCCGCCACAGGTACTTCGACGGGTGTCGCTGTCGGCGGTGGCAGTCCGTCGCACCCGGCTGCTGCACCCGGCAGCAGCGACTTTGGCACCCTCCGCCGCCGGTTCACGAGCACGCTGGGCAAGTCCATTGGTGTAATCATGGCCGAGGCCCATAAGCAGGACTTTGAGAAGAAGCGCAGACCTGGCGCGCTCGACGGCCAGCCTGTACCAATGGATGACCTGCCGAGCAGCGACGAAGACGACGATGACCAGGATATTCCCGGCGGTGACGGCGATGGCGAAGGCCATAACGACGACGGCGATGGCGGTATCGAGGACATGGCCGACTATGACGTGGGCGTGTACCGTGACCACGATGAACATGGCCATCCGGACGCTCAGGAGCCGACACAAACAGCGACGCCTCCATCACAAGCACAGCAGGCTGCTGCGGACGACCGCACGCAAAATGGACGCAGCCAGGGACGCAGTCGCGGGCCCAGCCACGGTCGTGGCGGCCGCAGCGGTGGTGGGTCGTCAAGCTTGAAGCGCGGATCGCCGAAGACGTAGTGGGCTCCAATAGAGATGCAGTAATGGACTGCTTACTTCGGGTTTTGTTTTGTTGTTTTCCTGGCGTCCTTTGTTTGGTATCCTTTGTCCATCCCTTCAATTCTCAGCATACTCTGATTTCACCTTGCGAATTATTGTATAACCAATAGACAGGGGATGGAGAGACGCAATTAGCATCCATCGGGGAAAGGAAAAGACGGCGTTCTACATATAATCTATTTTATTTCATTACTTGCTACGGCTTCCTTCCTACTCTGCAATAAATGTCGTCCCTTAGACGGACAACACGATGAGTCCCGTGGAGAGCGCCGGAATGCGTTGCGTCGACAAGTTGTTGCCCGCAAACGACCATTCTAGCTGGTCGCCACCCCACACGACGGCCTCAATGTGCGTGTAGGACCGATTGGCGGCGGGCCACAGACTCGGGGGAATGGGGACAGTAAGAGGTGGCGTGCTGCTGTTGGCCGGGGCCGCCCCGTAGTCTTCGTACGCGGCGTTGACCACGGACACGAGCAAATGGTCGCCGCGGCGCCAGCAAGCAATATCCACGTTGGGGTGGTCGGTGGCGGCTGGGAGTCGCGTCGGGCGTGCGTTGCCGACGATAAAGTCCACAACGGGCGACCGCGTAAGGACCTGGGCCAGCGTGCCGTGGGCAGCAGGCAAGACGCTGCCGGCGGCCGTCGTGTTGGCCTGCACCGGGTACACCCATGCAATCAAGCCCTGCGCGCCGTGGTTGACCGCCACAAGGCTCATGGCCCACGCTTCGGCCGGCGTCGGGTCGCGTGCCCAGTAGCTCTCGCCGTGGAAGCTCTGGGGGTTGTGGATCTTGGTCTTGGGCCACGGCGAGCCCTGCTGCGGTCCGCTCCACGCCTCGTACCGTGCCAGATCGTCGAGCCGGTCGGCCACGTCGCGGATGCCGTAGTCGCCGCCCCGGCAGTTGTCACACCCACAGTCGCCCAGCGTCGAGTTGCACACGGTGCCCCATTTGCTGACGCCGGTCGTGTTGATGCCGATGGGGTAGACGTCCTCCATGAGCACGTCGGCGCCGGCAGCGTATTCGGCAAAGTAGTAATTCTGGCAGTTGAGCACTACAGCCACCGGGTGGTAGGGGTCGAGACGGCGGATGGTATCGCGGGCTTGCACAGGGGCCTGGAACGGGTCTTGGTGCCCATCAGGCTCATCGGCGCTCCAGTACGAGAAGAGAGCGGCATTGTCGCGGGCGGCCGTGACTTGTTCAGCCACCCAGGACTGGTTGGTGTAGCCTTCGCGGAGATCGAACTGGATGCCTAGACCGGTGTGGTCGGCCATGTAAGCAAACGCAGCAGCGGACTGCGGGTACTGCGTCAAGGGCGTCATGGCGTTGAGGCCAAAGGCGGCATAGGGGTCAATAGTGGCTGCGGCAGAGGCATTGTCGGTGGCGCCCGTCAGGAAGCCGTCGTAGGAGGCGTAGTACCCATAGGGAAAGTAAGGACGGAACCCGGCACTGTCGCTGGTGTTACCGGTGCTTTGTCCGCGGGCCCCACGGAACATGAACCCGCCATAGGCATTGTCGAGGCGGCTGACGCTCCCTGTGGTGTTGTCCGGCAGGTAGAAAAGGTTGCTGCTCTTGGCGACGTAGGTCACGTTGGAGCTGCCGTTCGGGCTGGCCACCCAGCCCGTGAGGGTCACATTTTGAGGTGCGAAGCTCGTGTTGAGCGGTCCGCCGCCCAGGGACGCGGAGGCTGCCGTCAGGTTGAATGGCACGATTGTGTCCTGCGTGGTGACACCGCTAAAGTTGAAACGGACTGCGCCGCGCACGAGGACGTTGCTGGCTTTGATGCTGTTGGTGCCTGTGGTGTCGCTGTCGCTGTCTTCTTGGCTGTCGAGCGAGATGGTGAAATTGAGCAGCCGGTTTGCATCGACGCCGGTGCCGTCGGACGACGGTGCAGACGGCAGCTCCAGACCAAAGTACGGTGACAGCGTGGTCCGCACAACGAATTCACCTTGGGCCTCGCTGTCCAGGTAGAGGCTGTACCGTGGTGTCACCTGGACGTAGAGAAAGGGCCCGTCCGGACTCCGGGGCGGCTCGACTGTCTGGCCACCAGGATTGAAGCTTGGGTATCTGCTATGGTGTTAGTCGACATGAAATTTCATGAACTCTATGAGACAAAAGGTAAACGACTGGACCTACCCCGACTCATACACTTTGCCGCACCATCGCGGCCAGTCCGGGTGGTTGCCAGTTTGCTGGCCGGCGACTGTCGAAGCAGCCGTTAGAAGACAGAGGCGCCGCAGAAACATTGTGGGCAAAGGTGGTCGTCGCGATAATGGTGATGTTGCGGGACTCAAGTCATTCGAGTCGAAAAGGGGGAAGAATGACGAGATTGACTAGAATGGAAAGTCCGTCCAGTCCGCAACTTCCCAAGATGAATGGAGTGTTCCGGTTATATATTAAGGTAGGCAAGTGCATATGGGGAAACAATGCGTAACTCACAAATGCGGAAGGGACGGCCCCGTTCCTGTGTTGCCAGTATTTATGCGGCTGCAGCAGAACGAAGCACAAATTACGTCGTCCATCGCTCCTTCCCATAGAATGCAAGGGAGGACGACAGCAACACGCTCTTTACATCCCAACCACAGAAATAGAGCAAGTGCACGTGTTTCGAGTCGCGGAAAGTGCCGTGTTGGTTCTGCCTTGTTGATCCTCTTATTTTCTATCTTTGGCAGCATCTTCTTCACCCTTGCACGGACTTCGGGTCGCCCTTACACACAACATCGAGTAAGGCAAATAGAGCAGCAATCCTCGCTACTCTCTTCGCCTTGATTCGCTCAGAGCGGCGAGGACCGACAGGCGCAGGCGGCGGCGGACCGAAGGCGTCTCGGGGCAGCAAAGGGAGTCGCTGGCCGAGAAGAGCGCGCAGTTCTTGTCGAGGCTTATATTGAGGGAGTCGGGGCTTGAAGTGCACTTTCTTTATCCTTGTGTCTTTCTTCTTCGTTTTGTCTGTTTCTTTTTTGCCGTCTTTGTTGTCGATCTTGGAGACTTGGGTCTCCTTCACCTGGCCTCTCTTTGCGAGCGAGACCTCGACCCTGGATGATGACTTGCGCTGATTGGAAACGTTCATGGCGCGAAAGGTTTTACTTTATGTCTAGACTTTATGTCTAGATTCTGCTTCTGAATGGATTCGTACGGTATACCGATAGTTTCGTGGCTGACGCGGAGGCGTAGAATGCGATGTAGAGCTGACTTAAATATCGTGGTCAGACACAGCTTCAAGTGTCCAAATCCGTCTGGGCGTGTCACGAGACGAAGAAAACAGTGTTTTTAGGCCATGGCTGCAAAGGGATGTCCAAACTACAATGAGAAGGGGCCAACAACAAAGGGTTAAAGGGGCTACAAAACAAAAGGTGCCTAGTCGCGTGGACAAAGAAAATTGTAGTCTGAAGGAGTGCGCAAAGTGTGGCAGAACTGACATTATCTCTCTCACAGCGTATGGCACTCCTGAGATAGCAGTTCATTACCTCTGTGAATATTTTATGACGTTGTGCCTTCATTTCTCATTATTTATGGTGGTGCTCAGGATAGACTTCGTTCATCCATTGCACTCTTTTTCTTCTTCTTTCAGGGTCCGGTCTCTTGTTTACTTGACAAGGGCTCACCATATAGAACCAAAGGGCAGTGAAAGCAGACATGGACAGTCAAGAGCCAAAGAAAAACAAAAAGACACAAAGACATGATAAACAAAAGACCTTTGTAGCCGAGGGGTCTCCTCTGTTGAACATCAAATCTTGTACACGGAATCAGCGAACCGCTCGCCATGGAACAATTTAAAAGAACGCTGATGCCCATGAAAATAAACACGGACAGTTGTACCAATCGTATTTCTTATCGTTTCTTCATCTCTCGGCGTCTTTTACTGTTATTTTCACGCAACCTGGAGTTGCCTTCCACTCTTTTGATAATCACGGTTCATTTTTGCTATTTTTACTTTACTTTGTTTTGTCCTACTCACATAAACCAACCCACGATGCATTCAGCCCTCTCAACAGCCAACAACCCACGCTTCCCAATGGGTCCGCCTCCCAAGCCATCGTCGACGGCATGCCGCATTGCCCGTGGAGCGGTCTACTGCGACAAGGATTTCTGGCACCGGTCGGTGGCGTGGTTCCTGGACCAGAAGGAAAAGCTGGGCACACAACAAGACAAGCAGCCACAGGAACACTTGGTCAAGCCAAAGAAAACACCGCGCTGGGCCTCGACGGCGCCTCCGACGCGGGTCCAGCCGGCCCGTGCGGCCAAGGGCAAGGGCAAGCGATATGCGGAGGACATGGAAAGCGATGGCCAGAGCGTGGCCACAGCGGTGAGCAAAAAGGCCAAGACGGTCAAGGTGAGCACTCTGAGACCAGCACCCATAGCCAAAGCCAAATCCACAGCCACGCCCTCCTCCGACTATGTGCTCGACCCGGCCTGGGCGACGGCGTCGCTGTCGACCTTTCAAGCGGCCCTGGACACGCTGCTCGAAGGCAAGCGGGCCACGCTGGGCCGGTCGCGGTTCTGGTCGACGTGTCTGTCGACGTCGACATCGACGACGGCGGAGGCACTGGACAGCCAGTGGTGTCCAATTGTGGCGCTGCCGCTGGCCTGTACGGAGCGTCAGTTTTGCGCACACGGTACGTGCAACCCGCCTCTGTCTTTGCGGTCGCTGCCGTCATTGTCTTCGTTGTCATCATCGTCGTCGTCGTCGTCGTCATCGTCTTTGGCTGCCAAGGCCACGTCGCTTGCCCCTGTGGCCGTCATGTCTCCCGTCACGCCCCTCACGACGCCCTGGGACACACCCCCGGTCACGCCGCCGGCCGACTCTGTCCGGTTCCAGGCGAAGCCGTTTGCGGAGCTGCGGCACGTCCAGGAGCGGACGGTGGCGGTGGCGGGGCTGCGGTTTGCGGTGGACATGTGCAACGGCATGCTGCGGGTGCACATGGTCTAGGTGGGTGAGAGTAGGTGTAAATATGTAGACGTGTAATTGGCTGGGAAAGCCCTTAAATAGGAATGTTTCTGAAAGGTTTCGCTATAGTTAAATGCGAAAATCATTTGGCCAATCAAGCTTGTCCCAGAGAACCCATTTATCCTCCTCGTTTCCTGTCTACCAACGCCCATACGCCCTTCACTTCTTCTCCTTCTTCTCCGTCTCAAAGTCGGCCACCGACACCAGACGGCCCACGACCAGGTACTTGCCGTCAAAGCGCTCCTCCCAGCCCTGCAGGGCATCCAGCTGCTCGGCCGTGAGGTCGTCCAGCGGGTCCAGCGGCCCGTCGAGGTCCTTGGTCAGCATGGACTCGTCAAACGAGTGCGACGCCAGGCCGCGGCTCGCATCGCGGCCGGCAAAGTTTTCGTAGGGCCCGCCGGGGCCATAGAAGTTGCGGCCGGACGAGACGTCAAAGACGCGGCCACGGACGGCCAAAAACACGGGGCGACCGTCCTGGCCGTCAAAGGGCCGGAGGGTGTGGGGGGTGTAGGTGCGGAAGACGGTGGCCGGCGGGTCTTTGGGGAACGACGGCGGCGGCGTCGGGCGGAGGATGCTGTAGAGAGTGTAGAGGACGACGGCGGCGAGGAGGGCGTTGAGGGGAGTGACGAGGGTGGCCCTGGGCGTCTGTTAGCGCTGTCGTCTCGGTTCTGCGTTCCTGTCTGCCGCCTCATCATTGTCCGATGCTTACACGGCAGAGGCGACGTCGGCCTTTTGAGCCTCTTGGGCCATGCGCTGCTCCACGTAGTCCATGATGGATGTGGATGTGGATGCGGTTGTCAGAGGATGGCGTGGCTCGTCAGTCAAAGATTGATCAATCTGTAGATTGTCGGTGGAACGATGAAAGCCGGACGTTGACGTGGGGAGTGGTAAGTCGTCGGAAGAGGGGAGGCAGAAGTGACGGAATCTGCGGGACGCAATTATCCGCACCTGTATTAGGCAAAGGTAATTACAGGTCGGAGCTCGATTGTGTTTCGGCTGCGACAGCGTTGCATGGCCCTGACTACGGGTGTGCCGAGCCCTGTATTTTAATCAGTGGTGTCAGGATGCGTTCGGTTGGTGTATTATGTCAGCATCGGAGTCGGGCAGGCAAGTCAACCAACAGAACATTCAATACGACTCCAAACTCGAAATCAAAAGAAATGCCACCATTCAGCCACGCAAGCTGAATATGTTCTCGTAAAGATGTCATTGTCGTATATTGGGATTGCCTATTGAGTCTACAAACAGGAACGCCGCCACTCATCATGCGCACCGAGCATCGTTGCCGTCTCTTATACTCTCTTTCTTGATCGGTGCTCCCCAGTCTCTGTTGTCTCTGCTGCCTCTGGCTTGGTCTCTGCTGCCGGCGGAACTTTCCTTGGTTCTCCATAGGCGACATACTTGGTGTGGCTGCCCCTGGCGACCACAGGGCCTCGTGTCTTTGCGACGGCGTAGGGGTCGACCTTCTTGTGATCGCCGTCTTGGCTGCCGTCGTGGCTGTCGTCGCCGTTGGACGGCAACGGCGGCAGCTTTCGACGCCGAATCTCGACCGACGTGTACGCCAGCGTCCCGCCCACGCGCTGCACCCACGCCTCAATCTCCAGCTCGTCGCCCACCCGCGCGGCCGCCACATAGCTAATGTGAATGTCGACGCTCACGCCCGTCTGGCTGCGCCCCGTCGCCGCCGCAATGGCCATGCCGCCGGCCCAGTCGACGAGGGCGGCCGACACGGCGCCGTGCAGGATGTTCTTGGAGTTAACATGAATTCCGCCCACAGGGAGGCGGGCGAGTATGCGGCCGCCGCTCGACGACTCGCTGCCGACGTCTTCACGGCGGGCGTCTGCGATGCGGATACCAGCGAAGAAGAGGCTGTAGATGGGGGAGCTGGGCAGGATGCTGGCCCAGTGGGCACGGACGTGCGTGAGGGTGGCGGCAGGGTCCATTGGTGTGTGGTGAAAAGGGTGTCGCGTGAGATGGGAGGTGCGTAGAAAAGGGCCATGTACGAATTACTGTGGCCGCATTTTAGGCGTAATTTTGTCGACTTTTCGGCCCAATTAATGCCACGACCCCATACTATGCGAGACTGGAGACGCACCTCCAAACCACGCAACGAAGATCACAGTGCAAAGCCGCCCAGATTGTAGAGGTTCAATGTTTTTTACTGGGATTATATACAACATAAATACAAACAGAAATGCAGACATAAACACAAACAGAAATACAATAACCAGATGTCTGTCGATCATTCACTCGGCATCCAATACATCAATGTATCCAATCAAAAACGCCGTTCGTGTCGTTCGTGTATCCAGTCATGGGAGTCCACTGCTTTTTGCTTGTATTGGCCTATCCCTCTCCCCTCTCCCCTCTCCCCTCTCCTCCCCGATAGCTACTCCCCCTTCTTGGCCTTCTTCAGACCGTCGGTGCCGTGCAGCCAGTCCATGACGCCGAGGGAGCCGTAGTTGAGATTGAACTTTTCGTGGTGGGCGTCGTGCATCTTGGCGGCGCCGTCAAAGAAGTCGTAGCCGCTGTGGACGGTGGCGGTCTCGACCAGCATGAAGGCGACAAAGGCCCAGTAGGTGAGGACGTGCGCGTGCAGGAGGAGCGGGGGCAGGCCGATGGGCAGCATGTTGGCGACGAGGTGCTCGACGGGGTGGGCGTACTGGGCGGCGAGGGCGACGGGCGCGATGAACTTGTGGTGCTGCTTGTGGATGGCGCGGTAGAAGCGCGGCTGGTGCAGCAGGCGGTGGGCGTAGTAGAAGAGGATCTCGCGCAGGACGGTGGACACGAGCATGTCGCGCGCAAACTCGGCGAGCGACGGCAGCGCGGCCTCGATGCGCAGGCCCAGGAGCTTGCTGGCGTGGTCGGCGGGGTCGCCCGCCAGCAGGGAGAGGCCGGCGCTGAGGGCGAAGGAGAAGACGTTGTTCTGCAGGACGACGTAGGCGCAGTGCCGGATGTCGGCGGCGGTCGGCTGCTTGGGCGCGGGCTGGATCTTGTGGCGCTCGGAGAAGGCGGGCGCGAGCCACGGGAGGGCCGTGTAGATGGCGGACGTGACCCAGAACGACAGGAACTGGACGACCACGAGGCCGACAAGCTCGACGCGGCGCGCGCCATAGGTGGCGAGAGTCCGGGCCCAGAGGCTGGACGCGTTGTAGACGAGCGTATCAAACATGGTGAACTTGAAGGGGTGAAGACGTGCAGACGTGCAGTCGTGACGAATGGACGTAAAGACGTGAAGACGTGAAGCCGTGAAGACGTAGACTTGTGTCGTTCAGCTACGATTCAGGTTGTGGACCGCAGAAACCATGGGACCTGGGGAGTGGTAACGCAGAGAGTGCGAGCGTGGAAGCTTTTTAGTGTCGAGAGAAGTCACGGGCTGCCTCGGTCTAGTGATGTCCACTAGAAGAGAAGAGGGGGTTTTACAAAAGACATACAGATTCACACCCTCAGCTAGAACAGCCAGAGGATTAATTACTCCGCAAATCCTCGTTGGGGCTCTGCCTTCCCTACATCCTAGTTCAATGGATATCGAAAGTACGACATACGGAGTAAGTAATTACGACTTGCGATGACCAGCCAGGAACCACAAGTGGCCAGGCCAGGCCAATGGCGTGTTGTGGGGTAATTCCGGGGCATGCAGGAGATGTTCCGAGACCATTAATTACTCCGCGGAGCAAATTGAGCTGATGCTGGCCCAGCCGTGTAGTACTGCAAAGGACAGTTCGGTCTATTTACGTTACGCGCGCGGCATTTGGACCGTTGACGGTTGGGGCGTATTACCACAACAGTATTACTAAAAGAGTATTACTGAAAACGGAATTCTCAGTTCGAGACACGACGTCCAATCAATACAGTCCACGACCACCCTGGCCATGTCCAACGAAGCTGAGACAGCACGGAGAGAGCGGCAGCGTCTATTGACGGAAAAGAGCGACGTGGAAGAGTGACGAGCGACGGGGAAGATGGGAACTGAATAGAAACCGTGAATAAGACAGAGGAGGTTGTGTTACTTGAAAGGCCTGTTGGTACAGAATACCGGCACAAGCACAACCACAAGCACAGCATGGCGAGGCCTGTGTGTCAGTGGTTGCCAGCCTGTGGCCCATTCGCCTACAGTGCACAATAGCGGCAGTGGGTGCTGTAAGCGCTGGCCAAGGAAGCAAGACAAAGTGCCCTCTCCTCTCGTCATGATGAGAGCGCAATAAACTCTCCTTCTCTTCTCTCCTCGATCCTGACTCCCTCATCGTCTCTTTTTCTTTCTGTCTCTTTCTGTCTATCCCTCTCTTTAGTCTTCTTGTGTCGTGCCTAACCTCTCACCGCCAAACCAACCCCCCCCCTCTCCACCAATCAACTCGCCGCCACTTACACCCCACTTCGCAAAAGACGGTGCTGGTGACTTACTCCGCATCCCCGTCGCCGGCGCATGACCACAAACAGTAAAACAGTGAGCGTCGCATTGTCACGCCCGCTCGAAGCAAACACAGACTTTGACGCTCTATTTTTACAACAAAATTCACACAGACGTAGAGGCAGCATACGCAGCACAGTCGCCTCATCATGGCCCTCTGGCGGTATGCTCTCGGCCTGCTGTGCCTCCTGCAGGCCGTGCCGGTCACAGCGCAGTCGGATCCGTCGCACATTGCCTTTGGCGACGGCTTGAACATGCGCCACCCACTTTCTTCGCTCCACACGCTCCACACGCTCCACACGCTTTACCCGCTCGCCGCCGTCCGCAGTGTCGGTGCTAACAGCACCGCGCCCGGCGCGCCCGGCTCGGTCTGCACCGCCGAAGGCGAGTGGAACTGCCTCACCACCTGCTGGCAGCGATGCGCCTCGGGCCAGTGGTCCGACTCCATGGCCCTGGCGCCCGGGACGGTGTGCACGCCGGCGGGGCTGTCGTACGAGATGGCGGTGGTCGGCTCGCGTCGCAGCACAGGCGACACAAGCGACACAAGCGACCGCACGAGCGAGACCACCGCCGGCGCCCTCGCAACCATCCTCGCAGCCACCACTGGCCTCTGCCAATGCACAGTCGCCGGCTGCTCTGCAACATCGCCATCCACCTCTGTTGCCGCAACAACATCACCCGCAACGACGATGACGACGACGACATCCAGTCAGGAGACGCCGACGGGCGGCGAGTTTGTGAGCGGGTCGTCGTCGGCTGCGACCCAACAGCCGACGAGTGCAGTGACGGTTGTCCTGGGTGTGAGCCTGCTGGCCGTTGTTTTTGCCCGTCTCTTGATGTGAGGAGAACGACCTGGGATGCAAGGCGAGGGAAAGGACTTTGATACCATTATGATTATGACTGAACTGTTATGAGGAAGGCGTTTGCGGCACGACATATTTGCATTTATGACTTGGACTTTTATTCAAAATATGAAAATCAATTTCAGACGTTATGTTCTCAATGAGGAACGACGAAAACAAAATAAAGAATAATCTGAAAGGTAAAATATACCTTTAACTGGTGAATGTAAGCAAAGGAAAATACACAAAGATGAAAAAAGAAAAGAAAAAAAAAAAAAAAAGAAATAAAGCGACAAAAAAAACCACAAAAAGGAGGGCTCCACCGGGGATCGAACCCGGGACCTCGTGCAGTTGCTTGCGTAGTAGCCCAAAGCACGAATCGTACCACTAGACCATGGAGCCGACTCGGATGGCAGAATGCGCTAGTAGCCAAGCTTATATAGGAGAGTGGCTTGTCGCGAGAGAGCTCAACCGTCCTCGGTCACTATTGATTCGCATTCATCTCTTGCGCCCCTTGCCATTCAAAATATTTAATTTATATAAATCACTGGCAGCTGGCTTCATTCATAATGTGATGTAAGCATGCTCATCTGCCCAGTTCGACTGCCCCTACGCGTAGGCATTGTCGCCGACCGTACCATCGGCCGCCACCGCCGCCGCCGCCTTCTTCTTCGCCAGAGCCTCCTTTTCCACTGCCCGCTTCGCTTTCGTGGCCGCGGCCACACGGTCCACGCGCGCCTCCACCTCGGCCGGCGGCAGTGCCGCAAACCCGTGCGCCTGCCGCAGCGCCACCACCGAGTCAATGTCGTACGCCCGCTTCTGCCGGTTGAAGTCGAGGTACATGAACGTGTGCACGCCGCCAGCGTACCGCTTGAACGTCACCTGCCCGCCGGCCGCCACCACGGCCTGCCCAAACGCCTCGCCCTCGTCGCGCAGGCTGTCCAGTTCGCCCGTGCGGATGTACGCGGGCGCCAGGCCCTGCAGCTGCGCGCGGGTCGCGTCCAGCGGGGCGAGCCACGCCCGCGGCCAGAGTCGGACGATGGCGTCTTTCCGCTTCTGGCGGATCGTGGCCTTGTCGTCCTTGTCCTCCTTGTCTGCAGACACAGCAATGCCCGCCACGTCGTCCGGCACCGATTCGAGGCACACGTCGGCAAAGTACTGGACGCGCGCCCACGGCAGAATGGGCGACCGGTGGAACTCGTGGAAGGACGCGTGCCGGGCGTCGGTGTAGAACTGGTAAAAGAGGCTGCCGGCCGTCGGCGGCACCGTCGGCATCACGAGCCGCAGCGGCACGCCGGCGTCGCGCGCCCGCAGCTGCATCACAATGGAAATGTGCGCGCCCGCCGAGATGCCGCCCAGCGAGACCGAGTCGGGGTCGATGTTGAGCAGCGAAGCCGATGCGCGGGTCTGTCATGCAAGGGGTGGGCAGGAACGGTCAGCAGAGGGCGTAAAGAACGCAAATCGCACAATCCACAAAAGAAGGAGGGAAGAGGGAAGAGGAACGGGGAAAACGCACCCACAGCAACGCCGCCCAGGCGTCTTCAAAGGCCTTGCCAAAGAGCGTCTCCGGGCAGTGCCGGTAGTTGACGTCCACCACCACCACGCCCGCCTCCCGCATGCTCAGACACAGCTGCGCCTCCGTGTGCAGATCTCCGAGCACAAACCCGCCGCCGTGGAAATTGAGGTGCGCCGGGTAGGGCCCGGGGCCGTGGTCCGTCGGATCAGGGTGGTACACGCGTACAGGGAACGCGGCGCCGTCCTTTTCCGACGTCAAGGTGTAGTCCGTGACGCGCGGGAACGACCCATCGCCCGTGTCAATCGCAATCAGGTTGCGGAACTCCTCCGGGTGCGACCGGATGTACTCTATGCTGACCGGCCGCGTCGACGCCTTCGCGACAATCTCGCGGAGATAGTAGGCGACCACATCCTTGTCGAGCCGGGGCAGAATGTGTGCCTCAATGTGCTTGGCAGGGTCGAGCGGCTCGTCGGTGGCGGCAGTGTCGGCCTTGGCGACCGTGGTAGCTGTTTGTTCGGATGCCATGCTGAGTAGGTTTTCGGGAATGCAAAGCTCACGTCAAACTCGCACAATACAGCGTGACTTTAAGAGCTTGGCGAATTGGAGAAATTCGTAACAACTTTCGTAGGCGGGAGACCTGCCGTGTACATGTGCCGGACTTTTGCTCAAACCCCTCTCATGTAGCCGGTCTCTGAGCCTCCTACTGTGTACACTGATCGCCAATCTCGACGATCTCGGTCTCGGATCATCAAAGGCTCTGCGCGGATGTGAGCCCTAGCATCCTATCTTTATCCATGCCCGGCTTGCGTCCAGATTACCCCAGCAAACCGTCCCTACTTACTCCGTACGAAGTACAACGTTCTCCCGAGACCTCTAATAATCGCGGCACTTGCATTGCGCCATACTGCGGGTCCTGGATCCTAGCTTGGACGACATAATTGTTCCGAATAGCGGCACGGAATAAGTCCGCCACTGAAAGGAGGCGCACTTGATCCCAAACAGTTGTGCGCTTGAACAACTGAATCATGTCGAGACGATGGGATGGATATGACGGGCTGTCTTAATCGCTTGGAGATCGGAGATCTAGAAGAACAAGATCAAATATCATATGAATTAATTTTATGGCGGGTGCAGAATAGTCGCTAAATGGAACACGTTAGGATACGACATAGGAAAGAAAATGTTTTGAATGCCAGAGAAAACGGACAAAAAAGTAAAAGTTCAAGATAGAACAATCGCCACATCATTTGTATCATGTAATAAAAACATCCTTGTTGAGGGGCACACCTCACACGCCGGCCCCTACTGCTTCTTTTTCTCGCTCTCGGCCGCCGCGGCCCGTTCCTTGCGCCTCCGCAGCCATGCGCGCAGCTCGTTCAGCAGGCCCATCACCAGCGGCACGCCCACGGGGCCCAGCAGCGGCAGGTAGACGGCCACCTTGTGCTCGTCGGGGAAGTACAGCTGGCCCACCATGCTCTTTTCGAAAAACGCCTTCTCCGCCTCGGCCTCGGCAATGCGCGCGTGCGCCAGGCCCTCCGGCCCGCCCAGCGCGTTGCACGCCTGCTGCAGGTGCCACATGGTGCTCTCCACGCCCTCGGCCACGCTCGACGGGATGGCAATGTTGCGCAGCGCCAGCGACAGGCGCGCCAGGCTGCCGAGCGTCGACGACGCGCGCAGCAGCAGGTCGGCCGACCGGATGCGGCTCAGCGTCGACAGCCGCAGCGGCAGGCTGCCCGACTGCGGCGTGCCGAGAAGCGACAGCAGGTGCGACGTGAACATGAGCGTCGGCTCGCGCAGGTCGTCCCGGGAGACGTGTGCGCTGCCGTCCTGCCCGGCCGGCAACAGGTAGACAGCGCCCCACTGCGGGATCAGCCACGACTGCGATGTCGTCCCTGCGGTGGCAGCAGCGGCGGCGGCAGCCTCGCTGTCGTCCGTCTCGCCGTCTTGGTGGTGCGTCTCGGCGGGCGCCGCCGCCGTGCTGATCGTCTGGTTGCCTGCAAACACAATAAAGTTGATCGTCGGCGCGCCGCCAATCGACGGCGACAGCGGCCACTCGGCCGCGTTGATAAACGACGACAGGTCCTGCTTGCTCAGCACCGGCGACTGCACACCGGGCGCCGCGTACAGCTGCACCTGCGTGTCCATGGTGAAGTTGTGGATCGGCCGCAGCACGTCCAGGATCGGCTGCATGTACTCGCGAATCGCCGCCTCAATGTCCCAGCTGCTCGGCGCCGCCCCGCCCGCAAACAGCGAAAACGTCAGGTGGTACGTCGGCGCGTACTTGAGCGACCGCATCGTGCGCCGCGACAACGCCTCCGCCACCTCTGGCGCCAGGCTGCGCGGCGGCCGCTGCAGCTCGGCCGGCGACGCCGACGACGACGACGACGACGATGACGACGATGACGACGATGACGTCGACAACAGGTACGAGATCACGGCCTGCTCCTCGGCAAACGTCGACCGCAGTTGCGTCGCCACAAACGTGGCCAGCGCCGATGTGGACGAGCTCAGCGACGGGATCGAGTTGGGCGGGTACGTCACGTCGAGGATCGCCTGCGACGGGTGCAGGGACGCCGTCGACGCGTCGCCCGGCGTCAGCCGGATCGTCAGGGCCACGTCGCCCTCGTGCGGCGTGCCGCTGCCGCTGCCGCTGCCGTTGCCGCCGCTCGCCGACCACGACGACACCGTGACTGCACTACCACCATCGCCGTTACTGCTGCCAGCGCTGCCTGCGCCGGCAGCGCTGCTGCTGGTGCTGCTAGTGCTGCTAGTGCTACCACCGGTGCTGCTCAGGCTGCTGCTGTCGGCATCGCCCTCGCTCGTCTGGCTGTTCGGCGACAGCTCCAGACGCAGGTGGTGGCCCGAAAAGTCGTTGAGGTCGTCGAGCGCGTGCTGCGTCAGGCGCAGCAAGTGGTTCGCTTCGGCCTCCTGGAGGGAGCTGGCCTGGATCGAGATGCGAAGGGGGAAGACGGGACGGCACGCCTGGATCCGGAAATTGTCAGCAATTAGTCGTCTTGGAGGAACAGCCACGGGTTGGCACAGTCAGCGTCCCACCTTTCCGTCGGCCCATTCCATCATGTCGTCGAGCGGCAGGTTCGCCCGGTAGATCGTCGTCGTGTACCACCATATTGGTAGCCCAAGCAGTGCCACGATGAGCCAGAAGGAAAGGATCACGGCGCCTCGCCTCCGAATGTCGCTCGGCTTCTCTGGCGGAGGCTGCTTCTGTTCTGCGGGGCCTGTCGGCGACAAAGGCGTGGCAGTGCCGTCTAAGGGTGCCGAGGGCAATACCGATGCAGACGTAGACGTAGTTGTGGTTGTTGTTGTTGACGTTGATGTTGCTGTTGCTGTCGTCAGGCCATCACTTTCCGGCGCAGCCACCGCGGCAACGGCAGACTTGCGAGGCGCCATAACGGTATGAGCACCTGGAAACCGGTGTCTGTATACGGCGAGAGGGCGTGTCGTAGGATGCACGTTGGAGCGAGCGCGGTGTGGGGGGCAGCTTTCGTCTATTGAGCAAACCACGCCGCCACGTTCAGACGTTCACAAAGACGCCAAAAAGAACAGTTCACGTCGCGAATGCGCTCAGGGGAAGAGCTGCTGGGGACCACGTTATTCCAAAAATAGACTAGCGCAATAGGCGATAAGCGATAAGAAGCTGACCGCAAAAAGGTGCTAATGACACTGTAAGATTACAACTTAGGCGCAGGACGCAGTATTAGTCGGCCCCGAGCAGGCTGTGAACAGTGCAGTACTTCTTACCAAGGCCATGGGACGCTGCATTCGCCAGTACCACGCCGCCTGTAATGGAAGATGCGTGCAAGGTTTAACCTAGAAGGAACGATCGGTATTAGCTCAATCCAAAACTGGAAAGAGCACATCACATGTAAAGGCAGGCAGGCGCGTTGGGCGTTCTCCGCTAGGAGCTCCGTGAGTCGCAGCTTCCTCTTTCTTTAAGTAGTCTTTTCAGTGTCCGTGCACGGGCTGTTTCCCCAAGCCGCTGCATCGGTGCGAATGCTGTTTACTTGTGCGCTTCCACTTTATTTTCGACGTCACCTCTTCTCCCCTGTTCCGCCGCATTTACCAGCGTCGTTTCCCTATTACTGCACCGTCTTGCGGGCCTCTGGGGCTCGCTCAAGCATCTTTGAACCGATCCTTACTCTTCACGATCTCAAACTCCACTCGGCTAGACAAAAACAGCAGCTAAGAGCCTTGAATTGCACCGTCTCGGCCGTCTTCTCAGTCTCAACAGGGAAATGCAGCGACTACGACGTGCAAAGTAGACCAACGAACACTACCAGGCCTATTAGCACCTTCACACCTTCCCCGCACTATTTGATCAGAAGAAAGGAAACGGGCCACCGCCCCAATCGGCTGGCCCCATGTCACAGGAGATGCCGAGGCTGCGCCTGTGCGAGACATCCAAACCCATCTGATTAATTCGTACTCCGTGCTAGCATCGAGAACCGCCAAACGGCCCAACGCCAGACTCGGAAACAGCTGCGAGCAGCCCCTAGTCGCCCAAACCACCCCCTTGGCTTGTGAAGAGCCTCTCGGTTCCTTCATATTGCCCGCGACTGGTCTTCGTTTTGCTCTCTAGACTCCTCTCTTGGTCCTACTCCATTTCCTATTCAGCAGTTTCTTTTCTTTTTCCTCTTCAGCGTTTTACGCCGGTTATTGTTTTCGTCGTCCGACTGCCAGTGTTTACGTTTGGCTGTTTCCGCCGCAATCAACTCAAGCTGGCATTCTGTGCGACGCCATTTTCTCGGTGCACATTGGACGGAATATACGCCAGCGCATAACGACACGGGCGCAGAGAGAAATCACCGTCGATTGCCGACCACCAAGACAAAATACCCAGCAGGGCTCCCAGGGAATAAAGAACTGTCAAAAAAAGACAAAAAAAAAAGACAAAAACAGAACGGCCGCTTGAGTGTTCCTGAGCCTCGAACTGCAAGACTGTTGCACCGATCTGCATTACGTCGTACTCACGAACCACGCCTTCTTTCCGCAACCGCTGCGGCAGCAATCTTTTGTCGAAGGTGCCACAAAAGCGTACACAAAGAGTGCCCGGCGCAAGTGGCCCCCTTCGCGTTTCTTTTTTTTCTTGAACCTGTTCGTTTCCCTTGCGAGGTCTGCCTCAGTCCCCCGGCGTCGTCCCAACCGCTAGAGAGCACGCCAAAGGCTACTGCCAAGCGGTATCCTGCCCCCCCCCCCCCCCCCCACCACGTTCCGGCTGTCCATTGACTTTCTGAACAGCTTCTTGAGCTGCGAGTCGAGTATCGCCTTCTCGTGCAAGAAACACAAGACGCCGCAAGAAACAAGTTACCAAGATGCCAGGTACGTGACAAGAAGAGGCGCGCATTATATGCCGTATATACTCAACCCGTCCCGTGTTCTCCGTCACCGGCTCACTGGCTCACTGGCTCACATGCTCTCTGCCTCACAGTCCCTCTAGCTGTGTCACTGCCGGCGGCTGCGGCCGGCCTGGCCTATCTCAATGCGCGGTCCTCCTTCTGGTATGATTGGATGCTCATAACGTCCGTCGCCCCTGCTCTCGTCACCATGGCACTGCGCGGGCGTAGTGGCAAGATGAATGTCTTTTACAAGCTCGAGGAGAACGCGAAATCGTCATCTACGGCCAACCACCCGTTCATTCTGTTTGGCGACAAATCGTATACGTACGCCGAGGTCTACGACAAGGCGCTGCGCTACGGCCACTGGTGGAAGCAGACCATGGGCGTCCAGAAGGACGACGTGGTCGCGCTGGGCTATATGAACTCGGACACGTTCATCTTCTTGTGGTTTGGTCTCTGGGCTATTGGCGCCAAGCCGGCCTTTATCAACTACAACCTGCGGGACCAGGCCTTGATCCACTGCATCAAAACGGCCAAGGCCAAGCTGATGCTGTTCGACCCGGACGTCGTCGAAGCGCTGACGCCCGAGTTGCGCGAGGCACTCCCCAACGTGCGCATCGAGGTCTTTTCGGCGCTTCTGCAGGGCCAAGCCGACGCCGCCGAGCCCAAGCGCTACCCCGACGAGGTGCGTTATGACGACAAGAAGGAAAACACTGCTATCCTCATCTTCACGTCTGGCACCACCGGCTTGCCCAAGGCCGCGGTCGTCTCGTGGGCCAAGATGTTTGCCACGAGCAATTTTGCCCGCGGCTGGATAGGCATCAAGAAGGACGAAATCTACTACACCTGCATGCCGCTGTACCACTCTTCTGCGTGTCTGTTTTGTCTCGGGCCCGTTCTCTTCTCTGGAACCACCATGGCACTTGGCCAGCGTTTCTCGAACAAGACGTTCTGGCCGGACGTGCGCAAGTTCAACGCGACTGCTATCCAGTACGTCGGCGAGACCTGCCGGTACCTGCTGGCGGCCCCGCCGCAAATCGACCCGGAGACGCAGGAGAACTTGGACGCGAAGCACAACGTGCGTGTGGCCCTCGGCAATGGTCTGCGACCGGACGTGTGGAACCGGTTTAAGACGCGCTTCGGCATCGAAGCGATCGCCGAGTTCTACGGCGCTACCGAGGGCACCTTCGCGACCTTTAACCTGTCGCGCAACGACTTCACCATGGGCGCCGTGGGACGCAACGGGTGGCTGTACGAGCTGGCTGTAGGAAATAACGTGGCGTTCGTCTCCATGGATTGGGCCGCGGAAGCGCCCATACGTGACCCCGCGACGGGCTTTTGCCGCCGCTGCAGTCGCGGCGAGCCGGGCGAGCTCATCTTCCGGCTGCCGGAAACGAACATTGAAGAGCGGTTCCAGGGCTACTATGGCAACAAAGCGGCCACGGAGTCCAAGATCATGCGCAGCGTCTTCCGCAAGGGCGACGCCTGGTTCCGCACGGGCGACGTCATGGTGCGCGACGACGAGGGCCGCACCTACTTCCACGACCGCATCGGCGACACCTTCCGCTGGAAGTCGGAGAACGTCTCGACGGCCGAGGTCGCGGCCGTCGTGGGCCTGCACCCGGATGTCGTCGAGGCCAATGTCTACGGCATTGCCGTGCCCAGCCACGACGGCCGCGCCGGCTGCGTCGCGCTCGTGCTGCGCGGCCCGCCAACGCCCGAGTTTCTGCAGAGCCTGGTGGCGCACATCGAAAAGGGTCTGCCGCGGTACGCCCAGCCGCTGTTCTTGCGGATCGTGGAGGACTCGTCCGCACACACGACGGGCACGAACAAGCAGCAGAAGCACGTGCTGCGCGAGCAGGGCGCGGAACCAGACAAGGTCGACGGCGATGCGGTGTTCTGGCTGCAGAACGGCAAGTATGTTCCCTTTGGCCGCAGTGACTGGAAGAGCCTCGAGGCTGGCCAGGTGAGGCTGTAGATTGTGTGTGGTTGTGTCGAAGTGGCGCAGTGCTATGCTATGGCTGTGAACCTACCCCGTTTCTCCCACTTTTATGTACTATTCGTCTTTATGTATATATGTTTATGTCGGTATTTTGTTACTGACCAACCTACTACATATGTGCTTCCCACTGTAATTAGTCTGGCAGTTATTTATTGGTATTTCGTCAATTCTGCCGCACGAAGTAACGACCTGTAATGACCTGTGAATTCTGGGAACCGGCATTTCGGCGATACCTAATACGGCCAAGTCAGTCGTGCCACCACCGGACCTGTACACTTTCTAGCCTCTCCATGTGGCATCCTGCCAGCCTTGGCGTCCCATACAAGTCAGATCAGCATTGAAGACTTTCCACGGCGAGTACCGCACAGTAAAACAGGCAGTCTACGATATACGACTCGGTTGGGCGAGAAGAATGACAACAACGGGAGGCTAACTTTGTGACTCTCGCGCTCCTGCAGTCCTGTTTCGGGCAGTGAGAGAGGTCGCCGACAGTCAGGCTCGGCGTTCTTGTATTTGGACAAGTTCATCTACGAAGCAAATGGCATGACCTTTTCGTCGTGTGATTTCCAAGCATCCTAGTTAGCTGTCAGGCAAGGAATGGTACGTATCTTACTTTGACGAGGGGCAACGAGGCAACGACCCAGCCGCAGGCCATGTGTGGTTCGTGGTCTGTGAAAAACAGAGACGACACAAAGGGAGCAAAGAGCCGTCTGGCAGCGTGTCGAGAGTATTGTGATGCCTTGCAAAGCCCCTTCTCCACTCTGCGCTTGGCAGCCGCCCCGACACCCGCGCCCACGAACGCAAAGGAGAATGCCGTCGCCGTGCTCGACTCGGTTTCCGTCCCCTGTCGTCTGGGCCGCACCTCTCAGGCGTCCCCAGGCCATTCGTGGTTGGGAAAGCCGCTGCCCAAATGACATAATTGCCCATGACACCAGCAGAGCAGACGTCGACAGCCAATCATGGAGCTGAGCGATTGCGCGATACACTGCTAGGCCGTAAGAGGGGCTAGTGCGGGGTTCAACAAGTGTCGCTGGAGCAAGATGGCGCAACCGTGAAGAATGAAGAGCGGAGAACCACGCAGAACAAACGACGTGAAATTTCACGCGTAGATAGAAAAAGAAGTCGTGGCGTCGTGGAGCTAAGCTCCGTCGTGTAAGTCGAGTGGCATCTGGCTGCGCAGCAACGCTCCTTCTCGGATCGGCGAGCAAACGTCAGCCTGGGAGGAAATTGGGAATGAAGGAGTTGCCCGGGAGTTCCTTCTGTTTTAAGATGCTGTACCAAAATAAAGCTGCGAATGTTTGTCTTGCAATAGGAAAGAAGACGCTCGTTCCTCGGCTGTGAAGCAGGAAGGAGCAACCGAATGATGCACAGGCAGGGCCAAAACGGATGAAGACGGGGGCACCAGAACGACCCAGGAACGCCCAAAAAGGCAAGACACAAGCGAGCACCAATGTTCAACTGCACAAGAACGGCCAGACGATGATCACAAAACGTCGCACGTCAAGGAGGGAAGGCGTGATCCATTAGTCAAATCCCGATTTTTCAGTCTCGCGCCGTCCTCGTTGCTTGACAGGCCCGCTGCCCACTCTCTGGCAAGAAACTACTTGCGTACTAGAGCAGTAGAGGCAACGGGGAGTCGCAAGTACAGCAGAGATACAGAAAGAACAACCAGAGAAAAAGAAAAATGGCCCTTCCGACTACGGTCCAACCGGCGCCCCGTTTCGATGGTCTCCCTCTTTACCTTCTTCGCTCCTTCCCGGCTTTGTTAGTAAACCATTCATGCCCAGCTATTTAAAGTGGAAAGCGCGCCACCTGGCCAGCTCGCCAGTTTTAAAGCTTCCTTTTCTCCCCTCTTCTTCTTGTTTTTCTTCCATCTACACCCCGTCGTACCACTGACTTCGTTTTCCACCTACCCCAACCACATCTTCTTCCCGCACTCTTCTACCCGCAAACTACCACCACCACACACATTCACAATGGCTCAGGAGAGACCCGCACCGTAAGTACAGCAGACAGTAGAGCGTGCTCGCTGACAAATGTCCGAGACGAGGTCGCAAGCCGAGGCAGCAGAGCTCGGTTTATGGCGACAGCCGACGGCGAGGTCCAAGACGAGGGCAGCAACGACGGCATGCTAACATCGCCTTGCAGGATCCGCCTGGGCACCGTCGCCCCCAACTTCAAGGCTGACACCACCAATGGCCCCATCGACTTCCACGAGTTCATTGGCGACAACTGGGTCGTCCTGTTCTCGCACCCCGAGGACTACACGCCTGTGTGCACCACGGAGCTCGGCGAGTTCGCCCGCCTCGAGCCCGAGTTCACCAAGCGCGGCACCAAGCTGATTGGCCTGTCCGCCAACACCCTGGGCTCGCACGAGGGCTGGATCAAGGATATCAACGAGGTCACCGGCTCGAGCGTCACCTTCCCCATCATTGCCGACAAGGAGCGCAAGGTCGCCTACCTGTACGACATGCTCGACTACCAGGACACCACCAACGTCGACTCCAAGGGCATTGCCTTCACCATCCGCTCCGTCTTCGTCATTGACCCCAAGAAGACCATCCGCACCATCCTGTCGTACCCGGCCTCCACCGGCCGCAACTCGGCTGAGGTCCTGCGCATTGTCGACTCCCTGCAGACCGGCGACAAGAACAAGGTCACCACCCCCATCAACTGGGTCCCCGGCGACGACGTCATTGTCCACCCCAGCATCAAGACCGAGGACGCCAAGGCCATCTTCCCCGAGGTCCGCATCGTCAAGCCCTACCTGCGCTTCACCCCGCTGCCCAAGGACAAGACCTCGGCTGCTTAAGCGGAGAGTTGGATGCTTCTTTTTTGCTCTCAACCAAAAATAATTGCGATCTAACGACTCGATCTCTTCTTTTATATCCCGAGACTTTTTGTATGCAATTGGCTAGAAAGAGACCTCCAATGTTAATGAAATAAAAAATAAGTATAAAAAAAGAAAAAATAGTACACCAACCGAGGCCACGAGCCCCGGATGCTTGACGTGTAGACAAGTGTCACAACGCTGCATAAGCCGAGGGATACCGATGAACGGAAGGGTCTTGCTTTTGGCTGCTGTGAGAGGCCGTAGCATAGGCTGAACATGGCCAGCTGCGGCGGCCGCCGGCCATAATAACCTCTGCTGCCGTCGGCACTCGTTCGTTTCACCGATGACAAATACAACGTACATGGTCGGGACACGACAGCGGACGCAGCTGCTCTGCCGGTCTTTGTTGAAACGAGTGTGCTGCCGGCTGTTCGCAAGGCTGAAACACGGAACAAATCGTGAAGAGCCGTTTGTGTTCATCTCAACAACAATGGACTGTGCGCTGGGATCCACGACTCAGATTGCCGTCTACCATACGACGCATGTACAATATTTGATTTTTTGTACGTTGCCGGCTGTGTTGAATACCCTCCGCGGCCAGCATCTGGCATCACGGACATGCCACGTTCGTCGTCGCACCATCGTTCTCTCCCCTTGGCCAGCCGCCACGTCCCGTCGCACGTAGCCCCGGCCAGCTGAATCGCGAATCCCGGTGGTGTGGTCTACAAGTCGAAAGGCGGGCCCTGGGCGCAGAGGACAGGGTGTGCACAGGGCACTTTGGCATTCCTCGTGGCATATGAAATGACAGCCCCGAAGAACAGACGTAGCAAGGGTCGTTGGGGCCAAGGCCAAGCTCCAGACAGCCGGATAGGTCCTGAATTTCAAGTGCATGAAACGACGGCCGCCTTCCGTGCAGGGAAGACAGAGAAGCGAAAAATGACAGGGCTGTAGAAATCGGATCAAAAACGCGCAAGACAAATTTGGCGACAATTTGTACGCAGCCAAGGAAAAATCCGCCCGCAATTCTCGCATTCTCGCATCCTCCAGTGTGGATCGGCTTTCACCCATGGTATCGACCACCTAGATCGTCTCGCATCGTGCTCTGCGTCCTTGTAGATTCCTCGTCGGGACGTTTGGGATCTCTACTCGGTACAGCGTATAGAGTACGGTACGTCGACATGCTGCATGCTCCTACTTGGCGGCAGCCAACCGATCAGATCAACGGAAAGCATTCCTTGCGGAGTACGGAGTAGTACAGCTCTTTCTTCATCCAGTAAGGCAGCCACCACCGCCAGCCGCCCATTGTGGCTCTTTGTTCGCTCCTCCTTCGTCAATGCGTTTCCAATAGGCCCAGCCAATCAGCGCCTGATATAGAGTCTGCTCTTCTTGCCTTGACTTGCCCATATGCCCCAGGTGTCCCCACAAATAGCACAAAAAGGGAAACCGCCAGCCAGGCCGCCCTGACGCTGGGTCCGTCGAAGTCGGAAGCTCCATCCTAGTTCCGCCCATTCATGGCTTCCCGATGGCGCCCTTCCTTCCTCCAAAGGCAGAGACCCCTTTCAACCTACCGCGAGCCCCTCTTCTTGACAGGAACTCATCCCCAATGTTCGAAAACGGAAAGGGCACGACAGAAACATTCAGCGGAAATGGAAAGTGTGCACCTGGGCCATTCGTGAACCTCAAACGGCACGCACTCTGCAGCCTCAACCGTGTTTTCTCACCTGTTCTCTTCAAACCGCCTCTCCTTTCCTTACTTCATCTGCATATTTCCCGCTTTTGTCAATCGTCACCATCGTCCGTGACTCTTTCGTACGCACGCGCATTTGCCTCTGCGCTTCCCCTCTCGTCCTTGGTCACCGCACGCACAATTTCTCGTGCCCCTTTTTTTCTCCCCCTCCTCCACGAACTCTCCCCCCTAGTCTAGACCGATTACATTGACCGTTCCGCCCACAGTCGAAAAAGGGGGCCCATCCCGTTTGCACCAGCCCGGAAGCAACGTCGCCACGCGATCGCGAGCACGTCCTGGCTTCTGTTGCGCCGTCCAGCCGCAGCGTCCCGATACGAAATACCTCGTTCCTCGCGCAAAAAACGTCCTAAATCCATACGTCCCTACAGAATACGCCCAACGACGCCTCGCCTCCAGCGCGATCCCAGTTCCAGCAGCCAAGCCCCTCGACTCGACCCGCCTTTTGCTCCCCCGGCCCACATCCTGCTCGACGTTGCTCACCCTTCTCGCATCCTCGCATCTTCTACGCAGCAATACTGCCTCTCCACACGACGAGCTTCTCGCCCAACAAGGGGTCCCAAACGGCGAGATATACCGCACGCTATTGAGTCAACATCTCGCCGTTCCTCGAACCCGCGCGTGCCACTTCTCTCGTGCACCGAGCACCCCTCCCAAGGCACGTCTGTGCGGTCAGCCACTTGCGGGACCGCTTCGTCCATTTTTTCTTCTTTTTCTTCTTCTTTTCTTCCGTCGACTCCCTGTTCAGCAACTGCACCAAGTACAGAGTACATACGTTGCCACTTCGTCCTCTGCTGTCTTTACCAACATTTTTGACATCCCTCGGCTCGTTTCCCGGACCCAGTCTCTCCTGCTGTCTCTCCTGGGCACCTCCTTCCCTCCGCTGCTGCTTCCTCTCGGCCTGCAATCCACACCCACTGCACATCCCTCCTGTTTGCAAGCAACGCAAGCGAGGCCAACAACGCAGGTGGCCGAAGGACACAAACAGACCACGGCCAAGGCACCCCGAAATTGCCCATTGCGACGCCAAACCAAGCCAAACGAGATTCGACCTTAATATACCAAAGTATAGGTCCGCCTAGAAACGAACCAAGGCTGTGGGACTTCCTCCGCTGGTCTCGCTGATCTTTTGCCCAGCCGTTGTTTTCAAGGTACGCTCGCGCCTCTTGATTTCGTCTTTGCTCCGTTGCCCCTTCTTTGCCATTTCTTCTTCTTCTTCTTCTTTTCTCCTGGCTCCCCGTTCGTTTACGACGTAATTCTCGAACCCTTGTCTCCCAAGCCAGGTTCTGGTCGACCACCAGACGCTGCTGCCCAACTCTCTACCACATTCGTCCTTCTTTTCAACGTTCTTCCCCAGTCTTTTTATCACCAGCAATCTGTGTTTGTTCCCTGTCCTCTGGACTCTCTTCTTTTTCTTTTTCTCTTTACTTTTTCTTTTTTTTTTTTTTTTTTTTTTTTTTTTGCCTGCCACAAAGTCAAGCATCCTAGTTATTTTCGTTGGCCAACAGCTGCGATGACACCTTGATGGGGGCATCCTACCTCAAAGGAACGTCGTCTTGTGGCTCTTCTCCGTGGTGTGATACATCGTTCCGCTCGCAAGCTCCCACCTTTTTCCTTGTGCCCCTGGTTGTGCCCTTGGGCCGGCGCTCTGCCGATCATGGGGAAAGAGAGCTTTCCAACGTCATCCGCCTTGCTTCCACGCTAGCCCGTCAACCTTGCCCTCTCTCCTTTCTTGTGTTTTTTTGTTCTTCTTCCTTCCGTTTCACATTTATCGCACATCTGATTCTTTGGGACGTCTTTGTTTCTTGTGACCTTCTGGTCGCTCCAGATGACAGAGGACGAGGTCCAACTCGTTGCAGAATTTGTCTTCGGCAAAGCTAACCCAACATGGACAGCTTCACGGAGCACGACGACGGTGACAGCCGTTTTTCTGACTCGGAGAACGACAACCACCGACCGTCGCAGTCCACAAAATCTACCTCCGACCTTTTCTCCGGCGTCTACCGGGGGATCAAAAAAATCACACCGGGTCGCGAAGATTTTGGCCGTTTTGTACGACAGTCCTCGATCTCCCACCGCAACTCTCCTCCTCCACCGTCGCAGTTTGTACTCAAACCGTACACAGCGGGCTCCGAAGACCACCCACCCGGCTCTGCCCCGATCACTGGATATCGCCCTTCCCAATCACATTACCAGCATGCTCGCAGCCTAAGTTTGCAGAACAGTCTCGAAAAACCGCTACCACGGCCGCCAAAGGCCCCTCCAAGCTTCCCTCTCCTCCCTACGGCCACTTCTGGGTCTGCCTCGTCCCAGACCCGCTTTCAAGCTTCCAGCGGGAGCCTTGCCTCCATCCAAAACTCCGACGTGAAAGACGACACTATGGATAGTCGAACCAGTACCATGGACTCAGCCTCGTCCGCCGAGCAGGGCTATTACGCACCCAATGCCGCTTCTGGTCCTTCTCCGGCCATCGGCATCGACTCCAACGCGAACAACAGCCAGTCAAGTATAACTGATGACGAACGCCACAATATGGCCTCAAGAGCCAACGGTCCCCTCTCCGCTGGGCCATCGCCGCAACCTCAATCCGCATCACGCGGTACGCCCGGCGGCACCGGTGGCACCAACCAGGCAGCGTCTGGAAACACCAACCCCCCTCAACAAAACTCGGGCTCATCTGCACACCTGTCGGGTCTCATGTGCAATGTGCACAGAACAACCGGCCGTGAACCACATCCGCTTGTCGGTGCCACGACCACAATCCTTGGTGACAAGCTCTACGTCTTTGGTGGCCGGATATTGTCTAGGAGCCGCCCGGCGTCGCTCACCTCCGATCTGTACGAACTCGACCTCATTCGGCGTCACTGGACAAAGCTGGAGACCACGGGCGACGTCCCACCACCGAGATACTTTCATTCCATGTGTGCGCTGGGCGACTCCAAAATGGTCTGCTATGGCGGCATGTCACCGCAGCAGAGTGCCAACGGTGGCTCACCACAGGACCAGCAACAGGACGTGGCCGTCATGTCCGACATCTACATCTACGACGTGCCGACAAAGAAGTGGACCTACATTCAGACACAGGAGACTCCGCAGGGTCGTTATGCGCATTGTGCCTGCATCATCCCTTCATCCGCCACCTTCAGCTCCCACCGCGCACCACTCTCCGCGCTACAGCACAACCCAGCGACGGGCACCAACGAAGGCCGCATTGGCATCAACATTGACGGCACGGGCGGCGCCGAAATGATTGTTGTAGGTGGACAGGATGGCGCCAACCACTATATCGAGCAAATTAGTGTTTTCAACCTCCGCAGCCTCAAGTGGACGTCGACCGAACCCCTAGGCAAAAGCTGTGGTGCCTACCGTAGTGTTGTTGCGCCACTGCCGCCCTCGGTCACGGCACGCATCGGCCGGGCCAACGCACCAAACGCCAACGCCAACATTCGGCCGGAAATGGGCGGAATCAGTCAGGAGGCCCGTGAACCCGGCTCGTCCATGCTCGTGTACTCGAACTACAACTTCCTCGACGTGAAGCTCGAGTTGCAAATCCGATCACCCGATGGCACCCTGACAGAAAAGCCCATGGCCGGCACGTACACACCCCCTGGCCTCCGATTCCCCAACGGCGGCGTCATCGATACCCATTTCGTGGTTAGTGGCACGTACCTGACAAGCTCCAAGCAAGAATATGCCCTTTGGGCTCTTGACTTGCGGAACTTGACCTGGTCGCGGATCGATGCTGGCGGCAGTGTCTTTAGCCAGGGCAGTTGGAACCGCGGTGTGCTCTGGAACCGGAGAAACTCGTTTGTCATTCTGGGTAACCGCAAACGCAGCCTTGTGGACGACTACAACCACCGCCGTATTAACTTTACGAACGTATGCATGGTCGAGCTCGAGGCTTTTGGCTTTTACGACAACCCACGCAAAACGACGCCCATGTCCGGCTTTGTCTCCGCGAGCAGCCCATACACCAACCCCGGCCTCAGTCTCGCTCGCAAAGCGGGCTCGACTGCAGGAGGACGTTTCCATTCCCGCGCGTCAGAGGATCTCGGTGAGAAGGCGTTGGCGATGCGCGAGCTGGCCGATATGGATATTTTGTGCATTGGTGGCGAGCGCATCCCGGTGAACAGTCGGATTGTTGCTCGCCGTTGGGGACCATACTTTGTGCAGCTGTTACGGGAAGGTACGGCCACGGAAGATGGCAGCGAACCAGCCGGCGCGCGCTCGACCCCTCTCGCAGGGGTACGCAGCTCAAGCATCACCATTACCCCATCGAGCCGCAACACGATGGAGAGTACCATGTCTATGGGCTCACAAGCGACAAACTCCAGTAGCTCTGCCGGCAAGCCGCCCAGTACACCAGGCACGAGTCTCTCCGGAATTTCGGCCGTTGTCGGCCCTATGTCACCCGCTGTTGATCCTGCCACAATCAATACGGCACCGACACCGAGGACCCTGCCACCCAACAGTCGCCCCCGCTGCCTCTACCTCCCCCACACCTACCTCACCGTCCAGACACTGCTTCACTTCCTGTACACCAGCTCTCTCCCGCCGCCGACCAACCAGCTCTGCACGCCGCAGATCTTGTGCTCTCTTCTGCAGATTGCACGGCCGTATCGCATCGACGGTCTCCTAGAAGCTGTTGTCGAGCGTCTGCATGCCCTTCTCGATAGTCGCAATGCGGCAGCCGTGTTCAACGCGACGGCCATGGCTGCCGGCGGTGGCCGCGGCATCGATGGCACGCTCAACCCCAACTTCTTTGTCCCCAGCGGACTCGACGTCCTCAGCCCGATAGACCCGACGCTGCAGTCGCCGTCGCAAGCCCAGGCGGACCAGCAGCTGCCAGGCGGCGGCAGCGGCGACGCCAGCGGTCTGGCCGCGCGGACGGCGGGCCTGCAGATCAATACGTCTGTGCCTGGCTCGACTGCTAGTGCTGGCGGCGGTGCACGGCCCAGCAGCGGCGAGCTGAGCGCGACTACGAGCGTCTCTGGCTCCGAGTGGAGCTCCGAGATGGGTGACAACAGCGAGCGCGGCCAGCGCGAGGTCTGGAGTGGCGAGCTCAGCAGTGTGATTGGGCTGCAGAAGCGCGGTCTCAAGGGACTGATGGAGGGTCGGCGCCTCCGCGAGCGGACGGGCACCAACACGGGCATGACGGGCCCGAACAATGCGCGTGTCGGCCTAGGTATTGCTAGCGGTTGAGTGATGTCCATCGTTTTGGTCATTTTTTGTGATTTTTGCTCTTCATTTCTTACATATTATTTGACCGTTGCCCGCATAGTTTTGGAGGCAATTTACGGCTTTTATTTTGAATTGATTTTACGTTATGACATGCAACGATATCTGTACGAGGTGAAAATAAAACTTCTCTTGAGAACTGGAAACACTTGTATTTGTTTTGGGTTTAAAAATTAAAAATAACATATACCGTTGCGAGTAAACATGTCCTTTCAACTCGGATTGAAATGTAAAGGTGTAAAGCTGTAAACTGACCCCCATAGTTTACTCACATTCAACAACGTCATCCCAAATATAACCTCGCCTGTTCATTGGAAAACCACTTTGCACATTCATTACGTCCCAGCGCTCTCTCCAGAGTTGAGGATGTGCCGTACCTCTTTGAGATTATTGTGCCAATGTTGCGTGGCAGCGAGTATATAACATATACGAACCGTCGTAAGATTCCGTCCCCATCGCCAAGGCCCCCTCTTTTCACGTTCACGACTCGACCGGTTGGCCGTCATTTCTGTCACAACTACGTAACACCCCCATCTTGGTATAGTCTCCAGAAGTTGCCAACTGCGCGTTCGTCTTGTACAGTCCGCCTTGGCGATGGATACCTCAACGTTCCAACAGCACCGTAGTCTTACCGGTGTCGGTGCCGGTACTTTGAACATTGAGATGCTATGAGATGGAATGAGAAGTAGACGTCGCTGCTTATTGTCGTGGCCAAAGGCAGGACAAAGACGCGACGAGAGAAGGATACCTCTGTATATTGCTTGCGGTCGACTATGAACTGTGCTTCGTTGGCACATGGACACTGCACCGAAATCCGCGTGTCTGTGGCTTTGTATACCAACGGGGAAAGTGAACGATGGACGACAATCGTCTCTCAACCTCGCCTCGAGTTAAATTTAAGCTTAATAGCGGAGGATAGGAAGATACCAACACGCGTGTATTCCGAAGATACTGTGTGACTGACGAATTTATCCTTTGAGCACCCCACTGGTAATAATAATAATACCGTTTCCTTTCTCCCGGCTGGTCATGATCACTGTCATCCTGCTCCATTCTTGCTAGCGAAGGATACAAAAGACGTTATTTTTAACTTTTACCTGAGGCGAAGTATCCTTGGCGGCGAACACACGGAAATGGCAACCCGCACCAAAATGTTGGAGAGACGGAGAAATAGGAGAGTCATTCAAACAAGCATTTTTCTGCCCCTGCCACGCGTCGATTTTGCCGAATCGGCAACGAGACGAGAGTACCATCCAACATGTAGCCAAGGTGTATATATATATAGGGGTCAAGGAGCCAAGGAGCCAAGGAGCCAAGAAACGGACAGCCGACCATGTACATGTGGGTGATCATGTGGGCGGGCAGGATGATGAGAGACAGCGAGGCCACCGTACATTTTATGATCCCCAAAAGCTTATTTGGTCTTGGACAAGCCGTTTTCCCGGTATGGTAGGATCGTTCCTTCAGAAAGACTTTTGGTGAGATGTTCATCTTATTGATTTGCCTAGATTGTCGAAAAAGTAGTCTAGGAAAGTCTAGAACCCTCCTTCGACATTGGCAGCGAACCACAAGACGATGGAGACAAAATCACCGACGAGGAGGATCAGACAAAGAATAATACAGTAGGATAGATATGCTGTCTGTCGGACTCCTGCAGGAGCCAATATATTCGGCTCATCTATTTCGCACTCACGGACATGTCCGCACATGGTGATCCCGTCAGCAAGCTATTAAAGCATATTGATAAGGTGGGATAGCATGTCAACGTCACCAGGGCCCATGGACGGATGGCTTCATATCACGATAGAGGATAGACGCGGACGGTCGTTGGACGTCACGGCTAACCGTGTGTACTTGAATATAAATACGTCCAGTCAAAACCTCCCATGATTCTAATTTTCATTCATCTTCATCCTCTGCAAAGCACTCATCAGCCATCAGCATCTAAACAAACATCCTCATCTTTCAGTTCATCCAGTTCCATCAGTCCCTCCTAACCCCCCCCAAAACAACTGTCAACATGAAGTTCAGTCAAATCCTGGTCACCCTTTTCCTGGCTGCCACGGCCCATGCTGCCGTCGCCGATGTCCAGCGTGGCTGCGAGGACCGCTGCCTCGAGGAGAGCAACAACTGTGCCCGCCAAGACCACCGCGAGCACCACTGCGAGGATGAGTTCCGTACGTTTCTTGCGTTCGCCATGTAAGATTGTGATGGCTCTCAGTGCTGACATTCCATCTGCTAGACCGCTGCGAGGACCGCTGCCGCAGAGACCACGACCACGACCACGACCATGATCACGACCACGATCGCGATCACGACCACCACCACTAAATGTGTTTTGGAAGAGATGATGGCCCTGTTTCTCAGAGTGGCATAATTTCAAGGACAACAGAAATCGGGCGAAGAGAACCAACATTAGCTGGCCATTGACAAGGTCTGTGGCAAAAGTTATCTAGTGAAATACAAATGTGTCTCGGCCGGTTGGAAGAGAGCACACATCAAACCCTGTAAAGCAAATAAACACCACAAAGCACTGTCATACTGTAAATGCCTTTATAAAAAATAAACCAGTGTCGACTAACTCCATATGTCTTGTCCAACATATTGTGTAGTCGAAAGAAACATTGAAAGAAATAAAGTGCACAAAACCGGGGCTGCTGTAATCTTGTTCCTACAAGAGACGGGGGTTTGTCGGTATGCCTACTGGTAGATCGTTCTCTTTTGCTCCATATAACCAATGGACATCGAATGCAGCCCGTTTCAATTCGTTTCCCTTCCACGATGTTGTATTTTCCGCGACAACGTCGGCTAACGCATAAATGCAACAACGGTTCTCTCATGAACGCTCCGAATCTCGCTAGCGTCGTGAATCCATTCTGGGTATCATCGCAAACAGTGCTGTATCGTGCTGATTTTTGGTAGGACTGGCTTTGTTCTTTCCTTATCGCATCTCACGTGTGCCAATTGGCAACTCCGTACGTCAAGATGCAGGAGGGCATTAATGTGCTTTCTCGCCGAGGCCAGTTTCGGAAAATACCCGGCGCTGGCCAAGCCACTGGCCAGGCTGTATGGAATCCCCTTCGAGTTTGGGGAGAGAGTCTGACTTCCATGCACCACCTTTGCAGCTCGTGAGGTTAGTATGTCTGGCTCCTTGCCACGGTGCGGAGGCGATGGACAGGTACTCCGTAGCATACCCTATTGTTGTGACTGAGAAATGTCAACCTTGTCATGAAATCGAGGAGGCGAGCCGACGATCTCGTGAAATGCCGAGGACTGGTAGCTATGGTGGATGGGCCTCTCTCGCAGCTTCGAGTCGATGATTGTCGGTGACATCTTCTTTGACCAGCGGGCCACCGACGTGGCTGATTTTGAGGCGCGGCGGGCGGCTTGGGTTGCGTTGCCACCGACCATCGACACGGCCTCCTTGAACCGAACGCTGCACGAGGACCGGCGGCCCAAGATATCATCGACGCTGAGGCCGTCTTGCAGAGCTTTCATGTCGCTGTACGACACCGTCGGGGGTAGACCAACGCTCTCCAGGATGTCTGCATTTGCACTGCGGCGGCGGTCAGAGCGCTTGGTGTGCCGCCGGCGAAAGTGAACTGGCTTGAAGTCTCGCGATGTTGGGACGCAGTCCATCTCGTCGTCGCTGAAGTAGAGCATTTTCTGCTGGGTTGCGCCATTGTTTATGGTGCTGCGGCGGCCGACGCCACGGGTAAAGATATCACAGAGCATGGCCAGGTCTTGACGCCAGTGTATGAAATGTCGAGTGTTGTACGGATTGTAAGGTGTTGTGAGAGGATGGAGACGAGAAAACGAAGAATGAAGAACGTTGGAAGGACAAGAGAGCAAGAAATGGGAGATATGGCCTTTTGTTTTGAGGCCCCCCTTTGAACGACTGGCGAGGAAGGTACGCGTACCGCTCTTTCCTTGTGATTTCCTCGAGACTAGCCAAGTCACCGAAGTGCCACAAAGAGAAAGAACCCAAAGCGGAAGGCGTGCCGCGTTGCAAACGACAAAGGATTAAAAAAGGAAGTCACGATTGCCACAGTAAGCTAGCAATTGGGCTTACTTATGGAAGTCGCGACGAGGAGAGGGAGGAAAGCAATAAAGCAGTACGGAAAAAACACGTCAATCTCATTTCTCCCTGCACCCCTTCGCCAGCGTTTCCCGACTGTGGAAACCATCAAAGCGGCTGTTTTTCCAATCAACATGACCTGGAATGTGCGTAGGATTCTGCATGAAAGTATTGGTCCTCGTCTGTTTTGACAATTTCGAGTCGTCGACTGTGTGTAAGTGGTCACGTGAAATAAAAGGGTGGAAGAAAACGCCGCCAAAATATTCAGTACAGTTTAAAACGTGGCGACATGACCATCGCGACTCCTGCATTGAATGCCTCCTCATCCTCCTGCACCACGCCGTCCTCATCTCCTGCCGCAACAACTATACGGCATATACCATGCGGGCGCCAATGACAGCACACGTTGGAGTCGTGCTGGGCGCGAACTGAGACGACATTTTGTGGGTATGACGCGCCTCTGGATGTGGAAACCTCCTGCAGCATGCTTTAGGTAGTATGCAGCTTTCGCAGCTCCACGAAGAGTTGAGACGAGATGAACGGAGGGAGAAGACGGCTCTGGCGAGATTTTGGCGTACGCTTTGTCTCCAATAGCGCCGTACATTGCCGAGTCTTGTTGGAGCCACGCAAGGCTGCGGAGACACTCAGCCCGTCAGCCCATCGCATCTCAGATTGACGTCGTGCTCGTCCTTGACGGAGCGTTTCGCACGTGCACAACGCCATCGGCATCCCAACGGCGGAATTCGCTAGTCTATCACAGTGCAAGCACAGCCCAGCTACGAGTACAGAGCTCTGCGAACAAGGACGGGAAAGCTCATATGCTAATAACAAGGCGAACATCATCGGTATGTACGGCGGCTTTCTGGCAGGTATTTGTCCCCCACGTCCGCACGCCCACCTGTTCTTTGTGACGGGGTCTCTGCAAACTCTGTGAGCACTTGGCCTGGACATTCGTCAACAACGGTGACATGACCCTGGAGCTTCTAAACTCTCTGGAAAAGAACAGCAATGCTGGTAGCGAGAGCAACCGGTGCGAGCTGATTACATCGCCCGAAACTCGACAACATCCACGGCTTTTTACGTTGACACCTGATTTGTAGCGGACATCACGTTCTACTTGTGATGGCGTTTTTGAAAGAGGTAAGTATTGTAGCATACCATATGCTGAACGATGGTGTTGCGGTTTGGTGTGTGATGTTGAGGCAATTTCAAAGACACCATGTGAATGCTGAGAGCTGTCTGCTCTGGGGGTGAAAGAAACGTGGACATGAAGTCGATTTTGACGTCTTATTCGCCAAATTGTATTGACTTCCATTTCGTACAAAAACTGGACAGTTTCAAAGAATACAGTATTATTACAAATTATTATGACAACTTCCCATGAAGAGGTGCAACAGATTTGACGAGTTTCCCGCCCTCACCGCCCAATGCCGCGACGAGAAACCACACTTGTTGTATTTTTACATGTGAAGGCTGGCATCACGATGCTGCCACACGACGTGAGTGGGTACTACCTGATTCGTATTCGTGGGGGTTGCGGCTTCCGAAAGTGGAAATAGAGGACTTACGGGAAGGTGCCAGATGGCAACAATCCGAACGATACGACATTGTAATTACCTAGCAAACGTTGAGAACATTGCCAAAGAGCTTCATTTCCAATGGAGAGGTTATCAAAGTGAGAATCGAAACAGCGGTTTTACGTTCATTTCCACCTGTGAGCCTGTCAGTCCAGTTGGCTTCTTCCCCAGTTTCTGGTGTGGGGCGTTGCAGTGAGATGCAACTCAACAAATTAGGCAGGAACGAAGGGCAAATAGCCCGGAAGCACCTCAGCTGCCCTGCGCCCAACAAGGGGCAGAATCTGGGGCAGAGGAAAGTGGCAACTGGCATTCCTGGCTCATGGCCGGGATCAGTCAGACACGCACGAACTTGGCTGTATTTCCGTGTTATTGGGGGCCGCTGATTGGCTTGGGGCAGTTCGATGACGGTCAGCTGTGGGTAAAATTGCGGCTCGTGACCGTACTATTTTGGCGGGCTGCGCTCTGATGGGGCAGTCGCTAGTCACTCACCGCTACCGGCCGCGCCTTCCCTCCAGCATCGCAGCAGATCAGCCAACACTGACATAACTTTGGCTGCATCTGATCGGCGTCTCCCGACAACCCTGCAAAAGCATGGCTCGCCTTCATGATGACCACATACCCCGGCGCCACAAGCGGACTCGATGGCATAAATCTCCGAAGACAGCTTTCTGCCACCCACAGTGTCTGAAGACAACAGACTGCAGTGTACGCCAGGGAGGTCTCCATTTATCGCACCACGCTTGGATCTCGATCTAGACTGCGTTCCTGGACGGCATTCCGGCGACCCAACTACCCTCTCACCGACAACTTTTCATGCACCTCAGTGTGCATGGCCATGTCCTTTCGACCGTCCGTCTCACCCTCTGCACGACATACATCATCTTGGATCAGTCTTGAGTGTCTTCTGCCTTGTACACCAACGCTTGTTCTGCCACAGCGCCTCTCAGCATGGGAGACTTCCTCCTCTTGCCACGCGAGGGCGGCCGCGACGGCGACGCAGCGTCGAACGGTCTGCCCTCCATCCGAAGCCTTGCCGGCCTGCTGAAGCGGGCTCGGGCGCAACAGAGCGCACCAAAGCCTGCGAATGCCACCCGGCGGATACCGTCTCTCGCCACACGCCTTTCCGAGTCGTTACAAGCTCGCGTCAACCAATCTCGGGAAGCGCGCTGGGCGGCGCAAGAGCGCCATGAACGCCAACAGATCCTCGAACTGCGGATGGCCAATGTATGTTGCTGCGTGCCAACCCTCTCTCGTGTCTCGTATCCCACTGACCACCGTGCAGGCCACAACCTACCAAGAGTGGGAAGCAGCGGCGCATCTGCTGGACGAGCTCGACGAACACGAAACATGGAAAGCCAGCAGCGACAGCGACGAGTTCTACAACCCGGACCTCGTCAAGGCGCGCCTCAAGGACCTCGAAGACGCCCGCCTCTCGTCCGACATCCGCCGCATGATGCACCTCGTCCGCACGGCCCTGTCGCGCGACGTCGGCGGCATCAGCAGCGCCGGCCTCTACAGCCACACGCACGCCGGCACGAAATACCTCGTCGAGCGCTATGCCAAGGCCTCGGTGGACCTGATCCATGCCCTCGTCGACCGCTCGCGCAGCGCGGCGGCGCTGCCCAAGGGCCTGACGCACCGGGAGATGCTGGACCAGCTGCTGTTGGCGCGCCGCAGCTACGGCCGCAGCGCTCTTGTGCTGAGCGGCGGCTCGGTGTACGGCATGGCGCACATTGGCGTCATGAAGGCACTGTTTGACCGCGGACTGCTGCCCCGCATCATCTCGGGCACGTCGGCCGGGTCCATCGTTGCGGCTGTCGTGTGCACGCGGACCGACGAAGAGATCCCGGCGCTGCTGACGCGCTTTGCCCACGGCGACCTGGCCGTGTTCACGGACAAGGACAACCCGGACTCGTGGCTGACACACATTGGGCGTGCCCTGCGCTACGGTGCGTGGCACGACAGCCGGCACATTGCACGGGTCATGCGCGATCTGCTGGGCGACATGACCTTCCAGGAGGCCTTTAACCGCACGCGCCGCATCTTGAACATTACCGTGTCGTCGAAGCCGGGGCTGCAGCTGCCGTCGCTCTTGAACTACCTGACCGCGCCCGACGTCATCATCTGGTCCGCCGTGGTTGCGTCGTGCTCCATTCCGGGCGTGTTCGACCCGCGGCCTCTCCTCGTCCGCGATGCCGAGACGGGCGAGCACGTGCCGTGGGATCCGGCCGAGCAGCTGTGGATCGATGGGTCGCTCGACAACGATGTGCCCGTCGAGCGATTGGGCGAGATGCTGAATGTCAACCACTTCATCGTGTCGCAGACGAATCCGCACATTGTCCTGTTTGTGAGCAACACCGAGAAGCTGGACGCGCCTCACGACGGCAGCGCATCGTCGTCCGCGCCGTCGATTGGCGAGATTCTGTACACGCTCGCGTGGCTCAGCAAGTCCGAGGCCATCTACTACCTCGAGACGCTGGTGGACATGGGCCTGTTCCGCGGCAGCCTCAGCATGCTGCTGCAGATGCTCAACCAGCGCTACACGGCCGACATCAACATCCTGCCGCGCATGAGCCTGGCCTGGGGCACGAACCTGATTCGCAACCCGACCACCGAGTTTATGCTCGAGGCCTGCCGCGTGGGCGAACAGGCGACGTGGCCCAGCATCTCGCGCATCGAGCAGGCTTGTGCCGTCGAAGTGGCCCTGGACAAGGCCGTGCACACGCTGCGCGAGCGCATCGCCTTCAGCGACAGCCAGGTGAACCTGCGGCGCTTCTTTACGGGGTCGTACGAGCTCGGCGTGCGCGGAAACAGTCTGTATGGCGGGGCGCCGCTGGTGGGTACCACGTGGGACACGGCTGCTGCCATCAACGCCAGCGCGCGTGCCAGCGCATGCACCGTCGACGGCAACGACGGCGACACAGACCCGACGTCGGCCAACAACATGATGTCGCCGCTGGCCGGGCTCCACCTGACGCCCACCTCCCGCCGCAGCCGGTCGCCCGTGGCGCACCGCCACAGCCAGCACCTCCACAACCAGCTCCTGAGCCACAGCCACCACCGGCAGCACAAGCGCCGCGGCTCGGGCGGCAGCATCCAAATGTCGGCCCGCCGGCGGCACAACCGCCACGCACTGGAGACGATTTTGAGCGAGGACAGCGGCGGAACGCAGGACTCGGACTCGCATCTCCTGGCCGACGATGGCGGTCTGTCCCTTGCCGTCCGTCGTGGCATGGCTGATATGAACCTGTCGGCGTTCTTTGACAACAAGGACGGCGGCGGCGCTGGGGGCAGCGACGGCGGCAACGGCCGCCCCCGCCTGACGCACAGCGTGAGCTACTATGGCGTGCCTCCGCACACGTCGCCGTCGCAGGTGGCCGGTGCCGGCTACAGCCACCATATTCCCAGCCAGCTCCACCAACGCTCGCCCGCAGCGTACCGTGGTGCGGTGAAGCAGAACAGCCTGCAGCAGCTGCCCATGCCGCCGCCGGCCTCTGCCTCTACGCAGACGCCGTCGCCGACGACGTCGTTTACGCGCAAGGGCTACAACTGGGGGTTTGGTGACCGGTCCGTCGGCGGGTTGACGCCGCTTGCCCAGTTCGGGCCGACTGACAATGGCGACGGCGCGGCCGACGAAGACGACGGATCGCCCGTCCTGCAGATGAAGGCCCAGCAGCGGCGGCAGCGGCGGAACTCGTCGACGTCCTCGGCCGTGTCTGCGGTGTCGGCCGCTGCCGCCGCCGCCGTGGCCGCCGCACACCATGCGGTGATGCAGGCCGTGAGTGGAGGGGGCGGCCATGCGGGCCCTGGCGTTGCGAGTGACGCGCCGGCGTCCATGACCGCACCGCAGTCGCCACGCGCGCAGCGGATGCAGCCCCTCTCAACGTCTGCGGGCGTCGTTCCCAGGATGACGCGCGTGTCCAGCACGACATGGTACCCGGGCGTGGTGCCACCGTCCCTCTCGCGTCGGGCCTCACACGACGAGTCGTCCGAGGAGACGCACGAGGACGACGAGGACGACGAGGACGACACGAGCGGCGACTGCGATCCGTACGAGAGAGATGGGACGGAGAGCACGACGCATGAGCAGGCGACGACAAAGACGTCCCACACGCCGCCCCGCCAGGTGCGCCTCATGCGTCGCTGCAAGTCCGTCCCGTCCATGGCTGTCCACGACGGAGGCGCATTGGAAAAGGGCAAACAGCGCTCCCGCCACCACCACCAGCATGTTGCTGCTGCCGCTGCTGCACGTGCCACACCGCTCACACCGCACACGCCGCACACACCGCCGTCCACTACGCGGGCACCCTCGCAGGAGTCGGTCGAGCACGACCACACCGAGGTGGAGGACGACGAGGATGACGCGCTCGACGGTGGCGACAAGACGCGTGGCAGCAACTCGGATGTCGACGACGGCGACGTCTTTATGGGCGGCAGTGGTCGGCATACGCAGAAGCGTCCCCGGTTTCCTGTTCCTGCCGCTGAAACGGCAGCAAGCGACTGACTCCGTTCGGTTGGGGTTGGTCTTGGTCTGGCCGCGGACAGCAGCGAGTCGGGAGAGGACTGGCACAGCGGCATCGAGCACTCGGACCACAGCAGCCAGCATACCGGCCGGCGAAAGACGGCAAGCAACCCTGTGAGCAGCAGTGACGACGAAGGAGCGGGATCATGGATGGACTGGTGAGTCCATGCCGTTTTGACATTTATACATTTTATCTTTGCATATGTGGAGTACACGCGGAGCATTTATGGAATCGAGCATACGAGGACGTCGTTCTACGACGCAGCCACGAACAGGTAGCATTTGGCATGGACTGTATAGCCAGTACAGCATTTATTGGATGTCTTTTGAAATAAACATTATGCATTAAGGGTATCGTTGTGAGTGGTAAGTGCAGTCCTAAAAAAAAGAAAAAGAAAAAATCATTGATCGACGCGTTCTATGCTTCGTCAATTCTGCGCCTCCGTCGCCAAGTCGGCGGCAAAGGTGCTTACGGCCTCCTGCAGTTCATAGTATGTCCGCCCCTCGGCCCAGAAATGGCCGGCCGTGGCCACCTCCTGCGCGCGGAACAGGGGCCGTTGTCTTTCTGCAGGCTGTCCACGCGAGGCGACCATCGACGCCGTCGTCAGTCCCGCCGCCCATGTGCGTATCTTTTTCAGCGAGACAAAGCCGTCGGCATCGCCATACACCACAAGTGTCGGGTTGCATGCGAGTTTGCTGTTGGCGTCGTCGGTGTCACCGTTGTCGTCGTTGCCGTCGATGGACGTGGTGTCGTCGGTTGCAGACGGTGTCGGTGCTGGCCGCTTCCGCTTGAAGAGACCGCCCGTGGCCGACGCGGCGGCGCAAAAGGACATGGTCGCGAGGCTGGTCGCCAGGCCGACGGGCGGCGAGACCAACAGGTAGGCCGGGCGGACAACCGTCAGGTTCGGCACCGCGGACAGCGTTGTCGACTTGGGGTCGTCGTCGTGCGGTGGTGGTGCGGCCTCGTCTTTGTTGCCATGCCGGATCTTGGCCATCCAGCCCGAGACGCGGCGTTGGCTACCACCACCACCACCACCACCACCACCACCACCACCACCACCACTTTCTTCGTTCTTGGCGGCATGGGCGTCGAGGTCGTCGGCATGGGACCGCACGTGCGAGTTGGCATGGCCGTTGCCACTGTCGCTTTTGCTGTGGCGATGGCTGTGGGCGCGGCCAGGGCGGTGGTCGGCCGATGCCGATCGCCGCGGAGGTGCAGGAGACGAATGGAGAATGTGGCGGATGGCGCCGCCCGCCTCACCGACCTCGTGGCTCGTCCGCCGCCACTGCGCGTCCTCGTCGGGCCCGCCACCGACGCGCACGCCCATGCTCAAACGGGCCTCGCCACGGCGGGCTTTGGTGGGCGAGCCCTTGCCGCCGCCGGCGGCCGCGGACGCCGACTCCATCGCTGCGGCAAAGTCGGCGTTCTGGATGGCGGCCCAGCGCGCTGCACGCAGACGCACCTCGGCGGCCGGCGAACCGCGCAGCGGTCGGGCGAAGCTGGCCAAGATGGTGGCCAGGGGCGGGAGCAGCGACGTGACCATGGCGCCGTAGGAGTAGCCGGCAAAGAGGAGCGTGGGCGGCGGCGAGGACAAGAGTTGTCTAGATGCTGGGGCCGACGTTGGAGTGGGCGGCTGCGTGCTTGTTGCCGCCTCTTTCTCGCCGTATGGATCGAGATAGTGCGCAAAGTAGTACAGGAAGCCGGCAATGGTCACGTAGTCGGCGGCCTCGGGCTTGGCGGTCCACGATGTGCGGCCCTGCGGCTTGCGGCCGGCGCCACGAAAGTTGAACGTGGCGACGACAAAGGAGGAGGATGCCGAGGCCTGCGGCTGCGGCTGCGGCTGCGGCTGCGGCTGCAACAGGGTCTGGGCCACCATCTTGACAATCGGGTCGTTGTAAGAGCCGCCCATGGGCCCGTAGGGGTGGGCAACAATGGCGGCATGGCCGCGCCAACGAGGAAGACTCGCGATGGCACTGGGGCTGGCTGTAGCTACAGCGAGAACAGACGGCGGCAAGTAGATGCGGCAGTCGAGCGGCGTGCCGTCGTGGATGCTGGGCAGCGTAAGCGTGAGTGTTGGGTCGGGGAGCGGGTCGTCCATGGCGATGGTTAGGTGGTGGAAGTCGTGAGGATCGTGACGTCCGCGAGGAGGAGAAGTGTGAGTTGAGTTGAGGACGAGGCCAAGATGAGGCAATTGGCGACTGTGGCCGGCCTTTCTTAGAAGAGACGGTGTAGATGATCAAGACTGGATGCCTGCCAGGCGCTGTGTGTCTCCGGGAGCATTGCGTGTGTCGAGAGTCCCAGGAGAGACGGGAGGAATAGGGACGAGAAAGCACAGGATCGTGGGATTGTTGTCAGAACTAAATCTAAGCTGCTGCCTTTGGCGTGGCTTTGTTTTGCCGCGTCGGCTGGTGGGGCGCTGAATGCCGCGGTGGAATGCGGCGGCAGGGGACCTACAGCTGGTAGGGCGCTGGGGGCCAGGCCTGGCCCTAGTAGGCCTCGGCGTTCCTTTTTAGCTTGCCACAGTGTATGTCTTACGCCTGCTGGCCAGAACCTGACGTCATTGGCCCTGAGCGTCTGGCGCTGGACGGTATGCGCCATACTTTTGAGCTCTAACAAGTGCCGAGGTATCATCGAATATTCCTCTGTTACACTTTCCAAATAATATTTGGATCTTCAGACGTTCCTAGTCTCTCTTTATATATGAACATGTTGCTGTATGCTGCATAAAATCAGAATCCTATTGTTACGGATACCGTTGACGCCGTGTTCGCTGTCGAATAAAAACAAAGTGGTTTCCAACCTTCAACGCCGAAGCATTCTTGCCATCATTACCATGATGACGCCGTGATCACTGCTGGGCGATCGATTGTTGCCGTCTCACAACCACGTGGCGAAGACGGCCACACCACTCGCTAATGCCAAGAGCGACGACACATTCGTCAATATGGTGAGATGACTGCCGCCGGACTTGGCTGCCGAGCTCGTGCTCGTGGCCCCGCCACTGCCACCTGCTGTGTCCACATTCGGCCCGCCTGCGACGCTTGCGTTGGCACCCAGGCCGCCTACCAGATTCGTGGCGTTGTTGAGCTGCACCAGATCCGGGAGCAGCGCCGCGTACGGGTCGGCCAGGCTGCTCACACCATACGGGGCGTCGTAGTCAATGGTGAACAGCGCTACCGAACTCTTGCAGCCGCTGTTCAGGACGGCCACCTCGCCCGGCAGGCTGCAGTCGCCGTTGATGCACATGTTGGTGCCGTCGTCGGCGAAATTGGCTGACCCAAACAGACCGGTGTCGCTGTTGTAGACGGCCTTGCTCGTGAACGCGCCGTCGCCGGTCATGCGGGCGCGGACAAACGGCGGGTTGACGCAGGAGTCGTCGTCGAAGCTCGAGATGAGGGGGAAGTTGACGCTGACGCCGTAGCCGAGCGGAAGGATTCGTTCGCCGCCGCCGCCGCCGCCGCCGCTGCTGCTGCTGCTGCTGTTGGACGACCCCGACGACGACCCCGATGACTTTGCCTTGTCGATGAACGCCTGCGCGAGGTTGGCGGCGAGACGTCCCATGATGGTCGCCGGATCTTGTAGACTGGCTTTTGTCGACGGCTGGATGTCGTAGTAGGCCGTTTGCGTGCCGTACGTGCCTGCAAACGCCAGTGCCGGGATGCCGCGGGCAATCGCCGTCTGCGTCGCGCCGAGCGTGCCCGAGATCCCGTACAAAAATGGGCCGACGTTGGGCCCGTAGTTGGGGCCTGCCAGCACCAGGTCGGGCACCGAAAAGTTGGCGTGCTTTGGCAGCACGTAGTCGAGCGCCACCAGCACCTGCGTGGCCGGCGACCCGTTGTAGTACCATATGTGGTCGTCGTGGGGGTCGGTGCCAATCGACGGCGCGCCGCTCTTGACGATGCCAAACTCCGAGTCGCCTGTCAGCTTGGCGTCGCTGGCAAAGATGAGCCGGCTGCCCTGGCCGGACTGGTCGCTGGACGATGCGACAATGTAGCAGTTGTGCCCGAGCGCCGTCATGGCGTAGTACATGGCGCGAATGTTGGCCGTGCCGAAGCCGTCGTCATTCTGGAATCATTAGCGAGGAAGAGGTGAAGCTGAACAAAGACAAACATACTGTGATGAGGACATTGAGGGCTCGGACGCCGGCGGCCAGCGCCAGTCTGGAGAGGAGAGATTTTGCCTTCATAGTGAGGTAGGTCGTTTGGCAGAAGTAAGTGGGCCGGAGGATGCTCAGGAGTTATCCCAAACGACAGAACAATCGTGATACGAACCACAAATACGCCTTGTTTGCCTGTGAGTAACAGTCGTTGTTGCGCGTTTGACGTAGATTGCAGTGCTGCAGTTTGGCCTCTGATTTGTCGACTGAGTTGTGCCGCCTTGCCCTGTAGACGGCTATTCCAGCACCGACAGCCGCATTGCAAACGAGGGGAGTTGACTGTTCCAGGAGTGAAAGGAAGATGCAGAAAAAAAAGGAAAACTGGTTTGCGACAGCAATTGGAGCGAACGCACTGAGACAACAAGCCGAGAAGAAAGTAGACAAAACGCAGGAGAGGTCCAGATGCATCTACACAGCACGTGCCGCCTTCCCCTTTTCTGTCTGGCCTTGGTCTGTCCCGAATTTCCTATTTTGGCATGCAGGCCCGGGCTGTTCCTGCCTCTGCTCGCCGCTCATTCTCCTCTCGGCAATGTTGGTGCGGTAGCTCCTTCCTGCTGGTCGTCTCTTTCTGCATCCTGCCTCATTTCTCTTTTGAGAACAAAATAAAATAAAATAAAACATGTTCGCGATATCTCGAATTGATTTATGCACAACCTCGTCTCTGGTCGCGTCGAAAGAATTTGCAAGAATGGCGACATCGCCGGCCCGTCCCAAGTCCCTGTCCATCCAACTGCACTAGCGATTGAAGGTTGAGAATTTACAATCTAGACCATACCCTAGAGTCCTGCCTTGGCGACCTTTACCACTTCGGCGTACACAAACAAAACATTCACTACAGTCGACCATGAGCTCTGATTACCATCATGATGCTGTTGTCGGTGCCTCTCGCACACCTCCCGATGATGCTGCAGCCACCGTCTTCTTCTCGTGCCGGTGATCTATCCCGGCCAACACCTCCTTCTCTTGGTGCACGGCCACGTGGTTGTTGAGCAGGTGGCTCGGATCACGCACAAACCACGCACAGCCGAGTGCCAGCACGCCAAACGGCACCATGACGTAGAACACGAGACGGAAGGCACTGGCGTACGTGTTGTGGAACGCCACGGCTGTTGCGGCCTTGACGGCATCGCTGACGCCACCAGGAACGGCGTCAAAGGCATGCGGCACACCGACGGCATTTTCAATGACGGCCGGCACGAGCGCGTTGAGACTGCCGGCCGCGGCCGAGGCATTGAACCCCGCGCCCAGCGCGGCGGCCACAATGTTGGCGCCCAGATTGCGGTTGACGGCACTGTTCATAATGGTGCTGAACACGGCGTTGCCGACGGACCCGCCGGCACTGCGGAAGGTGCCCAGCAAGCCGGCCGACAGGCCCAGCTCCTCGACGGGCACAAAGAGGCCCGACGCCACGTACGCCAGACTGGTCACCCACGTGAAACAGCTCTGCCCAAACAGCTGCATGGCCGACCAGGCGGCCTTGTTGGTGGGCACGACGGCGGCGTACGCGCCGGAAAAGACGGTCTGGATCACGAGCGCCAGCAGGATTTGGAGGCGCACGTGCTTGATGCGGTGCACGAGCGACGGCAGGATCCAGCCGCCGAGCACGCCTGAGAAGTTGGCCGGGATCATGGTGATGCCAATGTCAATGGGGTCGTTGGTGAACATGTACAGCGTGCCCTGGGGCCCGAGGGTGACGACGGCCTGCCAGATCATGCCGCTGACAAACAGGATGACGAGGTGGACGGTGAACTCGCGAAACAGCGCAAACAGGTGCCGGGGGAAGATGGGGTTGCGCGGGATGGACGAAAAGTCGTACGCGAAGCAGCCGGCAAACACGACGGCGCCGACCACGATGGTGGCCGCGACCATGGGCACGGAGTAGTCGCTGCGGCCGAGGTACGTGATGCCGACGAGGAAGATGGTCAGCCCGGCGGCGAACAGGAGGAGCCCGACAAAGTCGAGCTCGCGGAACTCGTCCCAGCGCGACTTGTCATAGTCGTGCTGCGGCCGCGACGGCGGGTAGTAAAAGTACGCCGTGCCCGCCGTCACAAACACGCTGTAGATGACGACGATATAGAAGCACCACCGCCACGACGCGTGCACATACAGCTGCGTGCCCAGGTACACGCTGAGCGCGCCCCAGGGGATGTTGATGCAGAACTCGGTCCACCCGATGCCCGCGCCGCGGTACTTGTTGGGCAGCAGCTCCTGGATGCCCGGGTAGCTGACAAAGATGACGCCGGCGCCGAAGCCGATGATGGTGGCGCCGGCCGCCACCGTCGTCGTTGCGTTCGCCGTGCTGCCGACGATGCCGCCCACGAGCGTCAGCAGCTGTCCAAAGAGCAGCACGTACCGCCGCCCAAAGATGTCGCTGAGGCCGCCGGCAATCGAAAACGAAACGGCCGACGCCACCGACCAGCCGCCGGGGATCCACAGGATGTTGTCCGTGTCGCCGAGCGTCTGGCCGATTTGCTGGAGGATGCCCGTCGGGAGCAGGAGGCCGGCACTGATGCACGGGACGTACGACATGCCCATGAACTGGGCGGTCAGCGACGAGCGTAACTCTGGAGAAAATCACGAAAAAAAAGGACACTTACAAAGACAGCCATCAAGGTCGACCAGGACACCGTCTCTTCGGCGTCCTCATCGATGGTGGCCACAGGCCTGCTGGCCTCGGCATCTGGCGACGGACCGTCTGCCAGTGCCGGGTGCTCCAGGTTGGTCGTCGCCACCTGGTGGACGCTATTCTTCTCGTCGTCGGTGGCCATAGCGGACGCTGGGCAAGGAAAGCTACGATTCGAGAATGTCTGTGAATGCAAATGGGTGGATGTCCGACTGTCCTGTGAAAGGTTCACGCTGCAGCCATCATTGTCACCTTGAGAAAGAGCATATGACAGGAACGGGGACGCGTGGAGACGGGCTCTTTTTGTTCATTCTCCCCATTGACAGGTCCTCCTGGTCTGGCCACTCGTTCCTTAATCAATCGGCCGCACCCTGGCTGACCTGGTCTTGTCTCGGTACGAACGAGCCGGCATGCGACGTGAATTAACCGGCACTTGCACCAATGCACTGAGAATTGCGAGGCGTCTATAATAAGCCAGCCAACACCATCCAACAGACCATCTTATCCAATAGACCCGGCGATCGTACAATTGCGGCACAGCATCGCACCAGGGGAAGTTGGAGAGAAGGGGCATGAAGGCCGAATGGGGGAGAACGAGGATACAAGGTCAACGGAAGCGGCCGTGGACTCTGCGACATAGTTCTCGGAGGAAACCAAGAGGCAAACATTGCGCATTCGATGACCTATTTGCCAAGTGGGCAGACGCCACCGAATTGGCCAAGACTCTAGAAGAATGGATCACAGAGCCTCACCTTCTGGCCGGACGAGCTTTGCAATCGAGTTTCACCCCGTCGCCGTCTAGCCGTGGATATTGCTGCTTGACGTTGCCGTCTCTGCATGGAACCTGCGTCGCACGGCACAAAGGAACTTGTGCGGTTGGCAATCTTGGGCCGTCGTGGTTGGAAGATCCTTCGACACGGCTGTAAAATGGACCAACAGGGAAATTGACGGAGGAAATGAGGAGACGACAATATGGAAGGATAAGAGAAAGAGGAGCATCGACTACGCATGTAAGTCAGTCGGACCATTTCCTTTGCTACAGTGCGCATGCTTTGGACGTTTATTTTGCACTGACAACAGCATCTGCGTCTTCGCAATTGTGTCTAGAGACGAAACGGAGGGCTTGAGAACGAAAAGCATGTTTGGTATTTTACCATGGCTTTACTGTTATGATCGCAACGACGCGACGACTGTTAGAGGATGACGGGGTCTCGGCCGTAGGCCCGCTGTTCCCAGGATTCTCCTCGTAGTGGATAACAGCGTTGCAGTCGCTAGCATTCGGCAGACCACCCTCCACAAACGAGATGTGCCCCTCACGGCTGTCCCGGACCATCACACAGAAACCGCTGCCCACACTGGCTGATACCATGTTCACGCCCACGACGGTTCCGCCGGCACCGCTGCCGATGCCACAACTCAAGGAGCTGCGCCCTGGCCTGGCGTTGCTGCCGCCGTTGTCGCGCCGAGGGACCGGACCAGGGCTCCTCGTTGTCTGCCCGTCGACGGCCGATCCGCTGGCGATTGTCGACGGCGTGCCGTGGCCGCTCGTCAAATGGGCCGAGGAGAGCTACACGGTCGTGCATGTGCAGCCTCGGGCCTTGAAGGGGGGTGCAGACAGGGCCGTCCAGGACGCGCTGGCGGCACTGTCCCGCAGCGACGAGTGCACGCCCAAAGGCAACGTCGGCATTGTTGGTTAGCATCACGTCCCGAGATGTTCTCATTGCCCATGTCCTAGTCATCATGTCCATGTTACTGACGGAGAACAGTGTATGGGGCCGCGTTGTGGAACGACTTGGCTGCGGCCATCCCCGCCAGCGAGATCGCTGCAGCAGTTGTCTATGCCGGTGCCTCGGAAGCCGATGCACTCGCCCCGTCGCCCGTTCGCATTCTGCATCATTTCGGCGGACCCAGTCCCAGTGTCGGCCGCACGCTCGAGCGCACCGCCGACCACACACGCTACTGGTACCCTGCCGTGTCCTCTGGCAGCTTTGCCGTCCCCTGGCAGCCCGCCTTCCACGCCGCCACCGAAGCCGTCGCCCACACCCGCAGCCTCGCGTTCCTGAAGCCGCTGATGGGCGGGCCCTACTTTGACCTCGAACTGCTCTGGGACGAGCACATCTACTACGAGTTTGGCGACCGCTCCGTCGCGCACACCATGGCCACCATGGTCCAGGAGCCGTACGTCAACCACGTGCCCACGCTGACGGGCGGCATCGGCCGTGCGTCCCTGTCGGCCTTTTACCGCGACCACTTTATCTTCTGCAACAGCCCCGACACCGCCCTCGAGCTGATCAGCCGCACCGTCGGCGTCGACCGCGTCGTCGACGAGTTCTTGTACACGTTTACGCACGACCGCGTCGTGGACTGGATGCTGCCCGGGGTGCCGCCGACGGGCCGCCGGGTGGAGGCGCCCTTTACGGCGGTCGTGAACATCCGCGGCGACCGGCTGTACCACGAGCACATTGCATGGGACCAGGGCACAGTGCTGGCACAGCTGGGCCTGTTGCCCGCGTATCTGCCGTTTCCATACCCCGTTGCAGGTGCGCCGGCCGACCAAAAGTTGGACTATCGGCTGCCGGTGGCCGGCATCGAGACGGCGAACAAGCTGCGAGACAAGAACGCCGAGCCCTCCAACCAATTGTTTGGCTACACCGTACGCGTAGCCGATGAGGGAAGTGATGCGACGAAGTGATGTACGTCGTTCAACATACATTTGAATACAATGTTGATTGTAAACGTTGTGTGGCCGTGACGTCTGCAGACAATTGTACAATTGTACACCATGTTTTAGTGGGTCCACACCTTCGAGCTCCCTGGAGCTTAGCACGCGTAGTGGGGTGATCTAACAACGAATCGCGACGACACTTTCTTGGCGCGCCATGCACCAGAACCTGCATCGTCTCTTCCCTCCGTTTCGAGAACCACGTCTACATACGCAATGGCCGACGCACTACCAACACCAGGGTCTGGCGAACGCGCCGTCCGTGGCGCGTTTGTCGTCCTCGAGGGGCTGGACCGCAGCGGCAAGACGACGCAGGTCGAGCTGCTGGCGAAGCGCTTGAGGGGACATGGACGCGACGTTGAGGTGATGCGGTTTCCGGGTGAGTCTCGTTCGATACGATGCGATGCGATCCTTTGTCACTAACCCCAGCACCAGACCGCACCACCCCCATCGGCCAGATGATCGACGCCTACCTCAAAAGCCAGGCCGCCATGGACGACCACGTCATCCACCTGCTCTTCTCGGCCAACCGCTGGGAGGCCGTCGCCAAGATTGCGGGCCTGCTGGCAGAGGGCACGACCGTCGTCTGTGACCGCTACTACTACAGCGGCATGGTCTACTCGGCGGCCAAGCACAACCCGGCGCTGTCGCTGCCCTGGGCGCGGGCGCCCGAAGTCGGCCTGCCGCGGCCGGACCTCGTCGTCTTCTTGGACCTGACCGAGGACGAGGCCAAGAAGCGCGGCGGCTGGGGCGACGAGATTTACGAAAAGGCCGCGATGCAGCGCAACGTGCGCCAGCTGTTTTGGGGCCTGAGCCTGGGCCGCATCGACCCGGACACCGGCGCCGCCGTCGACAACGACCGCCCGTCGACGCGGCAGCTCGTCTTCCGCGAGGAGGAAGAGGACCTGTACGTGACGGACGCATCGACGACGGTGGACGAGGTAGCCGATGCCGTGTGGACGGTGGCCAGCAAGCGCATTGCGGCCGTCGAGCGCGGCGAGCTGGGACGGACGGTGCGGCGGGTGACATGACGGAATAGGACGAGATGACACGGGATAACACGACGTCACACGAGCTATGGTGTACAACTACAATCATGACGGGACGCTTCCAAGTGAAGCAAAAATGGTAGATTTGTACAAAAATCGTAAGAGTGATGATAGCCCAAATGCTCCTCCAATGCCGTGTTGAGCCAACAGAATCCGAATGAAGAGAAGAACAAAGAACGCCGAAACAAAATGCACAGAATGCCTGCCCCTGTGCGACAGGGCTGCGGAACGTGTCTTGTTGAATACACGTCGTCAACTGGTGACCCCATCCTTGCCGTCTTGGCTGATGGCCGTTTTGCACAAGTGAGGAAGAAGAGGAAAGAAAGAAGAAAGAAAGAAGAAAGAAAGAAGGAAAGAAAGAAGATGACAAAAAAAAGTAGAAAACGCACAGCGGCCTGTCCGACCGCAGTTTGGTGCGCTAATGACGGTTCACGCCGACCAGGCTCAAAAACTCGTTGCGCGTCTTCTCCTTGCGCTCAAAGCAGCCCAGCACGCAGCTCGTAATCGTCGTCGCGCTCGTCTTTTGCACGCCGCGCATCACCATGCACAGGTGGCTCGACTCCATGACGACGGCGACGCCCTGCGGCTGCAGAATCTCCATGATGGCGTTGGCCACGTCCTTGGTCAGGCGCTCCTGGATCTGCAGCCGGCGGCTGAACATCTCGGCAATGCGCGGCAGCTTGGAGATGCCAATGACGGAGTGGAACGGGATGTAGCCAATGTGCATCTTGCCGGTGAAGGGCACCATGTGGTGCTCGCACAGGCTGTACACCTCAATGTCCTTGACAATCACCATCTCGTTGTGGCCCTCGTGGAAGATGGCGCCGTTCACCACCTCCCGCACGTTCTGCTGGTACCCCTGCGTAAAGTCCAGCAGCGCCTTGGCGTACCGGTCCGGCGTCCCCAGCAGCCCCGCCCGCTCCGGGTCCTCGCCCACGCACTCCAGGATCGTGCGCACCGCCCCGCGCATCTTGTCGAGCCGCACCGCCCGCTCCTCGTCGTTCTCCTCGAGACGCGCGCGCGTGCCCTTGCTGGGCCGGCTGAGGCCGTCAAAGTCGATGAACGGGCTCGGCGAGCGGGTCGCCGCCGCACTCGGTGCCTGCGACGGCGGCTGCGACTGCAGCTGTGACGGCTTGCCTCTACCACCACCGCTACCACTCGTCGGGCTCGGCGTCCGCACCGACGCCTTGGCGCTCGTGCTGCTCTCGGGCTCGTCGCGCGGGTCGCGCGCCGCCTTGCTCAGGCTGTGCCGGCGCTTGGCCGCCCGACGGACCGCCGACGATGCCTTGTTTCGGCGCCGCTTGCCCGCGCCGTTGGCGCCCGCCTTGGCCTCGTCGTTGTTGGTCGGCGTCGTGGTCCCCGCCGCGGCGGCCGTCTTGTCCTTGTCGCCGTTGACGTGGGGCAGCGGCATGGCTACATCGGTTGCTTCGTTGGCGGCCATGGATGTGTGGGTGGTAGTGGAGGAAGAGGAGGAGGTGGAAGAGGAGGAGGAGGAGGAGACGGGGACGGAGCGAGCGAGGATTGCGGATGAAAGCGGAAGGAAGCGAATTCGCTCCTAGTGCAACAAAATGTTGCGTTTCAGAAGGAAAGAACGCAAATTGTCATCAGCTTTGCGCTTTCCTCGCATGGTCTGGTGAGTCAGACGGTGTAAGACGGAGCAAAACAGGAAGGAGTGAAACTTTTCTTTTTTCCTCTACCAATGTCATGAACTGCTCTGCGCAGTAGTTTAGCGAAACAACCCGGCCGAACGAGGTCAATTTACTTTTTCTTTTTTTTTCTCGTTATTAAACTATTTTTTTTTCTTTCTGACTTGCTCCGTTGCGGGCAAGTGGCGTAGGACTTATCTTATCTCGTCCGCCGGTGTCGCCAATTCTGCAGTAGTTTTGACGTCAGGCTGTGGCTTGCTCCCACGTGCAAAGCATCCATGAGGCGGTGCTGGGACCCGCTTTTATGGTTCGGTGCTTTATGGGCCTAACGCGCGCCAGCAACGCTGTCACGGTTGGCTGTATCGCACTGTCCAGGAGCTCTTTGTTATTTGAGCTTCGCTTCATCTCCGTCGTCTTCAACAATTCACTCAGCGCCTTCCAACATCCCCCCGCCGGCATCGATACCCGTCTCTTTCATCGCGAATGACAATGGCGTCACCGTTCTCGTCACCGTCATTCAACATCGGCATAAAGAAGCGCACCGCCAGCGATGCCGCCCCCCAGTCGCCCGCCCTGAAGCGCCGCAAGGCCTCCAACATCTCCGCGGCCTCGTTTTCCGCCGTCTCCCATCCGCTGCGCCAGACATCCTTTCCTCCCGAAGACGCGTCTACGCCCTTTTCGGCGCGGTCACCCTCCGTCGACTTTGACAATACCAGCCTCGTCAGTGGTGGGCCCAGCTCCGTGGCCGGCGGAACGGCCGCCACGACGACGAAGAAGAAGCGCGGCCGCAAATCCAAAGCCGACAAGCTGCGCGAGCAGACGCCGAGCGCTGTGGGCGCGGGCGGCGGGCGGGGCGCGACGGCGGCGAGTGCAGTGAGCGGCACGAGCAGTGCCAACGGCGGCGGACCCAAGAGCAGCACGGGCGCGCAGGGGGACGGCACGGCGGCCGCGGGCGACGACGACGACAACGACGGCGGCGATGGCGACATGCCCGACTCGGGGGCGGCGACGGCCAAGCGCACAGACGAAGAACGCAAAGAGGAGAAGCGGCTGCGCGCCGCGCTCGTGGCGTGCATGGACAGCGACCAGTACGAGCGCATCTCGGCCTGGCGCGCGGCCAAGCTGCCGGACGCCGTCATCCGCCGCCTCGTCAACGCCACCGTCTCGCAGTCGGTGCCCTCGTCGGTCGTGACGGCGGTGCGGTCCGTCACCAAGTACTTTTTGACCGACCTCATCACGCGCGCCCAGACCGTCCAGGACGAGTGGATTGCCGCCGGCCACGAGCCCCAGACGGACGACGGCCGGCCGTGGCCGGGCATGGTGCTCGCGCGCGGCGAGCCCGAGGTGGCCGCGCTCTACGAAAAGCAGGCGTCGCTGGCCATCCCCGAGTGGGAGCCCGAGTCGGCCGACCACATCCTGCGGGAGCCGCCCAAGGGCCCGCTGCGCCCGGACCATCTGCGGGAGGCGTGGCGGCGCTACAGGGTGTCGGTGCAGAGCAAGACGGCGGGCGCGCTGGACCTCTGGCACGCGCAGCAGGGGACCGGCGTAGAGCGGTTTCCGGCGCGCACGGGCGGCAAGCGGCTGTTCAAGTGAGGGCCACAGGGGCGACGGACGGGACCGGCGTCTATCTACTGCCTGTTTTCTAGTCAATCAATGACGACGACGGCGAGAACACGGCCAGCGACGAAAATGTCTCGTCTTATCATTACGCTACCCGATCAAAGACACCCGAACCATTGTTGGTTACGACCAGCCTCTTCTCGATTCTCGATACGAATGGCCATAAGGGTGTTCTCAGGACACTGCATTTTCATCGCGGACTTTTCACGGCAGGTCACCCGAGCGGTTTGAATAGCCCGGCACTTCGTGGCCTCGCAGATTTGGGTCTCTCGTTTTGGCAGGGGTGCTGGTTTCAGACGAACCGATAGCCAGAATTACACTGCCAGTGGACCGCTCCAGAAATCGGGATTTCGCTGCAGGTTTGCTCTCACACAGGCAACAGAATGCGGCGGCTATGTTATGCAGCGCAAACAGCAGATCCTGCACACAGCACAGGGCGCAATAGCTCGGAAGCGGCCTGCAGAAGCACTCCGTGGGGGACAGCATGCGTCTGGCTGGATGAGTTTGGCTGGATGAGTTTGGCTAGATGAGTTTGGCTAGATGAGTTTGGGAGCCACTATCATTGGCCAGGCTTTCCGTGGAATTCGTCAGCCGATCGCAAGCTGCCAAAGCTGCCAAATGTCCCCGACCTGCATCTTTGTGCTCGCCAATACGAGGCGGATTCTCTGGCTGCATTACTTGTACTGCAGAGATGCATGCTGTTCAAGCAGCAGCACGTCAGACAATATAATTTCAGCTTTTACACCATTTTTACACCATTTTTATACCATTGTGATCCATTGTTTGCATTCTTTGGCCCTTTGACTAACAGTACTTTGTTGAATCCCGTCCCGTGTCTCTCCACGGCGTATCTCCAATGTTCCAGCCTCTCGACCATGGGTTCCATTGTTTTCTTCTCATTTTTGCACCTCTCAGTCGTCCGTGCGGAATCGCTTGACCCCCGTCAGCCATGCCGTGTCCACTGAACAGCAGATCTGCTCCGTTGCTCACTGTCCCAGGCAGTTGGGAAGCCGTTATTTGTCTACACGATCTCAGGCTCCATTTCTGATGCTGGCCCATTGTAGTCTACCCACTGGCTGGCCGCATGATACCCACAGGAGCTTCCTGGCAAGGCCTTGCATTCATAAATATTTTTCGCTCAGAGCTTGCTTTTTTCTCTTCTGGCCTTTTTCTTACAGAAACATTTGCCTTTTTAGCTGCATTTCGTTCATTCCCATCCGACATAAGGTGTCTGTAATTTATTTGCTCATTTGCTCAATCGTCCCCTCAGCCTCGCCACTTGGACCCCATGCAAACACCCCCACGAAAGAAAAGACGCACATAAAATACGTAAAATAATCCAGAAAAAGAACATGGCCGAGCCATTCAACACGCCCGTGCCCGGCGCAACACCTGTGCCAGGCGCGTCGCCGGTCTACGGCACGCCGGTTCCGGGCGCCACGCCGCGATCCACGACGCCCGAGATCGAACGCGCCGCCCGCCCCATCGTCCTCCACATCGGCGACGAGGTCCGCTACAACCCGGCGACATACGCCGAGTTCGCCCGCAAATTCGACATTGTGCGGCCCAGCCTCGCCGAGCGCCAGCGACCCGTCTTTGCCCAGGCCCTGCGCGAGGGCCGCTGGGGGCAGTTTGCGGCCATCTTCCGGCCGTTCTGGGGAAGTGGCGGTGAGATGGGCGCATGGGACGAGGACCTGGTGGCGCTGCTGCCCGCCAGCTGCAGGGTGTTTGCTAGTGCCGGCGCAGGGTTCGACTGGGCCGACACCAAGGCTCTGGGGGCTCGTGGTGAGTTGTAAGCACGCAGGCAAATGGCGTGGCAGCGTCAATACGGACGCGAGACACACCGTGACATCCGTGACAACCGTGACAACTAACACTGCATCCGCACAGGCGTCATTTATTGCAACGCCGGGCTGGCGGCCGCCGAGGCCGTGTCCGACTTTGCGGTGGCCATGGTGATTTCGACGTTCCGCCACCTGGCCTGGTGCATCGGCGCGGCCACCCTGGCCGACCCGGCCCTGCGAAGCGCCGCCTTTGCGGCCAGCCACAGCCGGACCACGGCCCAGTCGCACAACCTCCGCGGCCACGTCCTCGGCCTCGTCGGCATGGGCAACATTGGCCAGAGCATCGCCGCCAAGCTCGGCTGCGTCGCGTTCGGCATGCAGATCCACTACCACGACATCGTCCGCAAGCCGGCCGCGCTCGAGCAGGAGCTGCGCGCGACCTACCATGCGTCGCTGCAGGACCTGCTGGCGGTGGCCGACTGCGTCGTCCTCTGCACGCCCGCCGCGGCCGACGGCACGCCGCTCATCGACAAGGCGGCCCTCGCCCAGATGAAGCCCGGCGCCCGGTTTGTCAACGTGGCCCGGGGCTCGCTCGTCGACGAGGAGGCGCTGGCCGACGCCCTGGAGGACGAGGCGGGCGGGCTCGCGGCGGCCGCCCTCGACGTCCACGCCACCGAGCCTCACGTCCACCCTCGGCTCCTGCAGCTGGCCACGCTGTCGGCGGCCGCGTCGACGCCCATCCCGGCGCGCGTCATGCTGACCTGCCACAACGCGGGCGGCACCGTGGAGACGCACATTGGCTTCGAGGAGCTGAGCATGCGCAACATTATGGCCGTTCTGGACGGCGGCCAGGCCATTACCCCGGTGAACCTGCACTACATGACGTGAGAGTACAATGGAGGGCGGCGCGAATAGACTAGACCCGGTGTAGACGTCGAGGCGGGTAGCATTGCGGGTTTCAATTCATTTATATCGTCTTCATTTTTTATTTATATTTTGGTTTAGATAAATAATAGATGCATCTTTTTTTTGGTGAAAAAAGTCATTTCTTTTATTCGCACCTTTTTGTTTACAAATTTACAAAATAATAAAATACGCCTTTGAAATTAGACTTACAAGATTGTTCACATGGCATTTACTATCTCTTGTCACCGCAAAAAGGTATGCTCATCCTCACCTCTTCTCGAAGAAATACCCGCCTATCTGTACAGCCCTGAAAATCGTCTTTTTATCCCAGCATCTGAAACAGACTCGCACACTGTCGATACTTGTTTTGTCGCTGACTTGCCATGGTCGACTGGCCAGTGCGGCGATCAAACGCCACCCGCACAAGGCACACGGCGAACACAACTCCCTCTTTCTCCGTGCATCCGACTCGACTTCAAGTTTCCACGCCGTTTTGCTACACCAACTGCAAATTCAGCCTCTACTGTGCCCCAACCCTGGATCGTGCGACTGTTTCGCAACCTTTGCTTCCCCACTCTTCACTCTTCATCCAGACTTTTGCCAGCCTTCAAACCCATACGGCCGTGTCCTCCCGAATCGCCAGATGCTGTCAACCGTAAACCGTCTGTCGTAATCGTCTCCTGCCAAGGATCGGCTTCGTCCCAACTCTGTAGCAGAAGTTGGAGAGGCACTGTCTGCGCTTGATCGGATCGCCCGCCGGTTTGACTTGTCAGGGGTGTTCTTTTGGACAGGTCCGAAGGGGATGCAATGCACAAGGATGCACGATCCAGCATGCGGCGGGTGGAATGATTGCTCTGCCGCTCCCTGGTTTGAAGATTGTGAGAGAGGGAGAGGAAAAGAATGGAGAGAGACAGAGGACAGAGCGCCAGATCACTATATAAGAACGACCATGGCCTGGATCACGACACCGGCGTTTATTCTTGCCTCTTTTCCTCTCAAACAAAACCAATCCTACTCTGCAATCACACCCACACTCTACCTACCTACGAAGAAATTCCTTCTCGAGTCAACACTCCACCTCGCACAGCCACCGCCAACAACAATGTACACCTCCACCATCCTCGCCACCCTCCTCGCGGCCGCGACCGCCCACGCGGCCATCCTGGACCTGCGCGCCGCCGCCGACTTTGGCAAATGCAACCCGTCCATGGACTTCCAGCTGGGCCGCCCCGGCCGCAAGCCCGACGAGGGCACCTTCTTGCCGACGGACCCGCTGGTCGCCAAGGGCCAGCAGGACGCGCTCAACCCCAACATCATCACCAACGCCATCTGCAACCAGCTGACCAACGTGTGCGCCGCGAACCAGGCGGCCAAGGACGTGTGCACGCAGGCCAAGGCGGTCGTGTCGGGCCTGGGCACCAAGGACGCAAGCACAGCGGCGGCCTTCAACAAGGCGCTGGGCTTGTAAGGGAACGATGGGGAGTGCGTCAAACCGGAACAATAGGACATTAGGACAATAAGGGAAAAGGGGCGGGATAGGGATATAGCGATGCATCAAAACATTTTTTTTGAAACTGAACAACACATTGATTGCGCTTGAAAGTAAAAAGTAAAAAAAAATGGACGCCGTAGACAAGCGCCAGACAGACTCGTACAATGCCTCGCACATGGTAAAAAAATGGCAAGACTCGAGGACATCGCAGGAAAAGAAGAACTGTGGCAGACCCGTAAATTGTACATGGAAAAGTACATGGCAACACACGCTTCCACAAAGTAAAACACAACAACGCCACGACCGGCCTTTCGTACACACATGTTCCGGTCTAATACCCGCCCATCTTGACGCGGAAGAGGTAGCGCAGGCGGATCTGGTTTACATCGTAGACGATGTACTCGTTGTAGTACAGGCCTGCGTTTGGCACATTCGTGTCGGTCGGCGGCGAGCTGACGTCGGGCTGGAGAACAGGTTAGCACGCGAACAAAGCAGGACGTCCAAAAACACACGCACGTAGCCAGGCAGTCCACTCACCATCTGCACACCCGCCAGGTCCTTGTGCACGGCACTCGCGTCCTTCCACGCCGGCGGCGCCGTGCGGCCTTGGCCCAGCGTCGCAAAGAGACCGCTGGCCTTGGCGTCCTCGCCCGCCGTGTACGACGCCTGCGTCAGCTTTTGGAGCGGGTCGCCCAGCTTGGCCTCGCACAGGAGAAGCAGGCCCGTGCCTTTCGAGATGAACGATGCGCAGTAGCCGGCCGACTTGGACGACATGTCCGCCAAATAGATGCCCTTGCCGAACATGTAGCCAGACACGGGCGCCTCGGGCGGCGCAATGCGCAGGCCCTGGCCCAGGATACCACCAAAGTTGGTGACGCGCGAGCCGTGCCACAGCAGACGCGTGTCGGCGTCTTTGGCGGCCGGCGACGAAACGTGGCAGGCCTCGAAGCGGGCCTTCTCGCCCTTGCGCTCGATGCGGAAGATGTCCTCGATCTCGTACAGGACATTGTGCGTCTGGCCCGTGGTGGAGTTGAGGTAGTTGGCCAGCTCAACAAACTCGCTGCTGTTGCGGTCGAGCGGCGTGACCTCCTCCATGCCGAGGTTGTTGTACTGCTTGTCGGTCGGGTGGATGGAGCGGTCCTCGGACGACCGGGCCTTGTCGACCTTCATGAGCAGCTCGGCGTCCTTCATGTCGCTCAGACTCTCGAGCAGCTCAATCTCCTTCTTGAGACGCGTGTTGTCCGCAACCACGGGCGGCCGGTGCCTGCCAAAGTCGTGGGGAATGACGCTGTAGTACAAGTTGGACAAGCTCTCGACGGCGTTCGGGTACGTCATGTGGTATTCGGTCGCGGCCAGCGATTGGTCGTCCAGCAACGCCGACAAATTCTTCAACGCCTGGAAACCACGTGTGATGGTGGTCTTGCTCAGCTTGCCGAGCGGCAGCTTGTTGGCGTCGTAGTTGAGATCGGACATGGTGGCAGCAAAGAACTGGCGGTTGAAAATGAGCTCCATGAGGCGTTCGACAGGCCGCGCCAACGTGCAGTCGGCAATCTTCACCTCCTCATCCTCTTCCCCTTTCACCCCGCCATCGTCCGGTTCGTCGCCCGACTCGTCATCGCTGTCCGGCTCGTAGTTGCGTTCCACGTACGCATACTTGCCAGGCCGCGGGTCGTCGCTGCGCCGCTCCCAGGCAAGGCCCGACTTGTCGCGGAACTTCTTATTGAAGTTCTTCAGGGCGTCGTCCATGCTGCCGCCGCCCAGCATGGCCGACTGGCCGGACTCGCCGACGCGGCCCCAGCGCGTCCACGTGTAGAACTTGCCCGCCGTGGTGCGCAGGAGCTGGATGCGGTAGAACTTGTTGTTGTTGTTGCCCGAGTTGGTCTGGTTGAGAGAGGCGTCCCACACAAGACGGTCGTCGTCAATGTGGACGGCCACATTGGGCATGGAGCAGAACTCGTCGACGGGCACAGATAGAACAGGTGCCGCCTTGGTGTCCGCTTTCACGTCCTTTTTTGTGTCTTGCTTTGTGTCTGTCTTCTGGCGCTTCGCGTCTGGTGGAGCAGCCGCTGCTGCGTTCGCGCCATTGGTGCCATTGGTGCCGTTGGCCGCAGCTGCGGCCGGAGCGGCTCTCTTTTTGCCCTTGGCAGCCGGAGCAGGAGGAGACGGTGGCGCCGCTACCGGCGGAGCTGCCAATAGATACGGCATCTCGTCTTTCATGGCATTCGACGACACACAGTCGAGGAGCCATTGCACGCCGACAATGGGAATATCGAGCTTCTTGGCGGCCGTGACCTTGGCCGTGGGCTTGTTGAAGTTGGTGGGCGATGCAATGAGCTGCGTGGCATCCGGCGTGACAGAGTCGAGGGGAGTGGCGCCGAGCCCTTCAATGTGTTTTTTGAGCACAGCTTGGTTCACCTTGGGGAACGTGCCGCACAGAGCAATCTTACAGCCGGCAAGCGGCTGCACGGGTTTTTTGCGAGGAGGCATTGCAGATGTGGTGGGAGCGATGGAATGAAAGTATTAGACGTAATTCGTAGTAGATGGGATGAAGCAATGGAGCTTTTGTGTTGTAGATGAAAATAAGTGGGACGAGCTGGACGATGCAAGTAAGACAGCGAGGACACAAGGAAACAAGAAGACAAAGGGAAGAGAGAGGCAGAAAGTGGGAACGGGGAGGGTTAAAAGAGAGGAAGAGAAACGTGACGGAGAGAAAATGAGGGGGAAGACAAGGCAAAATGGACGACGAGGATCCGATCAAGTTTGCAAGTCCAGCTTCAAGTCCAGCTCTCCGTCATCAAATGGCAGGAGCGAAGCTTAAACGACAAGCTAACGTCAACAAACAAATGACGGGTCCAGTAGGCCAGGCACAGCCTCCGCATGCTGGCCCGTCTGTCGTTTTTAGGGGAACAATTAGGGGACTATGTCACTAGGACAGGGGGGAGTGGCACACCATTGGCTTGGCGGCCGTTCCTGCCTGCAGAGTGGGAAAACGCGAGTGATACGCAAGGCAGGTTCACCCAAAGTGCAAAAGCGGCAAGTACGACAGGCGTAGCACCAGGCAGAACCAGGCAACGGGACCCACTCTCTCATCAAGTGCGAGGAAGGTGCAACTGGCACTGCTGACGCCGTTGGCCATTGCTCTCAGCTGCTGAAGGTTGAACAGAAACGCGAGACTGGCGCCGGTTCACGTGGGCCGTTCAGGGGCCAGAGTGACGGACGATGGAGCGCAACAGGGGCGGGGCTGCTCGCATGGTTGGCTGGGAGAAGTCGGTAAAGTCGGCTGCCGCGATGCCGTGATCCCACTGTTGGTGATGCTTCTTTTAAACATATCCGAATCGGGCGACCAGTGCGAGGCAAGCGTACGTGCAACGTAAGTTTCAATTAAAAACAAGAAATTAGAAAGCAAACGACAAACGGCAGCACACTACAGTTCCAGCGTGATTAAGATGAAATGGAAACATAAAGTCAAGGCAAGAGACTCAAAAACGCCAAAACTCGCAATCAAACTCGGGCAACACACCGCCAACCCAATCATCTGCCTGTCGGCAGAGGCGGCACCGGCGGTGGTGCCGTGCCGTTTGTATTCGCATTCGCATTGCCATTTCCTTCGCCCTCGCCATCGTCGTCGTCGTCGTTGTCGTCGTCGGCCATGTCCTCAATCTCCTCCGAGTGGCCCAGGAACCGCGCCACATTGCGCATCTCGTAGTGCTTCTTGCGCATGGCCTCGAAGCGCAGGTGCTTCTCGCGCTCCTCGGCGTTCATGCCGGCCATCGGGTCGTCGCCGTCGTGCACGCTGCCGCCGCCGTACGCGCTGCCGTGCTCCGAGTCGTCGACCTGCACCTTGGCCGTGCGCGGCGGCGCCGGCGGGAACTCGCCGTCGGGCACCGCCTCTTCGGGCTCGCCCAGCGACAGGCCGGGGATGCTGCCTTCGCGGTCGGCGCCAAAGTACCCGTTCGAATTCGTCTTGTCGCCGTTTGCATCGGCCTCGTCGTCCGACGGATCCTCCGCCGGGTCGTAGTGCTTGGCATACGGCGTCTTGGGCTCGTCGATTTTCATCGTGGCGGTGCGCTCTTGCTCCGTCAGGTACAGGTTGACCTCGTCCCACTTGAGGCGCTGCTCGTTCGGGTCGGCCTCGGTGACCTCGCCGCCATGGGCCGAGGGCGTGCGGCTCGACGGCCGGCGGGAGCCCAGGCGCGCAGCTGACGACGAGCGGCGGTGGCCGGCGTTGACCTGGGTGTTGAGGATGGTGCGTTCCTTGTCGGTCAGGGGGTGGTCCGCGTCTTCGGTGGAGGGCAGAGGAGCGGCCGCAGAACGCGGGGACGTCGGCGGGGAGTGTTGATACGAGCGCTTGAGGATGCCTGCACGAATTAACAGACTGTTAGGGACATTGCGTGACAAGGCATATCGACAGACATGAAAGAGGGCTCGCTAGGGTTTACCTTTGGGCCGTTGAACGTTGGGCGGCGGCGGGGTGTGCGCAGGCTGCTCGCGCCCTGTGGTTGCTTCGTCGGCCATGGTATCGTGCAGAGAAGACGTTGAGAATAGATTGCCACTGCGGTATGGTGTGCAGGCGATCGTCAGATTGCGTAGATGGCGTTCTTCGATGTGTCGTGTGCTGGACTTTTGGAGACGAGGCACAGATTCAACCGGAGGGGAAAGAGGTAGGCTGGGGTCTTGCAGAACGAATGTACCTTCTGTTTTATCACTAGCGGGGTTCAGAGGACCCGGCGTGCTGTGATTGGCTGGTGAGAGGTACGCCCGGGGAATTACATCATAGGCCAGTGGCTGCTGTTAGTGACCTCGTTAGTGCATGAGCGCTGTAATTTGGATCCAGTAAACAAACCAAATCCAGACTTGGCATTTGACATGATCATGACATGATCTTTGTCAACACGCACTGTTTACTATCATCACATCCACCGCCACACCGACGCGCACGCGTTTGGCCAACATCTGGAAAGCACCCTGTGTGTAGAACCGGAGGAGTAGGGACGAAATTCTCGCTCAAGCCAGGCAGATACGCGGCCGGATACGGACTGCATGATTCTCGTCTTTCATTCACAGCAACGGCGGCTGCTCATCACCCCAGGCCGACCACATGCCATCGAGGCCAAAGTCAAGCAAACCGCTGCTTAAGTCTAGTCCCAGATCAACACTGTCGTCACCAAACAAGCTACCTGAAGGAGGGCCGGACGAGGGCAATGCTGTCGACGACGCATTTGCAGTCTCAGCTCCAACACGGCCCGAGAAGGGAGTGTTGCTCTTCAGAATGGTTTGGCCCGTATCGGTAGGAGAACGAGATCCAGTTCCAACCCGCTGCACTGTCCCCGCCTGTGTTCTCCCTGTAATGGTTTCGGCCTTGGCCTTGAGCGCCGCCAAGACGGCGAACTTGGCGCCAAAGCCCGTCGCGGCACTCTCGTGACTGGCCACCGTCTGTGCCCCGTTCAACTCGTGTGCGAAGAGTGTGTCCAGTGCCGTCCAGGCGTCGCCCACATGCGGGCCGTGCGGCTGGAGACAGAGGTGCCACAGCACGTACATGACGATGTGGTACTGTGGGAAGGCCTGGCGGGGGCCAGGCGTATCGGAGGAGGAGACTGTCCTCGTGGAAGAGACGCGGCTGGAGGATGGCCAGGGCTTCCACCAAATTGGCGTCGGTGACCAGCTCGACGGCACCGCCACGGCCGACGAGCAGCGCCCACTGCAGCCGGGACACAAAGTCGAGCTTGCGGAGGAGGAAGCGGCTGCAGGAAATGGTCATTTGCTGCTGGGGCAGCAGCGGGTTGCAGCGGCCGAGGCGCTGTTCCACGTCGGCACGGAGGTCAGCCATGATGCGGTCACGAGTGTCTTCCGACGACGGTTCGTCATCACTGGTAGTTGCGGCAGCTGCCAACGCGGCTAGCCGCTGCGCTGTTCGATACAGCGCAATATGGATCAGCGAGAACGTCATGGCCGTCCAGCCGGCCTTTTCCTTGGGGAGAGTCTCCATGTCTGGCACCAGGTCGGCGTCATCCACGTTCAACGGCAGCTGCACATCCGACTCGGCCAGCAGATTGCTCCCACTGCCCAGGGTCGCCATGTTGTCGAGGCCATAGTCCTCGCTCGCGCGCCCGTCACGCGATAGTAGGTGCCACCATAGCCGGCGGCGGATCTCGGCCTCGAAGGGCGTCAGGGTACGCTGGGTGGTGCGCCGCAAACGTTGCCCGTCCCGGTGCAAGCCCAGCGACTGGGCCACCCGCACGGCCAGACCGTTGAGCACCCACAGGCCTTTTCCGCGATTGCAGAAACGCAGGCTGGCCAGATAGATGACGAGGGCGTGCAGACCCGTGAGGGTGGGGCGGTCGAGAAAGTCGCCATGCGCCAGCGACTGCTCCAGGCCGAGCTTGAGCTTCTGCAGCATGTCTGTTTTGCTGATGCTGAGGTGTCCATCACCTTTCAGTAACAGAGCGGCCTCTCCCTCCTCCAACGACACCAGGGCAGCAAAGTATATGGCAAAGCAGAGGGCCAGGTCGTCGTACGACGTCGCATCCGGGTCGTGGATCGCAGAAAAGACGCGTACCTCGTCCGTAGGCACGTGCAGCAGTTTAAGCCCCGAACAGCCGTCGACTTTGTCGAGGTAGGTGTGCCAGAGGCGGATGGCCAGCGTTCTGGGGGGGTGCAGACTGGAGGGCAGCTGTGAAGGCGTCGGTGCTGATAGGATGCCTAGAGCACTGAATGGGGAGGGACAGGGCGCGACAGTAGTGCTGCACGAGCGATTGGTGGGGCGAGTATGGGAGGCCAGTGCGGACAGGCTGTGGCCAATGCGACCGTCATCATCGTCGCCGATAACGCGAGCCAGCAAGACCTCGTTGAAGTATTGACTCGATGAGCCTCTCTCCACGAGTACGTCGACAGTGTGTCCAGGAGTGACAGTATCTCGCGTTGATGCGTGTTGTGTTTGCCGGTGCGTCACCCGCTTCTCTGCCATGCCAATGCTCTTTGGCACGCCCTTCTCCTTCAACTGCGCCTCTAGATCGGCAAGCCGCGACGCCATGGCGGCCATGATGGCCCCTTTGGTCCGCCGAACGCGAGGGCCTGGCGGCGGGTACGCGCACGACCGCCCGGCGCGTGTGCAGCGCTGGCATGGCCGCGTCTTGTCGCATCGAATCTTTTTGGCTTTGCAGGCGAGACAGGAGCGCGGACTGGCCCGTGTTTCGGCGGTCGGTGGCGTACGACTTGCACCTGCGTCGGAGGCGGGTGTAAACGAGGCCGGCGATTGTGCGTGCGCATGCAACTGGTCCATGCTGGTTGCGAGACAGAATCTTGGTCCCGAGGGCCCCGAGGTCTGTTGCGTCCGAAAGGGAAGACTGCCTGCCTTTATTCCGTCAGAAGATCGTGGACAGTCTGAGCGCGGCATTAAAATGGGCGATTTTATCACCGAGGTCACTCTGGCGCCGCAGACGTCAGCGGGACGGCGCTAGTTTTGGGCCTTTAATGTTAAGGTTTTGGGCCTGAGGGGGGCCTTGAGGAAGGTCGTGCCCGGTGTTAGTCGACGCATGACGTGTTGACAGACGATGTTGTGCGGCGTGTGTCTTTTGCGAGCATGTCAACTGCAAGTGAATAGACTCACTGGTACGAGTGTACTTACGGAGACTTAGCAGAGGCAACAAACCCGATTGATATTCTGCTTTCGTCCCGTCACGTTCACCCAATCAACCTCCTCCACAGCCTACACCGAACATCTAAAATGTCCTCGCCTCGAGCTACACTGTCGGCCACACCGTCGGTCGACGAGGAAAACAAGGTTGTTTCATCACCAGCGATGCGACAATTGGCCCACGACGGCGGCCTCGCAGCGTGGACGGTCGTGCTCGGCACGTGGCGCACGTCGTTTTGCAGCTTCGGCTGGCTCAACATAACGCTACCTGCTGGCGGTCGGTACCGTTTTGCACGTCTTTGGCATCATGATGACCAGTTTGGGTGTGCAGTACTACTAGATTCTGCTGGCCCAGGGCGTGTGCTCAGCCGTTGGCGTGGCGGCCATTTTCCAGCCGGCTGTGACGTCTGTGGCCGGGTGGTTTGACGGGCGCCGGAGCCTTGCGTTTGGCATTGCCTTTACAAGATCGAGTCTGGGCGGCGTTTTGTTGCCCACCATGGTGACGCGCCTGATGGCGCGGGTCGGTTTCGGTTGGTCGATGCGCATCTCGGCGTTTGTCAACCTGTTTCTGCTGTTGATTGCCAATATCTCGGTCCGGCCGTACGCCGCCCCACCGCAGCACGACGTCCAGCCATTGCCAACGGCACCGAAACGACGCAATCCCTTGACAGAACCCAGCTGTGTCCTCTTGATGGCCCGTTTCTTCTTGTTCAGCTACGGCTGCTTCATCATCTCCCTGCCCGTCCATGCCCCGGCCGCCGGCATGGACGCCAACCTTGCGGCGTGCATGCTGCCCATCATGAATGTCGGCTCCCTGTTTGGGCGCCTCTTTACCGGCTGGAGTGGCGACAAGACTGGGCAGTTCAACGTGTTTATTGCTGTGTGATTTTCTGACGGACCTCTGGACGCTCGGGCTGTGGCGGCCCGCAGGCGGTGACGGATCTATCATTGCCGCATTCGCAGTTTTGTTCCTAGAAGCCGGGCTTCTTTTCGGTCGTCTTTGTTCGTTGGTGGCGTCCCTGGTCATGGCCATCTCGCCCATGCCCGAGCTGGGACTGTGCAGCGGCATTTGTGCCTTGACCATGGCCGTCAGCGGGCTGACAACGAACCCCATCAACGACGCCATGTGGCGTGGACGCCCTCGCCGCCATCGTGCGCGACCTCGTGCACCACGACTACGCCCAGCGCAGCACGGGCGTCTACAACCTCGTGAACCCGGCCGTCGGGCAATGGGACGACCTGGTGGCGGTGATGCAAAATGCGTGGCACGGCATCCAGGTCGTCTCGTTTGACGAATGGCTGGCGGCCCTCCAGACAGCCGACCAGAACCGCCAGACGACCGGCGAGCCCGACCTCGAGGCCCTGCCCGCTCTCAAAATATTGGACTTCTACCGCGGCCTGGCCGACGAGGCGGCGATTCCAGCGGGTTCACGCGTCGCCCACGAGACGGGTCGCGGAACATCCAACAGCGCCACCATGGCCGGTCTGGGGCCGATTGACGGTGCAGCCATGGCCACCTGGCTGAAGCAATGGGGCTGGTGAGACAAGTTGCGAGTTTGTTGCTTTTGGGTATTAAGTTAAACAGTATACAATGTTCTCGAGGTGTAAATACAGTCTATCATATCAAAAGTGTTGGGTACGCCCTGAACAATTGCACTCCTTCCTCCGTCCCCCCTCCTCACCTCATAACGCTCTGCACGTTTCTCTGAATGCCGCTCCAAGGGGCGGCATCCGACTTGCCGGGAGCGGATCAGCAGCACGACGAATGTCCCCGCGCAAAGATCTTGAGGGCCGGCCAGCCGCCGGGTCCTGGGGATCCATTCGATGGTGTTCATGGCGCTGGGCAGACGGCCCAGGGCCCGCGACGTGCGCACGAGGCTCGGCAGCCACTCGGTCGGGTTCCACTGGCCGCCGTCGGCAGCGAGTGGCCCGGCCACCTGGCCGACGCGGAGCGTGGTCGCATAGAGGCCTGCGTTGGCAACGGCACGCGCCAGGACCTGTTCCGCGACGTGCTTGGACTCGCCGTAGCCCATGGTGAGGGCCACGCGGGGGTCGTCGAGGGGCGCTTCGGGGACGCTGGTCGGTGCCCGCGCATCGACGCCGGCACCGGCACCCTGGACACCCTGGACACCCTGGACGGCCGACCAGTTGGCGACCGACGACAGCGAGGACACGTAGAAGATGTGCGGCTGCCGCTCCGAGGCCAACGCGAAGTCGACGACGTGGCGCACGCCGCGAATGTGTGTTTCCTCGAACGAGGCGAGGCTGTGGTTGAAGTCGACCTTCCAGGCATTGTGTATGACGACGTCGACGGCGGCGCGGAGGCGGCGGAACGTCGGCGCGTCAAGGTCGAACTGGGGGTCGCTGAGGTCGACCGTCACGAATTCGGTGCGCTGCGGGTCGGCGAGGCCCGACGTCCACTGTGCGGCGCACGCGCACAGCCTGTACGGGCGCGCGTTCTGCGCGCTCGGGACACCCTTGGACATGCTGACCTAGGATAGCTCCGCCTTTTATCAGAGCGTGGCCCTCTACCGGCAGTTCAACGGCGTCGTGCTCGACGCCGCCGAGGGCGCCAACATTGCCCGGGCGCTGGTCGCCGGCAAGGCCTGCCTGCTCCAAAACCACGGGCTGCTGACCGTCGGCCCCACCGTCGAGGCGGCCGTCTTTTGGTTCGCGTCGCTCGACAAGTGCTGCCACATGCAGCTGCTGGCCGAGGCCGCGTCCCACGGGCACGCCAAGACGATCGACGAGGCCGACGTCGCGTTCACGGCCAAGAGCGTCGGCAACCCCACCATCGGCTGGTTCAGTGCGCAGCCCATGTTTGATGTAGTGATGGAGGCAATTGGCGATGCCTATCTGCAGTAGGCGACAACGAGGCGGGCTGGAAAACTCGGTACGTGGCCCAACAAGACACCGTTGGTACTGTTTGGCAATTGACTCTACCCTCCTTGGAGCTGCACATTTTTCAGCAAGAGTACACCCAAGGATCCGAGCGCAGATAGCACTGCATAGTCAGCACGTGCCGATGCCCTGTCATGTCATGGCCGGTTTGGAAAGGCGAAAAAGTGCCTCACTCAGCATGTGAACACCGGCAGAGTTGAAGGGCTGCTCTCGACTGGATGCTGTCATTCTTGTATTTTTGACGTTGCATTTGATTTTCTGAAAGTTTTCATCGATTTGTCAATCTTTGTTTTAGTCTCATCAAATGTATTGCGAGCAAAACATTCATGATGCCTCCGTGTTTTTCTCTGGACATTTTATATATCTCATCATAGTGGTTACAATTCGCACACCACAGCCTGTCTGATACTTAGTATCTAAGGATCAGATCATGCTTTAATTCCCTCATCCTTCCAAACCTGTTTGCTCGTCGTATCATCTTGATGGTGGTCACAATATAGCATGCGAATTCGCCTCAGCCAAGAGTCACGTGATACACACAGCGCTACCATCTTACTTGCACTTCTCTCTCCTGCGCGCCTGCACCCCGACTCTTTCCTTACCACATCTCGATTCATTCGTACCGCCCTTCTTTGACATAGACTTCGGCCACGTTTGTTCTTTGTCTGGGATACGGCATTGTGACGGCTTTACCGGCGGGCCTGCATGTTCCAGGACTCGCTGCCCGAGCGAGCGAAAACGGGTGGTTTCAAATGCCGAGTTCGTATCCTCCCGCTAGGAGACGGTGAAACACGGCCGTGTCCGGCCGGAGAGTAGCACGGAGTACGGACTGCTTACGGTGCCCGCGGTTGCATACTGTGTACTCTGTAGTAGCGTGTTGGGGTGTTATGGTGGAGAGAGAAAGGCTAGGCGAAAGGGAAACAACGGCCAATCACGGCTTAGAACGGGGCAGTGCTCGGAAGCGTGGGGATGTTCTTCGCGTGGTTTCCTTTGTGTGTTTCTGAAAACAATACACGGAGGGATTTAAGATAAGGCACTGCTAGGAGACGGAGTGTGGCCGAGCTTTACCGAGACCTTTGTGACGCGGCGTGCTGACGTAGTTTTGCATTGTTATGGCGGAAGTGGATGAATACGACAGAGGAAAATACGGACTCTGTACTGGGAAGGTCGTTGTCAACTGCAAAAGGGGAGACGAGAAGAGTGTGAAGCTGCCAGTCCAGGATTCGGTACGTCATGGCCCCGTTCGCTGTTCATGCTCGGGCGTTTCGCTTGTTTGAAAAATAGACTTTGATGTGATTGGTCCATGCAATGCCGGGAAGCAAGACGAGACGAAAATGAACCAAATCGAACGAGTAGGAGGACAGGAGAAAACAAAAGGACAGCCACGGAAGAAGGCTACCAAGGAAGTAAGAGAGCGAGCAAAACGACGAAGGAATGGGAAAGGTAAGATGTCAAGAAGCGAAAAAGAAAGTACCGTATGTAACGTGGACTCTCGGACGGGTAGGAATGTCAGATTGTGAGGACTGCGAGGATAGGCAGAGCAGGTGTGGAACAGCATTGTCGATACCCACAAACAACACTGGATGTGCAGGGAGGGCCACATCCCACCACACTTAGGTCCTGATAGGCTGCGGCACTCGATACAAGCGAGCCATGCTATTGGCTGTCTCGGGCGGTGTCGAAAAAAGGATACAAGACGGGCTCGACAGGCGTCCTTAGCCCTTACGAATAGTATTGGAATAGATGTAATCGAGGATAGCTCGCACAGTGTGGCGAGACGGCATGAACGAAATTTCTAGCGGCGGCCATGGCGACTCGGCAGTGAAAACTCTGAGGCCGAAAGCAAAGAAATACGCCGAATGGGACACTGCCTCGAAGCCGAAGGGTAGTACATTGGCGGCTTAAAAATATGAGATGTGCACTGTGCGCAATACTTTGTGTCGGCACGGCGACAAAGCGGTGAGGGCGATCGCCAGGGCGACGGCGACGGTACGAGTTGACAATGAGGAGCTGAGGAGCCACGTTACGTCTCCGCGCTCTCACATGTCTGGAACGACGGTGTGGCCGCCGTTGTTTAACATCGTACCACCGACTCCAGGTTTGTCTGAACTTCTGGGTTCGTCCAGCCAAGACATGCCAGGATACGCGAGGGCATGCGGAGATATGCAAAGACATGCAACAATACGTAAAGATGAACAGAGATATGCGGCGCCTTTTCCAGCTTTCCATGCTCGAACAACCTTGGTGCAGAGATTGGCCCATGTTAGCTCCGTGCCGTCCTTGGTAATCCCTGACGCGAAGGAGCAATATCGTGCGAGTCTTGACACTCGCCTACTTGTGCTCCGTCACAATAAGTGTACAAAGTAGATATGCATGCATCTGCGGTAATACTGCGAAATATGCGAGAGGCGTCCTCGGCGTCGTAACAGTCCACAGTGACGCTCGAAAACGGCCGGGCATACAGGCATGATTATGTCGACCCTGAATCCGAACGGTCTTGGCGTGCTGCCTTGCCAAGGATGCTTGTCTCCATGTGCGTTACCACGGCTGTCGGCCAGTCGTCCGTTCACGTTGGACGTTGGCCGTTGGCCGTTTGTGCCTTCCTCGCGGAGCGACGTTGAGCTTGTTTTCAGGGCTCTTTCCTATTTGTCCGTCCCCGTAACTGCCGGACACCAGCCTCGTTCCTTCCCTGCCAACCAGACAAGCATCTCACTCTTTTTCTGGCGTATTGTTTCCTCTACCTGTATCTCCTTTCTGATAATTCTTTCATTCCTTTCTTTCGGTATCTTTCCGTTTCATCCTTCTGCCCCCGTCGAATTGTTACCCTCGAGTCCCGGCGGTGCCAGTTTGTCTACATTGTCGGCCTCGCAGACTAAACAGAACCTCTGACGTCATCGGGGCCACTGTTTTTCAGGGGTCCCAAGGGTGGCCTTGGCACCGAATACTGACCTTGCTGGCTGTGGCAGTCCGCCGTGTGGCCCCACTTGCGTCCACCAGAGCCCCACTTTTCCCGACCTAAGTGCAAACTCGTTCATGCTGGCGGTTCCACCGAGGCTCCATAGTTCGCCAACTTCAGGCGATTTTGACTTCACCTCAGTCATATTTCATTCTTTCGTTCACAATAAAAACCGTTCACCACCAGCCACTAGGTACTGGTGTACTCCGGCCGGCGTCGCCTACGCGCCTCTAATTCAGCGCCCCGTACCTCCTGGCCGCGGGGCCGCAGGCGAACACAACATGGCGCGACCGAAGGAGAACCTAACGAAATATGGGGAATATTATGAAGGGAGAAGTCACTTTTCGCCTTGTTCCGGTACTTTCGGTACTTGAAAAGTTTGCTGCCTCCGTCGCTTTGTCGCTTTGTCACTTTGTCACTGTGTCACTTTCTTATTTTGTGTCTGTTTCCGTGTCCAATTCGACGGCGCCGGCGCTTATCGACAAGAGAAGCACGTAGAACGGAGACACTGACAAAAAACAGAAAAAAATAGAACAATTCGCCCTCCCGAGGATTATTCGTTTTGTCGGTTTGTCAGTTCTCGTTGATAATCAGAGAGGGCCCCGAAAGGTATAAAGGCACGTCGGCCTGTTTTGATTTCTCCAAACATCGACAACATCTTCCCTCTTTCTTTTTACCTCACTCTCTATTCTATTCCTCTTCTTTCAACCGTCTGAGACGTCCATTCCTTTGTTATCATCTTTGGCTTTCATCTCGATACCATATCCATCTCTCCATCTTTCCATCTCCACGTTTCTCCGTCTCTCCATATCCTCCACAGATACCTCCATCTCTCTCCACCCCCACAAACCACACATCATGTCCCGCCTTGAGAGACCTGCCGGCCCCAACCGGACGGCTTCGGCCAGCAGCTTCGCTGAGGCCTTCAGCATTGCCCGCAGAAACCTCGAGGACCAGATCTCGCACGAGGAGCCGGTCTCCCCGTCGGCCGAGCTGTCGTCGCCCGATCTGCCGCCCACCGACGCGCCCTCGCTGTCCAACTCCAACGTCATTACGCCGGCCGGCCTGGCGACACCCCTCACCGAGCCCGAGACGCCGCCCACGGACGAAGACAGCGATGTGGCCGACAACTTTGCGTTCGCCTTTGACATTGACGGCGTCCTTGTGCGTGGCGGCCAGCCGATCCCGGAGGCCGTCGAGGCCATGAAGGTGCTCAACGGCGACAACAAGTACGGCATTCGAGTGTAAGTCACATGACCTTGACGTGAGAACAACGCAACCCGCCCAAGCAAGCTCATTTGCTAACTTTGTCGTCCTACAGTCCCTACATCTTCCTTACCAACGGCGGCGGCAAGACGGAGGCCGAGCGCTGCGTCGACCTGTCGGCGCAGCTGCAGCTCGAGGTCAGCCCCGGCCAGTTCATCTGCGGCCACACGCCCATGCGCGAGCTCGCCGACCAGTACCGCGGGGCGGTGCTCGTGGTGGGCGGCGAGGGCGAGAAGTGCCGCAGCGTGGCGGAGCACTACGGCTTCCGGGACGTGATTACGCCCGGCGACATCATCAAGGCCAACGCGGCGACGGCGCCGTTCCGCAAGCTGACGGACCAGGAGCACGCCAACTCGCGCGACCTGCTGGCGCGGCGCGGCATCGAAAAGATGTCGGACATTGTCATCGAGGCCGTGTTTGTGTTTGCCGACAGCCGCGACTGGGCGTCGGACCTGCAGATCATCCTGGACATTGCCATGTCCAAGGGCGGGCGCCTCGAGACGCGCTCCGAGACGTTTGACGAGGGCCCGCCCATCTACTTCTCGCACAGCGACGTCGTCTGGTCGGCCGCGCACGAGCACGTGCGCCTCGGCATGGGCGCGCTGCGGCGCATTGTCGAGACGGTGTTTGCCGAGGTCACGGGCGGCAAGACGCTGACGACGCACGCCTTTGGCAAGCCGCAGGTGTCGACGTTTGAGTTTGCCACGCGGCTGCTGCAGCAGTGGCGCGCCGCGCAGCACGGCCTCGTGGCCTCGAGCCGGCCGCTGGACACGGTGTACTTTGTGGGCGACACGCCCGAGTCGGACATCCGCGGCACCAACGCCATGGACGCGCGCAGCAAGACCACGTCGTGGTACAGCGTGCTGGTCAAGACGGGCGTCTACCAGGACGGCACCGAGCCCGCGTACACGCCCAAGGCCGTCGTGCCGACCGTGCTGGACGCGGTGCACCACGGCATTGAGCGCGAGATGCAGCGGCGCCAGGCCCGCCGCAGCCGCATGGACGCCAAGACCAACCAGGGTGCCTTTATGGAGAAACTGGCCACGATTGAGGTGACCGACTGCTCGTAGAGGATTGGCTTTTTGCTTTTTGGGTTTTACTTTTCGGGTTTTGATTTTGGATTTTGGATTTTGGATTTCCTTTGTTCTTCCTTCTGCTTTCAATGATACACCCTTTTCGGACGATATAAACTAGATACAAAAAACAGAATTGGCGTTTTGGTTGGGATAGATGATAACGATCAATAAGACTTTTACACCAAGAACTGCACATGCTTCCTTTCATGTATCCAATGTATTGATGCACATCTTACACCGTCAGAATCTGCTCAAAAAACCCGGCGTACCCGCGCGTGTCGTCCCGCAGGTAAATCTCCAGAATCCAGTGGCGCTGCTGGCCCTTGGCATTGCGCCCGCGCAGCGGCGCGTGGTTGCCCGGGGCCATGTACAGCGTGATCTTGTCGTTGGGGATGCGCTCGTGCGGGAAGTCGCCGACGAGGTGCCCGCAAAAGACGTTGCCGTACGTCCAGCCGCGCCCGCTCGCCTCGCCGGCCTCTCTGGTCAGGCGGACCGCGACGTCGTACAGCTGCGCGCCCGTGATGTCGGGCCGCGCGTCGAACTCGGCCTTGATCGCGTGCCACAGCGGCGCCAGCGCGTCCCGCAGGGCGATCTTGTGGGGGTCGTCGCCGAGCACAAAGGTGCGGCCAAAGTCGGCCTCGTACGCCTCGAACACGGGACCCAGGTCCACGTACAGGATGTCGTCGGCCGCCAGCACGCGGTCCTCCGTGGTGTCGCTGAACATGGCCAGCGTGTGGGGCCCGCTGCGCACGAGCCGGCGGTGCCAGTGGGTGCGCACATTGTACTTGTCTCTGCCGACCTGGTAGATGGCGTCTGTCAGCTGCTTTTCGCTGATGCCGGGCCGGATCATGTCGCGTGCAATGTCGGCAAAGAGGGCGGCGGCCTTGTTCTGGGCCTCGAGCAGGTTGGCAAGGCGCTGCTCTTCCGGGACGTCGGTCTCGGAGAGCGCCGTCTTGGGCGCCGTAATTGCGTCCGGTGTGGCCATGGTCGCAGTGGGTGTGGATGTTGAGCGGTAGAGTAGTGTAACAGCAATATAGAAATATACGTTCTTTTCCGAGATGATGGACGATATACAATTGCAATTCGTAATTCAAGGGCAGTATTTACTTGGTTTGGTTCACCATCACGCCCTCTACTATGAACAATGACGAAGCCACTACTGCTTCGCACGCATTCAACCAATTGCGGGGACGGTTACGGCCGTCAAAAGGCGTCGTAGTGGTCGGAAATGGACGACGGTCATTGGCTGCGTCGTTGGAGAAGCGCAGAGTAGGATCGGTAAGGGCTGGGCAAAGCCCGGACCGGCGGAGTCGGGTCTATGCCGTGTTGAGGGATTTGGCTGCTGCCGTGCGGAGATTGCCTTTTGATAAAATCCACGGCGGTAGACGTGTCATAGGGCGTAGTAGAGAGCAGCCGACATTCCCTTAGAAGAGCAGCGTGCCGACTGTGGCGATGGCGCTGTCGGAGACCTTATTCTATGATGTATCGTCCTGTCAAGCATCTGCCCTAATAAGTGATAACTGAACAAAGTCTTCCACGTACGGCCATAGATACAGGAAAGTACGGGATCCCGTCCGCTCTCCCCTAGTCAAACCTGTAATCGGCGGATTAGTAGTTGGGTCGGTGACGACCAGCGAATACCCGCTGCTGTACGTTTTTTTTTGGGGGCAAATGTTGTCGATTTTTTGTCCTTTTAAGTCTGTGGCGTCTATGTCTAGCTAGCAATTTTTTTCCCTTTTTTAATTTACTCGGTGACTGTTCTGTTTATACACTTTCGGTCTTTCATTCTACTTAGTGTGGAATACTTTCGACATAACGCTTCTAGGCCCGTTGCTTATATACATCTATAAGATAGGCTCAGTAAATGCTATAAAAATACGATCCTCTAGGAGAACGCAGTACTGGACCAGCCTACCCGCCACTTGGCCAGATATCACAAACGATATAATGACGCCGTAACCCTCCCCCTGTCTACTTATAACTAAGTAATACTGATAATTTAACTTGTGCACTCCACGTGGTACAACTGTCGTCCGTTATCTGGGGGCTTTGGTGAAAACAAAGCCGAACGGCATCGGTTCCCCGCAGATATTTGGCGTTGTCTTCCGCTGGAAGCTCATACCTGACGATGGCGAGTTGCCGGTAGTCACCGGCGACGTTAGTGACGACAAAAACGGCGGATGATATTGGATCCAGCAACTTTGGCCCGGCCGCCTGAGCTGCGTTTGCGCTGCCATCGTAACTGGTAGCATTGGACCCGTATGTGTCGTTTTCATTTTCGAACATGATCATTACCTTCGCTTGGAACTGGTCGTCTTGATGTCAAAGATTAAAATCAAAAGTTGGAGAGTCAAGACCCTGCGAAGAAATCGGTTACAGAGATGAGGATACAAATTGTACCGCGTCCTGCCGAACTACGCGGGATTTAAATCACCAAGAGGCTTCGAAAGATCGAGCTGGCACATGGTGTATTCGGAAGAAATGCCCGTATTGCTTAAAAAGGCGGCCCTGGCGATGAGGATCTGTGCCGCAATATATGCAAGGGTCATACACAACGTGGACCTTTGGCAAGTCTCTTTACTATGCCGTACAATGCTGGAGAACAACGACGTCCAGCCTCGAAAGGGACAACCAGTCCCTGTCGCCAAACGTCCGAAAGTCAGCCGCGGGTTTACCATTACTTTACCGCCATGCTAATCGCCGTGATCTGATATGCTAGCATGGAAAGATGTAGACCCGAGTGGATATCACCGAGTCCGTTTTATTCTATTGTTAAACGTATCTTCGTCGTCCCTTGTTTACATACTCCTCTATCATCGTCGTTCCGACTCAACATGATTGGCATCAGCCGAATTGCCCACGTTGGCCCGTCTACAACACCACCGCGTCCTGAACCGACGAGCCCCTCGGCACCCCGAGACCCCGGGGCCTTTCGTCCATGCCTACAGCACCAGCCGGAACGACGGATCCCGGTCGTCTCCTGTCCCAATGTATTGGTCGTACTTGCCGCTCACCTTGTCTTTGTTGACCTTGTAGCAGTACACCACATTGCCCAGAATCAAAAACCACCCGGCCACCAGCAGACTCAGGATGATCGTATGGCCCTTGTGGAACTGCGGGCTCTGTGTCGACGGGTACACAAACACGGTGACAAACCCGCCGCAGTTGGCAATCGCCAGCTGCAGCGCCGCCGCCGTGGCCCGCTTGTAGTGGCCGGCCGAGTTGTTGGCGAGCCAGCCGAGCACGGGCGGGACGCTGCTGTAGAGGCCCGTGGCCATCAAAAAGGTCATGCCGTACTTGACGCTGGGGCTGTGGACGTTGGCAATCACGGCGTAGCCGATAATGGCAATGGGCATCGTGACCAGCATGATGACGCCGCGGACCTGGAAATAGTCGGACGCAAAAGCGACAATGACTGGGCGAGAGAGACGGGGGGTCAGCCCTGACAAACACAGAGGAAACAAAACAGGGGTGCAGGCACGGAGTTCATACCTGTAACGACAGACGCCACTGCGTACGGGATAACCGACCACAGCTGGGCCGCGTTGGCCGTGTGGCCGAGGGCGGCAATGATCGTGGGGAGCTGGCGTGTCAGCAATGGACGAAGAGTCCAACTCATACGTGGGGCGCAATGGATCTTGGACTTACAAATAGCCCAAACGAGTACAGCCCCGACAGGATGCCAAAGTAGGCACATGCCGACAGCCACGTCTGCCAGCTGAACACCGCCCGCCCGACCTCGTGCCAGCTAAACGTCTCGGCCGCCTCGTGCTCTGGATTCATGATGCTGCCCGTGCTGCCCGTGCTGCCCGTGCTGCCTGTGACCACGTTTCGCTGCAGCCGCCGTGCCGCGTGCGCCTTCTCCTGCTCGCTCAAAAACGACGCACCCACCAGCCCGTTGGGCAGGACGAGCGCGGCCACGGCCGCGGCCGCCACCGTGAGGAGCCCCTCGATGATAAAGATCCAGCGCCACGCGGACATGCCGCTGTGGCCGCCGAGCTCCGACAGGCCGCGCGCCAGCAGGCCGCCAAAGGCGCCCGAGAGCGACGCCGCCGTGTAGAACAGGCCGATGCGCAGCGCCAGCTCGCGCCGCGTGTACATGCTCGACAGGTACAGCACCATGCCCGGCAGCAGGCCGCCCTCGGTGAAGCCCAGCACGGCGCGCACGGCCACGAAGCCGGCAAAGTTCTGGATGAAGCCCTGGCACATGCTCACGACGCCCCACGCAAACGTCAGGAACGGCAGCCACACGCGCGGCGTCACGCGCTTGAGCACCAGGTTGCTCGGCACCTCGCTGACAATGTACGTCGCGTAGAACACGGCCAGCCCCTGGTCGTACTGCACGTCGGCGGCGTCCATGCCGAGCTCCTTTTCGAGCCCGTACAGCCGCGCGTTGCCGACGTTGGTGCGGTCGAGGAACGAGCACAGGAACAAGAGCGCGAGCACCGGCAGAATGCGCGTGTCGAGCCGCCACAGGATGCGGCGCGTCATGGCCCGCGCGGCCGGGCTGTTGTCGTACTCGTCGTCGTAGGCGAGATTGCGCGTCTCGACGTTGTCGACGTTGTCGACATTGTCGGCCGCGGGCTTGTCGCCCTGCAGTTCGGCCATGGTGGATGTGTTGTCGCTGCTGTTTATGGATGCCGTGTAGAGTGAGGTGACTGGAGAGGGTCAGTGGTCAGGGTTCTGTGTCACTGCGTGACGGCTCCGTACGAAGTACTACCACTGTCGCGGTCGTCGTCGCTGTCGTCGCGGCCGGCAAGGTTGTGACGTCGCTATACCGTCGATATTGCTGGTGTTGATACTGTTTTGCTAATTTTGAAAGGGCCCCCTTTCCACATCAGCGACGTGTTCGCGACATGCGCATCGGGAGATTGCCCAAAAGATGGCAAGCCAATCTCACCAGGGCCAAAAACTCCGGCTCACGCGGTGCTCAGCGGTGCTCACTTCTGTTCTTGGCACCTTTGCAGATCGGCAGGCCTTGACCTTCCAATTGCGGGGGAAGGGCCGAACATCAGGGATCAGAGTATTACTACCCCCGTAGCCAGTGCAACTTGGACTTGTCACTGGCGTGTCGATCGCACCCAACCCCATCTCACCCCCTCTGAAAACCCGTACGATGTACGACAATAGCAGTCCAATACGATGTGAGACTCGTCATGCTGTGCAATACCATGCAGTGCGACTCCGCCTCACAACGAAAAGTGCATCACACGGAATCGAAGAGAAAGTCGACAAGTAACGAGGGACGCTCATTACGACCAAATAATTGTCGAGCCACAGGCCAGGTGTATCTTTGAGCTATATTTAATAACTCGTTTAAAATACTATTTAATAAGTGTTATCATTATCATTAGTCATCCAGGAGCCGTCGGTCTTGGTCCATTTGTCCTACAGTCATTATCATTAGTCATCTAGTATCCCCTACCCGTCCGTCTTGGTCCATTTGTCCTGGTGTCATTATCATTTAGTCATCCATATAACCTCTCGTAGGTCTTGTGCCATTTGTCGATGCCATTGTCCTGTGGTCATCCTGACCGTGTGGCTTGCCGTAGTTGCGTGAGCAACCGTGGCCACGTGCTTACAACGTGGTAATTTTCCTCCTTCATGGTCGATGTCTCGGCGACCGTATTCCTAACGACGTCCCGACGCCTAACTCTGTCACGTCTCGAGCAGGGCCTCTAGTCGTCGTCGTCGTCGCCATCCTCCTCGAGCCAGGCGATTGTGCCATCGGAATGCTTGTGATAGAAGCGTCCGGTCGTTTTGTCCTTGGTCCAGTAGTTCCTGTACTTGCTATGATGGGACGAGCCGCTTGACGATCCCTGCGAGGATGGGGCCTTTCGCTTCTGGCCCGCATTGTGAGTGGACGTCTGTGTCGTGGGGGGAGCCATCGGCGAATACGGCGTCGCGTGCGAGTGGTGCGAGTTCGTCTTGCTACTCTTGTGCTTGGACGACGTAGGTGGCGTCGGCTGATGAGTCGGCTGGTGTGCGGCGACCTCGTCGTCGTCCTTGTTCTCATATGCGTGCAGTGGATCGGTGCCGGGTACTGGCAGAGTTGGCACCGTTTCGGTATCGTGTGGGTCAGGCAACTGTGTTCCCTCGGCAATTCGGTGCGGCGCATGTCGCTGCTGCTTCCAATGGTCTTGTAATTCGTCTTTCAAGGCGCACGACTGGTCCCTCGCGTGGTCTTGCGCGTTTCTGAGGTGCTTGTAGCCGTCCTTGTGTTCTCCGTGAGACGTGGCCAAACTCGTCGACTTGATAGGAAACTGGTGGTATTCAAGAATGCCGTCTTGGGCTGGGGTTGCGAAGTGCGCGTAAAGGCTGAGCTGGGTACCATTCGTAGTAAAGGTTGTGATGTGTGCGTGGCCGGCAGGGTCGGATTTTCCCTGGTAGGCAAGGGCTTGGTTCCTTGCGTAGACGAGTGCTGCGCCGTCGTAAGCGGCTTGCATTCTGGCCTCTTCCATGTCTTTTCCGGGTCCCTTCCATTCCCCGGCCACGTGCGGCAGTGTTAAGGAGTGGGGATCATCCTTATATAGAACGGCCCCGCAGATGCGCTCGTCAACCGGGAACGGGAGGTATCCCTCCATCTCAAGTCCCTCTATGAAGTCAGGCTGCGGAGCAGAGAGGCCATTGTTGAAGCCGACATCTTTCGGAATGCCTGTGAATGCCTGGTTGAAGGCTTGGTCGTAGCCTTTGGGATATTCCTTTAGCAGCCTCACGCTCGTCTTGATCACCATAGTCGCTTCGTTCTTGGCTCGCTCGACTTGATCAACATAGTCATCGTACGCTGACTCGGGAGGGGAAGCGGTTTCACGGGACCTGGCAAGTCGTTCGCGGAGATCCTCGAGGTTTTGGGGCGGCTTCGAGCTGCGAGGGTCGAGGATTCCATTCTTTCGGGCTTGGAGAGCGAAGCCAGATGTCGTCGTCGAGGTGGACTTTGTGGTTGTCGACGATCCGTCCGTGGGGTTTGAGGTCTTGTTCTTGCCCATCTTGTCGAATGCGGCAAGGTTTTGTCGTGTCAATCGTGCCCGTTTCGGTGGTGCTTTGTCGTTGTCGCAGTCGCCAACAATCTGTCGTTTTTGTGTCTGTGTACTCTGTGGAGTTTGCTTCTCCTCTGCGTGAGTGTGCGGTACGTCCATGGCGACGAAACTTGCGGTGTGAGGGAGGATGGTGTTGATTTCTATCTCAATGCGCGGTCGAGGAACTGGGCCGGCTGGGGGCCTCATCGGTTGTTGTTTTGAATTGTCTTCAGGCGACGCGGTTGATTGGGCGTGGACGAAAATTTTCGGCCTACGTGGTCATTGGGCGGTGCAAAATCCCAGGCAGCAGATAGTGGGGGCGGCTACGAGGGATTGGCCCTCAGCAGCTCGCTTCCACCAGATCACTTAAGTGGGGTGTACTTCGAAACGGGCCGCTACCGCTAAACATGGCTGTTGGTGCTAACTCGACCAACAAAACCTTGCGCGTTTGATGGGGTTGCTACGTGGTTCCCACGTCTCGTCACGAAGTGTGGTTTCTGCTTGTGTACGCGTCTTTTCCGGCGTGCTCTGGCCTGGTTCTTGGCGTCTTCTGACGCAGTTCCGGTGTGTCCCGAGGGCCTGCTCCCGAGGCTCCCTTCTAAAGCTGCATCCCCTCTGGAGGTGGCCAGCCTTCCAGTCTATTCTTGGGCGGACAATTCCAGAGTCTCCTCCCTGAGGATCCTGATTGTTTTGTTTCGTCCCGGCAATGGTCTCGGTACAGTTGTTTTTGTCGTGCTAGCGTATAATAATACGTTTCTCGTTAGTTCCTCGTTAAGATCTCCGAAGGCTGCCTTAAGCTTCTTCTCGAACGTAACGTAACTCGAAAACATGTCCCTAGTATTAAGGTCGTAACCAGCGTATCCCAGGTTCAAACGAAATAAGTATATCTGTGGTAATGAACCAATGCGTTCCAATCATGGCTCTCCCCATCCAAGTGCCCGAGATGGGAGTGTTGATGACCTTGTCCGGACGACCCCTAAATGCCCAAGAAAAAAAGTGTATGAATACAGCACGTGGCCACTCCCCGTGTATCAGGGAAAAGATCATCATAAATCCAAACCCGACGACGTGAATCATAAAACCTCCAGTCATAACCAGAGGGACGGGGATAAAACTATAAAGAAACCAGAAAAGAAAAGAAAAGTAGAAGACATAAAATGCCAGTCATGTCCATCATAATCCATGTCGTCCACTTGGGTTGTACACAATCTGACCCCACTCGTCACCGTCAAACAGCTCCGGATAGTACTTGACAAACTCGGGATCCAGCCCCCACCCGGCCGTGCTCATGAACCGTTCGACAAAGTCTGGGCGGAGCACATGCTTCCCTTCCACATTGGTCACCAGCACGTCCTCCCCCCGACGCCATCGCAGCCGCAGACACCGGCAGTACCGCCGGATGAACTTGACCACGTCGTAGCGGTCGTACGTTTTCAAGAGCTTGCGCCGCGGTCCCTCCCAGATGACAAAGTCCAGGGACCCGGGATGCGGCACCCACACCTGCTCGTGCAGGGGCTGCAGAAACGTGGGCAGCATGGCATACCGCGCGGCGCTCGGCTGCGTGCGCCACTTGACGTAGTGGTACACCAGCCAGCCAATGGCGAGGCGTTCCGGGTCGCGCTGGTAGTACGTCTTGCCGCTGCGCTGCAGGCAGCTGGCGAGTGAGTTTTGGTGGGACCCGTACAGAATGTCGAGCGGCGCAGGGACCTCGGGCGAGTCAAAGACGATGCGCGTGTTGGCGTCCCAGTCTGGGCGGCGGACGTCGTTGGGGCCCGAGTAGCGCACGGGGATGCGTGCCCACACCGGGACATTGGCCATGTCGGGCACGGTGCCTGCGCAGAAGGGCGACCACAAAGAAAGGCCGGTGCTCGGCCGTCCACTGCACATGAACGAATCGTACATGGCCATTGTGGAGTCGCAGCTGGCAGCTAGGTCTGCATCCGTGGCCTGCATTGCAGCAGAAAGAGGGACAGCTGTCCGAGAGCTCCAAAAGTCATTTACGTCGGCTCTGAACGAGCCATGCTGCGAACCGACAAGAGCCGACACTGCAGCAGCAGGTAGCGGCACCGACGATGAGTCTGTCAGAAAGCTTTGTGAAGCGTTGTTGATCACACTATCTGCACCATCCGTAATGTAATCGTGTCCGTTTTTGTTGCCGCCGCTGTGATTATGTTCATGTTGGAAGACAACCTCGGACTCTGACCCGCCATCGGTACTAGAACTGATTGCACTGATTCCGGCAAGCCACGATGAGTAGTCCGGCAAGGTATCCAATATCGGACCCGACTTATCGTAATTGTAGTAAGGGTGTACTGGCTCGTACATGGCGATCTCTGTTGTGGAGGCGGACGAGACTGGTGATGATGTGGCTTGCAGCTGCGGTTGCAGGGGAGGCGTTGGCGGCGTGTCTGGTTCGTCAGGCAGTATGTCGAGAGGCTGAAGTGGCTTTGGGGTTTGATTGCTGTCTACTCCTGTGGTGTTGGTGATGGTCTCAACTGTAATGGCACCTGGTATATTTGGTACCGTTGGTACCGTTGGTACAACTGGGATAGGTGTTGAGATGACGGGAGCATTCGGGATGGTAGCCGGGGAAAGGCCGTCTACAGCAGCAGGGATCATAGTCGGCGTGGATGCCACCGCTGCTGGCTCAAACACGTTCTTGAACGACTGGAAGAGTGCCTGCAGGTGGTTGTGCCGCTCTCGCAGTGCCGCATTTTCGGCCCGCAAGTCGCGGATGGTCCTCAAGTCTTCGTCGTTGTGATGGTTGTTGCCACCATTGAGGCCATCCGGTTCACTTCGAGGGCCATGCAACTCCTGACATAGCTTCACCTGCTTCTCCAATGCTTCAATGTGCCGGTTCCGCTTGTTCCGGAGGTTCTGCTGGGCGACGCGATCGCGCAGCCGCTTACGCTCGGCCGCATCAGTATCGGAGCGTCGAATCGCGGACGAAGCGACAGTGGGAGCAGTGGCTATGGTGCCGACCCGAGTCACACGGCCGCGGTGGACTCGAGTAGCCATGCTTGAGAGTGGCTGCGAGGCCTCTGTGACTCCGACGCGGGCTGAAAAGTCTGCACCGCCGTCAGGGCATCTGTTGCTGCAGATTGTTGTAGATTGTTGTAGATTGTTGCAGATTGTTGCCTCGACAGGGTATTGTACGTGTCAGCTCGTGAGGGATGCTGGTTGAATTGTAGCAATGTTTGGGGTCGTTGACTCGATCCGATGAGAAGCCGGAAGCCGACAAAAGAAGCTGCTCCCCCAGTTTCCGCACCTTCCCCATGTCTTGGCCGGGCTACGGAGGGCAGGAGTGCTCCACGCTAGCCGACCGCTCTTGCCCTCTTCGAGCCCTTTCCCATGACATTGTTTTCCGACAATTACTTGCCTGTTTTGGAAACCCATACGTTCCATGGCGGCCTCTGATTGGAGCGAGTCAGCTATTACATGGCGACTTACCCACTCCCTTCCCCGCACGATGTTGCGGTGTCCAAAAAGACGAAAAGCATCAAAGTTAGGAGCAGAATTCGGGATATTCATGAAAGCAATAAGTCCAAGATCTGACAGAATTGAAGCTTGTACCAAGGACGATAGATACTATGCGCCGTAGCTGTTCAATGAATTCATTTCTGTGAATGTTTTGGGTCCAATAGTAGACCTGCGTCGTATCTATATTTACGACGGTCTTCTTCGAAAGGCAAATTCCCGTAATGTTGTCATGCCTTTTCTTTCCTCTTTAAATGCATTGTGGATGTCCTGCCGAGAACGTGGTAGTTGACTCAACACGTCTCCGCGGCCGGGGCTCGGCGGAGCTTAAATGGGGCTCCTATAGGTATGTCATCACCACTACCCCTGTGGGCTGACAGCTCGGTCGTTCTCCCTGCATGTTATATAAAACTATATTTCCATATACAGAATCTTTGACGTGCGTCCCATAGTAGATAAACAAGACACACTCAGCAACATGGCATCACCACGAGTCTATTCGTCGCCGTATTTGGTGCCCAGCATTCCTTCGAACCTGTCGTTCTGGCAATTCATTTTGCGCCACAACATTGACGACACACTGCCCGACAAGGTCATTCTGCAAGAACATGAGCGGCCAGAGCGGCAGTTGACGTATGGATCCGCCCCCAAACTGGCTGGCCTCGGCGCCGATGCTCTCCGGGAAGTGCTGGGCTTGACGCAGGGCGACACGATCCTGATTGTGGGCAAGAACTCGCTCGACTATCTGCAGGTCGAGTTTGCGGCTCTGTGGGCAGGCATCACGGCGGCGTACGTCATCATCGTACTCGCTCATGTGTCCTTGTCGCGCAATATTTATTGACAATTCGCAGATTTGGGAGCCCTACTGCTACCGTTGGCGATCTCGTCCACTTCATCGACATTGTCGAGCCGGCTGTGGTCTTTTGCGATGCAGGCGACGTCATGGCGCGGGTTTCTAGAGCCATCGACCAGGCAAAATGGACTGGGACAAGGCGGCCTGGCGTCGTAGGCCTCGGCGAACGGGGGACGGCAAAGCTGGCGGTGAGTCAACAATACCTTTCAAATAAACCATGACGACGAAACTAACTGTCTAGTTTCCGTCCGATTTTATTAACGACACGACCAAAGCATATTCACCACCTTTGGACCTCACGAACATGGACAGCCACACCGTCCCTTCCGTCATCTGCTTCAGTTCCGGCACCAGCGGTCTACCAAAGGGCGCGGTTCTGAGCCACCGCAACTTGATTGCCTACCTTCTCGTCTCCCGCAGCACCGATCCAACCAACGCCTCGGCCAACCAGCGCGATGTGTTTTATGCGCCGCTCGGCCATATCTATGGTGTATTTACCGCCAGTCTCCCTTTGCTGACGGGGGGCTTCGTCCGTCTCTTGCGCAACTACACGCTGCACGACTACGTCAAGGCCTGTGTTGACGTGCGCGCCACGACGCTACGCATGGTGCCGCCGACGCTCGTGGCCATGGTCAAGGACCCGTTTGTGCGGCAGCAGAACCTGGCGAGCGTGCGGACCATCAGCTGCTCAGGCGCGGCGCTTGCGCCAGACATTATCAGCGAAGTGCACGAGATGCTGGGCACAGAGGCAGATATTGTGCAGGGATATGGGTGCGTTGGCGGCGTTTCTCCTGTCATTTTGCCTGTTCGTCCGTATTCGTGACTACTAACTTTTGTCAGCCTGACAGAGGGCTCGGCCACAATGCTCCGTTCGTCCTCTGCCAAACGCAAACAGGGCAGTGTCGGCAAGCCCGTGGCAGGAATGCAAGTCCATCTACTTCTCTCTAGTGATGATTTACGTCTAACAGGTTAGGAAAATACGCTTCGTCGACGACGACCTCAAGGACGTGCCAAACGGCCAGCCCGGCGAGATCATGTTCACGGCGCCGACAGTTTTTATGTGCGTACCCCACGGCACAGAGTTTCTTGTCGTCGTGCAGGACGATGTACTAACGCCCCGCCAGGGGCTATAAGAAGAACCCGGCGGCCAACGCCGAGGCCTTCCCCGTCAACGACGGCTGGTTGCGCACGGGCGACGTCGGCCGTATCGACGCCGACGGCTACGTCTGGCTCACAGACCGCAAAAAGGACCTGATCAAGTACAAGGGCAACCAGGTCACGCCGGCGGAACTTGAAAACGTCCTGCACTCCCACCCGCTCGTCACCGAGGCCGGTGTCTGCGGCACCTGGGACGCCGTCCAAGAGACCGAAGTGCCCGTGGGCTACGTCAACTTTAAGCCCACTGTGTCCGTCGCCGACCGCCCGCGCGTTCTGCGGGACGTTTTGGCGTTTGCCAACAGCAAGGTGGCGCGGACCAAGAAGCTGCGCGGCGGCCTATTTTATCTAGAGACTTTCCCGCGCAACGCTACGGGCAAGCTGATGCGGCGCAGCCTGCCGGCACGTCTCCAGGCCACGCGCAATGCGAAGCTGTAGGCGACGGGGAGGGGAACGAGACATGTTTGCTTGCATCGCGCGTCTCGTTTAGAAAATGGATTCCACATTTTGCATCTCGATCAAGGAAACAACAGAACGGTGAAGAAGCTGACCGCAAACCATTCGGGTAGGAGCAGGGAAACAACTCCCGTTCCCTTCCAAATGAAATCATGTGCGGCGCAATGACGCGCAGCTTGTTCCAAGAATCGGGATGCAAACTTGCTGATAATATTTCCAAAGTGGTGTCGTGTGGCATTCGAGTGTGAAAGGGCGTCGACTTTGTGGGGACGGTCTGAAATGGGCCCTGCATAAAACCTCTCATAGATTTTATTTAAATTATTTATTTTTTTGTCAATGGCATATACGGGCGACGAATCATTACGGTGATCGTCAACATGTTCCGAATGTCTTGGAAAGTCCACTGTGGCGCCAAAAACAAGACATACCAAGGCTTGACAGGCGGCGGAGACAAGGGCCAGAAAGCCAAAAGCTGCCCGCCGATGGGTGCAGCCGCGCCATAGAACCGTCTATATGTGTGCAGGGAGCTGCATCACAACGAGCAGAGAGAGAAAGGGAAGCGAAAGACCAGCCCAGGCCATGTTTCTTAGCGAGTCACGGTGCAGAAGAGACCAATAACAGTGCACCAGCTGATCTTGGCAACGATTCAACGGCGTACTTGGCTTGCCCGCCCCAAAAACTAAGAGCCCCTTTGCACCACCTTTTTCTGTGAACCGATGTCGGTCTTGGCCGCGGGGACTGTTTGTAGTCGGCTGGTTTGTGCCAATATATACTTGGGGGGAACCCGAAGAGAGGGTTTTTAACTTTAATAACTTTTAATTAACGAAACTATTATAACTATATTTATAAATTAATCAGAAAGGAACAGAAAAGACAGAAGAGGAGAAGCGAAAGCAGTTTAGCACTCTCCTCCTCATTTCCTTGACCACAGATCTAGAGCGAGTCACCACTTTTAGACGAGTCAAGCCAATCAGACGGCTCGACGTCAATGCAACCCTCTGATGGACGGGGTTGAGTAGTTCGGCCCACAGTTTCGGGTCTCCTACCCCATATTTCTCGATGACATGTTGGCATTCTGTGATTAACTTCATATCAGTTTTATGATTCGGCATCGCCCATCTGTCGCATTGCCTTGCCAACTATTTGTCCATTCCCCAGTCTTGCGTCGCCACATTCCCCGGTTGCCAACTTCCGGGGTAAGTCGCGTGCTTGGTGGAAGACAGATTGTGTGCGTAACCCATGCGCCGTCATGCTTTATTTCCTCTTCACATGCGCCATGCAAGTCCTTGGCGACTTGGCATCCTGCAAACACAAACGACAAAGTGGTACAAGTAAGGTCCAAGCTGTACAGCGACCGCTCGTCGTTTCCTTCTAATAATGCTCTAATGATTCCACGGTCTGGGTATTGGAGAACGTGGGTCGCATTTAATGGGTGGAGCAAGGGCAAGTCGAGGAGGCGTAAAAGAAACCACGGTATTCAGGGAACCTCGTTGAACCAGGTTGAATGCCACGTTATTTTTTTTACGGATGAGGGCATCCCAGTCGTCCCAAACAGTATAATTCCCCAATTCTCAACCTTTCACATTTCGTTTGGGCTTTGTGCTTAAAAGGCTGGTCCTTCCCCAGATTTGATCTCCTTTCTGTATCGACGTGCATGGAGTAGGATATGGATCGGCATCAACTCCCATTTTCATCCCTCTGCCCAGGCCAGGATAAGACAGTCGACTTCTTTTACGAAAATCCATTTGTACTCTTCCTTTTTTTTTTTGTTTCCTTCTTCAATTCCTTCCATGCTCTGTCCTCGCCCAACATGAACTCTACCGGCATACACCTAGCCGACAACAAGGTGGAGGCCACTACGGACCGCCACGATGCGTCAGTTTCGAGCGACAACGCCGCCAACAAGAATGGCCGCGATAGCGAGAGCATCTCCATCAACTCGGCTGCTCTCGGGGACGACCTACCGCCGGGCTACTTTTACTCTCTCGGCTTCCTGGGGACATTAATTGTGCGCTTTCCGTCGCGGCGGCATACTCCGTAGCTTATGGGCACTTGGTACATTCGTCTAACACACGCATATAGGGCTTTTGTTTGTCCGCCATCAGCGCCTACATGTTTGTCATTCTGCCGACCAACATCCTGAGCTACATCAACGAGGACATTGGTCCCAGCCAGTACACCGCCTGGGTCAACATTGCCCGCACACTGGCCCTGTCTTTCACCTACACCATCCTCGGCCGGCTGTCCGATCTCTTTGGTCGCCGCTGGTTCTTTATCGGCGGCAACATTGTGGCCCTCGTGGGTATCATCATCAGTGCCGTGGCCCAGAACTTTACCACTCTCATCGTGGGTGCGGCGGTCTACGGTCTCGGCGAAACGGTGCAGCTGTCATTTAACGTGGCCATTGGCGAGCTGGTGCCCAACAAGTACCGGCCCATGGTGCTGTCGTTTATCTTCCTGTCGAATGCCCCCTTTGCTTCGTTTGGCCCGATGATTGGTATGTCCCGATTCGGTATCACGTTGTGTTGTTGCTTGGAACCGTTTCGTCCTTTCCATTAACGCCGTCATAGCCCGCAAATTTATCGAAATACCCTCGCTTGGCTGGCGGTGGTGCTACTACATCAACATTATCAACACCGGCCTCGCCGTTGTCTTTCTGTTCGTCTTCTACCACCCGCCCAACTTTGAGCTGCTGCACGAGCGCAAGACCAAGCGCGAGATCTTGATGAGCCTCGACTATGTCGGCATTTTCCTGTGGACCGCCGGCCTCACCATCCTCCTGATCGGTGTGTCGTGGGGCGGCAGCATTTACGCCTGGGACTCGGCCGCCACGCTGTCGTCGCTCATCATCGGCGCCGTTCTGCTGATTGCCCTCTTTGTCTGGGAGGGCTATGCCAAGCTGCGCTACCCGGCCATTCCCATTCACTTTTTCACCAACCGCGGCTTCATGGCTCTTGTTGCGTGTGCCACTGTGGCTAGTAGTACGTTTGATCCAGTCTGCATCCTCTAGTGTACATTCTCACCACTAACAACACAGTGTTCTACTACTCGGCCGTCCTGCTTTGGCCCCAGCAGATCCGCCACTTCTTTACCACCGACATTACGTATGGCGGCTGGCTCTCCACGACCGTTGCCTCGTCCACCGCCCTCGGCCAGATCTGCGCCGGCGCCATCATTCGCTGGGGCGGCAACGTCCGCTACTGGATGATCATTTCGACGTTTGCCATGGTCGGCTTTGTGGCGTCGCTGGCCGCCCTGACCCCGGAGAAGAAGGGCATGGGCATTGCTCTCACCATCCTGGGCCCGTTTTTTGTCGGCTTCATCGAGCTCACCTCGCTCGCCCTGGCGCCCCTCTTTTGCCGCGCCCAAGACATTGGCCTGGCCTCGGGTCTCCTTGCCTCCATCCGCTCGGCCGGCGGCTCCGTGGCTGTCGCCGTCTACTCTGCCATCCTGAGCAACCGCCTCCTCACCACCATCCCCGCCAACATTGGTCCCGCCGTCGAGCAGGCCGGCCTCCCTGCCAGCGACGTCCCGGCCCTCCTCAAAGCCTACGCGGCCGGCAACATCACCTCCTACTCCCCTGCCGTCCAGGCCGCCGTTGCCGCCGCCGACCCTATCGCCTACACCCAGGCCTTTACGACGGTCTATCTTGCCAGTCTGGGCTTTGGCGGTATTGCCATCATCGGCTGCTTGTTCTCCAAGGACGCTCAGAAGCACCTGACGAGCAAGGTCGAGCGTAAGATGACGACGGCCAAGACTGGTAAGAACACAAGCGGTACGACCGAGAAGGACACATCTCTAGATGTGTAAATTTGGAACATAAGAGAGATTTGCGATGCGAGTCAAGCGTTGACGGGGAGTGGTAAACTGATGAATAATAATTCGTCAAATGCGAATCGCTGTAGAAACTCTGAACTCTTTATCCCTTCTCATCCGTAGCCTTTATTCGCAGCTTTCATTTTTATTTTTCATTGTTGAATTTTTATTTTATTTTATATTATTTTATTTACTTACATTTTTTAAATCTTTAACTGATTATTGCTACGATTTAATAAGGCTTTGTAAGGGCGGACGCGGTACACGGGAATGGAGTGAGGTTGTAGAGAGCGCAGAGAATGGACGAATCAGCGGCTACCGTGCTTAACTCCACCACATGCACTAAATACAATAGAGTATGTTTCGACAGTGGCTCATTGGCAACCAACATCTACATACTCGCATACACTGTTTTTTTTATAGAAAATCTCCTGAATTCTTTAAGATGGCGATGTTCTGTAGCCCGGCATGGCCACAGGGAGCTCTGCCCCGCGTTGAGGGGCGCGCTCAGGACCAAAAAGTCACGGGCATTGCTTAGGTAACCCAGTGCGAGCTTTGGGCCTCGTTCTGTATTTCCCAGCCAACTGAAACTTGCCTTCAATTCTCGTGGACTGCACAATGCGTGCAAAAACATGGCACCTATCGACCGGAGCGCGCAACGAGTTGTCTTCATTTGGAGCGCGCGTCCTAATAATGCCACGGAGGTGATCGGGGGCCTGCAACACATCGGCGGAACTACCAACGGAGACTTTTTGCAGATGATACAAATTCTGCTCCCCAATGCTTCACACGACCTCACCGTTCAAGGGCCATCGGGCTCGACGCTGACTGACGACGACCAGCCGCTTCTGCGAGGTGATTACGTCGTCAGCGGTGACGACGTCAAGGTAAGCCGATGGAGGGGTGAGGCGGGGGTGAGGCGGGTTCAAACACGAGGAACGATGACAAGGAACGATGACGAGGGAACGAGACGACACAAGTACTGATGCAACTGCATGCGACCAGGTTTCCGAAGAGGTTGTCTTGCCCAGAGCGCTGTCCCAGTCAAGTGGAACGCGTGTCCGAGGCTTTCGTGATGCCGTGCGAGCAAGAGACGGGCGCTGCGTGATCACGAAGCGTCCGAATGTCTACTCTGAATTCGACGAGTGGACCCGCTTCGAGGTGGCTCATCTCTTCCCTGTGGCCTACGAGCAGCAATGGATCACCGACAACTACAGCCGCTACATTTCGCAGGTGCCGTCAACGGGCGGGACAATAAATTCTGTGCAAAATGGGCTGCTCCTCCGCACTGATTTGCATGATGGTTTTGACCAATACCGCTTCTCCATCAATCCAAGGGTTCGTTGTCGTGCCGAGGAGAAATCCTTTCTGTTTTTGCGTGTCATCCGCTAATGATGCACATAGGCCAATCACAAGGTCATTGTCTTTAGCAGCACGTTTGACGACCTTGTAGGCCAGAGCCTCGATCGACAGCTCCTGGACGACCCTTCCTGTCCCCCAGACGAGCTGTTGTGGTGGCACTTTACGCAGGCCGTGCTCGCCAACGTCCGCGGCGCGGGCGAGCCCATCTACGAACACGATTTCCCGCCCGGATCAGACATGATGGGCGAGATCATGGAAGGGCCGAATGCACCACAAAGGCTGGAGTTTGAGCTGTTCAGCCGGCTGGCCGCCCACGTGGAGGTCGTGGACACGGCATCGACCGCGAAGAACGAGGACCATACTGCGAGTGAGGATGGGAAGCAGCGAGAGTGAACGAAACAAAACAACATGTCATGGTGGTGTGTTTTTGAAGTATGAAATAGGAAAGACAAAGGGTTTTCTTTACCACGACGACAGTTCTACCATTTTTTGACCCTGTCCGTCGTCGTGTGACTCCCGTGTGGCAGCCCTAGCTTGTGAGCCTTGTTACACAAAGGAAGATTTTAGGTTCTGACATTGACGGCTCACGTCTTGCAGAGTAATCTTTGGTTGGCAGAGGCAGTTTGTTTCAAACGGTGAATAGATTTGCGGCATAACATTTGCTCTAAAATCTTGAATAAATGACAAAGACAAATAGGATATCAACCGACAGTCGAACACGATCATGATCTTATATGCAATGGCAATGAAGACACCTTCGCATCGATACAGCACTGTCCCTGTTCTCCCACCCCAACATCTCCTCCTCATTCGATTAGGTACCTCTCCAGCATCCCGACCAACCTCCACACACCAAACCTAGACCACCACTTAACCGTCGAGCGGGCTCTTGCACACGTACGACGTGGTGACGTTCTTGGCAAAGGCATCCCTGAGCGTGACAATGGACGCGTAGGCGCCGAGACCGCCCAGGGCAAGGGCGCCCAAAATGTAGACGATATTCAGCGAGTTCATCCACCAGCGGCTGGGCGAGAAGAAGCCGCGCTTGAAGCGTTCCCAGCCCGTGCCGGACCGGGTGACCTGACCGGTGGCCGGGTCGTAGCCGTCGCCCTCGCGCATGGCCATCTTCTTGACGAGGTAGGCAACGGACAGCAGCGGGGGGAAGGTGTAGGTGAAGTGGAGGATGCAGAAGGCGGTCACGACACTGGTGAGGCCGGAGAAGTTGGGGATGCCGGCGGCCAGGGCAAAGGCAATCGACCAGTACACGGGGATGATGGCGACCCACAACCACTTGCCGGCGCGGGAGGTCAGCGGCGGGGCGTGGAGGAGCTCGACAAAGACGTTGTTGTACATGACCTTGAGGCCGATGTTGCCGTACAGACAGGCGGCGATGACGGCGCTGAGCATGGCGAAGACGTTGCCGGCGGTCTGGATGCTGTAGTTGCTGATGCCGAGATAGCTGGGGTTGACGGTGTACTGGCCCTGGTAGCCGTAGAGGAAGAGGCCGTAGAACATGTACCAGAAGTAGATGAAGGCCTGGGCGGCCCACATGGCGGTCAGGAAATCCTTGGGGCGCTTCATCTCGGCCATGAACTCGGGGAAGACCATGGAGCCGCCGTACGCGAAGATGGCCTGCATGGCGCCGGAGACGGAGCCGACAAAGCTGCCCGTGTCGGGGAGACCGCCGTTGGTCTGGACGGGCGGGAAGACGCCGTTCGCATCGGGCGTGACAGACGCGCCGCCGGCAATGGAGGCACCGGCCGACGAGGCGGCGCCGGCGTAGTTGGGGGGCGAGTGGGCGGCACCGCCCATGGTAATGAACATGCAGATGAGGTTGATCCAGACGGCAGCGTTGGCGAGCCAGCCGAACTTTTGCAGGGTGCGGATCTGGCCGACGATGAAGCCGACAATGGCCCAGACCAGGCAGCACACGATGAAGCAGAGGCGGAACTTGGCGACCTGCGACAGGGCCTCGCCGTTGGAGATGACAATCAGGCCGACGTTGAGCAGCAGCTGGATGGACTGCAGGACGTTGAACAGGTGGCGGAGCCAGCGGCCGTAGAGGCGGTAGCCCATGTCGCCAAAATTGCGCACGGGGTACTCGTACGAGTCGAGGCCCATGAAGGACTCCCACAGCAGGAAGCCCGAGTAGCCGGCGAGGGCGGCAAAGATGGTGAAGAGGGTGATGCCGGGGCCCCAGCCCATGGTCGCAAAGGCATACGGCAGGCCAAAGGGGCCGAGAATGTCCGTCGTGATCAGGTAGAAGACGGCGCCGCGCGTGGCGGTGCGCAGGGCGCGCGACGCGTTGATCCACTCCTCGTCGCTGACGACCATGCGATGGTGGCCCGGCTCGGCCACGACGCCCTCGCTCTTCTCGCCGGGGGGCCGCTGCTTGACGCCGCCGTCCGACTTGCTGGGGAAGAAGAGCGACCAGATGGTCGTCTCGTAGCCCGAGCGCGGCTGGGCCTCCTCCTCGGCACGCGTCTGCTTTGCATAGTAGTGGTACTGCTCAAAGGTAATGGTGGGATCGTGCATCTGGTAGTCCCTGCGCCTGTGCGCCGACGCGGCCGCGGCCGTGGCGACCGACGTCTGGTCGTTGGTGATGGCACCGATTTCGTTGTCGTTGCCGACGTCGGGCACTTTTGTGTTCAGCTCCTTGTCCATCTGGTCGTAGACGCGCGGGTCGGCCCCGTCAATGGCCAGGTTGCCTGGTTTGGCCATGATGGCGGCGTGTGTGATGTGTGTGATTTGTGTGATTTGTGTGTTTTGCTGCCGGCAGTTGTGATTTGGCGACACTTGGCAGGTCTTGGCAAGACGAGACGAGCTTGGCAAGACGTGCTTTGCGCAGGGTCAAAGATGTGAGTGTGAGTGGGTTTGAGAGCACCGTTGAAGAAAGAGTAAACAAAAGGAGGGGAAACACAAAAAAAAAGAAGACGGATTGAGTGTAGGATTGAGTGTAAATAAAGGCCGTGGAAACGACAGGAATGCAGATGATCTTTATCCCTTTCTCGCGTACGGGCTACGGGGTCAACTGAGCACGCCAGGGAGGCAAACAAAGTCAAAAGTCAAAATGAGGAGAAGCGAGGAACGGGTTTAGGGTCAGACAGGTCCCAAGCAAGAGAAAGGTGGACGTCCACTCTGGTAATCGTGGAGGTCACGCGTGATGGTGGGTGAGAATGAGGAAAGAAAGGATGGAGGCAGCTGAGAGAAAGAGGAAGGTGCGAAGGAAGAGAAGGGCAGGGGGGGAGGAGAGGGTGGAGAAGGAAAGAGAAGAGAATCAGGAAAGAGGGGAAGAGACAACAGGAGGGAAATGAGAGAAGAAGGGGCGGATGGGGGACGATATGTCAAAGGGTCAGAGCCCGGAGTCAACGAGGGAAAGAGCGAACAGCGCGACCCGGAGCCGGCAAACGAGAAACAACACAAAAATGGGGAGCAAAGACACCAAACGAGCCAAACTAGAGGCAAAAGGGAAGGCGAAAAAGACAATGAAAAGGCGCGAGGCGTACGGAGCACGGATGGAGACAGCGCGGACAATGGGGTGCGGACGGTAGTAGCGGTCGCGTGTAAGTACGAAGCAGACTGAGGGCGAAGTGACCAAAAAGAAATGGAGATGGCAACGGAAAGTGGAGTCGCGCACGAACGAAAGGATGGAGAAGGAGCAACTTGTGCGAGACGAGGAGATCGACGACATGCATGCTCAGGTCGTACTGTTGCAGTTGCTTGCCAATCAAATAGCAGCAGCTGGACCAGGGCAGCTGGACAGGGCAGCTGGACAGGGCAGCTGGCCCAGGTAGAGAGCTTGAATGGTGCAGAACGTGGACGATGTGGTGTCCGTGGGCCGTGTTTCGAGTACGCCTTTTTGAAGGGTCAAGATACAGTCGCAGAGGCCATCAATGCCTAATGCCCAATGCCTACGAGATTTTCAACTGGTTGATGTACTAATAGTCGGCAGGACGTCGACGGTACCTGCCAAGTAAGATGGTCATCGTATTGCAACGTTATTCTGGAGTGGCCGAAACGATTGGCCATGTCTCGCGTTAAAACTTAAAAAGGCAAAGGCCAAGAAAAGAAAAAAAAAGAAAAAGAAAACGAAGGCGAACACTCAGCCCCCCCTTTCCGGAGTCAGGTCGCGCGGGCCCTGTTGGTGTCTGGGCGATCGGCGTTCTTTGTCTCAGCTGCTCGTGTGCCTCGATTGAGGCAATTGGACCAATAATCCAAGAAGTCAGGGAGCCAGACAAAGTGATCTTAGTCATACAGCATTTGGTTGGTAGCCTGTACAATGTACCTCGTAGTTTGATTTCGGTCTGATGTCGGCCTGTCAGCAGCCCATGGACGACAGGGTAGGATAGACTAGCCGCAGCTGATTGAGCTCATTGGGTGATTGCGGCATGGCCAATAAGAGGGAACAGAGTACGGCGACATGCGACGTTATTTTGCAGGCCGCTGTCGTTGCGCTGCTATCCGATCTTGTTTTGTTATCGGCGTCCGTGCCCCGTATTTTGTCCACTCAAAAAGAGTCCGCGGAGTATTGATGCTCCGTCGTCAATACAGCCCAAAGTCGGCACAGCGTCAACGCCAACCACGACCACCACCTCCAGTGCCAGCCATTCTAACCCCATTCGGGCACTAAAGCCTTTAAAGTACCGAGTATAGTGACATGCTCAGGACATATCTTACACTGTTCTGGCATACTGTGCACGATTTCCGCGGTGCAACATACGACGCCTGTATCGTTGGATGTGACTAGCCACAAGCACGGACGCTCATTGCGCTGGTCTGATCTTGCTTCTGTGCCCGTGGCTTGCAGTCTGCGTGAGACCGAGATGCCGATCGGGCAGCTGCAAAAACAGCAACGGCAAGAAGACGGCAAAGCAGCAACTGAGTGCCATTTCAAGGCAAGGAGAGTAGATACGGAAGGACACGAGACGGAGAGGGTTCCGCAATGAGATAAGAACAGATCGGCAGAGGGCGAATGAAAGGGCAACGTCGAGAGAAACACAACCCCTGCCACTGGATGAACGGCACGTCAAGGTTGCATCTCTTACTTTCGCAAAGCCGGGAGGCCGACCAATTTGGTTATCCGCACCGAGGCGTGGCGAAGAAAAGAAAGCTTGCTTTCGTACAGGGGCCGCACCTACGTCGTCGAGCCTAAAATGGGTGTGGTCTGTTCTCACTCTCGCCACAGTAGGTCTCCGAGGGATGGTGGATTTTGAGTTGTTTTCTCTTGCACAGCATATTATTTTATTTCTTATTTTTGAACTGCCCCAAAATTGTTCCTTTCTTCTAGGTCGGCTTCTAGTTCAATCAGGAAGGTGGTTCGAAGTGGGCCTCGTAAGCGATCCAAAAGATCTCACTTGCAGCGGGAGGCGGAGACAGGAGGCAAATGTAAAAAAGAGAATACGAAAATTAAGACGAAACAAAGACCATTTCCACCGGTTGGGTACCTCGAAGCCTCGTATTTGTAGCGCCGTACAGAGCACTCCTTACGAATACGCAAGATTTCCGGACATATCGTCCTCGCCGCGTTGTATTTACTTGTTATGTCCTGGAAATGTTACAACCCAAATGTCATCCAGTTTGACAGACCATGACCCATGAAATGGCCGTCAGTAGGTGTATCTTGGTAAGACGACAAATGAAGATTTGGGAGGGGGGGGGGTCAGAGCAACGGACAAAGCGCCTGCCAAGTCAGCAAAGGTAAACGTTTTCTTTTTTTTTTTTTTTTTTTTCTTTACTCCTCCCTGTTCGCCACTCTAATTGCCAAGCGCTTTTTTTGTCAAACAAAAGACAAAAAGACACCAAAGACACCAGATGACACCAGTGCATGCCAAGGCGGCTACCACGGTAAAACGACAGCCGTTGCTTTGTCGGGGCAATCAATACTTGGCACGCAACGTACCCTGGCCGGAAAAAGCTTGTAATTAAGGTCCCCTTGCCCACAGGCTAATTGACGCAATTGACACAGGCTCACAGACGGATTTTCAGGAGACGCTCTCCGAGTTTCGTCCAGCGAGTGTGTAGTGACCATCGCAGCAGCAATTCTTCAACCCAGACGTCCATCCCACGCAATTAATATAAATACATTGCATTTGCCTCGTTTGGTTCGTTCATGGTCGACGTGTCGCCGTCGTCATCTACATCTTTTATTGCTTACCATCTTTACTCTGCGCTACAATAAACAAATGCCAGTGGCTGGTGCCGGATCGTGAACTTGGGTGCAGTCTTGTCGTAGTCTTCGTAGTTCTCGTAGTCCTCGTAGCCTTCACAGTTCCCGTAGCTCTTTCGGTGTCCGTTCCTGTAGTCCTCAGCACATCTGTCGTCGTTCCTGGTACGGCAGCGAATCTCGACGATGGTGAACCATCCGGTTACCGGCTTGCTGGCGGCGACCGTGGCGACGATCGCTGCGACGATACCTGCGACGGATGCAACGACCAGCACCCAGCTCCAGCTGCCACGACTGCTGGGATCCTATCCGGTCGGCACCGTCAATCTCGAGGTGACAGACCACACGCGAACAGCTCCGTCGACTGCGACGAACGCATCCACCAACAGCACGGAGCCCCGCCGGCTCATGGTGTCCGTTTTCTACCCGACCACGAACGCCACCGCCAAAAACGGAAACGCGAGCAAGAGCAGCAACAACAGTACGTACCAAAGAGCCCCGTACTTTGCGTCGGCCACGTCCGCGGCCGCCTTTGACACGTACCTGGGGAATGCCACCACACTCTTGACCAACCTCGCCACGTGGGCGTACGCGGATGCCCCTCGTGCGGCTGCCAATGCGTCTGTGCTCCTCTTTAGCCATGGGCTCGGGTCCTCTCGTCTTCTGCATGCCGCCTTTCTAGCCGACCTGGCCAGCCGCGGGTGGATCGTCGTCGCGCCCGACCACCCTTACGATGCATGGTACACAGAGTATCCCGACGGGTCGGTGGCGCGCATGCCCGACGCGGCCCTCGACGACTTTCCCAACGAGCTCCCCGGGCTCGTCGACACGCGGGTCAAGGATGTCACGTTCTTGGCGGGCCTCTTACAAAGTGGGAGCCTCTGGCGTGGTCTATCGACGTCCTCCACCGTCGACATTGGCATCCTCGGCCACTCCCTGGGCGGCAACACCGCCGCCCAGACTGTCGCCCGGTCCTCGTCGTCGTCGTCGTCGTTCCCCTGCGGCGCCAATTTCGACGGCGGCATCTTTGGGCCCGTCGCCACCACGGGCCTGGACCGGCCCTTCCTCCAGATCGGCGCCGCCAACCACAACCAGACCACCGACGCCACCTTTTCGCACTTTTGGTCGGTCCTCCACGGATTTCGCCGCGAGCTCACCGTCAACAGCACCGTCCACCAGTCGTTTATGGACCTGCCGGTGCTCCGGGACGTCCTAGGTGACGAGTTTCCCGTGGATCTGCGGAACCAGTCGGGCACGGCACCGGGGGCCCGCTTGCTGCAAATTGAGACGACCTTGGTCGACGCCTTCTTCCGTTTCTGCCTGACAAAGACGGCGTCGTCTGACGACTTCGACCGGGTCGCTAAGAGCCTAGCACCGGACATTTGGGCCCGCGAATTCTGGTGACGCCGTAGTGTGTGTTGTAGTATGTTGAATTTAGATTAAACTATAAACCAAGCCATCCATTCACTTTTTTTTCTATTGGTTCTACTTCTAGATGCATCCGCCCAGGGTTATACTGCAGTATCAAACTCGTCAATGACGCTCCGGGGCTTGACAAAGGTGCCTAGCGGCTCGTACTTGAGGTGGCCGAAGCCAAAGGCCTCCGGGCCGCCAATGGACACGGCGCGTTCGCTGTGCGTCCAGCGGTCGCTGGCGGCGATGCCGAGGACGGTGACAAACAGGCCGTAGCGGTACTCGGGCGTGCCAATGGCCTCGCCGTTCTGGTCGTCGATGACGGCAATCAGGTCGGGCACGAGGGCCACCACGTCCTCCTGTTTCTCCGTCGCGGCGTCCGCGCCCTCTCGGACGCGAAGCACAGCAATGTTTTCGTTCTTAAAGGGAATCTTGACGCGACCGACGAAGCTGCCGCTTGCGGTTTCCACGCCGTCCTCGCCTCCATCCTCGCTTCCACCCTCAATGACGCACTCGCCGTACACGTGGCCCATGCGCAGGGTCCGCTCCACGCCGACAATCTTGCCGCGCCACAGCACCTTGGCCGCCTGCGCGCCGCCGCAGGCGTCGATGATGGCGTCGGCGACGCGGTCGAGGTTGCTGGTGCGGCGCGCGCGGTCGATGGCGCGGCCGATGCGCCAGGACTGCGAGATGGTGTGCGCGACGGCCCAGCGGCGCGTCTCGTGGCCGCGCACGGGCGCCTCGGCGCAGCCGGCGTGCGAGCCCATCTGGCTGACGGCGGCCCGCGTGATGCGCTCGACGTGCGCGTCGGACACGGCGCGGCGCACGACGAGCGTGTTGCCGTTGCCGTCGCACATGGCCATGGGCGCAAAGACGGGCGCGCGCTCGTTGAAGACGACGGGGGTCGTCTGCCACTTGGTCGGGTAGGCGCGGCCCATCCAGTCGCCGTCGACGGCCGGCAGGTCCATGTTGGTGCTGGCGCCCACGACCATGCTCTGGAGGCCGTTGCCGCCGCCAATCTCAATGGAGATGATGTGCGTCGGCGCCACGGCGCACACCCGCGCGAGCTCGCGCTGCGCCTCGAGCATCTCGTCGCCCGGCAGCTTCTCGATGCCCACCGTCGGCGATCCCATGGACCCGCCCGTGCCGACCTGCGCGTCGTCGGCCAGGTCGTCGGGGCTGACGACGCGCACCATGGCGCCCTTGCGCAGCATCTCGCGCAGCCGCACCATGTGCGAGTACGGCGAGCCGCCGCCGCCGGTGCCGAGCACGTAGCACCCCGACGCGATCCAGTTGACGTCCGTCTCGGAGACGTACCAGACGCGGCCCCGCACGATGGGGCGGTAGACGTCGATGTCGAGGTCGCTGGACGGCGCTGGCTTGGTCGCCGTCTCCGAGGACGGGGCGTCCGACGCGGCGGCGCTAGCGTCCTTTGCCGTCTTTTCGTATTGCTCCATGTCCTGCTCCGCGCCCTCTTCGGCGTCGACGACGGCGTCCTTGGACGGCTGGTCCATGTCGGTGCGGCTGTAGTCGAAGTCGCCGGCCGCGCGGACCACGAAGCGAGACTTGTTCTGGACGTACTGTGAAGGGTTGGAAAAGGATTAGAAGAAGGGTCCCATGTCATCATACTTTGGTATGCGGCTGCGTCGACCTACCTGCAGCGGCAGAGTGTCCATCTCCGCAATTTTGACGGTGGCAGGATCAGCACCGGCCGCGACCGTCTGGGCAATGGCCTCCTCGGAGATCTGTCGCAGCAGCGCTGCCGTCGTCGTGCCCTCGGTGGACTTGACCGTGTCGACAACGGCACTGACACGCGCCATGGCCGCGCCAATGGCGTTGGCCACGCCCGACCAGCGCGGCTTCAAGACACGGCTGGCGCCTTGCAGGGCGTCCGGCGCTATGACGGCACCGCCGCCGACGAGAAGGACGGGCACGTCCTGGGGCGACGTCTTCATGTTGTCAATGACGCGCTCAATCTTCTTCTTGACGACCTGCTGGAACGCGGCGAGCTCGTCGGCGGTGAGACGGCCCTGCACCAGATCCGCATTGCCAATCTGGACGTTGGCTGGGTCGGCCATGACGGTGCAGTCGGTCGTCGTCAGAACATCACCGCCAAAGACGACGGCCTCGCTGGTCAGCTTGTAGCCGACGCTGTCGGGACCGACGGTGAGGCTGGGCGAGTCACCCGCATTGCCATTCCTCCGCACAATGGACCCGCCGCCCATGCCGATGCTCTTGATGTCCGGGCACGAAAAGTTCATGCGCACGCCGGCCAGCTCGCTGTACGCGGCCTGCTGCCGCGGGAACCCGCTCGCCAGCAGCAGACCCACGTCGGTCGTCGTGCCGCCAATGTCGACCACCATGACCGCCTCCGCCTTCAGGTCGGCCGCGCCGTCCACCAAAAAGGCCGCGCCGCGCATGCTGTTGGTGGGACCGCTCGAGAACGTGCGGATGGGCAGCTTGGCGGCCATGGCGCCCGACAGCACGGTGCCGTCGTTTTGCGTGATGAAGACGGGGCACTGCAGCCCCAGGCGCTGCACGGGCTCGTGGAAGGCGCGGATGGTCCTGCGCGCAAAGGCCAGGATGGCCGCGTTCAGAATGGCCGCGTTCTCGCGCTCCACAAAGCCCAGGCTGGCCACGTCCTTGGAGAGCACCACGTCGTGGCCGGGCAGGACGCGCCGCACAATCGCGGCCGCGCGCTCTTCCTGCCGCTCGACCGTGTCAATGGGGCTGAACGTGCCGCTGACGACGATGCTCTTGACCTCCTTGTGTTTGTCTTTGATTTCGACGCACGCCGCCTCGATCGCCGCCGCATCAATGTCGGCAATCAGCGACCCGTCGACCTCCAGCCCGCCCGGCAGGATCGCGTAGTGCTTGAGCACGAGCGCGCGCATGTCCGCGGGCCAGTCCACACACGGCGGCGTGTGGTGCGAAAAGGGCCCGCACAGCCGCAGCACGGCCACCGGCGACAGCCGCCGCGCGTCGCGCTCCACCACGGCATTCACAAAGTGCGTCGTGCCAATGGTCACGCTGGCCACGTCCGCGGCCGGGATGTGCGCCGACGTCAGCATCTCCGTAATGGCATGGCCGATGCCCACGCTGGGATTCGTCGTGGTCGCCGCCTTGTGCCACGCCACGATGCCCTTGTCTGGGTCGCCCGCCCGCGCCGGGTCGAGGACGACGCCGTCCGTGTTGGTGCCGCCGACATCCACGCCGATGCGCAGCCGCCGTCTCTCGGTGGAGCCCATTATGTAGTTGGGTACGTGTGCGTGTCGCTTTTTGTGGCTGTGTGAGGTGTCGTTTGGAAGTCTGTACGGATCGGGCTGGGAGAATTCAAAAGACATCAGAGGATGTTGTTTCTTTTCTACATATTTGCACAGCACATACTTGCATCTTTACACTCCCTCTGTAAGCACGTAACGGAGCTTCCCCGCATGCCTCGTACTCTCCCGTCAAAGCTTTGGTTCGGACGTAAAGCTGTCCGCTTGAGCCGACACAGAAATTGAGGAACGTGTAGAGCGAGATAAGCTCCTCGATTAACCGACGCTACTAAAGGTTGGCCGACGGCAACTGCCTGCAATTTGCCCAATACGGAAGGGAACCAACCTTGTCAATACCACGTTATTTTCTTGTCATCTGCATCTCTCCTCACGTCCCCTCAGGACGTGCATCCGTGCCAACGATAAGCACGGCAGTGTCGCTAGATGCCATGCGATTCTGTGTTCTGATCATCTGCCACCAGTTACCAAGCGCTGGGCCGGCCACTGCCGATAGACCACGCCTCAATGGGCAAACGAGTTTTATTCACTCATCATTTGTTGGAAGAAGCGGTACTTTATTCTCCATTGTGCACCCTGTTTTCATATTCTGTCTTGTTTTTTTTCGTTTATGCTTTCCTTTGCTTCAACTTTGCCTTTGTCCACGTCATCATGAACTCCAACCTGCGGCAACGGGCCAATGTGCTCTTGGAAAAAGCGAGGCTGCGCGGCAACGAAGAAGAACATGAACAGACCGACCACTGGAGCAACCGCGACCTCATTCCCTTGCCGCCGAAGCGCCGTGTATGGGGTAAGACCATGTGGCAGCGCCCAATGTGTGATGTCTTTATTATTCGCCAGTGATCAACTGCTGACCTGCCAGGGTGGTTCAACTTCTTTGGCTACTGGGCCATTTCGTCGCTCAACATCTCCACGTGGCAGTCGCCCAACACGTACCTCGCCCAGGGCCTCTCGGTGCGCCAGTCCATGGCCGTCATTGTCGTTGGCCGCCTCATGATCACGCTCTTCTCGTCGCTCGTCGCCTGGTGCGGCCTGCAGTGGCACATTGGCTTCACCATCCAGAACCGCGTCTCGTGGGGCCTGCGCGGCAGCTACATCCCGCTGCTGCAGCGCGTCCTCCTCAACTTCATCTGGTCCGCCGTGCAGTGCTGGAACGGCGGCCGCCTCGTCGCCATCTGCCTGACGGCCATCTGGCCGTCCTTTGCCGCGATGCACAACTTCCTGCCCGCCAGCATGTCGCACATCACCACGGCCTACCAGTTTGTCGGCTTCATCCTGTTCTGGGTCCTGTCGACCCCGTTTCTGCTGATCCCGCCCGAAAAGTTCAAGCTCCCCTTCCAGGTCGTCTCCATCTACTGCGGCGTCGCCATGCTCGCCATGATGATCTGGGCCCTCGCCGAGGCCGAGGGCGTCGGCCCGCTGTGGCACACCGGCGAGGCCGTGCCCGCTACGTCGCGGTTTAATGTGTCGTGGATCATCATGGCCGGCATCAACCAAATGGTCGGCACCGTCGCGGCCGGCATCACCAACGGCTCCGACTTCTCGCGCTATGCCCGCGGGTGGCGACACTACATTGGCGGCAGCACCTTGTCGGCGTTTCTGGTCGGCACCGTTGTCTCGTTTGTCGGCCTTGTCACCACCAGCGCCGCCCAGTCCATCTACGGCGAGGTCTACTGGAACCCGCCCGATCTGCTGATGGTCATGATGGACAGTGGCCGCGGCTCCAGCAAGGCCCGCGCCGGCGTGTTTTTCCTGTCTTTCGGCTTCTGCCTGACGGCCATGTTTGAAAACATCTGCGGCAACGCCGTGGCCGGCGGCATCGACCTCGCCGGCATCCTCCCCCGCTACATCAACATCCGCCGCGGCGCCTTTTTGACCTTTTTGGCCATCTGGGTCGTCCAGCCCTGGCAGCTCGTCAACAAGGCCACGACCTTTATCAACGTCTTGTCGTCCTTTTCCGTCTTCTTGGCGCCCCTAATCGGCATCATGACGACCGACTTCTATCTCGTGCGCCGCCGAAAGATCCGTCTCTCCCACCTCTATCGGCCCCATGACTCCATCTACTGGTTCGCTGGCGGATTCAACTGGCGCGCCTTTCCGGCCTGGCTGGGCGGCTGGGCGCCCACCGTCGGCGGGTTGGCCTATGCTGCCCGGGGCGCAACAGACGGACCAAAGGCCCTGTACGAGCTGTACTACATGGCCTTCCTGCTCGGCTTCGCCATCAGCGCCGTCATTTTCTTCGCGCTCAATACCATCTTCCCGCCCGAGGGACTGGGCGAGTTTGACGACGTGGATGTCTACGGTACTTTCACGGAGAAAGCGGCGGCAAAGCTCGGTGTCGTTACGAACGCATCCTTCGTCGAGGCTGTCTCGGACGGGGACAAGAACGACATTCCGGACCACGGACCCGAGAAGCAGGACGGTGAAATGCAGACCGTTACTGCACTGTAATTGGGCGAAAAGGCATATCCAGGAGAGCAAGGGTACATGATGTAGTAGTCATGACAGTTTTACATTTCTTTGAAGTTTCAAGGCATACCGTTTTGCATCCTTGGCCCACCTTTATCATGATAAACTATAGGATCATACACATGACACGCCGTTTCTGTAAAAATAGGGTGAACACAAACCGCTGCGTTTCGTTCTCACAACAAATACGGTCGCTATCTCCAAGTGAAACAGTCCGACCCTCGTCATCGTCAGTCGCCGTCAAGATAAGATGGGCCGATGCAAAGCGCCCGTATCCTCTGCCACTCCGTATCTATGGCCGTATTAATACATTGACATCTATGGCCAGTATCCACCGTCGATGTCTGACAGACAGCTGCATCGCCGGCCACCACCTGTGTGTTAGGGGCTCCGAACCTTCAATATTCAAACGGTTGCTTGTTAGTGTTATCTTTCCCCGCTTTCCACCACTCTTCACACATAATTATATCGGCCAACGGAGCCCGCCCTTCAGTGCGCGACCGTCTTGGCGGCTTTCCATCGGTTTCCGTGTCTCTCCGCACGTGCAACTAGCACCTGCCCGAGATCGCTCAACTCCGCACCTTCCTTATAATGAACTTCGCACCTTCCTTCCCCGACATTATTCGGCCAACTTCTACTTCCTGCCCACTCTCACTATCTCCAAACAACGCATCGATACAATCTATTCCCTGTCTATCTCCATCCTCCCCCCCCTGTTCGCTCTCACTCCCTGGCACATCCCCCACCCCCTCGCGATGCCGCCTCATCGGCGCAAGTTTCGCATCCAGTCCAAGTTTGGCGAACCTCGACAATGGAGAAGCCGCAAGAGCCGCCCTTGCGATGCCTGCCGGAAAAGAAAGACCGCCTGTGTCATTGACATACAACCTCCCTGTTCGTCGGCCCTGTTTGCACGTCCTGGCCTTTCCCTCGTTCCCCACGTTCCCCACGTGTACCGAGACTAACCGTGTCGTGCGTCGTCGGTTGAATTTGTCCCAGGTCGCTATTGCGAGCGGAAGGGCATCGACTGCCAAGCGACGGATAGCGGCGGCAGCCCCGCGCCAGGTTCTCCAGGACGTTTTAGCAGCCGAAGCACGCCAGGCGATCTGGGGAATGCAGACACACAGGCCTCATCATCTCCACGAGCCACCTCTGGTCCGCTGGCCACACCACGGGGCCGGGCGCCGTCTCCTACGTCCGACCAAGACCCAGGACTGAATCTGGATGGAGTCGACGTAGGTCCGACGGGAGCCTCGCCAGTCCCGCTGACGCTGATGCAGCCGCCTCCTCCCGTACCGAATCAGGTTGCATTCCCACTGCCATCGCCCATCTCGGTTCTTGTCGATGCCGCAGTCAACCGTGCATCTGAGGGGAATGCGCCAAGACGTGCTGCTGCAGCCACCAATAGTGTCTCACCCTTGCTGGTGGAACCACAAGCGCACACAGAGACAGGGCCTATTGCAGTCAGCTTTGCAGCAGCTGCTGCTCTGCAGAGTCCCACGCCCTCCGTCCCTGCCCAGCGCCACAACAGCCCCGGTCGGTTTCCGGCGAGGAACGCGGACAAGACCGCCATCTACACGCTCGACGACAACGACAATGTCACGGCACATTCCATGGGGCTGGCCGGCGAGCAAGATACGGAGCTGTTGTCGTCGTTCCGGGCAGCCATTATGAACGAGGCTGACAGTATAGACAGCGAAATTCTCCAGATCTATGCAGGGGGCGTCACTGATTCGATCGGCGGTGGAGACGGAACTGCGGGGGAGAGGTGTCACCATCCACCGGTGCATTTCAATATGATCCGCGATGAGTTCATGCCGCTAGACAATGCCGTCAAGGTGGCCTCGTCGCACCGCATCGAGGCAGCCGTCCAGGGATGTGCGGATCACCTCGTGCGTCTCTATTTTAAGCACGTGCACCCCGTGTACCCAGTGCTGTCAAAATCACGCTTCTTGCAAACCTACGCGGATGACAAGCGGGCGTTGCCGGCATCGCTGCGGGGCGCCGTCTACGGCATTGCATCCAACTTTTGGCATCACGACCGTGTCCCCGATGAGAACCGGGCCGTAGTACCGACGACAGCTGCAACTGCAACTGCAAGCACTGAAACAGCCGCAACAACCACAACAGCTGCTTCGTCACCATACTGCACAGTCACCTCCCCTGCTATGACAGTGATATCCCGACCCGATCAGCACGAGCTCTTTGAGCAGGCCCTCGCCTCGCTGCAGCGCGAACTGCATGGGCCCAATCTGTGGACCCTGCAGGCCTGCCTGCTCCTGATCCACGAGAACTCCGCCGAGAACGCCACCATCGAGACCCCCCGCGTCTGGATGCTGGCCGCCCAGGCGACGGCATGTGCCCAGATGCTCGGCCTGCACCGCGACCCCATGGCCTGGCAGCTGGCGGCCTGGGAGAAGCATTTGCGGCGCCGGCTGTGGTGGGCCACATTTGCCGCCGACGTTTGGTCGTCCGTCTGCCACGGGAACCCGCCTCACATTTATGAGGGCTCGTTTACGACGCCACCTCTCAGGATGGAGGACGTCGCGCAAGGCGAGGAAGTGCCACAACCACTGCGCCACATGGTCGACGACGACTGTGCGGTGTCAGATACAGCTGTCTGCGCACGTTTCGTCAACATGGTTGTCGTCAGCCGCATTGTGCACCAGCTTCTCATGTCGTCCTTCTCCGACGTGGCCTATGTGGAGTCCATGAAGGACCCCGTGACCCGAGAGGCGTCCCTTATGCAGATTCGCCAGCAGCTGCAGGACTGGTCAATGCTTTTGCCGCGATGCATCAGCATGGAGACCATCCCCACGGCCGGCGTGCATCACAATAATGGTATGACATTTTCTGTCTGAAGTCACCGACTACACCGAGATACATTTGTTCTGACCATCTGCCAACTGGTAGCACCCCTACACCTCTCCTACTATGCCGCCGTCGCACTCAACTTTCGCGCTCTCATGAGCCCCGTCACAAAGGCCGCCAAGCACGATCCGCAGTCGAGTCTGCGACGTCACTTTGGTTCAGCGATCAAGGAATTCGGTTTCTTTATCGATTTCATGCACGGTATCTCGCCAGGGTGTCTGAATGAGTTTTGGGGCCTTCGTACGTGTTTGCTGTTTTTTTTTTTTCTACTTTCTTTTTTGAGTTCATATTCTTCCCGCACCATGCTCACAACCTTTCGTATCGTTTGCATCGTTACTAACGAATTTTTCAGATTCCCGGTCACAACTCATCCTCTGTGGCAACTTTCTTATCTACCTCTTCTTGCTGGCCCCCGGCCCCAACCAGGTCCAGGATACGTTCGCACTGCTCGGCACATTCCACGACTCTCTCCAACGTTTGAGTGCCGTGGCCGACCAATTCGCAATCGGTGTGCTGCGGCCTGTGGCTTTGCGTATCGACTCCTTCTTTACCCAGGCTGCACAGCTCATGCGCACCAATGGCCAGTCCCCTTCTAGCTAGTATTGCGAATCCGAAGGGGAATTCCAAGCTCTGGGCTATCTCCGAACCTCGGTGCCACCCACCAACTACTGTTTTATCAGTTCGTTTTACCTATCGCGATCGGCCAACTCCTAGTGCAGCCGCCTTCATCCAGGATCAACCTTTCTACACCAACTTTCGCAGGCCCCCTCATAAATCTCCGCACATCAATTTCCCCTCTTTCTTAGTGCATGCAAGACCGATCAAGGCGGGCGGTTTATCGCCTGTAGAAACACACGTCAATGTGCAGATGCCGGTCTCATCCAAGAAATACGGCATCTTACTCACCACACAACGCTCACGGCTTCCATCCATATAAGTCGAGATAGGAATTGGACCTCTCGGTTCAGCTTCTCTGATCTCAAAGCAAGCCCTTATCGGCACAGCTACTAGTTTTTCTACAAACGGCACCACGTCTCTGCAGTACCCACCACCAAGCAACCACATAGCTACACGGTTTCATCCAATTATCAGCCATGAGTCTCGACCCACCCGCCAGTAGCATCCCCGTGATCGACTTTGCGCCGTTTTACAGCGGCCGGGCCGAGGACACCGCCGCCGTTGGCAAGGCTGTCTACGAGGCCTTCCGCGACGTCGGCTTCGCCTATATTTCCAACCACTGCATTCCAGAGGAGGCGGTTAAGGAGGCTTTTGAATGGGTAGGTCGCGCCCGCCGTGCTTCCTGACCACGTTTGTTGTCGCGCTTGTTGACCCTGTAGAATGCCAAATTCTTTGACCTCCCTCAAACCGTCAAGGAAAAGGCGCCTCACCCGCCCGAGGGATGGTGGCACCGCGGTTACAGCGGCATCGGCCGTGAAAAGGTGGTCCAGATGGTCTACGACGAGGCAAGCATCGGCGATCTGCGCAAGGTGCCCGACTTCAAGGAATCGTTTGAGATTGGCCGCGACTACAACGCCACGCGGGTGCGCAACATCTGGCTGCCCGAAGACGACCTGCCCGGCTTCCGCGCCTTCTTTGTCAAGTTCTTTGAGCTGGGCTACCAGATGGAGCTCGACTTGCTGCGGGCCATTGCCATTGGCATGGGGCTCGACGAGAAGTTCTTCTGGCAGTACCACACCAACAAGGACAACCAGATCCGCCTCCTGCACTACCCCGCCGTGGAGGAGTCGCTGCTGCGCGACGGCAAGATCGAGCGCATCGCCAGCCACACCGACTTTGGCACGCTCACGATGCTCTTCCAGGACAGCGTCGGCGGTCTTGAGGTCGAGGACATCTACGAGAAGGGCAAGTTCAACGCGGCGCCGTACATCCCGGGCACCATTGTCGTCAACATTGGCGATTTCCTGCAGCGCTGGAGCAACGACCAGCTCAAGTCGACGCTGCACCGCGTGCGTGCGCCGCCGCTGGTGGACAATCAGGAGGCAGCAACTCCGGACAACGGCGCCACGAAGCAGCGGTTGACTCGGCCGCGCCGGTCCATCCCCTACTTTGTGACGGCCGACCACGAAAAGGTCATTGACTGCCTTCCAGGCTGCTTCGGTCCAGATAACCCGAAAAAGTACGAGCCCATCAACAGCGGCGAATACATTACCAGACGGCTCAACGCAACATATTGAGGGGAGAGGTGAAGGACTACGTGCCACGTGTACTGCATATTTATGGCCCAAATTGCAACAGCTAGAACTAATATTCTTGTTTTGTTAGCCCTGTATAAGGTTTACTCTCCGTCTAAAATGCGTTTTATTTTGTCTTTTTGCTTCTTCAATCATACACCTCTGTCCCCATGAGTCACTCCATCCCCTCTGGTCGGAACTTGACATAGACCAATGTATCCATCACGATGCCGTTCTTTTCCATGCTTTGCCGCTGCCGCACTTCGAATGCAAAGCCGGCCTTTTCCAGCACCCGCGCACTGGCATCGTTGCCATCAAACACGTGGGCCTCGAGCCGCAGCAGCAGGGGGAACGTCGCAAACGCCCACCCGCAAAAGGCGGCCACGGCGTCCGTCGCGATGCCGCAGCCCCAGTACGCCTCGCCGAGCCAGTACCCGAGCTCCATGGTGCGGTGCTGGATGTCCTCGCGCAGCTTGAGCCCGATGCCGCCCATCACGGTGCCACTGGCATGCTCGCCGTCGTCACCGTCGTCGCCGTCGGCCGTGCAGATGGCCAGGTCGCGCACCGGTGCCCAGCGGGTGGCGACGGCGATCCAGACCTCGGCGCTGTGGCGCGTGTACGGATGGGGGAACGTGTTGCGCATCCACTGGGCCACGCGAGGGCTGTTGGCCGCGCGCACGAGCGCGTCGATGTCGCTCGTCTTGTAGGGTCGAAGGACGCAGCTGCCCAGCGTCAGGTAAGGATCCGCGGGTGGCATAGCCGGTGGACTCGGTTTGTTGAGACGTCGGTTAAGTGTGTCTGTTGGGCCGATCAATGTGTGCGGTGTGACTGCGTTGAACGTTGGATTTGCACCACTTCTTGCGGGACTACGGGGCATGCGGGTACGTTAGCCGCTAGGTGTTAAACCAGTGTTGCGTCTGCAGTTTCTTGTATCGGTCGGCTGCATAGTATGTGGGACATAACAGGAGCGATAGTTAAGTCTCAAGAAGAATAAGACGTATATAAATTGAAGAATATTGACTTGCTTTTTGTCTTTTTTTTGGGGGGGGGAAGTACTATTTTTGAAAATTAAGAAGAAAAGGTGCAACATAAATTTTGGCAATACAAGTTTTAAAAATGATTTGACTTTCATTTGCAAACGTTGTGAGATAAGTACAGTTGTAGGAAGTAGGAGACGCTCGAAATGAAATAGTCGGTGCTGCAAGAACTGCCATCACAAACTTGCCTACACCTCCAGCTTCGGCTGGTCGGCCTTCTCGGCGACGCTGCCATCGACAGGCGACGACTGGCCGTCCACAAATTCCATCTCGTCGACAAAGGGCATGTCCACGCCGAGGCCGGGCATCGGGAAGAGGTACGACAGAGCACAGAACAGAACAAAGCTTATGGACAGGCCGACAATGAAAGTGAGGTTGTAGAGGCGCGTCCAGTTGGTCCACTTGGGGTCGGTGTAGCCATTGACCGTGGCGGCCAGGCCGGCTGATTCGTCAGTACGGTTTTTAAGAAGAAAAGAACGCAGCAGCAACACAATGGTACGTGACTCACGCAAAAGTGGCCAGACACCACAGAAAAAGGCGGCAAAAGCGCGCCAGTTAAAACCGGCAACGAACCAGTAGCTGGAGCTGGAGTTGCCCATGTACAGCTCGTTGAGACGAAGCTTGCGCTTGCGGATAACGAGGTAGTCGGCGAGGAGGATGCCACTGCGGAGGGTTAGCGGCAGTACGGCACACCAAAGGGAAGAGACCTCCCAACAGAGAAATAGCAGGGGAACGTACGTTGCGGGGGCCATAAAGACGCCGAACCCGCTGAGGACAGACACAAACTTGGTGGCGGTGCTGATGAGCTGCCAGGGCTGCGTGGCAATGCCGACGATGGCCATGACGTAGCTGCCACGGATGATGTTGATGTACTTGGGGCTCAAGCCGGCCATGTCCATACCCGTCGACACGGAGTTGAGCACCACGGAGATCTAGCAATGGTGTTAGGACATATACGAAAGGGCCGTTGCCAATAGGCTCCCACGTACCGACATCTGCGACGCGACGCAGCCGAGACTGGCAAAGAAGACGCCCGCCCGCGCGCGCGGGCTCGAGTGGTACAACTCCTGGATGTCGGCCAGCAGGTAAATGGGGTTCCAGACCAGGTCGCCGCCCAGAATGTCGTGGGCCGCGCTCGTCACAATGATGCCAATGGTGGCCGTCACGGCAATGGTCACGGGCGATGCGATCATCTGCGAGACGGTGGGCGCGTAGCGGCGGTTGGCATAGCGCGTCCAGTCGGACTGGCCGAGTGTGCCGGCGCCCCAGGAGCCCAGAATGGCCGTGATGCCAAACATAAAGGCCCAGCCCTTGTTCTCGGCGGTTCCAGGCTTGTGGAAGAGGGATCCGGCGCCGCTAGCATGGGAGGTGCTCCTGCATGTGGTTAGTTATGACTCGGTGTGTTCAGTTTATGCTATTTTTTTACTTTAATTTATTGTGCCGGGCTTTCTTACCATGCCAGACAACCGATGCACGTGCCGAGGAAGAGAACAAAGCAGAAGAAGAAGGGAATCTGCAGGCGCTCGGGCTTGATCAGGATCGCCGGAACAAAGGCAGCCATCCAAATGACGAGTCCGATGAAATCATTCGTGGCCAAGTGCGAGCTCGCCGAGAAGGAGTTTTTCATATGCGCGAAGCCTGGGCTTGTTAGATTCTGTTTCTGTGGCGCCGAACGTCCGTCGATGGTCGGAACACAGAAACACACCTGGAATAATGGCTCCGATCATAACACGCGTGGCTTGTCCGCCCCAATACGCCTGCATACCGAACCACATGCACGAAACAAAGATGCGAATAATGACGGGGACTGGCCGAGGTGTTAGCGACTGATGTTCTGCACGCGTCACGGCAGTGGCGGAACACGGACAGTAGGCACCGCGCATGCCCCAGGCAGAGCGGCTCGAGACGGTAAAGCCGATATGATGGACCTCGCCCAGCCACCCGCAGGCAACGGCGAGGACACCCGTCAGGACACCGCCGATGATCTGGGAGGACGGTTAGCACAATGCGCGAGCATAGGATTCTCTGGTCGTCACGCAAGAAGACGCACCACGACTCCAATCGCCTGCTGTGGACTCAGGCCGTAGGCCAGAAGGGTGCTGCCGACGGACCAGGCCGAGATGCAGGAGCCGGAGACGGTCCAGTAGCCTGGGCGGCGAGTGTCAGTAGTCCGGCGGTCGTATCGATTTGCCTGTCACCACGAGGCGGAGCACAAGACAACGCACCAAAATAGGACCAGACGCCAAAGGTGCGGCGTGCGGGCGGAATTGGGATGAGGTCTCGGTTGCACCATGTCGTGTTTTCATAGTGCGAGTCATCGTGCTTTGGCCTTTGAGACCGAACGGTGTCAGTGAACTTGGCTTCAACAATGAAACGACAGATGGAGCATGGAGTAGAGGCACGAGATGTCGAGTCGATTTCTGTGGGGTGGGCCGGACCGACCACTTACACTTCAATGCTCTTCTTAAAGTCGACCCAGTTGAACCCCATTATATTCACTGCAGGGTATGTCGTGTGCCGTAGACGTGGCGAGTGCAAAACAAAAAGTGTAAAGGTGCGTTTGTCATGCGCCGACGGGAGAATCTGACAAGCGGAAAGAAGAGGAACTGAAAGATGCACAACAAAACCTGATCTCGACGGCGGAGATGTCAAGGCACGGAGCCCTTTAAGTCTGAGGGAGTCATGACAACCCGCATCGCTGGATCGAGGGGGGGATGCAGGCAATTGGCAACCGGAAGCGATACAACGGTCCGTTTGTGGGACGGAGAGTTGGCAGCAGCGGCGTCTCGTGTCGTACTCCGTATGTGATAACTTGTTCCCCTCCTTATCGGCACAACTCCAAGGTGCCCTGTCCCCTGTCTGCGGAGGTGGGTTCGCCCACACGGACTCGGTAGATGAGATTGGCATTTTCCACGCGAGCTGGCAGTTGGCCGATCGTCTTGCGCTGGTCGCGTGCGTCTGTGTCCATTGTGTTGTTGGCCGATCTCGTCCCTCGACCTCCACATATCGGCCAATTACATCGGCCAACATCACACGATTTCGTAGCGTGACGTCAGGTGTATTAATTGCATTGTTTATCATTCCTTTATTTCACTCGTATTTCTTCACTGCCGTGTCGTTTGTTCCTATTCGGGCACCATGCTGATACGCACCGGCTTACTCTCACACACTCACTCTAGACCCTTTGACCATGGTGCAAAACACCTCCCGGACATTCACCCTCAACGACGGCCGGTCCATCCCGGCTGTCGGCCTCGGCACGTGGCAGTCCAAGCCCAACGAGGTCCGCGACGCCGTCAAGTTTGCCCTCCAGCATGGCTACCGGCACGTCGACACGGCCCTCAACTATGGCAACGAACAGGAGGTCGGCGAGGGCATCCGCCGGTCGGGTGTCGCCCGCGAGCAGATCTGGGTGACGACCAAGCTGGACAATCCCTGGCACCATCGGGTGGCCGAGGGCTTCGAGAAGTCGCTGAGCGATCTCGACGTTGGCTATATCGACCTTTTTTTGATGCATTTCCCCTGCTCGACAGACCCCGACGATGCCACCAAGCATCTCCCCGACTGGGACTATATCAAGACGTGGTGCGTCCGTACAAACTGTAAAGGCAGCATCTGCACGCATCAACATCCCAGCTAATTCAGTGGGCCCCGGTGGACAGGAAAGAAATGCAGAAGCTGGTGGACGCGGGCAAGGTCAAGTCCATTGGCGTATCCAACTTCCAGATTCGCCATCTCGAGAAGCTGCTGGGAGATCCGAGCTGCAAGATCGTGCCAGCCGTGAACCAGATTGAGGTATGTGTCTCTCGTGACGGTATAACGAACCAGACGGGACCCAAGCTAACAAGGCAATGGCAGCTTCATCCGTGCAACCCTTCGTATGTACCATCGACTTCCCGTCTTTCCATGCCTGATTCGACACCACGCTAACAATCCCGCCCCAGACCAAAACTGCTCGACTTTTGCAAAGCAAAGGGCATCCACTGCACCGCCTACTCGTGTCTCGGCGGCACGGCCGGATCGCCCATCAACAACTCGGGCCCGCTCATGGACGAACCGGCCATTGTCGAGATTGCCGCGGCCAAGGGCAAGACACCCCAACAAATCGTCCTCATGTGGGGCCTGCAGCGCGGCACTAGCATCATCCCCAAGAGCGTCACGCCGGCCCGCATCGAGCAGAACTTTGCGCTCGACGGCTGGTCGCTGGCACAGGCGGACATGGACCGCATCAGCGCCGTCAAGGGCCGCTTCAAGGTGGTGCAGGACGCTTGGATGCCGATCCGTGTGTTCTTTGGCGACGACGAGTAGGCAATGTGTATGGGCGACGTGGTCGCAACAAAACCGTTATTCATAGTATGTACATGAAAAGAAAGCAAATAAAACGACAATTTAGCGTCATCTACGTGACCGAGGTCGAGAGGTATTTCCACACTCCTCATTATATACTGTACAGTATTATAAGGTCCCCAAGGTCGTGAAACGGAGTTTATTGATTCGGCCAGCTTACGCCGTCTTCCGCCTCACGACGGACATCCGGTCGCTGGGTAGTTGCAGCGACTAGCCACGGCGCCACCCGCAATGGACACGTTGGAAAACGCAATATTCGAGCACGCCCCGTCGCCACACAACACGTAGTAGTCCTGCGCCGAGGCGCTGGAATGTCCCGTCACGTTGTGGAAGAGCACGTTTTCAATCAGCACGCCGTTGGACGGGTTGCCTGTGGGGCCGCCGTTGAGGTAGTCCTGCTGGACGTCGATGCCGTATCTGGATATGTTGCTGACGGCAATGTTGGAGAAGGTAATGTTGGCGACATGGCCGGTGGCGTTGTAGTTTGTCTTGATGCGGCAGGCGTTTTCCGAGTTGGCCACCGACGAGTTGGAAAACTGGTGTGTTTCCGGGGGTCGTGTTAGTATGTAGTTGGAAAGGAAGAAAATCAAAAAAAATCAAAAATCAAAAAAACCCCGAAATACATAGGCCGCACAGAAGAAGGCTCACCACAATGTTAGTCACGTTATTGTTCGACTTGAGGCCGACGGACCCAATCGAGAGGCCATGGCCGCCGCGGCAGACAAGGTCCCTGACCGTCACATTGTTGCCGCTTGTCACAGCCACACAGTCGTCCTGGTTGTCGACGACAATGCGCTGGAGCAGAACATTGACCGACGAGCTGAGGTCGAAGCCGTCCGAGTTGTGCGCGGCGGCCCGACCACCACTCCGGTTGTTGGGCGCATCGCCGGCCGAGTTGTCCAGAACGAGGTCCTGCATCACGAGATCCTTGCTGCCGGAAATGGAAAACAGGTGCACCGGCCAGTTCTGGACGTGCAGGTTCTGGACGACCGAGTGGCCCGTGAGCTTGAGGACGATGAAATGGTCGGGCTTGGGCGTGCCGCCGTTGGAGCCCAGGCCGTCCCAGTAGGCCGGGCCGTTGCCGTCAATGACCGCACCCGGGCTGGCTGTAATGGTAACGCCGGTGCCGCGAATCGTGATGGGGCTAAACGACGACGAGTTGGCAAAGCCAAACGTCGTGCGCCCGTCAAACGTGACCGTTGCGCCCGTCTTGAGGCCCGACAGGCGAATCGCTGCGCCGTTGGGCGCGGCAATGTTGGACAGCACAATGTCGGTGCACGACGCCACGGCCGTGGCGATTTGAGCATACTCGGTGCAGAAGCATGGGTTGGTCGAGGCAGTGGGGCTCGATGGTGTCGTGGTGGTGGCCATGCTGGACGCGGCCGATGTGGTGGACACAGTCGACGTCGACGTGGTCGACCCACCTGGGGCCAAGTCGCTCGGGTCGAGGTAGCTCGTGTCCACCCACCACTCGTCCTGGAAGTTGGCGCCGAGAATCGACCGGATCGAGACGGGCGCCGCCAGCTGTTCACTGAAGCTGGCGCGCGGGCTCTCGGCCTGCACCGAGCCAGGGCCGCGGTTGTTGTACTCGGCAAACGTCACATGGTCAGTGTTGGGCGTGCTCGTCGACCACTGCTTCCAGCCGGCCGCGGCGACGATGCTGCCCAGATACGTCTCCTGGAAGACAACGCGCGCAAACGGTCCCCATGGGCGGCCCAGATAGCTGCCACCCGCTGCGACCGAGTCGTTGTTGCCCGATACCGTGGAGCGGCTAATGACGTACCACGACGGGTTCGTGTCACTGCTGCGGCCCGAGGCCGTGATGTAGCCCGCGGCAGTCGTGCGGATGTCCACGCCTTCGAGCCACGCGAGCGCCGTCTGGCCGAAGATAAAATCGACGGCGCCGACAATCAGGCTCTTCGCGTACAGTTGCGTGCCCGTGTTGGCCAGCAGTGTGTCCTGGTAGCCTATGAGCTGGCAGCCGTAGTAGGCCTGGGCCGTCGTGTGCGCCGAGACGGCCAGGTTCTGGCCATTCGAGTGGATGTGGCCGAACGTATTGACCACGTTGAGATTGTACACCTTCGTGTTGGTGTTCCACTGGCGCAAGGTGGCCGTCAGGTCGTCCGAGGTCGTGTTGATGAGCGCGAGGTTGTACGTGACTGTGGCCTGGTTTCTCTCGTAGCCGCGGGCGTCGCGCGTGTAGCCCTGGACCGTCAGGTTGGATGCCAGCAGCGGAATGTACACTTGCTCGACATAGGTGCCCGGGAAAACAAACAGATTCTGCGGCGTCCTGGTTGTCTTGTTCAGCGCATCGACGCCGGCCTGGAACGTCATGTACGATCCCTGGTATGGCTTTGCGCTGTTGTCCACGACCACCGCACCCTCCGCAGGGGTGATTCGCGACCAAGGGGTTGACTTTTCTGGCCACAGTGAACGTGCGTGGACTGGCGAGGCGACCAATGCCGCGGCCAGAGCTAAATAAAGCGAGCCCAGCATTGTTGATATTGTCGTATAAGTGAATTGCAGGTGTTCGTCACAAGCGACAAAAGAAATCTGGCCGTTTTAGTATCGTCCACCTTTTATACTATATGGATAGTATATGGCTTGTGTTCCCGCCCGTCAAGCTCCCCCAAAAGAATGAAATGACACCCCAAAATCTCCAGAGACTCGGTCCTGGGTCCAGGTTATTCCCCAGATTTGATCTTTCCGTCTCAACCTTTGTCTACTTTCGCTTGGGGGATAATATGACAGTGAACACTTTCTGCCGTTCCATCGCTTCCTCTATCCAGAACTAGTAAAAAGACAGGGTAAACAAATGTCCCACCAATAGCGGCGGCAGTTCATATTGCCTGGTCATATTAAATTTACAACGGCGCACACACTGTCTCCGCACGATCCCCTTCTTCTCCACGCAACTCCCCATGTACCTGGCAATCGACGAAACATCATGTTCGTGCGCCAAAATTACAGGTCAAGGTGGATTTACAACAGCACCTAAGAGACACAGGAGAGAGTCGTTACAAGACAGTTTGTCGTGTAATACCTTTGATTCGAGGGTTGTATTAAACCAGTTGGATGACCTCTTGACGTCAAAGTTGAGTGGCAAAGAGGAATATTGTACGAGAGCGTGGCAAGGCTACCCGACGCGGGGAACATGCTAACGAAGAACGGCCAAACTTTTGGGTTTGCCTTGTGTTTATTACATAGTGGCGTCGAGAAGGAATGAATTTTCAGGTTGTTGATTGGCATTGGCAAGCAACCGATATGCGATATGGCTGATGATACAGCAAAAGACAACTGTGCCAGCGATGGCACACAGATCAAACCGGGCAGAGCTATGTTGACTGTAGACCGCAAAGATCGTATCCTGACAACAATCCTGCAAGTGTTGATCTATCAACGACATACGACTATTGCAAGAAAAGAGGTCGTGGGGAGTCAGATTGGTGTTTACCATTGTAGGGGTCTTTCAGGGTCTTGTCAGGACGGCGGTTGGGCCCGCGAAGGTTGGCGGCACTTGCCGGCGGTATGTCGCTACCGATACGCAACCACGGCAGAGATTGGAAAGAGCGAGCATGCAACGCCGGGGGTCATTCAAGCGTATATAGCACTTCCACAGTGGTGAAACTTAACCACAAGAAATTCAAGGGTCGCGCCTCTTCGTAGTTTTACTGCATTTCCTCGTTAATTTCTTGCGATATATATGAAAATCAACAGTATCTCATTATTCACCGTTTCCAAGCACTATTCGAAACCAAATAAGAAGGATATAGCAAGGAGAGTGGACCCAGAAACGACTCGGAGAGCAACCAGTCTGTTTCAGTCCGGCCCGGATGCCGAGGGAAGTCGACTTTGGCAGACGGCGGGAATGGAATGAAGATGCCGATCAATTCGGCCGGAATCTGCGGACGAAGCAAGCATTTTCGTATCAGCAAGCTCCGTATGGTGAAATTAGGTTGGTGTGCTGCAAGGCGCGCCGCAAGCGATGAACCGATGGAAATAACGTAACAACATGGCGCAATCCACTCCGGCCAGTGCGCCATCCAAGCCAGGACAGGCTGTTGTAATCGAATCGCGGCCGATAAAAGAAGACAAGCCGCATGAATAAATAAATAGAGTTCATACGGAAAGAAAGGTTTTGGACAATTACTTCCAGTACTAAGATACCAATATTGCCTTGTTCCCTCCCACCATGACCTGGAAAGTGGCCATCATCGGCGGCGGCCCCGGCGGCCTCGCTGCAGCGATTGCCCTGACGCAGCTCAACGAGAAGCAGTACCGCCAAGGCCTGCCGGCACTCGTCGACTGGACGCTCTACGAAAAGAAGCCGCGCATCAGCGAGACGGGCGGCGGCATCAGCATCCAGCGCCACACGTGGCGGATGCTGGAGCTGCTGGGCGTGGCCGACCGGGTGGACGCGCGCGACGTGTTCCGGGCCGCCGACGGCCGCAATGTCGAGCACCGCAACGCCGTGACGGGTGTCTTGATTGCTCGGCGGTTCCACTCGGACGACACGCCGCCGCACCAGGTCAGCGGACGCATGGTGCGGGCAAAGCTGCAGAAAGCCTTGTTGTCGGCCGTCGACGCATCGCGGGTCAGGACCGACAAGAAGCTGGTGTCGGTGGAGGACGCCAGCGACACGGCGCACACCCCCGCTGTGCGCCTTGCGTTTGCCGACGGCGAGGTGTCCTCGTTTGACCTCGTGATTGGCGCCGACGGCATCCGGTCCGTCGTCCGCTCGTTTTTGTCGCCGCACCACACGCTGCAGTACAACGGCCAGTCGGCGTACCGCACCATCCTGCGCAAGCAGGACGTAGCCGCGATCAGCGGCATCCCCGCCTCGCCCGTCTTTTGGCAGTATGTCGGCGGCAAGTACGTCTTCACGTGCCCGCTGGGCGGGGACGATTTCGAAGTGACGGCGCGCATCCGTCCGGACCTGTCGGACGACGAGGCGGCCCAGCAGACCAGCTGGGGCCAGCCGTACGACATGACCCGGCTGCTGCCGTCGTACGCCGAGTTTGCGCCGCCGCTGCGGCAGATCCTGCGGCTGGCCGCCGACGTGGGCGGCACGCAAGAGTTTGCCATGTTCCACGGCCCGCGGCTGGAGACGGTGGTCAAGCCGGTGGGCACCAAAACCACCGCCGCCCACGGCGGCGGTGTCCTTCTTCTGGGCGACGCATCGCATCCCCTCTCCGGCGCCTTTGGTGCGGGTGCGGGCTTTGCGTTTGAGGACGCGTACACGCTGGCCCGGGCGCTGTCGTGGGCCCACGCAACGGACCGCGCGCTGGTGGACGCGCTGTGGGTCTACGACCACGCGCGCTCGCCGCACTACGCCAACCTGTACAAGGAACTCGACCGCGGCGGCGCCATCGTCAAGGACGTGGCGAGCCAGAAGCTGCCGCTGCACGACGAGATCAGCGAGCGCGTGCGACGGCTCTGGCTGGATGACGGTAAAGGTGGCTCCGGATGGGTGTACTTGTACCACGCGGACGAGGTGGTGGAAGAGGTGATTCAGCAGAGGGAGAAGGAGCTGGCGACAACGACAGAGTCTGCCAAGACGGACGAGACGGACGATGCCGCCCCGGAAACTACAGCAGAGCCTGCCACTGCGACAGAGTCTGCAAAGACAAAAGAGACCAGCGAGGCCAACCCCCAAGCAGCAGCAGAGCCTGTCACAAACGGACAACCGGAGCAGCAGCAGCCTTCATCGGTCAAGGACGTGGTTGTGCCGGTGGTACAGGAGGTGACTGCTGCAGCAGCCTAAACAGGATAGAGAGTAGAGAGCAGATGGGCAACAGAGACAGCGTACATTACGATTCATTACAATTCCTTACGATATTTTCTTATATCGTGACAATGACACAATTCAACGATCATGAGATGTCTGTTAAAACTTTGTGCCTGTTTGCCAAGCTACGAGTCATGCTGATTGTCACGTCTTTGCCGACGTGAATTAGCAGACAACTGTCGCCCCTGCAGTGACATGTCTGGACCGTTCTGTCTGAACCCGGATTCGAGTCGAACAAACGCCACAGGATTTCGCAATGCGGCGAGCAGTGATAGCACCATGGGATGTAGTTTTTAGTTCTGCTTATCAGTATGGCTCGGAGGATATTTCGGTGTCGATTGTTTTTGTTTTGTCGACGGAGTATTTCATTTTAGTTTCTTATCAGATTTGTAACAATTCACAGAATCCACAGCCACTAACGGAACAGGCCTGCAACGCAATCCAATTAGAGGCAATGGCTTCTCTGCTCTCCAGGAACGCCATGGCTTTTTAAATACCGAATTGAGGTAGTAGTACGACATATGTCTACCATTTCGAATTGACACCAAAAACATGGCATCTTCCGTCATCGCGGGTGCATGGCCGTTTGGGATATTGTGGCAGCGATCGGCAGGCAAGGTACAGTGCTCATTGGGTGTCCGGAGCATTAAAATCGGTGCCGCTGGTCGTCTCGCGGGGTTGTCGCGGAGTGCCAACGAGGCTGGCCTTGTCTTGAATGGTGTCATTGGCCTTGGCCGTGTAAGAGCGCAGCATCGAAAATGTCGCCATCTAAGCTAGGTAAAGACAAAACAGAAAGGTCGCCAAAACACTGCTCGGCAGACAGAAAATACTGCATGAAAAGGTATCAAATGGTGGAATTTGTCGGATTTAGATAATGTCGGTAACAATGCCTGTAAAAATTCCTGTAAAGGGAAACCAGGAAACTAGGCCCGACGTCAACCCCGGCCATTCTCGGACCAGCAGGACCGCTCAAGACCTCACGAGATACAGATTGTCGAGCTGGAGTAAGTATGCCGCTGCCATGACTCGGACGTGCCACGCGCGTGGATTGATATAAGTTGATAGGCGTGTGTCAATTTCAGTTTCCACGATCTCGCCCCTTCTTCCGGCGTGTCTGGTCCAGTTTCCTGTTTTGTCTTCACAACTGTTTACATCCACATCGCCACTTATTCATCATGGCCGATCTCAAGACGGCAGCGCCTAGCAAGAATGAGTTGGTCTACTCTTCCACAGCCGACGTCTCGTCAGACGACGACATTCGACCATCAGAGGGAAAGCGGACGTGGCGGTCGATTTTCTGGTCATGTACGTTCCCGGGGATTCAAACACCCTGGCATGCACTCGCTCACTAACGTCACAGCCCTCGACGTCTCCAAGGAAGAGGCGTACTTCTTGACCAAGCTCGACCTGACACTCATCTCGGCATCGGCTCTCGGCGTCATGTGCCGCTACATTGACCAAGTCAACATTACCAACGCATTCAGTAGGTTCATGCCCTCGACGCCCCCTGGTTACCCCCGAACACGCCACTCCCTCGACTAACACCCCCAGACAGCGGCATGAAAGAGGACCTCAACCTCTATGGCAACCAGCTCAACTACGCCAACGCCATCTGGAGCGCCGCCTACGTCTTTGGGCAGGTGCCGTCCAATTTGCTGCTGACCCGCGTCAACGTGCCCCTCTACGTTGCCTTTCTCGAGTTCGCCTGGAGCGCCTTCACGTTTGCCCACGCCGGCGTCCACAACGTCAACCAGCTCTACTGCTTCCGCTTCTTCGTGGGCCTCTTCGAGGCCGGCCACTTCCCCGCCGTCATGTACATCGCCTCGAGCTACTACAAACCGCACGAACTGGCCCGCCGCAACTCGCTGATCCAAGTGTTTACGTCCGTGGGCCCCCTCTTCTCCGGCTTCCTGATGGCCGCCGTCTACACGGGCCTCGACGGCGTCAACGGCCTGGCCGGCTGGCGCTGGATGTACATTGTCTGCGGCGCCATCTCGGTGCCCTGTGCGCTGTGGACGGCCGTGGCCATGCCGCAGCTGCCGTCGCGGGCCAAGGCCAACTGGGTCTTTACCGAAAAGGAGGCCCAGCTGGCCCGGGCGCGCATGCCGACCGAAAAGAAGCCGCTGACCGGCCTGTTCAAGTGGAAGGACATTAAGCGGTGGCACCAGACATGGCACGTGTATCTGTGTAAGTCACCGACGGACCCCCCTTCCACAAATCGCTGGCTGTTCGCCATTCGTGAGCGCGCCCTAACTCGACAGTCCCTCTCTTCTTTACGTTCATGTCCCAGCTGGGCCAGTCTGGCGCTTCCAGTATGTCGTTCCTCTCCCAGTGATGTCCCCGTCCGATATCATATAGTCCCGCACTAACAGCACAGTGATCTTCTGGGTCAAGAGTTACAACGTCGCCGGCAAGCCTCTCCGGTTCTCCGTCGCCGAGATCAACATCATTCCTCTGGGAGTATGCCACGCTCTCCTTTTTGTCTGTTTGAGCCGTTGAGCGTTTGAGCTCGTGCATTGCTGACAACCCCTCCAGATCAACCTCCTCACCATCTTCTTCACACTCATCAGCTCGTGGGTCTCCGACAGCCTGCCCAAGTCCCAGCGCTGGCCCGGCATGCTCTTTGCCAGCACCATGGCCATCATCTTCCCCATCGCCCTCGCGGCCACGCCAGTCCACCCGACGCACATCGCCTCTCGCTGGGTCCTCTACTACTTGACGTCCCTCGCCGGCACCTCGGCCGCCATCACCTGGACCTGGGTCAATGAGGTCAACCGCGACGACCCGGAGAAGCGGGCATACGTGTCCGCCTTGGTACGTTTTGGTTCTCACTGTTCTGCTCTCCCTGTGGGCGCACATCACTAATCATATCCTTTGAGGATCGTAGATGAATGCCTTCGCCTACATCTTCACCGCCTGGGTCCCCATCTTCACCTTTCCCACCAGCAAACAGCCGTACATTGTCACGGGCAACTACATCACCGCCGGTTTCGGCGCCTGTGCTGTCCTCACCACCTTGGCCATGCGCTGGTTCCACAACCGTGATGTCGCCCGCAAAGAGCAGGCGGACGCTGGTGTCGTTGAAGATGTCGAGGCACCGGACACTATCGTTGAGAAGTATTAGTAGGAGGCAATGTGTTTGACTTTTAAATGTCGTTTTTCCGGAAGATAGATCCCTAGGCAATCCAAACTGTCCATTCTCGACGCGCCGTACTATCGGGAAAATCTGCAGACTGCCCTTCATCTTCAGCTTTAGCCATGACGCCGTCGTCGACAGTAGGCCGATCTGTTTAAATACCGTGTCCAATATTGGCGGCCATATTCTGGCAGGTGGTCTTGAAATACAATCTGGCCGCATGCAAATGTGGTGACGACGAAAGGCAAGATCAAATAGAAGGACAATCGCGGTGCCAGATCGTCAGTATGTGAAGGTTTAAGAGCAAGTCAAGCAAGTTAAGGCGTCGAAATGAAGCCAACCACAAAGACACACAAAGCAAAGATACATCAAGTTAACACCTCTTTGATCGACGAGTCAACCAGCGAGATCGGGTGCAATTTATGGTTAACAATGTACCATGTAACTTAATCCTAGCTTGACATACTTATCAAACGAGGTTTATGACCATTGAGCAGCACGTTAAAGAACAGACGCAAGCTAAAAATAAATAAATAAACTTTTTGAGAAACAGCTTAAATCAAAAAGAGAAGGAGTTGCGAGGGCTGCATGTCGAAAAACGATGGCCCGTATCCGATGGAGGCAAATAGAGGCAAGACGTTACACAGCGGATCGCGTCTCTCTCAGCTCACTGTCCGCGTCTGCCTTGCATTATTTCCGTCTCCTCACCTACCTCGAGCAATACTCGACCGCATGGCCGACGCACATGCTGGTGTCCGTGTCGGCTTCCCCAGGGGATCGCCCAGGACTTTCTTCTTTGCTCGAATTATTGATTTATAGTGGCTTCGCTTTGCTTGTTCTGTTTGCGGAGTAATGTCACTTTTCGATCTAACCTCCTTCACCAAGAAAGTATACCAACCTCGTCAATCTCTTATTTTCTGGTAGAATCAACGTCTTTTACTTCTTCTTCCACTTTGTCCATGTTGGGGCTCATATCGACGTCTCGCTAACTTTAGCAAATTTGCATTGAATTGTTGTCAGTGGCTCCTTCCCCCCACACAGAGTACGTTCCTGCCCTTTAAGCCTAACTGGGCACTAGGGGCGGCCCACCTGTGCCTTCCCCGCATTCATCGCCGAGGCCCAGCTGGCACAAAAGAGAGAATAGCGAGTCTGGGGAATACTGGCCTGTGATTGTCGCTTTGTTGGGGAAGAAGCCTGTTCTCGTTCCTGGCGCCACCAAACCCCAAAAAGCGCCACCTGCGTAACGGCCGATCGACGGCTCATCGCTGTCCATTGCCCAAGGAAAGAACGCCCCGAATCTTCCCCATCGCCCCTTCCCTGATGATCTTCCGTACAATGTCTCGATTTCTCAACCCTTCCCGCTCGCCATCCGCCCGTCGCGCCTTCCCGTGATTTAAAGTTGAACGACACCTGTCGATGGTGACGTCCCACACTGTCGATCGATGCGAACGCACGTCGACATTGTCTTTAATCGACATATTTTACGGTCCTGCGACCAGTGAAATCAACAAAAGCAGAACTTCCAAACATTATCTTTTGTCATTGTTCTGTTTGCCGCCTCAATTCCTGTCCATCACAAGCGAATTTCTTCGGCTTAGATTCAAACAAGTCTCCCACCCACTTTCTTTCAGCCTCCTCGTGTTTTGATCTTAGTTCGTCACTGCTGTGAACGTACTGTGTCTGCATGGTTTTTCATGACTATTTTCTCACAGCTTGCTTTCTTTTTCCTGGCCGCCTCTTTGTTTGTTGTGCCGCTCCGCCCGGCTTTCCGGCATCGACCCTCCACATTTCTCACCAACAGAACACTCGGCTTCTAACAAGGAAGCGTCCACGACGCGAAACCCCCGGCACAAGCATGTGAAGGCACAGCAGAGAGCAAATTATGGAAAGGCGTGAAGGAGCCCACCCCCGCTTTCCGCAGCCAAATGAGACTGGGCTTGCCACGCTACCCAGAAAGGCATGGTGCGACGAAAAAGCTTATGCGGCACGGTGCATTTGTTCGTCTTTGTCTCTCGGTTCGTATTACGGAGTTCCTCTGTTTTTCGTCCACGATCCACGCCCCTCCAGTGTCTCGAATCATTCGCCCTCAACTCCATTGCTCCTGTATAGGGGGTGTTAATTTGGTCATTGCAGAGGAAGGGCGACAAAGGGGGTGGCTCAAATCCCATTCAGGGAACCATTGGTACACCATCTTGAACGAAAGTTTGTGGAACGGCCAAAAACCACGTCTTCGTCCCAACCCCAATTCCAAACAGCAACATCAAAACCTTAATAGCAAACGCCTGCCTCTCTGGGGGGAATTCAACCACAGTAAAGGGGATGCAAGGCATAACAGGGGCATCCTCAGGAGCTACACGCTAAATGTACCTTCGTGTTTCTTTCCTAGCGCCGATGCCTTCCTTGTTTATACTAGTACCCCCTCAGCCCCTTTCCAGAGCCCAGTGCGACCATTCCCGAATACGGTAAGGGCGCAGTTCGAATAAGCGAGACACAAAATCTCCAGAAAAGGAAAGAAAAATGGAAAAACGGACAGAAAAGCATCATTGAATCAATGTTAGGGTAAGAAGCGAAAGGAAGAAATAGATGAATGTTGAGGGGGGAAAGGGTACGAAAAGGCACAAAATAGAGGGGGAAGAAGGAGAGAAAAAAGTAGAGAAACATAAGAGAAAAAAAGGGGGATCGAAAAGAGAGGACAAGCATAAATAACATCGAATCCCGGAAGGATTCGCTCAGGGTAATAAAAGTATCCCTCTCGACAGAGTGTCACAGTCAATTGGAAAGCCTAACGATGTTCCAAATGTACACTCCAAACAACATACTTGACGGAGGACATGAGACCAGCATCCAACTTCTCAATTGACCCGGTTGTCGATGTCGAAAACAAAAGGAGTTTGTACAAACCTGCTTCCATCTGTTAAATTTATATGGTCGGTGCCGTTAACAAAGCGTCTACGAAGAGGAGAGGCCGAAGAAGGCCAAAAGACCAGCTAAAGCAAAAGTTTTGAGTCGACGAAACATCAAAACAACTTAAATAAAGACAACAGCATGTACGAAAAGAGAATCTGGTACGACAAGAAAACAAGCCCCGATAGGTTGCTTCCAGCATCCGCCCCGCCATGTGCGGAATACGTGCCCATAGCTAGAAAATCCGGAACAAAACAGAGGCAACTCATGAACCACAAATGTCAAGGTGGACACATCGTATGTGTCCGTACGCAAGCAGCAGTCGAACAGCAAACTCTGGTGCGAAAAGCAAGTTGTTAGTGACGACACATGTGATTTCTCGTAAAAGAAAGTCAACAAGCGCCACCCTCCAGAACCAATGCAGCATAGACTGGAGTGATCGTGCATATCTTGGCGGAACGGACTCAAATGAGACAACCAGTCTGAGGGACAGACAATAGGAGAACAATTGGATGAAAACAACAAGTGAAAGGGCAAGGGACAGGGAGTAAAGCTCCGTGAAGACACCGGACCCCAAAAGAAAGTGAAGGGCACAGCTCCCTGCTCCCCGGCATGGCCACTCCGGATTGGGCAGGTCGTCCGTCCGCCAATTTGGGGCCGCTCTGCGGGTTAGGAGTGCGTGAGGAAGCCAGGAGGTAAAACAAGATCAGAAAAAAGTAAACGTTGTGGGGCCTGGGACATGCGGAATTTAGCTTTTGTGGTCCAAGACTACCCAATGACACAAGGCATGACAAGGGTGAACCACTCCACTGACACTGACACTGACTATTACCTCCTCCATGCCTTGGAATACACAAAAGTATGGAGCATCTGCACCTTTATTGACGTCCTCCATGTCTGCCAAGGAGTAGTTTTGACCTGCCTGGGCTGGCACGACTCGCATCGCCAAGAGCTTTCCCAGCTACTGGTCTTTAGTGTTCAAAGACCGTCAGCCTGCCGCCCAAATGAGCAGACGTCGTGCGTCGACTCGATTTGTGCAAAAAAAATTGGCACACACCCCCTTTTGTCATCCGTTCTTCTTGACACCCCAAGGCCTGCCATTCTTCACGAGCGAGTCATACTCCGTCCGTTCCAATCCGGCCCTCCTGTTCTCCTTTGCGCTTCCCTGCTAGTTTCCTGGCCAGACCACTTTCCCCCTCTCTTCGTCTGGGGTCTCCGGAGATGGTTGGGCCCATTCGCATGTGGTGGAGGGGATATGAAGACGAAGGAGGAGAAGTGTACCCATTCTTTTCTTCTCGAGGGTAGGATGGTCGTTTGTCGTAGGCACATCCCCATGGGCCCAATGCCAATGGCCCCAGAGCGGCCTCACCGTCTAGGACCACCACGAGTGGATGCATATAAGAAGGCCAGGCCCGTGGCGATCGTCTTCGCCCGTCCGTCTCCTTCGTCTCTCCCTCGCCTGGTATCCTTGTCTTCCCCTGGATCGGCAGCCTGACTCGACAGAGACACACAAAAGACAAAGTTTTTGTTGTGCTCATCCTTCGTTTTATTTTTATTTTTTGAAAAAAAAATTCAGTCACTCGTTTTGTTTGGAAGATCTTTCGCTTCTTTGCCCTTTCCACTTCTGACCACCATGAAGTCCTCCGTGTTTGCCGCCCTCGTGGGCAGCACCGCCGTGATGGCTCAGGCCGTCGTGCCGCCTGCCTGCGGTCCCTGCTCGGCCTTTATCAGTGCCGTGCCCGATTGTGCCACGGACTGCATTGTCTCTGCCGCCGTCACCAACGCTGGCTGCGCCGACGCCAACTACCCCTGCCAGTGCTCCAACGCCGCCGCCATCCAGAACGCCGCCATTAACTGTGTCATTGGCGGCTGTGGCTTCGACACTGCCCTCAACGTCCTGCCGGCTGTGAGCTCTGTCTGTGATTGTGTCACCGCCAGTGGCTGTGGCGCCTCCTCGTCCGCGCCGCCCTCGTCTGTCCCTTCGTCGGTGCCTGCCTCGTCCTCGGCTGCTTCGTCGTCTGCGCCTTCGTCGGCCCCTGCCTCGCCTTCGTCGGCTCCCTCGTCGGTACCCTCATCTTCGGCCGCCCCCTCTTCAGCGCCTTCGTCTCCGGCCGCCCCCTCTTCGTCGCCCTCTTCTTCGGTGTCGGCTTCCGGCTCCGCATCTGCCTCCATCTCGGCCCCTCCTACTCCAGTGTGCTCCAACTGCGAGGCTGAGATCACCGCTGTCCCTGCCTGTGCAACAGACTGCATCAACTCCGCCGCCGTGACCAATGCCGGTTGCGTTTTCGGCGACTTTGTTTGCCAGTGCGCCTCTGCCGATGTCATCCAGAACGCCGCCCTGAACTGCGTTATTGGCGGTTGTGGCCTGGACACCGCCCTGAACGTTCTGCCTGCCGTCTCTTCTGTCTGCGACTGCGTGTCGACTAGTGGCTGCGGTGGCGCCTCGGCTTCGTCGTCTGCGTCATCCTCGTCGGCTCCTGCCTCTGTCTCGGCCTCGGCTTCGGCATCTTCGTCGGCGGCCGCTGCCTCTTCCTCCTCCGCCTCGGCTTCGGCTGCTTCGTCGTCTGCCTCCGCCTCTTCTTCGCCCTCTGCTTCCGCCCCGATCTCGTCCAGCCCCGTCTGCTCCAACTGCGAGGCTCAGATCACTGCGGTCCCGGCCTGCGCCACTGGCTGCATTAACTCTGCTGCTGTCACAAACGCGGGCTGCGTTGCTGGCGATTACACCTGCCAGTGCGCCTCTGCCGATGTCATCCAGAACGCTGCCTTGAACTGCGTCATTGGCGGCTGTGGCCTCGACACCGCCCTGAATGTTCTGCCCGCCGTCAGCTCCGTCTGCGAGTGCGTGTCCGCCAGTGGTTGCGGTGGCCCCTCAGCATCACCCTCGGGCTCGTCGTCGGCCCCGGCTTCCGTCTCTGCCTCCGCTTCGGCTTCTTCGGTTCCGTCGTCTGTTCCCGTTTCGGGCTCTGGTTCCGCCTCGGCGTCGGTCTCGGCTACGCCCGTCTGCACCAACTGCGCCTCGCAGATTACCGCCGTACCCGCATGTGCCACCGACTGCATCAACTCTGCTGCTGTCACAAACGCGGGCTGCGTTGCTGGTGACTACACCTGCCAGTGCGCCTCTGCCGATGTCATCCAGAACGCTGCCTTGAACTGCGTGATTGGTGGCTGCGGCCTCGACACTGCCCTGAATGTTCTCCCTGCCGTCAGCTCCGTCTGCGACTGTGTGTCCGCCAGTGGCTGCGGCGGTGCTTCGGCCTCCCACTCGGGTTCGTCGTCGCCTTCGTCCGTTCCCGCCTCTGTGTCGGCCTCTGCCTCTGCCTCCGCCAGCGCTTCGGCTTCGGTTTCGGCTTCTGGCTCTCCTAGCGGTCCGTGCACGCCTTGCGCCGCCCAGATCTCGGCCGTCCCTACCTGCGCCACCGGCTGCATCAACTCTGCCGCTGTCACGAACGCCGGATGTGCCGCTGGTGACTACAACTGCCAGTGCGCCAACGCCGCCGACATCCAGAACGCCGCCGTCAACTGTGTTCTGGGCGACTGTGGTTTCGACGTCGGTCTGCAGGTCCTCAGCTCGGTCAGTGCCGTGTGCAACTGCGTCTCTGCTAGTGGCTGCGGTGGCCCGACTCAGTCTGCCTCTGCGTCCGGCTCTGGCTCGTCGGTCCCGTCGTCGACTCCTGCTTCTGCGTCCGCCTCAGGGTCGTCGGGCTACACCACATCGACCATCTACTCTACCACAACGTCCACGATCGTGTCGTGCGCGCCCACTGTCACTGACTGCCCTGTCGGCAGCGTGACCACCATCGTGTACTCGGTCACCACGACCGTCTGCCCGGTCACTGAGACCTCCGCCCCCGCTGGTGGCTCTGGTGGCTCTGGCAACGGTTACACGACGTCGACCATCTACTCTACCACAACTTCCACGATTCTGTCGTGCGCGCCCACTGTCACGAATTGCCCTGTCGGCAGTGTGACCACCATTGTCTACCCGGTCACCACGACCGTCTGCCCCGTGTCTGGGACCACCGCCCCTACGGGTGGCTCGGGCGGTTCTGGTTCGGGCTCTGGCTCTGGCTCCGGCTCGGGCTCCGGCTCGGGCAGTGGCTCGGGCAGTGGTTCGGGTAGCGGCTCGGGCAGCGGCTCTGGCTCGGGCAGCGGCTCTGGCTCTGGCTCTGGCAGTGGCTCGGGCAGCGGCTCTGGTTCGGGCAGTGGCTCCAACAACGGTACCACGCCGGCTACTACTTCGTACGCCACCAACCCGACGACCGTTGTCACTGCCGCGGCTAGCCGTGGTTCGCTTGCCCTCGTCAGCGTCTTCTTCGGCACCCTCCTGGCTGCTATCATGCTGTAAAGTAAAATAGCTGTTTCGACAGTTTTTTGATGGACATGAATCTTGGGTGGTGTTTGTCGGCTTTCATCCTTGCTTCCTTAGCCTTTATTTCCTTTCTCATCTTTCTTATACATACCTTTTTTACCGATAATTTAATCCATAATCGATGCATGTTCATCATTTCTTTGTGCGACTCGTAATCGGTGCGTCATATGCGGAACCAAGAAAGAGCTGCCGGTTTTGTATCGCACTCCGTCCTGCGAATGCTGGGAATCGGCAATGTAAAGTTCCAACATCCTGAATACTCATCGCAATGATAACGTGCCATTTGTTATACTTTGACGGCCACTGTTGTGAGTGCGACACAAATTTCCGTTTGTTGGGAAAGCATGGAAGGGCGGGTTAGGGTTAGGGGCAGCTGAATATGTGGTTTTACACAAAGGTAGGAGCGATCGGGTTAGTGGGTGTCTTTTGCAATTGATGTTATGCGTCTCCCTACTTATCGCCACTAAAGAGTGAATTTTTCACCAAGCATAAGCTAGCAAATGGCAAGATGGCGGAGTGGTTAACGCGCGGGCCTGCTAAGCCCGTTCCTTCGGGAGCGAGGGTTCGAATCCCTTTCTTGTCGAGTTTCTTTTTTTGTTTTGCCGTTTACATTTTTGTCTATATACGATTTATTTTGTCCAACTATGATAACGTCAATTGTTTTAATTTTATTTATTTATTTATTTTTTTAAGTTCATAATATTAAGTTACTGAACATTTTATTTTACGCAAGCCTCGCAAAATCCAACCCCTCGTTTATTTTTGTTGTCATTTAATATCGCAATGTTTTCCGATAACGTCGTGTCTCTACTATTGACAGCTTGTTACATAAATGGAAGCCGCAGCCTTATGCAAGTGGCCAACCAAGAGCCTCTCCGTCACGTTTTCGCCATTTGCTCACCATTCCAATTTCATTCTCACTGGCTGACAGGCGTTCTCCTCTCACATTCCTTCCATGTCACCTTCCTCGCTATTAGACTTTCTTCTCAGCTGTCAGCCCCATCAAAAATGTGATCAATTCCGCATGAGGATACAAGGGCAACAAAAGAAATGCTAGGATGCAAAAAGGAACGAGGGACCGTCGCAAGTAAACGGAAATGTCCCGAGGGGCTGTGATGGTGGCCGTCAGAAGTCAAAAAGGGGGCTGTGCCATGATTAGTGAGTTTTGGCCAATATGCTGAGGAAGGGGCCTCAACAGGGCTGGACCCAAGCCATAGCCAGGAGGCGTTGCCGTCCAACGGTGGAGGCAATACGAGTGCCGTGAAAGGAGGCAATCGTGAACCGAGCGCACTAGTGGGTAGGTTTGGTTAATACGGGCATGTTCGCCATCACTTTCTCGCCATTGGCCCTCCTTTCTTGTCTTGCAGAGAGACGAAACAGCGGCAGCACCCAGCGACAGTTCGACAGCAGGGACCGAGAATGGCGCAGGAACGAAAATGGAGAATAAGACAATAAGACCACAGTCGAGACGGAGACAAGGACCGCATGGATCGTGACGGCAGGAGGCGAGTTGCAGACGAGCGGCCGAACAGAGCAAAGCACGCCGCAAAAGACGATCGTACCAAATGCGGCCCTCGTCGCCCTTTTCGCCCTTTTCGCCCTTTTCGCCCTTTTCGCCCTTCTCGGGACAAGTGACGCCCCATTTTGCGCTTGTGCATCGTGAACGCTTCTTTGTTCCGTTGGCACCGTCCCTCTAACACTGTGGCACTACAAAGGCGAAAAGTGTGGCTGCCGTGGTCACGACAAAGCCACTTTGCAAAGGGAATGCTCGTCAACGGCCATTTCCAAAACAACAAACCACGAGCGTGGATCAAAGCTAACGAGATCCGATCTAAAAACAGCCCAGGGAGCCACAAAACACAGTCGAAAGAGCCACTAGCGCCTGAGCTGCGGCTTCGGTAGCCTGTAGCAACAGGGTCTTTCAGGAACCGCCGAGGATTGACGGTCCCTGGCAGCTATCGGACGTTTCGACAGAAGAATGGTGATGTGGCCAGCGAGACACAAACAGTTGGGAGGGGCGATGGCCCACAGACGACGAAGGATGACTCCTTCGTGGTGGACACGACAAACAGAGACAGCTACTTCGTATGCATGGCACAGGGCTCGCACGACTTCAGTCTCACCGCATTCTATGCTTGGTTTGGCTAGTGCGGCTGATTGGCCAGCATGATGTGCTCCGGTCGAGCCTGTCATCGCCTAAAATGGCAATTTGAGGATTAGAGGCTGATAGCCCATAGGCTGGGGGACGGTGACTGCTTGCACGTGGGGACGAGCGCTCCTTCCCTGTCAAGACCTTCCCTGTCAAGATATTGCGGTTGTGTTTTGAGTTGAGGGGTTTCGGGGTCCGTTTGTTCTCTCATCGCCTCGCTCCTCCCCTCATTGCGTCTCGTACAGAGTAATTACACCGCATCTTGGCTGTGTCTGCAATGGGTTTTGCCGCCACTGACGCCTTCCCACTGTGTTGTCGCCGGCGTCAGTCCTGGGTAGGGGTCCTCAAATCGAGTGTACGACATATTGTGTATCCCTTTCCCACAACCCGGCGCCTTGTTAGCCTACATTGGTCGCGACTTGCTGCCATCACTTCCTCTTGGATAGCCTCTTTGCGCGGAGCACCGTAAGATATGTGAGCGTACACCAGGATGGCCCCTGAGCCCGCGGCAAAGTTGGCCGGGGAGGATGCGTTTGTATCACCATTTCTACGCTCCTGCTGTATTCTGTCGTGCTCCGTCCTACCCCGACTCTGCCCATTCACTCCTTCCGCACAGGTGTAGATTATCGCTATAAACGGAGAGCTCGCAGTCCGACGATATGTCTGTACGGGTAATTAATACCTGGTCGGCCAATTGCTTCTTCCCGTATTCTGTCCTTTTCGTTGGTAGGAGGCGGCGTTTCGTCTCTGCAGCTCCCGCTGGCCGCGCACCACCATCCAATGCCCAATGCCCAATGCCCAGCTCCCACCGCACACTGTGTCCACCCCTCTAAATCGTACTCCCCCTCTCACCCCTCCCTCCTTCCCCTGAACCTAGCTCCCCCACCACTGCTCACCCACCACCACTGCCTCCAAATCCCAGCCAAGGCTGTTTCTGCCCTGCTCAGGAACCACCGACCTTGTTGTTGCTGACCGTTGCTGTTGTGGTTTTTTTTAGCTCTCAAACACCAAACACGGATTGTCATTGGGAGTGCCTCCACCTTTCGTTCCTGCCCTCCTTCCCATTTCCATAAATCCTCGTTTGCTCCTGCCTTCTTTTTCCTTGTTCCGTATCCCGCTCCATACTAGCCCGTATTCTGTGTTCTTGCTTCCTTCCTCCCGTTCCTGTTTCTCCTTAAATTTGCGTCGTCGCTGCCTCGCTCTTTCCTTCATACCTGAAGCCCCTCTGTTCATTCATCCTTCTCTTTCCAATTTTGCTCTGGGCAGCCGCATTCACCACCCACTTTCAGCCTCGCCCGTCTTCTTCTTCTCACCGTCTCCCACAACTTCACAACCTCGCAACCTCACGGCTCACGACACTCGCCGGCAAGATGTGGTACGTACGCTCCGGCTCACCGCTGCTCATCGAGCTGGCCCAAGGGTCAGAGTGAGATTCAGAGTTCAGATTGCTGACAAGTTTCCCTTCGCAGTGGCATTTTCGGCTACGTCAGCTACCTGGTGGAGAAGGACCGGAAGTTCATCCTCGACACACTCGTGAACGGTAAGACATCGCCACGATCCTCCCGTATATATCACGGCCACTGCCAAACAAGCAACTAACTGGCGTTCTCGTCCCTAGGTCTGTCGCGGTTGGAATACCGTGGCTATGATTCCGCCGGTCTCGCCGTCGATGGCGACAAGAAGAACGAGGTGTTCGCCTTCAAGGAGGTTGGCAAGGTCGCCAAGCTCCGTGAGCTGATTGACGAGGCCCAGATCGACCAGACCAAGGTCTTTGACTCGCACTGCGGTATTGCACACACCCGCTGGGCCACCCACGGCACGCCATCCCGCCTCAACTGCCACCCTCACCGGTCCGACCCCACCTGGGAGTTCTCCATCGTCCACAACGGTATCATCACCAACTACAAGGAGCTTAAGACGCTCCTCGCGAGCAAGGGCTTCAAGTTTGAGACCGAGACCGACACCGAGTGCATTGCCAAGCTGGCCAAGTACATCTACGACCAGCACCCCAGCCTGGCCTTCACCGACCTGGCCAAGGCCGTCATCTGCGAGCTGGAGGGCGCCTACGGTCTGCTGATCAAGTCTGTCCACTACCCCCACGAGGTCATTGCCGCCCGCAAGGGTTCGCCCCTCGTCATTGGTGTCAAGACCCAGAAGCGCATGAAGGTCGACTTTGTCGACGTCGAGTACGCCGACGACAACAACCCGCTGCCGGCTGAGACTGCGTCGCAGAACGTTGCCCTCAAGAAGGCTGGTGTCTCCGGCAGCAACCTGCTGTCGCCTGACTCCGCCGCGGGCGGCCTGGCCGCCCCCGACAAGTCGCTGCTGCACCGCTCGCAGTCACGCGCCTTCATGACCGACGACGGCATGCCCATGCCCACCGAGTTTTTCCTGTCGTCCGACCCCTCGGCCATCATTGAGCACACCAAGAAGGTTATGTACCTTGAGGATGACGACATCGCCCACATCCATGAGGGCTCGCTCAACATCCACCGCCTCAAGAAGGCCGACGGCAGCTCCAACGTCCGCACCATCCAGACCCTGGAGCTCGAGCTGCAGGAGATCATGAAGGGCAAGTTCGACCACTTCATGCAGAAGGAAATTTTCGAGCAGCCCGAGTCCGTCGTCAACACCATGCGTGGTCGTCTGGACATTGACAACAAGAAGGTCACTCTGGGTGGTCTGCGCTCCTACATCTCTACCATTCGCCGGTGCCGCCGCATCATCTTCATTGCCTGCGGTACGTCGTACCACAGCTGTATGGCCGTGCGCGGTGCCTTTGAGGAGCTGGCCGAGATCCCCATTGCCGTCGAGCTGGCGTCCGATTTCCTCGATCGCCAGGCGCCCGTCTTCCGTGACGACACCTGCGTGTTCGTGTCCCAGTCCGGCGAGACCGCCGACTCGCTGCTGGCCCTCCGCTACTGTCTGGAGCGTGGTGCCCTGACCGTCGGCATCGTCAACGTCGTCGGCTCGTCCATCTCGCTGCTGACCCACTGCGGTGTCCACGTCAACGCCGGTCCTGAGATTGGTGTCGCTTCCACCAAGGCGTACACCTCGCAGTTCATTGCCATGATCATGTTCGCGCTGTCGTTGAGCGAGGACCGCGCCAGCAAACAGCAGCGCCGCGAGGAGATCATTGAGGGCCTGTCCAAGATCTCGGGCCAGATCAAGGCGGTTCTCGAGCAGAACCAGGCCATCAAGGACATGTGTGAGCAGAAGTTCAAGAACCAGAAGTCGCTGCTGCTCCTCGGCCGTGGCTCGCAGTTCAGCACGGCGCTCGAGGGTGCTCTCAAGATCAAGGAGATCTCGTACCTGCACTGCGAGGCCGTCATGTCCGGCGAGCTGAAGCACGGCGTGCTGGCGCTGGTTGACGAGAACCTCCCCATCATCATGATCCTGACCCGTGACGACCTGTTCAAGAAGTCGCTTAACGCGTTCCAGCAAGGTATGTTTTTATGTTTACGCTCTGTTACACTGCGGCCCCTGTTCACCTCGTCATGTCCATATGCTAACGACCATGTCTCAGTCATTGCTCGTGGCGGCAAGCCCATTGTCATCTGCAACACCGGCGACGTCGAGTTCAAGACGTCGCAGGCGGAGAAGATTGAGATCCCCCAGACCGTCGATGTTCTGCAGGGCATCCTCAACGTCATTCCCCTGCAGCTGATTGCCTACTGGCTGGCTGTGCTGGAGGGCCTGAACGTGGACTTCCCGCGCAACCTGGCCAAGTCCGTGACGGTCGAGTAAGCCGGTGAACAAGACCGATGCAGCGCAACCGAAGAAGTCGGCTGGAGGATTACCATATTCTACATAGGAGTTGGATTTTACCGTTTTTGTTTTGAATATTTCTACAGAACAAAGACTTAATTACATTGCGGAAGCCTCTAAACCTGGGGGCCAAGACTGCTGGCTTATATGGCGCGTCTTTTGAGGGATCACGAGCAAAGGCAAGCGATGTAGAGGTTGAGCGGCAGGATATGATGACTCTTTTACGTTGTTGGTATTTGACGATCTTTCTTAGTTTTGGCTATTTTATTTATTTATTTGATTGGTTACTTGCGCGTTCGCAATCCTTCTGTTTGTGCCTCACTCCTCTGTTTAAAACCTATGCAACCGACGATCGATTGGATCTCAAAGTGTTCTGTCGCCGTACTACGAGTCTCGCGTCTCGCTCACGTTGATCCTTACGAGGACCTTTCAAAACTTTGCATAAAAATGACATTAATTTCGGCTAGTTGTACATGACGTTTTGCGGTTTCCTCTAGGTGATATCATCTTTGCATCGTATTCCACTGTTCGTGTCTATCCTCCTACTCGGCCTATTCGTCATTGGGTGTAGATGTGCGGATGTAGCCCAAGCCACTGAAAAAGGTCATGCCTCGGCGCAGAGGCATGTTGTATGTGGCTTGCCGACTGGAGTCAACGACAGTGAAACTGCTCCGGCTGGAACCACTACTGCTGTCACCGCCGCTCGTTTCTCCGCGGCCCCTATTTCTCCCACTGCCATCGCCGGCGTCCTAGACCGTCTGCGTGCCGTAGCCCCGGATGCGTTCCGCAAACGCCCAGCTCTGTTGCTCCAGCTTCTCGTCCGTCGTCAATGTGACGCCGCCGCCCTTGGTCACAATCGCCATGCTGTAAGTGTCCAAGCTGCGCGCATCGCGGTAGTACAGCACCTTCATGCACTCCTTGATCACCGCAACGGCCTGCTCCTGCGTCAGCTGGGCCACCTGCTCCTCCGTCTCGGCCACGCGCCGCATGACCGGCTGCGCCAGCGCCGCGCCGTAGCCCGTGGCCAGGCTGGGTGCAGCGTACGTCGTGCCGCGCAGGTCCACACACGCCAGGAACACGTCGTCGTTGTTATCGAAGCCGGCCACCAGCACCTGGTTCCACAGCGGGTCGAACTTGTTGCGGCGGCCGTAGAAGAGCTTGCCCAGGTAGGTGTGGATGTTGGCGGCGTTGAGCCCCTTGTTCTTTTGCTTCTCCCGGTCGTCGTCGTCGTCGTTCTCGGGCTGCTCGTCGCCCTCGTGGCTGTAGGACTCCTCGATCTCGAGGTTGGTGAGGTGCCGGTCGAGGAACTGCATGTCGGAGACGTCGCCGCTGAAGCCGACCACGGCCTCCTTGCCGAACGGGCGGAGACGCAGAGTGTCGGTAAAGCGGGCCAGCGAGCCGTACGACGCCAGGTTGTCGGCGGCCATGACAACGCCGCCCTTGAACTTGAGGGCAATGACGGATGTGCCGGTCACAATGGGTGCTTGTGTTGCCTGCTTGGGACCGTTGCTGCTCAGGTAGGAGGCATCGTAGGCACCATAGACATCATCGCGGGGCTAGCAGGGAGCAAGGAGACCGATTGTTAGCATTGGCCAGCGTGCAGACATTCAGGTTGCCAGTTGGAAGGTAAGTCAACATACACGACCCCAAGCTTGCGGTGTATGGTCCATGGTATGCTTGTGTGGGGAAATTGACAAAGGCGGAGAGAAAGTCGAGTCGACAGTGCAAGAGATAAAATGCGCGCAGTGGATGTAAGCGTGGAATAAAAGAGTCGTGTCGTCAAAATCGAGTCGCCGGTGTGGTGACGGATGAGGGCAATTTTGTGGTGGTTTCGAAGCTGTACGGTCTCAGGCAGGTACGGGCTGGATGGCAGTAGCTCACTGCCACAGCTTCGCGTCCCAGCTGTTGCCTCTTAGGAGGCAGTTTCTGCCTTAGGCAGAAATGTGTGCCAGTATGAAATGATTATGTAATTGTCACGTGCACCTCAACGCGCTTCTTTTCATGGCTGCGTCTTCATTCACGATTTTTGAAACTCAAAACAGCTGGGCGCCATTGATTTTGCACAAAATTTTGAAAGAAATTCAGTCGACATGGCCGGTCTAGTTGGATATGACAGTAGTGATGAGGAAAGTGATGGCCGTGATGGGCCGCAAGTGCAGGCAACGGTATGTCTTCTACATCCTGTTCCCGACCTTTTGCTTTCATTCAATTTATCGCTGTACATTATGCTTACCATTGTTTACTAACTTGATGCTTACGTTGCAGTCAGAAGGCCAAGACCTAGCTCAAGCAACCACAAATGGTGCTGAAGTTGCACACGGTAAGGGACGAACACGCTTACAGTACGTGTTTACGAAAATGCACGTAGCTAACACAGTCCAGATAACGAAAAGCTACGTTCCGACGTCATAGACCGTGAGCTACTATCAGAACCGCCCAAAGACCATCCAAGGATAGACGAATCATTACAGGCGTCGATACCGGGAGCAGATAATGCCAATCCTGATAATAGGCCAGTAGCCCCAGGCCCAGCACTCGGACCGGCTTTAGGACCGGGTGTAGGACCAGCGCCCGGTGGTGATGTTTTTGGTCCGAACCGGCGACCAGCAGCCGAGAACCGGTCGGCAGACGACGGCGACAACGAAGACGAAACGAGCGGTTACGGCTTAAATGGCGACCCAAATGAGCCGCCACTCTCTCCATACTCGGCCGAGCGCGCAGCCGTCCGCCAGTTGACGATGCCCAGCGTCCCCGACTTTGATATTCCTGGCAGCCCAGAACCAGATGCCGCAGCTACTTCGGCAGCTGCATTGGCTGCACTCAACAAGAAATTTGCCACGTTTCTGGAACTCAAGCAGAAAAAGGACACACATTTTAACGCACGACTCGCACAGTCGCATGCCATGAAAAACCCGGCGCTCATGGACAAGTTGATGGCATTTGTGGGCATGCCGGCCAATGCATGGGGCGGCAGCGACCCCGACGTTGTGGATGAAAACGGCAGTGGAAGCAGCACGAGCCTAAAAGGAAAGCGAAAAGCAGACAAGCCGGTTGACACGGCTCTCGTCTCCGCCCAATATGCCACGACACTCCCTCTTAGCCTGTGGGACCCAGCCGCATTTCCACCGGAAGCATACCGGCGGTCATTGCGGCGCCTCCAGGAAGACGCCGCGAAGCAAAGAGCCCGCGCTCCCGGAGAGCGGGTTGAGTTTGTGTCTTCAACCGCGTCGACGCCGGGGTTTAGTGGAGGCCACGATGGAAGCCAACACACGAGTCGGCCAGGGACACCAGCAACGGCGACTGCGACCGGTAAACGCAAGACGAGATTTGACTAAGCGGTTTACCCCAGCTGAGCCAACTACTTTTATATGCGCTTCATATACCACAGCGCGTGCCATGTCGGCTCGTATTTTCTCCTGTATTCTTTAAGCATGGCGAATGCGTTGATAGCTGTGACTGTGGACGCATTTGTGAAAATACAATAATAGTCTCCCGATTTCTTGTTGAGTCGGATAGTATGAGGCACAGCTCTCTTGGCATGGCCAGTACGATATAAAAGTGGTACAATTGTGTCAAAGTAGCGAATAGTAGGTTTCTCCGTGAGCGGAGTCCGGTGTGCAGCGAAGCAAGCCAGCCCACGTCGCCCGCCCTCCGGCCAAGACGTTTCTGTCAATAGCTAGCTTGAAGGGACGTAGCTCGAATTTTCCGGAAGGAAACCATAAGCAAAGGATTTTCTCATTCACCCACTTATGCTCGTGGAAGATAAATAAAGGCAAACGGAAGAAATAGCTGGAACGGAACAACGGCTTGCCATGTTTAGGTATCTTAGCGCCTGTCACTTTGGTTCTAGGCTGTCGTGGTAATTACTTGCCGGGGATTTTTACCGCATGCGGAGCACATTACGGAAGTGGGCTTGGACGGAACGAATAAAAATATAAAATAAAATAAAAATAAAAAGACAGAACGACCGGCCAAGATTCATGAGCAGGCGAGGAAGGATCAGACAGTGTAAGGAAAGAGACAGGAGAGGAGGACAGGAAGGAGGGCTACAGCACGTAGAAATAGAAGCTGCAGACAGATACGACGACAAGAGGCAAGAACGAAGAGCGAAATGAACCGACACAGAAAGAGCCATGAGCCGCCACGTTTCGGACAAATTCCTGCCGAGATGGGCGTTCAACGCAACATCTCCAGGCAGGTGCGACGACCTGAACCGGGCCACAGTGGGCTGCAGGTGGGGTTTGCAGTCTCGACCCCCAATGACGCGAAAGCTATTCCCCGCAAAAGTAGGCCATGAACTGCCAATGGCTCCGACTCTTTAATGCGGTCGGACGCCGCCAAAAAGAAACCCAGTTCCCCGACGTCGTCTAAACGTTTCCCGGTTCCTGGGGTCACACTCTAGCGGCGGCGGCGGTGCTGTCGGTTCGGTCTGCGTCGTGTTCCTGCCGTTCTTGTTCGGCGTGATCTTTCCCTTTTTCGCGATTCTTTCCCCCTTTATTTGCCTCCTTCTCAATTTGCCTTTCATTTTCGAACCTTGTACTGTCCCTTGTTGTGTGGTGGTCGTTCCTTCCTCCTCGCTGTTGCGCTATCGCGGAGGCCAAAGCTCGTTTGGCTCATTGGTCTCATATCGCCATTCTTCCCTCGCTTTGCGTTGCACAACCTCACCTCTTGCTCGACAATCGCATCGTCGGTCGACTTTACGGACGCTCGTCACTGTCTATCCAACATGGCTAAGGTTTACGACGCCGAAGAAGGTAGGATTTACTTGCCGCATCTCTGTGATGGCCGGGAACGATAGGATCAAACCGAATCCCAGTTCCCTCACAATTGTTCGCAGAATGCTAATTCCCTTGCTCAGTGGCCAAGCACACGTCAGCGGACAGCTGCTGGGTCATCCTCTACGGCAATGTGTACGACGTGACCGAGTTCCTGCCTTCGCACCCCGGCGGGTCGCGCGTCATCCTGCAGCTGGCCGGCAAGGACTGCACAGAAGAATTCGATCCCATCCACCCTCCTGGTACGCTCGACGAGCTGAGCCCCGAGTCCTTACTTGGCAAGGTCGACGAGGCGAGCCTGAAGCGGTTCAAAGAGGAGACCAAAGCAGCGGCAGCACAAGGCTCGGGTGGCGGTTCTAGCAGTAGCACCGGCAACGGCAACGGCAGTAATGACGACAACACCAAGTACGAGGCACCGCCAATGGAGTTCCTCTTGAACATGGACGAGATCGAGGAGGTGGCCACCAAGCTGGTACCAAAGAAGGCGTGGTCGTACTACTACTCGGCCGGCGACGACCTGATGTCCAAGAAGCTCAACAACACCGTGTACCGCCAGGTCTTGCTGCGGCCGCGCGTCTTTGTCGACTGCACGTCCTGCGACATCTCCACCACGCTGATTGGCAATAAGGTGGGCCTGCCGCTGTTTGTGTCGCCCGCTGCCATGGCGCGCCTGGCGCACCCCGACGGCGAGGCCGGCATTGCCAAGGGCATCAGCCGTTTCGGCGGCATGCAGATTGTGTCACACAACGCCAGCATGACTGTCGAGCAGATTGTGGCGGACGCGGCTGAGGGCCAGGTTTTCGGCTGGCAGATTTACGTGCAAAACGACCGCAAGAAGAGCGAGGCGATGCTCCAGCGTGTGCAGAAGCTCGACAAGTTCTACAAGTTTGTGGTCCTGACGCTCGACGCGCCCGTGCCGGGCAAGCGTGAGGACGACGAGCGCCAGCAGTTTGGCTCGGCTGCGACCTTTGCCGCGGCGAGCCAGGATCCGGCCGCGGCCAAGCCCGGCGGCGGTGGAATCGGCCAGCAGATGTTCTGGGGCACGGCAGCCGACCTGACCTGGCACACGACACTGCCATGGCTGGCCAAGAACACGAGCCTGCCGATTGTGCTCAAGGGCATCCAGACGCACGAGGATGCGTTCTTGGCGGCGCAGTACGCCGCACAGCACCCTGGCTCCATCCAGGCAATCATCCTGTCGAACCACGGCGGCCGCGCTCTCGACACGGCACCGCCGTCATTGCACACGCTACTGGAGATCCGCAAGTACTGCCCTGAGGTGTTTGACCACCTCGAGGTGTGGGTGGACGGTGGCATCAAGCGCGGCACGGACGTCGTCAAGGCGCTGTGCCTGGGTGCCAAGGGCGTCGGTATCGGCCGGGCGGCGCTGTGGGCGCTCGGCGCCGGTGGTTGGCGCGGTGTTGAGCGGACCTTCCAGAGTATGCCGTCTTTCCACTTTGTTTGGTTTTTGCTTTTGCGTTTTCTTCTATCGTCTGCTGCCTTCTCCTAACGTCTTCCTTCTTCGGCGTATGGGACACTGACTGATATCCTTCTTTCTCCTGCAGTTTTCAGCGACGAGATTGCGACATGCATGAAGCTCCTTGGAGCCAAGACGGTCAGCGACCTCAACCCGAGACTGGTGAGTGATCTCCTTTGTCCTTTTAGACCAGGTGGTGTCGTCGATGTGGAGCACAGGCGAGGGCCGGCTACCGAGGGCCGCCTTCTGATAGAATAATCATGTTAACATTGACTCCCTTTCTTCCTCCCAATAGGTCAACACGCGCGCGCTCGAGCGGGACATCTTCGACGGCGGCTCTGGACTCGGCGAGATGATGATTCCTGTCAAGGCAAAGATCTAGACGAAGATAAAGCCTGTGATGATCAGCTAGGTCCGGCTGTTGCGTACACTGTATGCGTGCGCAGTGCGTGCACCAAGTCACCGCTACATGGCGCTGACCACAGGACGGCCGAACAACGCATCTCCCAAAGGCAAGCACGGCACGATATAAACACATGGCAATCGTATCGTCAATCGGAAGAAACAACGAGGCGCTTGGAAGTGCATCTACACATATAAGCGCAGTTTCATCTGCACATGATCTTGAAAGTGAGATATAAAAGGGAGGTGAACCGAGAGGCGAGACACGCCCGGTGGAAGCCGATGATGGAGTCTCCGGCCTGCGTTATTTCTTCTCTCTTGGTTATCTATCCTCATGTGTTTCTTTGGCTTTACATTTTGTTGACCTTGACCTTGGATACTCATTGTTGGGATTTGCGTATTGTATCCTACGACCCGCGTCCGCATGTACATCTGCATGGATTGGCCCTTTTTCACCGTCTTGTCTTTATCTATTGCACCATTTTTATATATTTTATTATACTTCTTTTCGGCGTCGGTCGATTCGGCATCGATATCTAATCGCATCCTGTCGTGCGTGTCTTCCCCGTGCTAATGTTTCAGCCTCTTCGTGTTGGATGTTTCTTTGGTGTTCACTCTCTCAAGGTGGCTTAAGAAGTGTTTCGTTTCCTCGTGATCAGTTCTTGGTTGGCTCGATTCCTTACGCGTTGGTTCGTGCTGGCACTCGTGGTTGTTCCTGTGTACGGCATGCATCGTCGACGTTGGATTGCAGACGGTTTCGATTGTCGCGGATTATCAGCCACTCAACGAACACCTCACCTTGGTTTCCGATGTGTTCTCCGAACCACCGATTTTACTTCTAGAACGGGAAGTCCTCCGGATTGAACAAGGGAAGGGCTAGCCTGCGAAGGTCTTTCACCAAACATAAAAGCGGCCGAGTGCAACGTCTCAGGACACGGTGACACAGCTGCCGCAAGTTGCACGGCGCACCCTGCGCGCTGTATTTTGGGACATGCCCTTGTATCATGAGTACCCAGCACAGCAATCCATTCCCATCGCCAGCCATCACGGTCTTAATCGAGGCAAAGAAAGCCAAACCCCTTTCCACCCAATGAGAGGCTTGATCCGCCTATGCCAGAGCTCCGGAAGGATCCTGGCTCTGGCCATCCCGTCTGACCCCCTGTGCAAACAGCATATCAGCGATATCCATGCAAGGGCTTCGACGAAGTACGGCCACAGCCTTTTCCGTTTGGCCCGGGTTGACAGCAAAAGGGTCACATCGGGCAGCCTGCGATACCAAGATACGACGTAACCAGGGAGCCAGGCTCTACTGAAGCACTGTAATGGTTGGCCCGATATTGGGCCCCATTTCCTATTCAATTCGTTGTTCGCTGCTACGTGTTTAGCATATCTCACGCACCGCAGACGGGCCATTTTGCACAATGATGGAATGATTGGCATGTGGCTCTGCAAGGCCCCCTGGTCCTGTCCCCTTTTGATTCCTCGCTTCTTTTTGCTGCTTCCTACCCAGATCCTCCCGTCTCTCTTTGCAATGGACCTAGTCGAGCCAGTTTCTGCAACATCAAACGCTCAAGCACAACACCCCCGGCGAGCGATCGCTCAGGAGTGGATATGTCGATTTCGAGAACGTCTGGGGGTTGAAACAACGCAGGCCAACGGTCTGCGAACATCCCAATCTTGATCAACGTACATGGCAGGCGTACTCCGTAGAAAAAGTGGGCGACGAAACCGTTCGATCTCCCACCGACTGTCGTCAGAAACATCCTCACGCGACGTAGTCTTACAAAGTATGTCATCTCCAGAGGTGAATCATGTATGACAAGTGCATTTCTTCGAGTCTCTGCATATGGGAATGGCACATGAGCAAGGGCAACTGCAAAAAGACGGATCGTGGAGCAGTCGCAGCCGGTTCCCTGCGCTTGCAGCGCATCACAGGTGCGGTCGTTGGCTGCTTCCTCCCGGGATCCGTGCCTTCCGAAGACTGAAAAAAGCTAAACCAACCACTCGGGAGGCAAAAAGCACGCATCATGTTGTACAGAATTGAAATACTCTTACGGCGTAATTTTGTATGTTGCATTTCTTGTATTTTTTTTCCTGTCTCAACAGATTCGTTCTTTTTTTTTTTTTTTTTTTTTTTTTTTTTTTCCCGAGCCTCAACTCTCGTCGAAGCTCTCGGTAGATTGTTCGGTCGTCGTTTGCAGGTTGAGATGAGATGTGATTGGACGGCGTTAGGGGAAGCGGGGCTCGTACGGAGTAGGGATTTCGTTTAGTGCGTCCGAAAGATCCATTAAGTGGGCGAACGGTGGCAAAGAGGAAGTATTCCAGCGGTCCTTAGCGGTAGTTTCCTGCGATAGCGTGCTGGTAATAGCAACGTAGCTCACGTCCTCGATTTGGCCTCGTGTCGCATCTCCTCGCAACTGTTGTTTTCATCAGTTCTCCGTGATCGTCACTCTCTTCCGTCCTTTTGCTCCCTTCCTTCTTTTGCCCTGGATATCTTACACATAACCTGACTTTTACTCCTGAATAAAACGCAGACATTAATACGTCCCCACCATGTGACCTTGTCGGCAGCCAATCAGAGCAGCGCTGTTCGTATCGCCGCCAAATCTCCGATGAGGCAAGTGCGTCTGTTGCAGGTGGCGACCTGTTGCGCCGGTTTTGTTAGCTCACTGGTTCGCTGGATCGCTGGGCAAAGGCCCCCAAATTTGTCCACTAAAACAGCCCCCCAGGGAGGCCCGGCCTGGCCTATGAGCCTATCCCCAGCCAACAGATAATGCTAGTGACGGTGTTGGTCTCCTTCTCCAACTTTGAAGTTCCCTGGGCGTCATCTCAAGTCGCAAGTTGTAAAGCCCGTCTGAGACTGCCGTCAACTCCAGACGTTGTCTGGGGAAATCGAGTCCGCTCGATGGGCTAAATTCGAAGTCGCCTCGGTGTCGTACGACGCACAAAATGTTCGTGTCGCTCATGGTCGAGTCATGGGTACATTCCCGTTTGGCATCTTACAATTCCGTCAAAAAGAACAAAGAACGAAGACCAAGGCTGCGCCACTGAAAGAACCCTTTGGGTAGTCGTATTACAGAACGAGACCGCCCAAGACATCACTGAGACAATAGCTCTTGTTTATTGGCCTTTCAAGTGTCTTCTCCACGCCCCGCAGAGGCCAAAAAGTGCCATTCGGCGCTTCTAATTCGCCACTCGCCTGCCAAGAAAACATGTTCTGTAAGACGTTGTCTCCCTCTGCTGTATCGGAATTTGCAGTGTGTCTTAGTACGAAGCATCTGCAAACGTGCTGGCAACTGCAAATGAGCGACACTTGACGATACCTGCAGAGCTGAATTCTGCTTTTCCCAAAACGACAGCAGCGACTCCAATAAAGAGAATAATTCCAGAAAGAGAAAAGTCGCAATCAAGGAGACAACAAGCGAAGGCGTATATTCCCCTCTTTTCTGTTGATTGCTATTGTTCCATGGCCACTGTATTGATGGCGAAAGCCGTTCGAGAAACAAAACATAGGATGCGACATGAGGGGCCTTGGTCTAGGCGGTGGGAACTCTGGTAGGGCGGTGAAGCCCAGGGATTGCTTCGTCGCCGAGACACTTGGCAGTATTATTCCACTGCAAATGGAACGAGAATAAGAGAAAAAGGTCGCGTATTGCCGCTGTAGGCACTGTAAACCGACGCACTGAAAGCAGCGCTTGTGGGCGGTAGCTGGCTCTGTGGCATGCGACGCAGGGGCGCCAGTACCAGGACTCCGTAGCCTGCATTGTGGCCACTTACTCCGTATTTCCGCATTAGGAAATGGCTTGCTGGGTGCAAGCAATTTGCACGTGAAAGTCAATATCACAAGCATCTGACTGAAGACAACAAAACATCACGACATGTTCATTGTCAACAATTGAGCACATTGACGGCAACTTCCACCAGGAAGCATGGGCCTGGTAAAAACCGTGAAATGGCGCTTTCAGGTCGTCCGTTTCTTGCCCCGGATTGCTCCAGATTTTCACTCCGGATTCTCCCTGGGCGTCTCTCCAGATTTGCGTGTCCCCATTCCCAAGATCCCTCGGCATTGCACCCCGCGGGGAGACACGAAAAAAACAGGGGATGCCCCAGTGCGGCAAACGTGATGAGACACAAATAGTAAAATTAGACCAATAGAAAAGTACCCTTTGCACGTCGTACGTCCAAGATAACAAATCGGCCAGCACCAAGCCAACACAAGCCAACACCAGGGAATCACAATGGCCGACAACGGCGTTCAGGTACAAGCAACACGCCGGAACCAAAGACAGGGCCCCGGGAAGTGGAAAAGGGCCGGTCCAGCATGTGCATCGTGAATGTGAATGACCTCTCCGCACAGAAGTCGTTCTCTGTCATGTCTGTGTCTTGCTGCGGTCAGATCCTGGGGTACTGTGAGACCGGCGAAAAAGCAATAAAGATTGAATTGGGATGGTAGGAGGGACGTGAGCAGTTGGCGGAAGCGCAGAAAGTGGAGCAAACCAAGCAGACTAGAACTTCCAAGAAATTAAAAGCAGTCGATTTTGGCATGTGCTCGTGCCAGATCGCACAGCAGGAAAACAACTGGGCACACAGCCAGTGGGGAAAGGGTCCATGACCGTCCTTGCTCACGATTTCCCCTCTCCATGCTGTTCGTTCTCACACACATTTGATGAATTGCACGTCTGCCATGCGCAAAGCTGTCGTTTTTCCCCATACAAGAGTCCCAACTCGCGAACCCTTCACAAGATGCCTCGGGCATGGGGCCCAAAATGAGGGGAAGGGTGTGTGTGGACTTCAACAAAGGGAGGCAAGTGTAGTAATCTGTTATCACCCCTGTTTTTTGGATGCTTTGGCGAGTCTCCCGGCCTGCATCTGTGGCGTCTGCGGTTTCTCGTGGTGGCATCCCAGCGTTTGGGCCTTTTTGCCCCATGGTGAGCGACAACTGGCAGGTCCTCTGGCTCTGGTTTGTGCTGTTTTTGGGGGGCGCTAGAGCACGGCCAGTGTGCACGTTCGGCCATTTTGGAGGAGGGGAGGGGGCACGGGAAGTAGATAGTGGATGGCGAGTCTTCGTGTTTCGTCGTCTTCAGTTCAGTCGACTTTTGCATCACAAAAGAGGTGCATACAAAATGCGACCAAATGGCAAAAAGACTCCAAAAATTTTAGAGCGGCCGGTGTGACCGCGCTACTGCAGGCCAAGTTGGGTGACCTTTCTTGGAGTAGCTATTACGTATCTTCTTGCTGGTCTGTGACCTGAAAGGAAGTCACTCGCAACGTTTTTCAGCCCCCGCACCCTCTGCAGAGCTGAACTAGGAAGGAGCTTTCACGCCGTGCATCTCCTACCAGTTGTCACCTCACGCCACACTTTCTTTCTTCCCCGTTTGTTTGGCACTATTCCCTCCTATTTCCTCCACTCCTTTTGCCTCCCAGTTTTGGTGCCCCGCCTGGCACCGACTCCTTTTGCGGGTCAGCAATGCCGATCACCTGCCTGTTGCGCTCAGTGGCTCAGTGGGCTCCCCTGGCTGCGCTTCTTGGAGAGCAGAGCCTTTTGTATAAAACGAGGGAAAAGGGGAATTTTCTACATCGCAAGCGTGATATTGAACATTGAGCGAGGAAAAAACAAGTCATAATAAGCTATCCCTTGCTCATCGGGGCAAGACAACAGAGGATAAACAGCTGCTTCGTGCGATGGAAGCTCCGTTTGTCTATTTGTCTGCTTGTCTGTTTCGTAATCTTACTTGATTTCGTCGACTCCTCGTCCTCCACGCCGCACGCGCACAGACGAAGAAGCCCCAAGCGACAGACGCGCCAGGGCCGCACTTGCCCGTCGCCAAAAGCCCGAAAGCAGCCGTCTCCAGCGCAGCACAGCATCTCTGCAGGTGCGGGTGGCGGCGGATGTGGGGGAACCTGCACTGGCCCGTTTGGGGCCGGCTTGTGGCGTTTAGTGATGGGAGCCACTGCGTTCGGGGTGTAAGCCGTCCAAATCGACAAATCGACTTTGTATCAATCCCATTGTCCATTGTCGCCGTCTTTAACCACCGAGTCCCCTAACAGTGACATCCGCTGAGGGCCTGGCCCAGTAAACACGACTGTTCGGAATAATCATAAATAAATTTAAATAAAAAAAATCGGACGACGTTTTGACTCGTTTTGTGCCTCCACGCTCAAGTCGTGTGACGTTTGCCGTCCCTCTATTGCACGCGTTAAGATTGTGTTAAGTAGGCCTGTTTCTCCTGGCCCTGAGCTTGTTTTCCCCAGGCAAGCCCAGTTGGCCCTCCTAGCACCAGATCCGGAAGTACGCCCGGTTGAACCCAGACCAACTGCGACGATCGCCCGCTCTCGCCAGCTTTTGTACTTTTCGCCCAAGGAACAGGAACACGACACAGCAAGGGCAAGTGAATGGTCCATTGTCCTTGTTCTCTTCACAATGCGCAGTCTTGTTATGTCCTCGTCGGGTTCCAATTCATGCGCGGCAGTCGTCGGTGGCTTAAGTTGCAGTCTGTGCTGCATTTTTTGCGATTCGATTGCGACGTGCGACTAGTTATGCTATGGTTGTTCACGAAGATCTTGCGAAATAATACGTGTACGCCTCGATTCACTCGCTGCCCCTTTCCCATGTGTATTTTACATTTGCTTGCACCCCCATTTCGCCTGCAATTTGCTACGATGCTTGGCCAGTGCAACCTCACACGCCCCCTTTCCTTCCCCCTACTCTTTTACTCGCCACACCCCGAGTGCAGACAGTGCAGACGCTACCTCGCAGCCAATCCCTTTTGTCCTTTTTTTTTTGGTGTTCGTCCTTGCATGTCTTGTGCCAGTACGGAGCATGATCAGTAGGCAGTTTGCGTGCGCCAAAGGACGCCACGCCCGAATCCGAAAAGGGGGAAGACGGGAGGGGCGGAGGGGGGCGTGCAACTTCTTTTGTTCGTCTTTATCTTCATGTGCCAATCCAAAGACCCTGCGAGCACCTTGTTTCCTGCATGCAAGTGTTCCAGTGTCGACTTTGTATTTCTTGGGAAAGATGGACTAAACTGGCTTAGCACTTCGGCCTGCTCACGAGCGTCGTGTCGAAAAACATGGGGCAAAATTCGTCGTGAGGGGAAACCCACCTCACGCACGCGCAGAAACCACGCTGCAAAGCAGCAAATAAAATGGGAAGACACAAAGTACTCCGGAGAAAAGCTTGCTCGTTGTGGGCTGTGCAGAGCAGCAGGCGAGTCTGGGACTGGGGTCCTTGGGGTCTGAGCATGGGTCGTTTCTTTCCATTTTGTCGTTTGTTCTTCTTTTTTGCTTCTGATCGTCCTCACTGTCCTGCTTCTCCTCCCTTTTCCCCTGCCCTCTTTCCCCATACACGGGGAACCTCTCATGACGATCCTTCTTGCGAGGCATTCTCGCTCTTTCCTCCATACCGACATCTGAGAAGACGTGGTTGACGCTGTCCTGACTGAATCTATCCGCTGCCACTCCTCGCTCCTTCCGTCATGCCAGACATTTCCCATGTGTCTGCTGGTCCTTCGCTGTTGGTCTTCTCCGCTTTGGGGCAAGAACTGTCGCAAAGCTCATGGCAAATGTCTTGTCTCTCGCCGTAGCCGGAACATTGAGCTCCACCGACAATCTTCTCAGTTCGAATACGTCCTCGTAGTTCGTATCTCTCCCCAGTCCTTTTTTGCCTTGAGTAATTACTGTTTGGCGTCGTCTTTTGCTCTCCGCATTCCGCGTCTAAACCGTCGTTAGTTCCTTCCTTCCTTCCCTTCCGCTCTTGCCTCCCCTCTTCGCTCGTCGAACCCACCTTCGCACCTGCTCTCTAGAACTATTCCCCCTTTGGGTTCTTATACCGGACCCCCCTCGCTGCTTTTCATTTCCCCATATGATACCTTACCCCGTAGCTTCCTTCTTTTTCCTTTCTTCTTTCCTCTTTTTTTTTTCTCTTTTCTTTTCAGTATCCTCCACTTTGGTCCGCTTAAGTCAGTCTGTCTCGCAGATTTCTTTTTTTAACCTACCACTCTTCTGTTCTGCCCCGGATCTTGGATCTCTCTTTGTAATTTCCCTCCCCAGTCCCTGTTTCCCTGTTTCCCTGTTTCCTATTTGGTCTTGATCCTTCCCTCCCCGAGTCTCAAAATCTCACTCCCGTTCTTCTTTTTTCTCCCCCCCGTCATCCTCTTTTCCTTTTAAACTTTCGCTTGGCCGCCTACCCCCCTTGTTTATTTTCTCTCCCACGGCCTCCGTCTTCTTTCTGTCGTGTCGTCTCACTCTGGTTTCTTTCTTTCTTTCTCCCGTCTCACAACACTCGACAAATCCGCCAATCTGCCCAATATGTCTGGCGCAGTCCACAACGACGGCATCCATGCCACGCCCTCGCCGCCCAACTCCAGCAAGTACGCTGAGGGCGGTGTCGCCAACGCCGAGCAGCTCGAGGACGGCCGCAAGTCCAGAGCGCCTGGTTCGCGCAAGTCCAAGTTCTGGACGCACTTCAAGCGGTTTTGGTGGCTGTATGCCATCATTGGCATCTTGGCCGTTGTGCTGGCCGTCATGTTGACCATCTTCATCGGTGTCAAGAACATTGCGCAGAGCAAGATCAACGACGCCGTGCTTGACGTCCAGGGCATCTCCTGCACGAGCACCGAAACCAACGCATTCACGCTCGGCATCAACACCACACTCAAGTCGGGCACCACCAAGGCCACCGTCGAGGCGTTCCAGGGCGTCATGTATCTCGAGGACGAGCCGAGCCACACGCCGTTTGTCACCATTGACTTCCCCGAGACGCAAAACAAGCCGTTCCAGACAGTCAACATCAGCCAGCACGTGGACATCGCCGACATCCCAGCTCTTACCATGTTCAACACCTGGCTGCTGAACAACGAGTCTCTGCGCGTCACGGTCCTGGGCTACCCCAACGTCAAGGTCCCCGGCATCAGCAAGAAGTACGGCGTCACCTTCAAGAAGACCATCACCATGCCTGGCCTGAACGGCTTTGACGGCCTCAACGCCAAAAACAGCTCCATCAACCCCTCCAACTTCACCGATGGCACCAACTTCCACACCACGGCCACCATCCCCAACAAGTCCCTGGTCACCTTTGAAATTGTAAGTTGAGATGCAGTCGATGCAGCAGGCTACCCATATCGGCTACCCATATCAGTTTTCAACGAGACCAACCGTGCTAACCATTCCCAGGGCAACGTCACCTTCAACACCTACCTGAACGGCAGCTTTGTCGGCACCTCGTACATCAACGACGTCACTCTGGTCCCTGGCGACAACGTCTTCCCCTTCCGCGCCAGTATCCAGCAGGGCCCCATCTTGACCGCCGTTACGACCCAGCCCTCGTGCAAGGACGGCATCGTTCCCATGGACCTGTCTGGCAAGACCGTCGACAACCACGGCCAGCCCCTCGCGTACTTTGCCAATGCCCTCTCCACGCACAACACCACCGTCCCGCTCGACCTTGGCACGCCGCTCCGCGCCCTGGGCATTAACCCCAAGTGCCCGAGCTAAACGGTCTCGCTGCCTAAAGGGTTGCTTCGGTCTTGATTTCGCCCCCCGTCTCTCGCCCTACGGATGCCGCGTGACAGGACCAATCGCGACGTCTCACGCCTTCATTGCCCCGTGACTCGTCGATTTTGTTTTGTTTTATACTGGATTATTATTATTACTTCATTTTTTTGATACACCCACCCAAAGGATCGTTGCCGCGGGACACTCCCGCTGGCAGAGACGGGGGCACTTGCCGGTACAGGACTCCCATCTAAGCACTCACGTTCCGGCTCAAGACATGCCTTGACCTTTATGGTCTGTCTTGGTTGTTATTTTTCACTCGGGTTCTCATCAGTTGTCTGGATCGATTATATTTTTTATTATATAATACTTTTGGATTTTCGCTCATTTTTTATGTCTCTGGCTGATTTATTTGCCATGTTTTTTTTGTCCGTTTTAAAACCCAGGATGATACCTCGGAAGGGTGAAAGGAATCGCCACGGATCTCAAGTATACTTGTCTTTTTTCATGTTCCTTGATACAATGTCAATGTATGCTTTATGAAGATGCAATACAGGGGAAGGGAGACGACAGAACCTGGGGGATGGCTTTTTACGAAGATCGAAAAAAGAGAACCAAAAATAAATTTAAAAACTTTAAAAATATGAACATGAACAAAGTACCTCCCGAAGCAGCGATAAAAGCATGTGAGAAGTAGAAGACGGTGAGCACGGGTATCACGGAGGATGTATCACAATTTGTTCAACAAATCTCACCAAATCTCAACAAATTACCCCAAGTGTGTGGTTCTGCGCAGCGACCAAAATGGTTATGGTGGCAGGGGCGCATATACAGCAGCAGAGGACTTTTTTCAGCAAGGAGGCCCTGGCAAAAGAGGGGAAATGGAATCAATACGAGTTTCGCGTGCTGCAGACAAAGAGACGGCGTTTCCTTGCCTCACATGTGATAATTGGAGAAAGGGAGACAATGGAGGTGCGTAGGAAAGGGTGTGTTGAAAAAGACCATTCGGTGTGGCTACCAAAGAAGACACTTACATGAAACTAAGGACATCGGGGAAACCGAGAGGCTGGACAACCGCCTTTTCAATTTTATGTTGTGCAGGTGTATCTGGTTTGTGCCGACAGTTACTCCGAGGAACCGGGTTGACATTGAAACCCAATATAAACTTGGTTCATCATTTATCGTGAAACGAAATAGCAGAGGCGGGTTATCCCTTTGTAAGATATCGAGCCGTGTTGTATTTCATTTGGTTTATACCTCTGAGAGGATAGCCAGTAAAATCCACCAGATCAATATGTGCGGCAAATTAGTGACGATGGTATGGGTGCGGAATCAAAGTAAATTTTTAATAATAAATTGTCGTACTTGGTCTGTACACACAAAATTATGTACCACGTACAAAGGTAAATAACGAACACTTGGCTGATTGTCGGTGCTATATTTTCGTGAAGAAATTGCTGGAATATGTTTATTTATTTTTTTATGTTATCTTAATTTTTTTACTTTTCAAAAAATATCCATTGATATTTTCGTTGTAATCTGAAGGCCTTCCGATAAATAATATCCAAATCTCATCTACATGGGTTGCTAACTAGAATCAATATCAACAAGAAGTACAATAATACGCACTCTGATTAAGGATAAGTTTAAGAAGAGACCATGGGACGTTTGCTTTAATGTCTATGAAAATATGACCCACAGATCACTTTCACGCCAGTACGTTTCACGAAACTACAGGTAGCATGGCATGAATACCCAGCAAGGTACTGTTGTAATGTTTTCATTTGCGGCAAGAAAAAGAAAGCAGTCGTAAAGAACTCGACACGTTCCCCGACTACCAAATTACATATAGAACAAGAAACAAAGACATGAAAACTCCCATCCACTCCTCCATCTATCCTGAGTACATCGCAAATGCCCCCCTCCTCCTTTTTGATATTTATTCAAGGGTTTCTTATTTGCGTTACTCCTCGTCCTCTTCCTCGGGGTCTGCTGCCGTTTCCCCATCGTTCGCAGCCTCCTCCGCCTCCTTTCCCGCGCCGTTGGTGTTGGCGGCCGCAGCGGCCGTTAGTGTCGTCGGGTCAGCGGAGCCGCCCTCCTTCTCGAGCTGCAGCCACTCGTCCCAGGCAGGGAACAGCTCGTCATCCTCGCCGGGCACGGCAATCATCTTGGCGACGCGGCCCTTCTTGGCCTTCTCGAGACTCTGCTTCCAGTCAGCAACAACAGCCGGCGCAGCACTTGGCTTGTAGGTCTGCGCGAAGAAGGCAGCCTCGGTCAGGCGGCCGGTCTTGGTGAGGGTATCAATGCAGCCGTCGACGTCACCCAGCAGCCAACGACAGTTGAAGGCAATGTTGTAGGCGCCAGCCTCGACGGCCAGCTTGTCGAGGTTCTCGAGGCCCTCACGGTTGCCCGTGGAGCTGTGCAGCAGCAGGAGCGAGCCCAGGTCCTTGGAGTGCGTAAACGACTCCGTAGCGAGGTTGATATCCCATGCCGTGAGTGCAGCATCTGTTTGGAACAGAAGTTAGTGCGAGACAAAACTTGGGGGGCGATCAATAAAAATTAAGATGCAGAGTACATACCACCAACCGATTTCCACTTGTGCTCGACGGCGGCAGATCTTGCCAGCTCGAGCGCAATGTCAAGACGGTTAAGCGACAGAGCGAGGTCGAACTTGTGGTCGGGGTCCGTGGCGACCTCCAAGGCGAGGTCCTTGAGACCTTGGCCCTCGAGGAATCGTGCCACCTTGTTCAGCTGGCTCTCTTCGATGGTTGGCTACACGCACATATTGTTAGTACCGTTTGTCCGGGAACCATAGTCCATCGTTTGCCAAGCTGGCAGAAAACATCATCTAGGGAGAGTTGTTTCGGGTGGTAGAGTAAGAAAAGACGTACCAGCAGCTCAGCAGCCGCATCCAGATCGCCGCGGAGAACAAATGTCTCGTACTCCAGCAGGCTCACAGACAGCGCCAAAGACGTAACTTTCAGATCCTTGTCGGCGAGGTAAATTCGAGAGTCTCTCTGGATGTAGCCCAGAATGTACATGGGAGAATCGGTGTGCGAGATCTGTAAGAAGCAAAATGTTAGCATCACATCAGAGAGTAAATAAAATCGGACAACGGCAGCAAATGGTATAGAAGAACATACAGTGTACGTTTGGTCGCCGACGAGGTAGTTGACGCGGTTTGTGCTATTCGTGTAGACGAAGCAGTCGCCGACCCACTTGCCGGTACGGACCGTCTCGTTGATGTCGGTAATGACCTCAAAGGCTGCCTCAACGCCATCGTCGTCGACCTCGCCAGCGTTGGCGGCAGCGATGTAGTTCTCGCGGGAGAAGCGCAGGACGTAGTAGGTGTCCTCACACGCCAAGCATACGAGCTCACCGCTGTCGGACCAGTACACCTCCCGCGGCTCGACTTCGATGCGGCGAACGAGGTTGCCTGTCGCCCAGTCGAAGAAGGACACGCCGCCTGCACCGCGCACACCGAGCAGGACACCGCCGTGGAGGCCGTCTGCCTGGAAACCGACGTCCAGGCCGCCGGACTTCTCAACAAAGTTTTTGTAGATCTTGACAGACGTCGGCGAATCGCGGACGGCGTAGTCGTTGCTGTTGTCTTTGCTGGCCCAGACAAAGTCCAAGGCACTGCCAAAGCCCTTTTGCCGCCACGCCAGCGCAGTGTAGATAATGTACTCGCCGTCGCCGGAGACCGCCACAAAGCGGCCGTTGGGCGAGTGCTGCAGGGTCTGCGGGTAGACTTCACACTGGCCGAGGTCCTTGGTCTGCAGGTTGATGGGGTCGTTGTCCTTGGTGGATGGATCGGGCTTGATGATGGCAGACACAATGTCGTTGTTCTTGGCGGCAATGACCTTGCCGGAGGCATCCATGGAGATGGCAGGCTCCTCGCGGCCCATCTTGATCACGACGACACCATCGTCGAAACCAACACCGACGCCCTGCTTGCCCTTCTGGTAGGACACGCACCATGCGCGCTCCAGACCGTAGTTCAAGGACTGCTCCAGGCGGTAGGTGCCGCTGTGCCAGATCTTGATGGTGCCGTCTTCGGAACCGGAGACGATGATCGGCAGCTCCGGGTGGTAGACGGCGAAGGAGACGTTGTTTGTGTGGCCCTCGAGAGTGGCCTGCAACGACTTGGTGGTCAGATCCCAGACCTTGATGGTGCGGTCGTCCGACGTTGTGAGGATATAGGGGCGGTCGGAATGGGGGTAGTAGTCGACATAGTTGACGCCCTTCGTCTCGTGGGCCTCAAGGGTGAAGTTGGCGGTGCTAGAGCCGAGCTGCGCAATGCGTGTTAGGAGCATGCAAAACCTCATTCAGGTTATTCAGACACGACACTCGCGGACTTACCGACCAGACCTTGACAGTCCTATCGAGACAGGCGGACGCAAACAGACTGGTATCCTTGGGATTGATGGCAAGGCCCATGACATAGTGGCTGTGGCCCTCGTAGACCTGGACACACTTCCATCCTTTCTCCCAGTCCCAGCACTTGATGGTCATGTCATCACTAGCGGACAGCACAAACGGTTGGGTTCTATATAGGCAGTCGTATTAGATATGGGGTCCCGGTGTATCGACAAGATACAAGGCAGAAGGCAGAAAACAGCACGGGTACGGGGTTGGACTGACGGGTGGACGGCAAGGGCACGGATGTAGTCGGGGTGAGCTTCGAAGCCTGTAATCTTCTCGGACGTGTTGTAGTTGTAGACACGCATCTGGAAGTCGTCGCTGCCGCAGACAATCCAGTTCTTTCTCGCGCTGCATGGATGTTGCAGTCAGTACAAATGTATTCTGCCGGCAGTCGGGCATGGCAGACGTATAACGGTATGCCGATTGGGATTGGATTTTGGTCAACGCACATAAAGCGTCCGGCGCGGACAGGCACGTCGGTGAGCTCGAATGTCTTGACTACCTGGCCGGTCTCGAAGTTCCAGATGTGGCATTGGCCTGTCGTGGGGACGGACACGCAATGTTAGAGCTTTTTCTGGGTATATTAAATCTGCATCATCGACGTGGAGAAGCCATACCGGAATACAGCGTCGTGAGGATCCATGGCTCGGTGGGGTGAAAGTCAATGCCCTTCACCCGCTCGCTGCGAGCGAAGAGGCTTCTCTGTAGAAACAATCCGACGTTAGCAGCTGCGTGGCCCTGAACCAAGCGGGCGTGTGGTTTTGCTGCTGCCATGTGAAGCTATCACGAGCATCTCGAAATGGCGGGGAAACAGCTAATCACGCCGAAGTATCGGCACGTAAAGGAGGCCAGAGCTGCCGTACCTTGACGTCCAACCGCATTGTTATGGAGAATAAGAGTCGACGCGTCCGGGAGGTGTAGTGTAGATGTGGACGGGGGACGGTCGGCAGATGGTGGTGGCGGACGGACGATGGTATCAAGAAAGGGGTAGCGGTCGGCGGCCACGACACCAATCCAATGCTCGTCCAATATGCTGTTGTGTCCCTTCGAAAATGTGGCCGCAGTGTCTCTAGTGTGGGGTTGTGGCTTGTGACGTGTGGCTTGCAATTATGTTTCTGCCTGAGGTAGTGGACTTAGTCATCTGTAAAGTTTAATCACGTGAAATATGGGACTGTGTGGTCTAGCTTCCCTTACGCCCCAGTTTCCTTGGTTACGACTTTTGCCTCTCTCCATCTACCAATTTCCCTGATCATTGGGTCGAAAATGGCGTCGTTTCTTCTGCCCTGTTTTCCAGCTCGGCGCGGCCGGCAAGAATACTCGCCCGTGGTGCCGAGTCACCCAATCCATAGGCACTGGCAGGTCGCTGGTGATCGCTTTGATAAAGAGCAGAAGGGGCGAGAAAAAAAAAGCAAAAGGGGAAAAGACAAAAAAGAGAACTGAAAGGCCTGCCCACTTACGACACAGAAGCATCAATTCCAATACTTCATACAGCCCACTGTGCGATGTGGGCGACCCTCGAAGGTCAAGCCGGTCAGCAGCCACTACGCACACACCAGGCCTTTAATTCGTACATCGTTTCGTCTCATTTCGTCTCATTTCGCTTTCCATTACCTCCACAGATGCGGTTCCCCTGTTCATAAGCTCTCCACGGGCCCCAGTTCCGAGCTGTCAGGCGGCCAGCGGAGGACTTCGTCCGGTGGAAGCTTCACTACAGTGGTCATTTTACTTTCCACAACTTACAATGAAGGCACGCAATAACCAACCGACGATCCTACATCGTCATTGTCCTCATTAGGAAAGCCTTTGAGCGGCAGAGCGGCCCAAGTACGACGTACAGTTGACATCACTCTACCGGCCACGCGTCGATGATCGACGCAGCAGGGAACTTCCTAAATTGGTGACCTGTCCTTTGTCTCGCGACCGATCGTCCCCGGAGACAATAGAGGTTGAAGGGCGACCAATGCCCAACAGAGCGGCGGGGCCGATTCTGCACCCAAGCTTTATTTCAAACGCGGCTCTATTTCCTCCTAGGGCGGGGATCGTGAGCCGTAGCCGCACGCGAGACAGCCTAGTGATAGCCATCGCGCTGGTCTAGAACATGGAAGGTGAAGTAAGTACAGAGACTTGGAAACAGGGGTAGCAAAAGGAGTACACAAGCTCGACAGGACAGGACCTGAGGACTTGAAGACGTCCGACGAATCCTGGCATCTCCCACCTCGACCATGGATCGTTTCGCAGAAAAAAAGAAGAAAAAAAAGAAAAAGAATAAGAAAAACTAAGAGCTCGACTTGGCGCTCCCGAGCTTTGCGCTGGCAGAGCACCTGAGCACGTAATCCATGACCACCTCAGCCGACCATTGTGGCTTGCTGGATGTGATTTTTCTGGGGCACTGGGGGTTTCTTTTATGGCCTTTTTGCCACGACCGGATACAAAGCAAGGGATGGTCAGGGATTATTCGCTGCATTGACAGTTTGCCTGGTTGCGTTTCTCCTTTTGCACATTTGCCAGAACCAAACCCACATGTCTATCCAAGCTCCCAAGTCACCGATGTTTCTGCTCGGCAGGCGTTGATGTTTATCGCCACCCGGGCTCGCGGTGCCCTGACTACTGTCAGCTATTACTTCATAGCAGCTGCTCGGCTGGCAATTTTTGTTGCGGGTTGTGGCCCACGGGCCGGGTCTGCATAACTATTTGGACTTGGGGCCATGCCGTGCGTGTCAAAAAACCTGTCGCTGGCTGGCCACCGTTCATAAACGAGCACCAAAACAGGGAGCAAAACTCGCACAGTGGGAGCCAGCCAGTGAGTCTGGTTTGCTCACACTTGAAGCAAGAATTTTTCGAAAACGTACGAAATGAAGATGACCAGAAAAAGAAACGAGAGAAAAAGGAAAAGAAAAGAAAAGAAGAAAAAAATCATCAAAATAAACTTACACAAAACACGCCGAGGTACCTATCCGCGCCAGTCACCATCCTTGCTCAAGCTCAATAAGCCACGTAGGATACAGATATGTCCGGCATTACTGCCCTTGGGCTCCACGATAATTCCCAATGAATTGCCCGGCATCTATTCCGTAGGAGATCGTATTTTACTTTGCGGGTTCATGGCACTTGAGCCGGTCGCACGCACAGCTAAAGGCAGAGCTGTGTCCACTCCCCCCACTTCGCCTCCTCTTACATGTTCCTTGCCTTGATTGCATTCAACCCAACGCGTCTAACCCTGATTTAAGTCGGGATGAAAACAAGCATAGTACGTCTACGAAGCCACAAATGCAATTCTTCAATTGGGAAGGAAACACATGAGGTGGCAAATCCGGCATCGCCAATGACCCCTGGAAACAGTTCGCCCCTTCCTTACCCGTCGGCTTGAACATCGCACGTGCACCTGAGTTGTGCCTTCCCTCCCAACACCAGCAGATCTGGCAGTATCGTCCTTCTTTTAACGTCCACATCTCTCCTTTTCTGTATATACTTGATTCAGCTGCTGCACGAGGACAATCACCGCCAAGATAGGGCGGAGATGGACTTTGCAAACAAAAAATCAGGCGCTTCCTAGCGACCCAATCGACACACTCATCACGATTTAAGACAAACTTGACCGACAACCACCGGCACCCAGGACGAGCGAATCCGGCGACACTTCGAATATCGGATCGGCTTTTGGGAGGCACGAGGCCGAGGACACGTAATTTTGAAATTGTCACCCACGGATGACACTCATGGCCGACCCGACGAGATCACAGGAGCCATTGGCTCCGGTGGAGTCTCGTCAACAAGAACAGCAAGAGGCACAGCAACAAAACACACCTGTGCACTCACCCACCAGCCCATCCTCCAGCTTCCCCCACCGCCAGTCACAACTGTCCCATTCTCCCTCCTACCAGAATCTTCAGGACCCGCGACAACACCAGTTCGCTCTTAGCAACATGCAACAGCCCTATTACCGACCTCCGGGACCCGGTGGCGGCCCTCACAGCCACGGAGCGTTCGACATGCACGGCATGGCGCAGAGCCTCCCACAAGCAGACTACCGGCAACAACAGCAGTACGGCGCCGCCGGAAACCGCGCCGGACCTCGCAGCTATGCAATGGGCCCCGGGGCTTCACTTAGCGCTCACTACAATACGCACCCGGGCGGCCCGGCCCCAGCGCAACAAGGCTTTTACCTTCCGCATCAGCCACCGATGATGGGGCAACACTACTACGGCACCGGCCAAGTTCCGACAACGGCGCCTCGACACGCTGGCGGCACCGGGGACTATGGTTATTACGCAGGCCAGTCACCGTCGTCGACAGGTTACTATTACCGACACCCAGGCCAATACGTCCACCAACCTCAGCACCAACACCACCAGCCAGTCGCTCACCCGCAAGGGGTGCTGCCCGGCGGCGGCATCCCCGGCGGCGGCATCCCCGGCGGCAGCGCGCCTGGAATCTACGCGCCAGCGCCCAATGCACCTAGGCGCCCGTCGCAGCCAGTCGTTGTCACCAGCAAACCTTTGGCAGATGGCCTAAAAAGCTCGCCAAATATTGACAAAGCACCCCGTCCAGGTAAGGAACCCTTCAGCTGACACGGCAGGGAGACGATACGAACCACCGCCAAACCCGAGATAATGGGTGCAATCCGATGGCACAGTACAGTAGGATAATAGTGAACGAGGAGAAAAAAAAGGAAACCTAGGAGGTCATGACAAACATTTGTGTTCGTGATGTAGTTCAGTACTGCTGAAAGGCACAATTGACTAACGAAGTCCCGCCACTCTAGTATATGGCCAGACCCAACCGACCAGCGTCGTACGAGGACCTCCTCGCAAGCCGAAGCAAAGTGGTAAGTCCTAGTTGCGGTGTTGTGGCTAGTTACGCGACAAGATGCGGCTGTGTGTTGTGTTTAATATGCTGCGTGTTCATGGTTGCTTGCATTTGCGTTTGCGTGGTGTTTGCATTCCCTTGTACATAAAGAATGCTAATCTTACCCCTGTTTCGCCCTAATAGGCCATGCGATCTGGATAGGCAATCTACCACCGCAGACGAACCTCATGAGCCTCGTACACCATGTATGCCAGCAAACAGACGGCCTCGAGTCGCTGTTCTTGATTTCCAAGAGCAATTGCGCGTTTGCCAACTACCCGGATGAGGAGCGGAGTTTGGCGGCACAACAGAAGCTCAACGATACGTCGTACATGTCGGTGCGGCTTGTGAGCCGGCTGCGCAAAAACCCAGTGGAGGGTGTGCAAAGCAGTATGTCCCCAACAAAGCCGACAGCATTATCGACCGGGCCATCGACTGGAAGCTCGCCTCCACACGGCGACGAGAAAACAGCTGATGAGGCAGAAGAAGCAAGCAGTGCGAAGACAGTGACTGTCGACGAACGCCGCTCTGACGATGCACCAGCAGCGCCGAAAAAGCCACCTACGCAAACGAGTGTTATAGTAGACGGTTCTGGAAAATCCGGTGCATCACGGAGACTAGCAGGCTATGAAGCGGACCGTGCTGCTGCTGCCGCCATCTCGACAATCCCGACAATCCCGACAACCACTATAGTCTCGCTTGCGACTAAGAGCGACCGGTACTTTATCCTAAAGAGCTTGACCGTGGAGGATCTGGAGCTGAGCGTTCGAACGGGCATTTGGGCAACACAATCGCACAACGAGGAGACGCTGAACGATGCCTTTAAGGTGGGTGCAAGATTTCGATCCTTTCGAGTTATTTTCCGTCTGCGACAGCTGTCTAACAAAAACAAACTCCCAGTCCTGCCAGAATGTCTACCTCGTGTTTTCAGCCAACAAGTCAGGCGAATACTTTGGCTACGCACGCATGACGTCCGAGATCAACCAAGACCCCGCCGCCGCTATTGCATTTGCACCCACCTCCCAAACGTTTAGCGAAGTCGACCTTCCCAAGGCGATCCCGACCGACGCAATCGAGACGACTCCACGTGGCCGCATTATAGACGACTCGGCACGTGGCACCATATTCTGGGAGGCACAACGGGACGATGATGCCGACGAGGAGTCGGAAGACAATAAGAAAGAGGAGGGCACCTACGGAGTAGACGGCGCAGAGTTTGTCGATGGCGTCGATGGCGTTGATGGTGTCGATGGCGTGGACACTGTGGACGGCGTCGACGGTACAGACAAAACAGGCGGCGCGGGCGGAGTCGACGGAGTCGACGGAGTCGACGGAGTCGACGGAGGCGTTCGCGCTGGTACAACAGATGCAACAGATGGAACCGACGGCGTCGACGGTGCGGATGGTGATGATCCCAAGGTCTGGGGCAAGCCGTTCCAGCTCGAATGGCTGTCGACGGCGCGCCTGCCCTTCTACCGCACTCGGGGCATGCGCAACCCACTCAACGCCAACCGAGAGATCAAGATTGCACGAGACGGTACAGAGGTCGACCCAGCCATTGGACGGAAGCTGACGAGCTTCTTTCACCAAAGCACCTTGAGCGCCTCCAACACATAGGGCTCCGTTCCGTGATGCCGACGAGCTACAGTGTCGCTTTTGCTCGGCTCAGGGTCGGAACTGCAGAACGGCGCAATGGAGCAGGGAATTTTGGGTGTTCATGGGGTTCAGGGAGAGGGGCGGTGTTCTCACACGGTAATGGGATCAAATCGGAGTCTTATGATGCTCATTTATTTCTTGGTTCCTTGGGTCGTCACCAAAGTCTACTACAAAACCCGTTTATTTCCTTTTTTAATTCTGGCATCTGGGTTGTCAGCTGCACATGCAGACGCCCCTGCTCATAGGCGTGATCCATGTGCGTCTTGCGTCAAAAGTCCAAATACTTAATTCCTATCCAATGGACGCCCGCGGAGGTTTTCGTCCAGCATTGGCGGCTGTCTCCAGAGTCAATGGACACATGTGCAAGAGAATCTTTCCCTATATCGCGTGACCCCACGGGAGTCCATAACGAGCGAGTATAGTTGTCGAATTCCGTCACGTGTACAAGTATAAAAAGCGGCGAGAGGATGTCCGAAGATATCAGGAAGCGATGAAGCCGTCGGGGCTGTGCCCAGAAGACACGGGACGTGAGCCAGGGATAGCATTGCCAGCCAAAAACAAGTTCTCTATCCATAGTGACGAAAGCAACCTCTTGCGGGCCTGCGTGTGGGGCTGCCAACCTGTCGGGGAGGGAGGAGAAAGGGACTAGCCGCGCCGGAAATAAAGGGACCGGGCCAGAAGGCCGTGCGACCTCTGTATTATGTCATAACTACTCCCTAATTTAGCGTCCTTTAGCGACTTTCACAGGGGGGGAGGCTGTGGTACAAACAACGTCCCTGAAATTCACAAAACGATACACCGAGGACAAAATATAGATTCACAGAGACGGAAATTCAAATCGCAATCACTGAAATAAGCGTGATGAGCACGTGGAATGAAACTGATAATTTTCTTGAATTAAGGACCGTTTTTTGACATCCCCTGAATTTCCAGGGGACAGGACGGCCAAAGAGAAATTCTAGCGCTCTGATTGGCCAGAGCTTACAGAAGCTTCTCGCACATTCTGGGCCTAGCCCGCCACCTCCAGCACTTACACCAGGGCTCCCGAGACCACTGATAGAGAGCTGCAAGGAAGCGGTTAGAAGGCTGCTTGCCTCAGCCGACGGCGCTCAGCCGCGCATCTAGCAGATTCAGGAACCATCGACGACCATCGAGACCACGAAATCACCATTAACAATCTCGCCTCCGCCTAGGTTTGCAGTGATTGCGTACCATTTTGTCGCCTTTTCCAGCTGCCTGCAAGGCAGGCAGCCAATATTGCGCCATGCGGCGGTAGGTTCGGGAAGCATGGCGAGGCTTCGGCCATTGTCACAGCACAAGTCTCTGTGTATAAAAAAGCCATGTCCGACTTGCTCTTGGACAGTTTCCGTTTTTCTTTGCCTCATCCTCACCAGAACAGTCACAGTCACCTTCAGACATTAAATCAAAGACAAGCAACAAACCTCACACATAACCTTCAATCACTTCTACCAACATTCCCTTCTTCACAGCTCCCATCCACCTCACCACATTCGCCAAGATGCCTTTCTACCAGCGCGCATTCTTCAACCCGGCCGTGGCCGACAATGCCTTCACCAACATCTTTCAGCTGATCAACGACATTGACAGCTACCAGCACGAGGCGTCTGCGCCCGCTTGCAAGCCCCAGCCCCAACTTCAGAAGCAGCAGAGAGTCTGCAAGCCGCGCCACGAGCACGCCGCACACCACCGCCGCTCTGGCCTGAACGACTTTGCCAGTGTCTTTGGCGTCGCCCGGCCCTTCAACCCGCGCTTCGATGTCCGTGAGACCGACTCCACCTACGAACTGCACGGTGAGCTTGCCGGCGTCGACCGCAACAATGTCTCGCTCGAGTTCACCGAGCCCCAGACACTGGTGATTAGCGGCAACGTGGAGCGCAACTATTCTTCGTCTTCGCCATCCACGCAGCAGCCTGCGGTGGCCGCTGCACCCGAGGCCGTCCCCGAGGCCATCGCCGACACCCACTCCGAGTCGGAGGATGAGCCTATCCTGCCCGACGGCGCACGTACGCCCGCCGAGGAGGACGAGCCGTTCACCGAGATTGCTGCGCCCCGCTCGCCGTCGCCGGCCCGGAGCCACCGCGCCACTGTGACCGACGAGGCCACGGAGGACGCTCTGGAACGTGGCCAGGACGTCACCAACGAAAAGGCGGCCGAGGCTGAGGTCGCTGACCCGGCTGAGGTTGCCCCCGAGGAGGCCGACACCCCAGCGCAGGCTCAGGCTGCTGCTTCCAGCGACCGCTACTGGGTCCAGGAGCGCGCCGTCGGCCAGTTCAAGCGCGTCTTCAGCTTCCCGGTACCCGTGGACGAGGCCAACGTCCGCGCCAACCTTGAGAACGGCATCCTGAACGTGTCGATCCCCAAGGCCAAGCGCGAGACCCGCCGCATTGTGGTCTTCTAAACGGGCCTGCTTGCAACGGAACTGTATCTCTTCTGTTTTGACTGTATCAGCATCATCACATCAGCATCGGAGTTTCGCGTTGCGTTATTTTGTCTTTCTTCTGTTATTGGTTGGGTCATCTTCATAGTGGTGGAGGATTTAATTAATATACGAGGTTTTCCCTTTGTCATGTACAACTGCTTGCATTTTAGGTTACTGTTTTGATTCTTTCGCAGAAGTGAATATAAACCATTGTCAAAAACAATTGCGCTTTAGCATCGTGTTCGAATCTATAAATTAGAAAGCTAAGAAAAACAGGATAAATCAATAATGACCGTTGTATAAAACCAGTCCTACAAGTTGCATGTGGAGCAAAACGAACAATGAAAGACTGTGAATCTCAACAAAAGTCCTACAAGTCCGTAGTATTTACAAAGCTCTCCCGAAGGCCACGAGACAATCGTTGCGTTCGGTCCCGGCATCGGGCAATGTAACAATGACACGCACTAGTGGCCAGTGTGAAAAGTGAGAAAAGCTTGTACTGAACTGTAATGCGCTGTAATATGCTGGAAATACGTCGCCTAAGGGCGGGCCCTGGGGCGGGGCGCCGGCAAGCCAAGCACCGTATGTTGGGGCGCGCGATGGCGCAAGCGCGGTCGCCAATTTCTCCGATCGGATCAGGACAGACCAGGGAAGCAGGAAAGGAGCGGCAGACAGGTAGGAAGGCAAGCAAACATAAGACGCTTCTCGGGCTCGAGGAATGAAAAGAAGGGTATTATATATCGCCAAGACCGTCAGCTGTCACCGCGACCATATGCCTTCACTGTACTGAATATCCGGCCGCCTTCTCCCACAGTTAATTGCATTTGCACGCCGTCTGCATCAGCCGACGCACAATGGCAACGCCTCTTGTCCAGGCCGCATCCAGCGGATTTCACGATGCCGGCGCCTACGATGCCCACCGCCCGTCGTACACGAACGAGGCTGTCACGGCATTCATCGGCCGCCTGAACATTCTGGGCAGCACCGCCGGCGACGGCAAGCCGCTCAAGATTGTCGAGATCGGCGCCGGCACCGGCAAGTTCACCGAGATCTTGTCGCGCCAAGCCGTCGCCAGCACCACGGCCTTGGACATTGTCGCTGTCGAGCCCCATGAACAGATGCGCGCCCAGCTGTCCGCCAAGAGCCTGCCCCGCGTCACCGTCGTCAACGGACACGGCGCCAGCCTTGGCTCGGTCGCAGATGGCACGGCCGATGCCGTGATCGTGGCACAGGCGTTTCACTGGTGAGTGCTTTTTCGGGACGACGATTCATAAGCGATGTTCCCTGCGAAACATGAAGCAGGTTGCTGACCGGCCAGGTTCGCCAACTACGACGCACTCAAGGAGATCCACCGCGTGCTGAAGCCCGGCGCCACTGTCGGTGTCATCTGGAACATTGAAGACTGTACGGTAACAGGCGACGCACTGGTAGCGTCTACTGCCCACGCTGTCCACTAACTGTTCCGTTCCCAGACAACAAGCCTGCCGCGTGGCCCGCCAAGGCCGCCTGGGAGCAGAGCCTCAACGACATCATCTGCTCCCTTGCCAGCGACGGCAGCCCGCGATTTCGTGACGGCAAGTGGCAGCAGGCATTTGACGACGCTGCCCGCTCCCAGGGAAAGGACAAGCCCGCCCTCTACAGTCCCCTCGCCGACGACCGCGTCTACTGGACCGTCAAGCTCGCGCCCGAGGCCCTGTGGAAGCGGCTGCTCACCCTCAGCCAGATTGCGAACCTGCCCGAGACCGGCACCAACGATGCGCACGAAGCGGCCGACAGCACGGCCCAGCCGACCTCGCGTGCGACGGTGCGCCGGCGGCTCGATGCTGTGCTGGCGCGCGACGACGTGGCACGCGATGCCAGCGGCGACGTGACGATCCACGCACTGACCTTTTTTGCGTGGGCGCAGAAGATTTAGTCGGCCCTTTGGGAGGGGCAATTGGTCAAAGGGGAGCCATAGCCGTTTATCTTGTCCCGTATTTTGGTCTATACTTTCTGATGCACAGCACGGAACAAGCTTGAAAGTAAGTAACTTTGCAGAACTTAATCAATTGGTACAGCATTAGAATAGGGTACTGCGTAGAGACTGCTCTGCGCTTGTGCTCCATTGTATTCGGCACACAGAGCAGCGCGAGATATCGAGCTGCAAATAGATGCACGGCCGCGTCCGTCCTTCACAACCACGCTCGTATTTCTGAGTGCGTCTATGCGTCGGCCGAAATATACATCACTGTCAAAGAATGTCAGCATGTGAGGCTGCAATGGCGAATGCAGGGACCCATCCGTGTCTCGAGTCCATGCTCAAACGTACCGTTGTTGCCGCGCACAAACGCGTCGCCGTATGTCCTCCGCTTCACGCCGTTGACGTATTCCTCCGTCTTCTCCAGCGCAATGTTCATGTAGCCGTCCACCGACTGCAGCTCGCCCTTGTACACCACCCCCGAGTTCAGCTTCACCACCACCGCGCTGCCAATGATCTCGCCCAGGAACGCGCTGGGGTCCTTGCCCTCCGCCTGGCCGCTACCAGGGCCGTTCTCCATGTCGACAGAAGCAGGTATATTTGACACGGTGAGAGTGCTGTGGATCTAGTCGCCGTCAGTGTCGTGGTTCTTGGGATGCTTGAGGCTCAGCGTGTCCTCACGTTTCGAGAGTTACAGCGTGATGCTATGACCGGCGCGTGGAGAGGCCGTTGATGGTAGCACTGTCAGGTAGCTCGATTTCGACGCAGGTTTGTCGCTTTGACGGTCGTGGGTGGCCTGCGTGGTGATTCGCCGCTTGAGAGTTGCAAGGTGAGGTTCGCACCTGGCCCTGGTCTTGGAAAAATAGGTGTGGAAGCATGCTTAGTCATAAATGCATTTAGCGACCGCAGTACGCTGAAATTTTACATAAGCCGTCCGATCCGACCGGCTCAAGGCCTGATCCGAGCAACCCATGTTTAAGCGCCGTTGGTTCTGTGCCATTTCCGGTCAACTGACGCAACGGTTCGCGACTGCCGTCGTCGTGCAAAGAAGCGGTCTTGCCGTTTATGTCTATTCTATCCCATCTGTCGACGGGTCACGATTCCATTTTTAACAAAATAAAGTAACCTCGTCACTCGTCATTTTGAGTCTGTCCAGCTTCCTGTGAGACAAGAACTAGTGCGAACAGAATTCACACCAGTACTTACCCCAGACTCGGCGAAACTCTGGGCATTAGAATTTCCGCACTTCCGGCATCACGACATCCGCTCCGGCCACCGGGAGTTCTCCGGAGTCACTTGTTTCTTTCCCCACAGACTCCCCTCTGGAGGCTGAACCTCCTTTATAGAAGCTCTCCTCGTCTTTGGCACAGGCACCCCGATCGGTGCCTGTCTATGCTACACTGCGAGGCTGGAGGCCACAACGTCGCAGGAGCGGCCGACCCACACTAGTCCAGCCAGGAGGCACACAGCGGTGCTGGAAGACTCACGCCCAGGCCTGCGCAAACGCAGAAAGACGTCCCGCAAGAGCTCCTACAAGGGCATCGTTCGGGACGCGGTCGGCCGACCAAGCAACAGCGCTGGGGGAGGTGCAGCCGCGGCGAGGACGAGTGCCGAAGCAGTCGCTGCCGCCACCCAGGCCGGCCCTAGCATGTCCGGCCATCATTCGCAGGACTCATCTCTCGGCATCTCCCACAACATGGATGTCGACGGCGGCGACGCAAGCGGCATCAACGGCGGTGCGGGCGCCGAGGACTGGACGCAGCATGAGAGCATCTTCAACTCACCTCCGCCGCCAGGGCCCTCCGTCTCAGCGTCAACCTCAATCTCCGTTGTACCTCCACCACCGGCGACAAACTCCGGCATCTCGCACGCCAATGTTGCGAGCAACAGTAGCAATCCCTCCACTTCCCCTCCTCGAGGACCCATCGCGGCAGCCTCCGGTCACATTCTTGGCGAGACTCCGTCACCAAACGCACAAAAGCGGGTTATCTCACCACGCCCCGGGCGCTCTACTCAACGCGGTTCCAAGTCACAGTCCGTTGTTGACGTACCCCCGTTGGCTGCGGCCGCCACGACAGCGGCAGCAACAGCACGGGCAAAGGAGCGCGAGAAGCTCATCACTGGGCCGCTGATGTTCCGGTACGTGTAAACCAAGTCCAGGGTGGCACAGTGAACTGACGTCGCTGGGTGGAGAGAACGAAATTCTGTACGCCTCGAGGTAAACTTGACGCTGATTTGATACCCCTTCAGAATGCCACTCTCCATCGCCACGATCATGGTCAACGGCCGTGAATTCTTCATTCACGCCAATCTGCTCTGCAAGGAATCGGACTACTTCACACGCTGCCTACGTGGCGGTTTTGCCGAGGCAGAGACCCAGCGTATCGAGATCAACGACGAGGACGTGTCTGTCGAAGACTTTGGCCTCTGGGTCGACCTGCTCTACCGCAGCCACTTTCAGAAACCGGAAAAGTTTCTTCTGCGCAAAGAAGAAACCGGCGGCACGCTGTCCACTATGCAGATCCTGACGTTGTGGAAGCTTTCTGACCGTTTCATGAATCGGACCCTCGCCGCCATGGCCGAAGAGAGCCTCCATCATCGCCTGTCTCTGTACTCGGTCGAACAGTGGCGCAAGCTCTACCGCACGCGCCCCTCGTCCGACATCAAGTCGCGTGTCAGCCGCCTGCAGGATGCCTACCACTACTGCTGCGACCAGGAGCTGCCTTTTGTCAACGACATTGTCGCCGCCTGCGCCAACTGTCCCGCCCAGGTGTATGCAGACTGCGCATCGCTGTTCGAGGTTGATTTCATGATGCTCGTGTCGCAGCGCATGATCATGGCGCATGCCGACAACCAGCTCGTCAGCAAGGACCAACGCATGAGCTCCAATGGCAACAAACCCACCGGAGCCGCTGCCACCGGAGCCAATTCAACCCTGGCTGCTTCTGATTCGGGGATGTAAGAACCCGCGGTGTTCTGGCGGCTGTTTGTCTCTTGTTCACATTATACCATTGATATCGTCTTTCGCACATGATTCTTGCTACGGACTCCTAGCTCCACGATTCAGGTCCATTCATTTGTTCTCGGCGTTTTCAAGTACCTCGCTTTCGTTTCACTTAGTCATTTTATGGGATTTTATTGTCTCCGTCAAATTCACAGCTTTCTCTGCTACCAAGATCGCTTGGATATCGCGTCGTGTCTCTGACAAAATAATGGAAACTCTAATGTAGAGCAGGAAAAACTCCAACCAGTTCTTACGGCGATTGCACCGACGGCGGAGAAGATGTATGGATGAGGATTTGATTTCAATAGCAAAATATGATGACAGCGTCCCAAACATGCTACGTAATAGTACAGTGTTGTCAACCCAAAGATTCGTCGCCAGGTATGATGTACAGGGAGAGTGGATATAATAGATTGTAGCCAAAGGGAAACCAAACGGGGACGCAATCAAACTGTGGCTTGGCGCACGAGCGACGTCTACAGGTCACCTACACATCTTCTTCCATCTCTCCATTACTCAGCCTGCTGCTCCATGTGCGTTGGCAGGTTGTAGTCGGCATAATCAGCATGCACAAAGGCTCGGTCGACAATCGGCACCGACTCAATGACGTACTGCAGACTCTCGCTCAAGTCGTGACTGTCCTTGAGCGACATGTTGGCATCGAGCACAATGTCCACCTCCACAATCAGCTTGTCGCCACCATGGTATGCCTGCAGGCCCTGGATGGCCTTGATCGTCTTGGCGAAGCGCATGGTCAAGTAGAGCACTGACAAAGGTTAGGCGGTGCACGACAAATACGTGGACAAGATGACGTACAGATGTTTCTCTGGTCGGCCGTCGCAGAGAAGCCAGACAGATGCTTAATGTGTTCAATGGATGTCCGTGACCAGTTGTAGATGACAACCATGGAGAGGAGCAGACCGCCGAGGGCGTCGAGCCACCAGATGCGTGCATAGAAGCCGACTAGACAGTTGGTCAGTTCGTCATGATCCCGTACTCTGATGCCACGAGTGTGGTCGTGTGCGAAATAGCATACCAATAGGAAAGGCAATAGAACCGGCGTTGAAAATAACGTCCGTCATGGCATCGGACGCCCTAGACTATTGTTAGGATATGCAAACTGCCACAAGACGGTGAAACAGACTCTACATACAATGCTTGCACACTCGAGTTCTTCACAAGTCGGCACCACAGCCAACAAAGACCCTTGATGACGACCGTGCTTGCCATGATGATGATGGCAGGGAGGCCCCTACAAAGTATAGTGTCAGTCAAGCTCACGTAACGTTCCCAAGAGGTGAAGCAAAAGCGGGCCAGCGTACAGCTCAATGATCTCGCGGTCCTCGGATGCCAGCCGCTGCACAGCCTCCAGCATGACCTGCACAAACGACGTGATCATGATGGCCGAGAACACCAAGACACCCAGCGGCTCCAGTCTCCGCCGGCCGACGGGGTACCGGTACTGGTCTTGGTTGCTGATCATCCACGTCGTCGTCCACACAATAGCCGTCGACAAAAAGTCCAGCACGGCATCCACCAAACTGGCCAAGACGGAGATGGACGGCACGGAGACGACGACGGCGGTCTTTCCGGCCAACAGGATGGCATTGGCGGCCAGATTGATGTAGATGGCCAGCGTGACAATGGGCGCCGAGCTGTCCACGTTCTCATCGTCCTCGAGCAGCAGCGGGATGTCGGCCAGCGTCGGGGACTTGCTACCGGGGCCGCCGGTGTCCACGCAGCTTGCTTTCGCCCGGGCGGACGCCTGGTTGGCGCTGTCGGATGCTGTCGCACCGTAGGGTGCAGAAAGATAGTTGCCCGCCAGAGATACGGACGAGCTGCCATTGGAAGTGGCCGTGCCTTCGGTAGCTGCCCGTGAACGTGTGCGGGAGCGGAACTCTTCGTCAGAGTCGGGGTCGTGGTCGTCCTCATCGTCCTCCTCGTGGGCCTCAAGCAGGGGTGTCGTCTCGGCGGGTCGGTAGATCCCCTTGGGCGTCCGGGTAACCTTCTTGACGGCCGCCTGCGTCGAGGGACTGGCGCCCGTCACGCCAAGGCGGGCCGCCTCGCGCTCCTGTAGCTGGGCGAATCCGGCGTTGGATGGCGACACCGACGAAGACTCCTCCCGTATGGTAGCCGGGACTGCCACGTTGCGGCTCGCTGCCGAGTGAAGCTCGTTGTACTCGTTGAGCAGGTCGTGCGGCAGCGACGAGTTGAGCAGTCGGTCAATGTACAGGTACTGCTGGATCAACATGTTGTTCCGCTCGTAGTACTCGCGAAGGGGCTTCGTCATGGTACACAGCTGCTCCGCCGTCTTCCAATACCGCTCCCAGCGGTAGCGTTTGGCCTTGCCAATCAGCCGCATGCTGCGCATCTGCGGGTTGTTGAGGATGGCGCTCAGGCGGCGCTCGTCGTGCGCGCGGCGCGCATCCTCCTCGTCGCTAAACGTGTCACGGCGGCCGAGAAAAGAGCCACCAGGTGTCATCATGCCCGAGGGCGTCAATACCCCGCCGGCAGCCTCTTCCTCATCACGGCCGTAGGCGTACAGATTCGACGATGACCGCCGGCGCATAAGCGAGGCTAGAGACCCGCGCGGCGTGTAAGGCTCATCATGCAGCAGCGAGACCGGGCGGTGTACATGAGTCGGGGACGCCATGGCGTGAGCTGCACCCCGGTGAAATGGTCCGAATGAAGAGATGTTGGATGGCCAGGGTCAGTCGTTTGGTACTTGTAGGTCGCCCTGGACCTTGAGAGTTGAAGCCGTGGTCACGGCAGTACGCGTGCGGCGATCGACGTGATCTGCCCGCACATAAACTGCAACCTGCACGTTCCGGGCCAGAACGACGGACAGCACAGGTCGCGACGAGAGAGAAGCTCGGACGTAACCAAAGTAAGATTCGAGATGGATCGTATAGCAGAGACGATAGCGCCAAGATGCGATAGGAAAAGAAAAAAATGAAACATGATTGAGGTCAATAGCGCAGTATCTGTAAGACCAACAAAGGGAACTAATACGGCACCACATCGACGTACACTCCACCTGCGAACCTAGGCCAAGCTGGGAAACTAGCTGCGCCAGCTGACAAAATTTAGAGTAGAAAAACCACAAGATAGGCCGATGAAAAACGCGCCCAGTCGTAAAAAGAGGTAATAAAGGGGTCGAGTCAGCAAGACAAGTTCAAATCTCCCTCGCTCTCCTTCCAAGCCACTTGGCGGCCCACGTGATTCACTACTAAGCACTCGCGCGCGGGTAGCTCTTTCCTGCACTTGGCTGGGTTTGAAGTTCTTGCCATTTTGCTGTTGCTGGCTGTGTCGTCACAATTTTTTAACAAAACAAGGACAGAATAGGAAGGGACAATTCAGGAAGGACGCCTTTCTGGCAAGCTCTACGACGTACACAACACGGGAAAAAGGCACGCTAGAAAGCGGAGAGCATCTGAATTGGTGAATTAGCGGATGAATGGAGTCTGCCATTCCAAAAACAGCTTAATTCTGATCGCTCCTTCTTTGTCGATTTTCTAGGGCGATGGGAAGATGGGATCGACAGTTTTATATGTACACTCTTCCGGAAGGAGACCAGGAACGCAAATCTGGAAAGAGCGACCAAAGAACAACCAAGGAACGACCAAACTAGCACGCAGGCACAGACACAAGGAAAGAACGCCCTTGCATCGACGTCAAAGCGGTGCGCAAAGTAATTTATCAGAGTCGAAAATACCAGTTGGCTGCCCAGTGCTACAACCAGAGGTGAAAACCGGAAGACAACCAACCCGGTTGCCCTGTTGTTTCTTTCTTCTTTTTTTTAAAAAAAAAATTACATGGCCATCCATACAAACATGTTCGCATCTAGTCTCCCATGCGGCATTATTGCTCCCAGGCATGTGTGGCTGAAACAATAGCACCGACCAGGTGCACATTCCTCAAGCAGTTGACGGGTGAGTGCTAGTCGCATTCCAGTGAATATGACGGCTTCACGCCGATCGCGGTGAAGAATCAACAATCGACTTGCCGCACCAAGAAAAGCAGACTCGATGACGGCGAGTGCTTGCGTGTCTTATGTGCTTCCTTGACGTCCACTTGGGCTGTCAGCACAGAAAACGTTGTTGGCAAGAACCAAGGATGACCTTGCGAGGAGGTGCAAGTGCATAGCAACACACTCCGTCCACACAGCAAGGGAGTCACATGTGTGCATGTGCAGGCTACAACGCACATGACCAACGATGCGACATGGCAGCAACGGGCAGAGCGAGAGGCACAGTCTCGAGGTGCACAGCGGTGCCAGCAACAAGTGCAGGCTTCGGGGCTCTTGCTGACGACAGCAACGGCCAAAGAGTTGACGAGGTGGACAGTATCACAGCAGCAGTATGCCTTTGCTCATTGCTCGAGGACTGGCGGCGTCACCGCGACGATTGCATCACCTCTGGTGACACAAAGCAGTTGAACCAGCAATCCATCCAGCCATCGAGCCATTCCAGCATCACTTGACCTTTGCTTTACGAGTCAGTCGAACATGGCAAAGTTCCCGGCCAGTACTGTGTGGCGCGTTGAAAAGGCATGTTTACAAGTGCGACAAGGATGCATCGAAAAACTGTGTTTTGCCATATATCTCTTCTCGGTGGGTTTGTTTTTCTATAAGTTTGTTTTATGGCGTTTCGTTACGCTACATCTTTCTTACATTTGCTCTTCTTGGGCTTGGAACACTGCGTCAAAGTTTTGTCCGGTGGCACGCCAAGTCCATACCAATCCTACCAAACCCGAGTAAGTCGCACGGAGCAAGGAAAGGGGAATGGTGGACTGGAAGAAACAGGAATAGAATACGAGGCAGAAATTCGGGCCCGAATCACGCACATGTTGGCAACCTGCAGGATGGTGGTGCAGATAATACCGGAGCGGAATATGGGACTCGCATCAAACTTGGAATAGATGAGTGTTTTCATGTCTCGATTTCTTGATTTGGCTTTCCGAGACAGTCATCGCATTTAGATTCAGAATGCCCTCCAAATCCCAAGACGGACATATATCTGCTGGGAACGGTATTACAACACGGTCTTCGAAGCAACGGTTTGGCGCCGTATATCCGGTTGAGTTTAATCAGATGGCCAAGATGACCAGTCCGGGGACGGGACACAAAAGAGAAAATGGCACCAGACAAAGATCAAAAGGAATCAAAACATACTCTCATGCAAATGCACACCAGTCGAGGAAAACCAACAAGCGCTAAAAACGCCCTGTGTAAAACACCTCTTCGCGCACACCGTCACGTCTTCCTGCAAAAGCCCACACCTGCTGCCAAGGCCGAATAAGCATGCAGCAGTGACCTGCAGGGGCAACGGCAATTAGTATTTTTGTGGCAAAGTCCAAACTGGGAAAGAAAATTCTAAAATATCACTGGCGAAGGCAAGGCAAAAGAGCTGTGAAAATACAGATCCCATGCGGTGCATAAAAATAGAGCCCAGGATACCTCGGAAACAGTGGATCAGATATGCGCAGCTAAGCAAAACAATCCCAATGGGCGAGAAGCTGAACCGGTTGGTCTGGACCGTGCTGCAGGTCGTTCTTGGCGAGTCGTGATTTGTTTTGAATAATTTTGCCCAGGAGAAAAAAAAATCTTGTGCAAACGGGGGTCAAGCTGCCTCGACCCCAGAACAAGTGCAATTCTCACAATGGCAAAACAACGAAGACTCGCAAGAGCACGTCCTACATGGTATCCTGCTAATACGATTTACTGTGTACATCTTGCTAGCTCGCGACTCTGCCGCTCTTCGGACAAGTCGGAAGCTTTAAAATCCGCTGCCTTTCCCCTTCACGACCAATACTGGCAATCCCTGCAGAGCTGAACACCACCAATGACCTGGCTAACCAAAACCAGTCGAGGCCGCATCACACGTGGGCCCCGGACATGCGACGAAAAGAAGGTCAGAAGAGATTTAAGAGATGCCTGCGGGCATCTTTCCAGCAGTCGATAGACTCCACCAAAGCAGGGTCCATGCAGCAATTTCTCCGTTTAGTGTCAATACGCCTCCGGATAACCCCTGCTCGCTCAAATCTGTAATTGTTCTTCCCCTTGCCAGGCCATGCCCCACATGTAAATGCGATCTGGCGCGATTCGTGTTCATCAGGTTTTTTCTTGTTCAGGGCCGTGAGGGCCTTTGAGTAGTAGTCTTGGTGGCCTTGCTGGGTGTATGCCGAAATAAATGCTACATGCCTGGCCTTCCCACCCACCACGCCCGGGCAACAGGGCACATGCCAAGCGTTAACTCTGTGGATGTTTGTTACGACATAAATGCCGACAGCATGTCCTGTTCGTCGTTGTCTGATGGTGCACACAATTATGTAGAAGGGCGTTGGCCAAGGACGCGAGCGAGCAGTCATACATTTGCATGCAGAACGGAACTGGCTCGCAGTCGCAAGTCGTGGACACAGAACAGCTATACGACCAAAATCGTCGCAGATGAACTGTAACAAAAGTCGAGACTTACTACGACGTACGATGTACCATAATTTCTCAGGGTCCTCTAGCTGGGGTTTCTTGGCGTGTCTAGCGCCACCATCGATAATATAGTTTACTGCCATGAAGAGACAGAATAGATGAAAACTCCAAAATAACGCGCGCAACTGCCCGGAAAGCACTGAGACTCACGATGATAAAATAATAGCCCTTCTCACAGAACCGGTGGGAAGAACCGTCTTTTTTGTTTCTTTAGCCTCGTTCATCCACTGTCAGGGCTAGAGGGTACCCTTCCATTTGGCGCTTCACTTTTGCGCCTCCTAATCGTTCGCTCCATCCAGCTGTGGCTGCATCCGTAGCAGGGGTCGGAACTAGCTAGATTTACAAGCAGTACGAATCTACTAATTCGTATGTAAGATACTTACTGGGGCTTCCACAGCCAGCCTTGTCGGTCCGTTGCTTGTCAGAATTTATTTTTGCCAAGCGTAACATCGACCCATTCCTTTTTTTTTTTTTTTTTTTTTTTTTTTTTTTTTTTTTTTTTGGCAATGTGGCACTGGCCTGTGTTCAACCAGACCGCACAAATATACATTCGTATGTTTCTTGCTCGAGCTCACATTCAGCATTGCTCAAAAGTTGCTCGGAGACCAAGTTTTTCGGCAGCTTCTGCTACGCGCGCCTTTGTTCCAAGCGCCCCTTCTCCTCTTTAGCTCGCCCGACGTACGGGGTAATTACAAAGGGGGGATTCCCAACCCCAGCCGCCCACAGGCCTAGAACAGGAACAAGCGTCATTCCAATGCCCTCCAGCAGCCCGAGGGGCAACTACAGAGCAACCACACCGCACCTCGTATCTTCATTTCTGGGCTCAGACATGCCCCAAGTCAGGCTGTGGCAGCCTCGTGAGACATTTGCCAGGAGAGCCAACTGCAAACGGCGCAAGACAGTTGCCGACTTTGTGTTGCTGACTGAGGACCTGTCAGGGGCGCGGGCGCTGCGTAACTGTGAGTACAGCACTATCTGCTGCCCACACCAAAGCTTGGCATTGCTACATGTCGCTGACTGCATGGAAACCGCCGCTGTCGCCCCTTATCTGTGCGTCCCTGTGCCTGATCGCCCCTAGCGGTTCCTGTCCGTGCCTGTATTGCTGCAGCAAGTGTGACCGAGAACGCAGCATCGAGCCTCAACGAACCAGACGTAGCGACGTTCACATCCCATTTATACCTAACAATCACCCATCACCACCAGACGTAGCAGCCAGAGTCCACGGGATCTCGATATCCAATGCCAGTGTTTAATAAACGCGAATAGAGAGACTTCGTAAACGTGTTCCTGGTCCACCCTGTGCATTGCCCCATAGCAAGCAGAACAATGTATCTTACCCTAGGCTATATTTGTCCACTAATCTGCGGCTATGATACGAGGTCGAGTGGCCCCTAAACATGGACTGGACCACCCTCAGACGGCCTCCCTTGCGCCACCAGCGAGCATCCAGCTTTCTCGCCGAATTCAACCTCCACCGCACATGCTCTGCCGAGCTGGGCCCGTCTTCGCTTTGACTTTTGGACTTGGGCCTCGCTGCCCGCTTTGCGCTGCCTGTTGGTCTGCCGCCGTGTGGCTGGCTGGCCAGTCCGTCTGTCATGCCTTAAACGCCTGCTGTTTACTTATCGCTTTCCCTGTTGGTGTCTTCGTCGCTCCTGCCACCCAACCATCGTTGCTTAGCATTCCCCTGTCCACTCACACACGATCCGCCCCGGTCCTGCCCCCACAGGGCTGTCCTCGCACTCGGTGCCTGCCACTGCGATTTTTTCAGCTCTTCCTTCCTCTGAATTTCCTGTTGGCCACGCACATCGTGGCCGCTGCTTCCCGTTGTGTCGACCCGTCCACCTGTGGCCCCCCCGAGCGATCCCCTCACCCCACTAAATCGAAGCGCCCGAAGCCCCTTTCCGTGCTTAAAAATACCCACCGGAGCCCAACGGCTTGCATGCTCCCCTGTTGCTCAGTTCCTTCCCCCATAGACGACGTGCTGTAGCCCGTATTTTATCTAATTTATTACTTTTTGGTCGCTGTTTCCGGGCCCGCCTCGTCCCAACCTTCCTTTCCCTTTCGTGTTCTCTCGCGTCTGTTCCTTCTTCCTCTCTCTTCTCTCCACCTCCAAACAGAACACATCGTATACGATTTTCCTCTCTCCCAACTTTCCGCCTTTCGTTTCACAGCACTGCCCTTCTTTTTTTACTTGTCTGTTTTTGTTTGCTCGTGCCTTGGTTTTGCACCTCAATCTATGTTCTGCTTACGAGTCGCCTCTCGACCTCGCTGGCCCTTAATAAACCCGACCTCGCGAACTGCCAGTGTCTCTGCCGTTTTCTGTCTATTCTAATATTCCTCTCCCCTTCGTCCCTTTCTCCTTTCTTGGCCATTTCTCGCTGCTCTGCCGGCCAAATTCTGTGTCTCTCGCTTTCCGCATACGTCTCTTCTGTCCTCCCCGGCAACGTCTCTTCTTCGTATCGACGTCCTTTTCCCGGCTTGCCTCTCGTTGCCGTCCCACTTCAGCCGCAGACGATCAACAAACAGCACACTGACAAAGAGCTCACATCACCGACTGCAGCTGCAGACAGGAAGCGCCACCACTCGTCACGACCGTTCGACCCGCGCCCTCGCCTGGCCCTCGAATCGAAGCACCCTTCTTCGGTCTCTTCTTCGACCTCGTGGCTGCCTCGACACAGCTTCGCAACCTTCCCTCCTGTCTCATCTCTTTCGGTTTCTTCCGCTTCCTATTCCCTTGTTTCGGTCTTTCGGCCTACGATTATATACCGTTGCGTTTTTGTCCCGTGTCTCTTATGACCTCGTAATTAAGTCGCACCTCAACATACGACGGCTTGTGCTTCTCATCGTTACGTGCCTCCACGTAAGTCAACAGTCCTCCAAGCACACGCTCCACGCTCTCCCCTTTCGTTTCTCGTCTTCCGTCGTCGATGCCCTTGTCTCTGTCGCCTGCCTCGCATGCAAACACGTTCCCTGGATTTTTGGTGTTGTTTGCACTCTCCTGCTCGCCCGTCCCTCCCCCCCCCCCCCCCTCCCGCATGGTGCCTCTCCCGCCCTCTCCCGTTGATGGTATTCTTGAAACGGCGTGCCTTCCCAACATCACATGCTGTTGGACTTGTTGAGGCCGTCTCTTGCCCTTGCCTTGTTGTATTTTCTCGTTCCCGTCTCTCGATCGCCCGCCCTGCGAATATCACGAAAAAAAAAAGAAAAAAAAAAGCTTCTCGAAGCAAAGCGGCATTGCAGACTGTCGATCTGGTTCTTGCTCCCGCAGTCCACTCACTACCCGGTTCGTCACACAAACTACGGCTCGTGGTTACGACCCTGTGCACCAAGCTGGCCCAAGCCGCATCGCAATAACACAGCCTCTGTTTCCCATCGATGTGTCTCATCTGTTGAACCGGTGGCGTGGAAGAGCTTCGTACTCCTGTGCGCCTGTCGAGAAGCTTGTGCTCTATCACATCTTTGTCCGAGGTGTTGGAGAAGGCGGCCCCGCTGGTGCAAAGGTCGACAAGGTCGTCACTTGCACACACAAAGTATTCCACCTTTTGTTTTTTTCCGTCTGTCCCTGCTGTTTTGCTTTTCACTTTTTGGGTGGTCCGCGTCCCCCTTCCCGGACACGCAACCTCATGCACTTTTGGATCCCGGCAGCCTGCATCGTTACACACATTGGACCATCTCGCACGAAACAAACACACACAAGCATATGCATACCACGCAAGCGGTGCGGACGAAAACTGGAAATCCTGCTTTGCTAACCCGGGTTTGTCCTCGCTATTGCAGCCGCTCGCCGTATAGCGTCATAGTCGTCTTTCCCCTTTCAATCTGCGGACGAACACAACTGTCGTTCGTTCGTTTGCTGCAGTCGACTCTACGTTGTCTGGCTCCTGTCGACGCTCGGTATCGAATCCCGGAAGCCCATCCCACAGTCAACAACGCCACCACCTTTTGTTTCGTGTTACCCACCGGTTGTCGACCCCTGGTGTCTCGGTTCTTTTCAATTCTACCGCCATCCACAATAATCATAATAACAAATCACCCATCCGCAGCGGCGTCGCCTCCTCATTGTGTTGCCGCTTTCTCTCGACGATCTCTTTCCGGTCCGGGATTCTCTTCTCAACAATTCGCTTACTTCATTTTCCTCCTCGTCTCTTTCTACATGCCTAGATTTCCGGTCGCCTTCAACCGGCGGAAATCTACCGCCGACAACCTCGATAATGCATCGGTAGGAAGCCCGTCTTTTCGCGTGTTGGATCGCTCTGAGGTATTTTCGGGAACGAAGAACTTTGATGCCCCCAACCCGAATGCTCGCTTGGCCGTCAAATCCCAGAGCATGCCCAATGCCCTGATGGTTGCGGATCCCGAGGACGACAACATCTTTGCCAACCTCAACGTTAATCGGTACGTACCCCTAATGGACAGGCCCGCTTTGGACTAGCCATAATGCATTCTAGGCTCCTTCACTACGACCGAAGTGGATTCGAAATGGAGGCCGACCTAGTGGAGGGCGTGTCCGTGTGCCGTTTCCAGTGTCCTTGTCCGTGTCCGTGTGCTAATATAATAACCAGGGGCAGCGGCTCTTCAAATACGACGAAGACGACATCTGACGACTCTTCACGCCATAGCAACGTGTCGACAGCACCCTCATCCGCTGACCTAAACGCCCAACAGCAGCAGCAGCAACAGTTCCAACAGCAATTTCACCAGCAGCAGCAGCAGCAGCATCAAGAAGACTACCGTCTAGCGAACAAGAAGCTGTACGGCGACGTCCCTGTGCCTCCGATCCCCAAGTCGAACACCACAAGCAGCTTTCTCAAATCTGCTGGCCGCACGTTCTCGTTTGGCGGCAACAAGAAGAATCTCCCGATCTTGCCCAACGACGATGCTCCTCTTCCACAGACGCCACCCAAGCGATCTGACACGGGCAGCACCGCTACCAGCCGCGATCGGTCTCTAACCGAGTCTACAGTAACGACCGCCACACCCCCCAAGCTGGAGGAGGGATTTACACTTGATCTGGGCGGCGACTTCAGCAAGATGCTCGGCGGTGGCTTTGACAAACGAGCGAGCGTGATGACGGTTCGGGAGGACGGCCGGCCAGCTCTGGTGCCACGGTCGTTGACCGGCAACCGGCTGAACCAGCCAACCCCCATTCACGTTGATGGCTCCGCCAAGGTTGAGCCGTCGCCGTATTCGTGGGGCAGCCAACACTCCAATGAACAACTGCTGAATGCTAATTCGCTCCTTGCCTCCTCGCCAAATGAGAACGCACCACCCGTTCCGAGACACGCGGCTCCCCTTGCTCGGCCACAGACGTCGTCAGGAACCAGTCCCAACGTCACACAAAGCACCATTCCTCCCATCCCCACCTCTCGTACCGAATCCAGTCTTAAGAGAACGAGTGCCCTCTTTGGCCGCCGCCGCTCAACCATCGAAAACGCTGCCGAAGCCGCAGATGACGAAGACACCGTTCTCTTGAAGGACTCACTTTCCACTGTCAACAGGTTCCTTGCTGGTGCCAGCCTGTCCAACAACAAGCAGACGTCTTCACCGAGCAGCCGCTTTGGTCGACGCGACGATGCCCTGGGTGTCAGTTACAGCCAAGTGCCGACGGAATCCACCTCCCCAACATTTGGTGCCAAGGTCGTCGCCGACAACGACGACAACCTGTTTGATACCAACCTCATCAGCTCGAGCCGAACGGCCCAGCGCTTCGTGGCTCGCAAGCCCAGTCCGCCGCGGAACAAGGTCATGACGCCCGCCCAGTTTGAGCGCTACCGGAAGGACAAGGAGCGGGAGGAGAGTGGCCAAACAACGAGCGCCTCAAAGCAGGAGGCCAACGGCGATAGCGATGATGACGATGACAAGTACGAGGATGACGAAGATGAGGCTGAGAAGTCAAGACAGGCGGCCAAACAACGGCGAAAGCAAGAGGCACACATGTCTGTGTACCGCCAACAGATGATGAAGGTCACTGGTGAGGCCGCGTCAGGAACGCCTGCTCGCTCGAGCATGCATTACTCCCTGTCGACACCGAACCTGCCGACGATGGGCACTCTTGCCCCCAATACCCCCAACGGAGCGAGGCTGTCACCGCAAAACGGCTCAGAAAACGAAGGCGAAGACGAAGATGAAGAGGTTCCTCTGGCTATCCTCGCCGCACATGGTTTCCCCAGCAAGAACCGCCCGCCGGCCCGTCTCAGCACAATGATGTCGAATCCCAACCTACGTGCGGCCGCCGCCCCCAGCTTCCAGCGCCCCCAGTCGATTGTGGGTAGCGAGGCCAACAGCCCTGCCGCACCTCCCAACGGCGGCCGTCTTCCAGTCTTTGCCCGGAATCTGCCTCAGGACCCTTACGGTCTGGTGAACTCCAACAATCGTGAGACCCTTAACTTTGCCGGTGGTGCCCCTGCCGTATCCCCGCAGGCGAACAGCGGTGGTCTGCCCCCTGGCGGACTTGTTGGCGTCATTGCCAGCGAGGAGCGCTCTCGTGCCATGCGCAGAGGCAGCCCGAATGCCGACGCGATCAACAAGCCTGTCCCACATATGGGCCCTATGGGATTTGGTGGTCCGCAGTTCGACCCTGCTGCCGGTATCCCACCGCAGATGATGTACCCTGGTATGGGCATGCCGCAGCCGATGCTCACCCCAGGTGACCAGGCCCAAATCCAGATGACGCAGCAAATGCAACAGTTTATGCAGATGCAGATGCAGTTCATGCAGATGATGGCCAACGGCGGCGCCAACGGCATGCAGCGGCCGATGAGCAGCCAGTATGGCGGACCCGGTGGGCCCATGAACATGGGTATGATGGGTGGTATGGACGGCATGAACAATGACATGGGCCGCCATTCGTTCGTTGACAACGGCTCCGTGATGGATATGCAGCTGCCGCACCCTGACATGCACATGCGGACAATGAGTATGGTCCAGCCCAACTCGGCATCGTGGATGCAGCAGCCGCAGGGTCATGGTTACGCCCCGTCTATCCGAATTCAAGGTGCCAACGCCTATGCTCCGTCGATTGCTCCCTCTGAGCGCAGCAACGTCGGTCTCCCCGGCCGCTACCGCCCTGTTTCGCACGTTCCTGCCGGCCCTGCCCCGTCCGAGCTGCGCAAATCGATGACAATGTCCGGTGCCATCAGCTCTTCGACGGGTGATGCCCAGACCAGCGCCACGTCGACACCGAGACCCAACACGAGCGGCAGCATGAGCCCCAACGAGAACAACACGCCCAATGGCCGTGGCGCGAGCCCGACTGGCTGGGATCTTTCTAGGAAGCAGAAGAGCGCCTCGCCTCTCGCGCAAAGCAATGTTGCAGATGACGACGATGACGAGCAGGGCTGGGCCGCCATGAAGGCCAGGCGCGATAAGAAGCGGTCCATATGGAAGTCGAAGAAGACTCTCTCCAGCGAGATTGGTGCCCTCATCAGCTAAGCTATGCTCATCGGTTGCCAGCCATCAGTGTTGCACATGCTCACGCTCTCCATCTCGCACACTTTTCTTTCTACTTTACACATCTGCACAAAATTTGGGTCTACTAGAATTTTGGGATAGCCGGTATTTGTTTTTTTCGTTACGCTGTGGTTTTTGGTCATTCCTTATAACATCATACGTGATGCGTGCGCAAGTACAGGGCGTACGCTTGCGGTAATTCAGGGGAGGAAAAACTAGGTGTTCTGTTCTCTTGGTTTTGCTTTATTCTCTCAACTAGACTTGTGTTGTATATCGAAGGAAGAGCTGGATACAGCCACATTTTAATACATGGTTTGCATTTTTACTCTTCATTTGCTTCTGCCTTTTCTGTTTGTCCTTCATCAGTGGGCGTTCTCCAATCTCGTTCTTCGAATCTAAATCGATCACATAGAAGCATGTCTTGCAAGGTTAATTTGATACCTGAATGTCACTAAATATTCACTTTACATTTTAAGAACCGCTTTTATCATCGAAAAGAATTCCTCGTCGAAGTGATTGAAATAAAATGGCAATAAATTATAAACAAAAATTACCTTCTATATCTTTATTTCTTCTTTCTTTTTGTCTAAAAAAAAAAAAAAAAAAAAAAAAAAAACGTTAAGCGCAAATTTTTTTTTGATAAAACATGACTGAAAAAAAAAGCACTTCGGCCGTTGTTGACGGCATTCTGTATTAGCTGAGAGCGTGGCGACATAAAACTCAAGTCGAAACAAGGAACGCTTGACATTTTGTTTCCTTTGATTTAAATAGATTGCTAATATCTTGCTCGAGGCAGAGAGGTCCTCCGTCTATTTTTCAATGGCTACCGAGTATCCAATCCGTTTTTGCTTCTAATTGCTCCCATTTTTCAGTTGAGCTTGCCCGCGGACCAAGCCTTCCGCTTCACGGCCATCTCCACCGCCGCCGAGCCCCAGTCCTCACCGTGGTTGTGGCTGCCCTCAATGACGCCCGCCCGTGCCAGGCCCTGCTTCTCGCTCAGGACCGTCAGCACGCCAAAGATGATCGGCACACCCGTGTCCAGCTGGACGCGCATGAGGCCCTGCGACACGCTGTCCGCAATGTACTCAAAGTGCATGGTTTCGCCCTTGATCAGCGCGCCAATGGCAACGAGGGCATCGAACTGCAGGGTCGACTTGGTAGACGACGAGCCCGAAGACGGAGCCGGTGCGGAGAGGTCGGTCGTGCTGCCGCCGAGGAGGAGGTCGCCGGCCGATAGGGAGTTGGCCGAGTTGGCGGACTGGACTTGCGAGGCATCGAAGAATCTACACGTAGAGAAAAGGAGTTGCTGTTAGCCATTTTCCGGGTCCGTTCAAAGCGTCAATGAAGACAAAAGGATGGAGTTCTTGTTGCACTGCAGGGGAAGAGTTCGGGGACGATGGAAGGGAGTACATTCGTACCTCTGGACGGCCACAGGTAGTTCCCAAGCGCCAGGGACAGACTCGACGACGATGTTGGACTCGGCAACGCCACTCTCCAGCAGCTTCGCCTTGGTGCCCTCCAGAAGAGGTTCGATGATGTTCCAATTCCAGCGGGAGTGGATGATGCCAATGCGGAGGCCAGAGCCGTCGTGCTTCTGGGAGATGGGGCCTTTCTCATGCATTGTGAAGGTTTTGTCGGATTTGGAGGGTGTGGGCGGATAGGTTGATGATGCTGAAGGAACTGTTGGATACGCGGTGTCGGCTCGGAGAGCTGGATTGATTCTGGTGTAAGGAGAAGAGTGCGTGCAGCAAACAAGGTCGTCGTAACATCAATTATGGCGCTGTACGTCGTACGACTACAGTCATGGCTGTCCCACGACTTTTGGAGGGGCACGGGGTACTTACTAGTGGAAAAAGGTGGGGAGCTCTTTCCAGCTGTTTTGAGGCAAATACTTGCTAGCCTTAGTTAGCTAAAAACAGAGCATGGTACGATAGTTTAGAACGGCAGTCGCGTCATTCTGCTACGTTTCCGGTGCGTCAATGTGTGAAGAATGCTCGACGTCTCGCCATGTCATTAATATGGACATGCCCCCTTCCCCAAGATGAAAGCAAGAGGGCCCTGTTTAGATCTGTATGTCTTGGTGATAACTTTAGCTTCACAGAGAAGAGATTCTTGCTCGGTCCGTGGAATCGACTGGTCTGTGGCGTGCGATGTTCTTTCCCTTGCTCCAAACTTATAGATGGGATGCTCTTTCCCTTTACTATGCGCACCTCCTTAAAGTGGGAATTGCCTCGCATTAGAACGAAATGAAAAGCTCTAGTCGGCCGTTCTTTCCTTACAGACTCAACGTATTCTTTTTGGATCAAATACGAACCAAGTTGCCTCCTCCCCTCCCCCTTTTCCCGTGTCAGTGTTTCTGCACCACACTTCTTGGATGATCGAATCGTCCTTTTAAGAAAAACTCACCTTTCGAAGCCCGTTGCTCCCCTGTCGGTCCATTCCTTCACTGCTGTCGAACCTTTCTCAACGGTGGCGATGTCAATAAAGGCGCTGCCTGCAGATACCTGTCATCTGCTTGGCTCGACCTCGGTCATCGCCACGTCCGTAAGCCTCGTCAAGGAGCTTTTGGACAATGCCATTGATGCCGGTGCAACGGCCATCGATGTGCTTGTAAGCCCAAACACGGTCGACAAAATCGAAGTTCGTGACAACGGCCACGGAATCAGTACCGCAGACTTTGATGCTCTTGGCCGTCGTGGCCATACAAGCAAGCTTCGTCAGTTCCACGACCTCATGACTGTGGGTGGAACGTCACTTGGGTTTCGCGGCGAGGGTTTGGCCAGCGCCAATACTCTAGGCTTCGTAGCCATAACGACGCGTACTGCAGAAGAGGCAATTGCGTCGAAATTTCGGTTGGTGCCGAGTATTGGAGGCATCTCCCCAGACGGCTAGAAGCCGGGACCTGCACCGATCGGCACGACAGTGTCAGTGACTTGCCTTTTCTCAACACTGCCAGTGAGGCGGAAAACTGCCGTACAAGATGCCTCGAAGACATTATCCGGGAACAAGGCACTCTTATGCGGTTATGCCATGGCCCGTCCTCACTTGCGGCTCTCTTTCAAGGTTATGAAGGAAGCCGTGCCGCTGTGGTCTTACCGGCCGACAACGAATAGCTCGGCACCACGAGGCAACATTGGCATGAAAGAGGCCGTTGCGATGCTCTTTAGTGCTGAAGTGGCTCGTCAGTGCCGAGAGATTGTCACGTCAACAGATGGACTACTTGACGGACAGCTCTCGCTATCTCAATCGTTGTCCAGCCAGCCGAACGAAAAAGTCGATCACTTCATCTTCGAGGCCTGCCTTCCCCAGCCTGATGCCGATCTGGCTAAGTTGAGACTTGGTGGATTTATTTCTGTCGACGGACGGCCGCTTTCCTTTCACCATAATGGCATTGTCGACCAGCTTCTGGCAATATTCCATGCCAGCCTTGGAAGGCTCCTAGGTCAGATGGCCTCGCCGCAACGGGCAAAAGTCCGTGGCACGTTCATGCGGCTCAACATCAAGTGCCCTGCCGGCAGTTACGATGTTAACGTCGACTCATCGAAGACGGACGTTCTGTTTGTTGACGAGAAGTTTCTCTGCGACGCCTTTGCGAGACTCTGTGCAAAGACATATGTGGCAACTGATCAGATGAAATATCAATTTAGCTACGGCTTTGACAAGTATCCTCCAAGCACCGCAGTTCAACAATCAACACTCTCTTTTGGGGACTCTCAGGGAAGAGCCGGCGTGACCAGCAGCAGGGTCGGGCCATTGCAGCAACGGCCTTTTCATAACACCAACGTCATGTTGACTCAAGGACCTAAGCAGCCTTTGTTTGCTAGCAACTTGCACAGATCTGTAGCTCGTCGCGAGGCCCGCTATGTTGAGGCCGAATCACCTGTCTCTCAGCTCAACAGCACGTCTCCAGATTCCCAGGTGGAGATATCAATGGCGAGACAGACTATCAGGCCTGTTGGTGGGCCGATTGAATACAATTTCACAACGTCGCGAGGTGCAGGCGTCCAGCGCCGCACAGATTCTGCTCATTCGGATTCGCGCCATACCCAGCTGTCGCCCATCCGGAAGCGAGCACCAATACGCAGCGTGCCAGTCGGGGGACTAAAAACACCGCCGTCGTCCAGCCCGGTTGGAAACCATCAACGCCCATATTCTCGCCACCATAGACAGCGTGGCTTTGAGAGCCCGAGACTACCTGGCCTGGTTTCTAATGACAACTTTCGGCAAACGACTATATCATTTGGTGACCCCTGTCGCATTAACAATGGTATTGCCGAGGCCGGTCAGGAAACGACAGGCCGGCGGCAAAATTCCCGCCCTTCTTTCGTTTCCGCCCGAGATCATTTCTTCGAGGGCCATTCCGAAGCCGGGCCGCCACGCATTGCCAGGGCTGTATCTGATATGTCTCCAACTGGACAAGGGCGTTTAGATGCTCCTATTGTCAGCTGCACGGCACCGTCGCCAGAAACGCCCCTTGGACGGCCAGTTCACACAATGATGGTCGATTGGAACAGACTACGACGGACTACGGCCATATTCGCACGCAATATGAAGTCTTGGGACGAAGAGCCTGAATATCTGTCCCCGGAAATGGCAGATATCTCGAGCATTGAGAGTCGACTCAGAGCGGCCGTTGTTGACTGGCTGGCGAAGAGCAGGGCAAAGAGAAAAGAGGCCGGGGCGGGATCTGTTCAAGTTGAGTTCTACCTGCGGAAGAGCTTAAAGCTAAAGACACTTTTGGTACGGGGTCTGGGGCAGCAGTAAGCATTTATTGTGTATCAGACGTGAAATGGAATCGCTGTGTTGTGTCATAACATCTGGGCCTGGTGGCTGACCGGCGGCTTATGCCTGCACGTCTATGGCTGGCAATACTATCCATAGAATTTTCCAGGGCCACATCTTCGCAGCCCACGGCATTTGCCAACAATTGAAGGGGAGGATAAAGAAAGGAGAAAACATAACTTTCACTAAATGCCTCGAGCGTTGTTCTGGTATCAAGTTTCGACTACTAGGGGCCAGGCCAAGGACAACCCTTGTTGGCAGTCAACAATGACAGGCTGTGTCTAATTTTAGTCCTCTCTTATGGCCGATTTCTGTTGTCAAGGGACCTGGCTGGGAATTATACAGTTTTCGTCTTTCAGCATGCACTCTCGCATACATGAACGACGTAGAGCAGCACTATGGATTGACAACGCCAGATCATCGGCACGGAGAGTGACGAATGACTTTGCTCCAAAGAGGGCTCCGAGGCTCAGTATGGCGATCTTCTCACGCTGGCCGTAGCATCTCACCGTCAGGGCCCACAATCTTGTTGGATCGAATGAAGAATAAACAGAATGTCGCTGCCCATGCTACAGCCACAAGGAACAATTCAAAGAGCGCCATTCACAGCAGTTCACGGCCATAGCCTTACGGAGAAGCCAGAACACAAGGTAAGGGCCCGTCCTACTTTCGTCGTGAGATCTGTGTGATTTCTTTCTCTCTCTCTCTCTCTCTCTCCCTCTCTTCCAGCTGTTCTAGGATGCTATTTCGGTTCCTACAAATTACGACAAGTGAAACATTGTTCGCGAACATGCCATCGGTGGGCCACCTCGTCTCATGCCATGGAACGGAGCACGAGAATGACTAGTACAATGCACTGCCGTTCTGTGCAACTGATACGACATCGTCTGACGGGATATTACACATTCAAGAGAGGACAGCCTTTCTGTGCGTCTATGCGGGCTCGGATTGAGATGAACAGATTGCACGACAAAACCGGAGATAATATTAGCAGTCGAATTGTTTCGAATAACGAAACACGAAAGTTGCTCATGAGTTGAAACGACAAAAGTCAAAGCTGCAGATACTGCCTTACCCGATTTGACTTCAAGGTTCTTGATAGCTGTCTGATGGCACTGTCAATTTCCCTCAAGTTTCAGCCTCAACGGGCGTGGCGCGTAGATGGTGTCTCAAGTCTGAGAAAACGACATTATTCACACACTTTCGTTCACGATAACAAGCTTGGAGTGGAGCAACACGGGATGCAGGACCTGAAGTGGGTCGTTTCGGTGTCTTCTCCTTCCCAAAAAAAAAAAAAAGAAATAAAAAATAGGAAAGAGAGCTCGTTAGTGGCATACGATCCGAGTCACTGTTCCAAAAGCGTCGGGGGATAGGGCGACCAACAACACAAGAACAACGAGTAATAACAGAAGGAACGATTGAGAGGAACACAACAGACGAAGACAAAAAAGAGGGGAAAGAGGATTGAGCCAGGAAATGGGGACACCAAGTACGCGGCATAGTTTGGAAGGCACGGCAGATCGTACCTTCCTTTTTTTTCGTCCTTGTTAGGGTATCCTTCACGTTTGTCACTGAACAAAGTGCTGACGGACTTCCGCATCGGCAACGTCAGACCAGAGCCCGCATGGAATCGACCGCGCGACAAGCATTGAAGACGAAGTTTCGTCGCAGAATTGCGGGAAACAAAACACAGTGGACAGCGGTTGCGACGAAAGCCTCATGAGCTGCACAGTAATTACGCTCCGGTGACAGCTAGCGCCAAGAACTCGATACGAAGAGTACCGGAAGGAAGGGGCCACCAGGGAGGGGTCTAAGCCTCGCTCTCAGAGAAAGGGCGGCCGGCGCAAACAAGAATTGACCCAGCACGGAACGAGCGATGCACCGTCGCCGTGCAGCCAGAAACAGGAAGAAAATCTCGTACCTCGTATTTGAATGTAACCAGAATGCTATTGGCCCTACTCCGCTCAAAGCCTGGGGAGGCTGGGATGTCCTTTCTCGTTGTGAGCCCAGCGCCCAGGCTGGCCAGCCAGCCGCCCCTTTCCTGTCGACAGTGCCCCATCAACGAATACGAACCTGCCAGCACAGGCACAGCGGCAGCGTGAAGAGGGACTGAAAACGAATCTTCATAAGAGACGGCATAGCTCATGACTGGATTGGAGACAGGACGGGGCCAACCGCACTCAGTACAAGTGATTTCAAGCAATATGTCGAGGATACGTCTGTCCGCATATGTGCATTGCCATTTGATGTCTGTCGTTCCTGCCATTTTAGTGACCGTCGTGCGTCGACGCAGTGGAAGCATCACAAACGTCCAAAAAAAGCAACAGGGCTCATTGACCCCACTTTTCCACCTTCGCTCTAATCCGCCTCGCACTCTTTACCTCCAAAAGTACATGTCCGCGTAAGTGGGCACTTTGCGCGCTGCTGTTGGTTCTGCAAGGCAGAGGCCGAAAAGTCCGTGACACTGACGCTGTCTGGGCATTTCGGGCCATTCTAGCACTGCAACACGAAGCCTGAAGCAGTGTAATTCGTACCTCGCTTCAGCTAACGCCATAGCACCCGTCCAGGCTCGCTGAAAGGGCTCCAACTGTGGTGGGATTTTCTCTGCTAGTCTTCAGGCCCAAGAATAGGGAAAGGGCACCCTTGCCCTCTGCATCTCCGTATCGTACTCACTATATCTGAATCTCCACTGCTCAAATGTCCTTTCTCACCTCAATCCGTGCCCGAGAGTCGCGGACTTTTTGCTTCTTTTTTCCTCCTGATTTTTCTTCATGCTCCGATTCATACTTTCTCTGGCTTCCCGCCCTTTCCTATTTTGCCGATCACGGCGCCGCCTCTCGTTCTCTTCTTTTTGATACAGCACCCAACTCGCGATTCCTTTCGTTGTCATCTTAATTTGTCAGTCCTAATTTAGGGGGTCGAAGATCGCAGCTGGAATCGCTGGAATCCAGGCCGCGAACACAACGCCGCAGCCACGCAGCCTGGGGGTTGGCATTCTGTTTCTGCATCTGCTTTTCTTTCAAGGAAACCGACGAAGCGATTGGTCCGCGATACTGCGCCTCTCTCAAAGGCTCCAACAGCCGCGACTATCGTGACAATTCCATCGCCGACACGCAAGCGCGGCCAAGTCAACAGCTCGCGAAAGACAGTTTGCTTCCAACGACAAACCACCTGGTTCAACTTTAACTTTGTCTTCGGCAGGCGTGTTTGCCCATCCGGGATGATGGGGTTCCCATAGCTACCTCTTTCAAGCCGCCTCGCCTTTGAACCCGCACGAATTCGAACTCCTCTGTCCGCTCCGCTTCATCCTCGCAGAAGCTCGAACCGATACCCTTGTTTGCTCAAGATGGACACCCAGTGCAACACACAACGCACGGCGGCTGCGAAATCCTTGCCGTCTCTCGCGCACCCACCAAGCCCGTCTCCAGACCGGCCACCCCGGCAACATTTACCGTTCCAAACGCGACCACTGGCATCATCTTCGTCGATCTCGTCGACTAGCTGCCCACCTCGAATACGACGACAGCCACGAATGCCCACGATGGCCCTGCGAAACCTGGGACGGCCAGCTGCGGCCAGGATGAACCTGCTGGCCACTATTCTCCTGGTTCTCCTGGCGTGCATCGGCATCCAGCCCGCGCGTGCCGTCTCGGTACAGTTTGAAAACTGCATGCCCGAAGACTATGTCGACAACACGGACCCGGTTCTGCTGCAATGGGTCCCACTCCTTGTCGAAGCCTCGTTCGACGCCACGGCGGACGACAGCCGCAAGTTGCTTGTCACCATGTACGGCAACGTCACTGGCACACGCTCTTCCGCGCCGTTGCCAGCCTGGGATAGCCCTCTTTGGAACGATCCCTCCAACACGAATGGCAAGATCCTGCGCGCACCGGACACGTCCGTGGCGAATCCCAAACTCACGACACTGCACAGCAAGATGGAGGTCCTCACGTACGAGCCCTGGAGCAATGACACCGACTTCTGTGCCGATTCGTTGGCCAATGGCGTCTGCCCACTGGGCCCCGTCTTCAATACGTCAGTCATTTCCTACACCGACCTTCCGTCCGTGTCCATGTCGAATGTCTTCACCACGTCGTACGCCTTCACCTCCTTTTCCGCGACCTTCATTATCCGCTACGGCGACGCCGCCTCCACGACCATTGGCTGTGTCTCGGCCACCATCACGCCCTCGCTGGGTTACTTAGCCTGGATCATCAAGTTCTTGCCTTTGTTGGTCCTGCTGGCGGTCGGTTTTGCAACCGTATTTGCTGGCATGTACAGTCCGTGGGGCACGGCTGACATCTTCCACTGGACGAGCAATTACGGCCGCGATCCAGACTTATTGCGCCTGGTGACACCCGGGTTTGGCGACTGCCTGCAGTACCTCCAGTTTGCCGTTCTCACGGGCGGCCTGACCCTCAGCTACCCCGGCTTCTACCAACCCATAGTGAGCCAGGCGTCGTGGTCTGCCCTCATGTTCAACCAGACGTTTGTGAGCAAGGAGGACGGCATTCCTGACGTTGTTGACGGCATCTATTCCACGAACGGCTCCTATGGTCTGCAAAATCTGGGCCAACTCGCTGGCATGGGCAACGTAGAGGACATTTGGGCCGGTATGATGGTGTGGCTGATGGTGATTGTTGTGGGCACTCTGGTTCTCTTCCAGCTCGGATTCGCCCTGCAGTGGATCTACCGCTCTGTGCGTCGGATCCCCGAGGAAGACCTGCGCTCCAAGAACTGGCCGTTCTCTATCGGCAACCTCGTCCGCGTTGTCTTCAACTATTTCCTGCTGCCGCTCGTGTCTCTGTCGACGTTCCAGTTTGTCGTCGCGGCCCAGTCGCCAGCTTATACTGTGGCGTTGGCTGCCTTGACCCTTGCTGCGATCCTCGGCTTTGCCGCCTGGCTGCTGTACCTTATCACGAGTACCAAACCTCGCGCAGTCCTGTTCGACGACCTTCCGACGTTGCTCCTCTACGGCCCGCTCTACAACACGTACTCTGACGAGGCAGCCGCCTATGCCATGTGCCCGTTCATGGTGACGCTCATACGAGGCATTGCCATTGGCGCTGTGCAGCCGGCCGGTATCGCCCAGATCATCCTTCTGGCTATCTGCGAGGTTGTCCAGATTGTCACGCTGCAAGCCATTCTCCCTTTCCACAAGCAATCCTCCATGAACGCCTATCACACCTTGTTTGCAGCTCTCCGCTTTGTGACGATCATGCTGATGATTGCATTCATCCCAGCGCTGGGCGTCACCGAGGGCCCCAAGGGCTGGATTGGTTACGTCATTCTGGTGATCCACGCCGGCATCCTGATCCTCGGCTTTTTCCTCAACGCCATTCAGACACTTCTTGAGGTGATTGCCCGCATGGCCGGTGCTGGCGGCGATGATGTCATGGGCCAGACGCGCGGCGGTCTCTCCAAGATCTTTGGCATGCGTCAGCTATCGAGACGCATGCCACGCCGTATTGCCGGTGCCACGTCTCGCCAGAGCCAAATGTCGAATGCGGGCATGCTGGACTCTGAAGAGGCTAGCAAGGCTGGATTCATCATGCCGGGTGGCCGCCTGCGAAGTGAGTCCGCCGGTAGCATCGGCGTTCTCATGGGTGGCAAGCCTGGCCAACGGAGCTCGTCTGCCCTCGACAATCTCAGCGTGGAAAACACCATGGCCCAGGGTGGACGGAATTTGGAGAGTGGTGCCGGATCGTATACTCCGACTACGGCTGGTGAGATGAGCAACTTCTCCGTCCTGCCGTCACCGAACCCCAACAGCAACCGCCTGTCGGGCGCTTCCGCTCTTTTTGCCGGCGCAAATACCACTCCGGTGGAAGCCAGTGACCCATACTACCGCCAGCCGCGGCGAACGAGACGCCCAACGCTCAGTCAAGAAAACAATGTGCCGTCTCCAGCCGACCGGACGCGTGGATCATGGGCCAGCGGTGACTGGGGTCAGGGTGCGCAGGCTCCTGGTGGCGGCCCGGCCCCTCCTGCCGCAACCGCTGTGGGACATAGCTCCAACAATGCCGCCAATGCAACCGCAGTAGCTGCGGTTATAGCGGGTGGTGTGCCTCCCATCACTGGGGATGGTGACGTCGACGGCCAGCCGTCTCGTGGAGCCACGCCGGCACCATACGGCCAACCGGCGTTCTCGCCGAGGACAGACTACTCCACGCGTGAAGTCGACTTTTACTACGGAGTGAGAGGTCAGCGCCTGAACTCGGATGCGCCTGGCCGGCGATTGGGTACGGGACCTGCGGATCCTACAGGCCCGATGGCGTCGGCTGCCGGCTGGTTCCGGACTCTTATCGGCGGCAAGACCAAGGAGAAGGGCAAGGGCTTTGAGGTTGTCAGAAGTTCCCGGATGCCGCCTGCTATGGTGGCTCGTGGGGGCGACTTCGAGGACGAGGGCCCGCCACCTGGTGTTCCTGTGGCCATGGATGTGATCCGCAATGGCCCGATCGAGTCGGATGACGAAGATGACGCCCAGGCCAAGAACCGGCGGACGCTTCGTAGCCGCGACCGCCCAGCAGGCAGTGAACCAAAACCGGCCGAGTCGGATCTGCTCAACGAGGATGGCAACCCTGGCGAGGACAGCGAGGCGGCCGATGAAGCTGGATTCTTGCGCGTCTCTGATGTGCCCCCGCTGCTGCCCAGCATTGACGGCGGTGACAGCATCCATATGCCGAGCAGGCTGCCGAGCCGCAACCAGTCCAAGGCCAGCCGGTACACTGCTGCTGGTGACGGATACAACAATGGGGCCTTGCCGTCTGCGACTGTGCCCGTCTTGGCTGAAGTCCCTAGTCTGCCCCGCAAGAGCTCTAAGCGTCCCTTGTCAGACGATGGGAAAGGCCAGCCTATGTCGCTCTCCACTCCATCCGAGACAGGCCGCACGGCGTCCATGAGCTCCTCCCACGGCGCCCAATACCAGCAGCAGCCGTACCTGGCGCCTGCCATCCGGGTTGACTCGGCGAGCAGTGGTGGAGGGCTCGCGACTGCGAGACTGCCCTTTGACCGCAACAACTCGCTTCAGCGGCAGATGTCCGAGGGTTCCTCAAATGCGCATACTGCCGAGGAGTTTGCTCAGATTGACCTGAACGACAACTCGTCGAACAACACCGGCGGTGCCGGGCGAGGCTCGAACGAGGACCGGCCGACAAGCTATGGGTATGTCCAGCAAGGTAGCATCAGCCGAATCGACCCCGAGCGGCAGCCGGATTTGCTGGGATCATCTGCCGAAGTCGTCGATGAGCACCACTAAACTGCTCCTGAACCCACTGTCTTACATTCGTCCGTTTTCAGTCACATCACACAACACGTGCTTTCTTTACGGAAATGATCTATTTATACGCGCATTGTCTTGTGCGGACACATGACGGACTACAAAATCTATACTTTCCTTTCATCGTTATCAGCCTCTGCTTTGTATACACTCTCATTTTCTTTTTTCAGTTTCTTTTTTAAGCCCTGTCTTGTTTATATTTTGGGCGGACTCTGGCTTTCACCATTTGATTTTCTACTCACACAGCGATTTGGCGCAACCAACGGAATGGATTACGGAAACGGGGGACCTGGCCACGCATCACACCAAAGCATACGAACCCCCAAAACAGGGCGATGCTGCTATTAATACACCTGAGCCAGACTTGGCGATGAAAATTGATTTTATTACATTCGACGTGTGCCTTTATTCGGAAACATTTTGGTTACTTCTCGGGAGGAGACAGGATACACAAAATTAAAGTGTTTTTTATTTCCCAATGTTTGTGCCCCTACGACGTCTTTGTTGACTTTTAATGTTCAGAACACGCTCGGTTATATGCACAAAGGAAGGTATTATGCATATAAACGATTTGCATACAAGGTGCGATTTTCTTGTCGCCAACTTATCAGCGATAAGATTTTTTTCTTGGTGGTCCCAGGTGCCAATGTAATCCGCACCAGTATTACGGCGTTCGTCCTTTTCAAGCATGTCGACAATTGAAACGGCATAAATCAGAGTTGGCCTGATATTTCATTGTTCTTATCCAATGACCTAGTCCAATCAGTGTATTTATACACCTCACAAAAAATGGCCAAGACAAGGCCCGGCTCCTCCAAAAAGGGCCGTTCCAAGAAGTCTCACAAGAAAAACAACACACAGCCCGATGGCGCATCATCGCGGCCCAGCAAATCACCAAAGGCCCTCGTCCAGGATGCCGAGGCCGCCATGACGCAGGGCGATGTTCATATTGCACTGGCGGCGGCACAAAAGGCACAAAAGGTTCTCGAAGACGCCAGCAGCGGGGATGGCAGCAACAACATCGTCTTGGACGGTGTTGGCCTTGCGGCCGTATACGCCCTGGTTGGCGAGATTCACCTGGAGAATGGCGATGTGGAGGATGCGCGTGCGGCTTTGGATCGATCCGTGAGCCTGGACCCCGAGGGCACGCTCCCGGAGGCGTTGGGTGGCGGCGTGGACAAGTTTTTGTACATGGCGCAGCTCAGCGAGGAGGGCGGCCGAGACAGCATCCGGTGGTTTGAGCGGGGCGCCGGCGCTCTGCGGACCCTGGCCGGCCGGATACAAAAGAAGACGGGTGGCAGCGACAGCGACGACAGGGAAGCCAACGAGCTTCATGACGAACTGGGCAACCTCAATGCGAAACTGGCACAGATTCTGTGTGCCATGGCCGAGGTCTGGATGACGGATCTGTCGTTTGAGGACGACTGTGAGCAGCAGTGCGAGGCGCTGACGACGGAGGCCACGCTCGTCGACCCAACGTCGGCCGAAGTCTGGCAGACGCTCGCCAATGTGCGCATCAGCCAGAGCCGCGACGAGGAGGCGCGGGTGGCGCTGCGGCGCAGCCTGGAGCTCTGGGAGAATCTGCACCCGGCACACCCCCTGGTGCCCGCGTTTAGTGTGCGCGTCAGTCTAGCGCGTATGCTCATGACGGTCGGCTGGCTGGCCAAGGCGATCGAGGTGACGTCGAACCTGCTGCGTGAGGACGAGCAGTCGGTCGAAGTGTGGTACCTGGCAGGATATGCAAACTACCTGCTGGGCCAGCAGCTCAAGGAGGCCGACGCCGACGTAGCAGACACGACCGGGCAGCAGAAGAAGGACCTGTGGAAGGGAGCGTGGATTGAGGCCCGCCGGTGCCTGGGCCGTTGCCTGCGGCGGTTCCAGCAGCAGCAGTACGAGGATGAGCGTCTGGGCGAACACGCGGCCGAGCTGTTCCGGGAAATGGAGGCGGCCGTCGGACCCGCGACTCAGAAGGAGAAGGACGAAGAGGACTACGCGGAAGAAGATGAGGATGAGGAATGGGAGGACGACGAAGAGGATGACGATGAAGACGACGAGGACGAAGACGAAGACGAGGAAATGGAGGACTAGAGTGTTTAGTACGGGGTTTCGTTTTGCTGTTATTTTTATTTTATTATTTTTTTTGGCTTGTATCATTGCGAAGCTATAGAATGGCGTTTTGGTTTCGAAAAGCTACGAGTAATTCGTACGAGGGCGCTGGAAGGTCGCTTCTTCGACCCAAAAAGACGTCTATTGTCTTTAGAATTCAAGTTTGTTTCATCTGGCCCCATGCCTCCATTGGATAAATGTATCCTTTCTCGCGCCCTATGTACATGTAGTTTTGTCGCTCTTGAGTCTCACAAGTACCTTTTGACTTGCAGTATCTTTGACTTCTGGTCACTATCTATGATGCGATTCCTTGATCTTGGCTCGGCATCCCGCATCTGGACCAAGAAGAATAGTACTGACAAGGCTCGCTAGCCATATCCAAGATTATGGAATACAATGTGTCCCATCATTAGCCATCATTGTCGGACCAAGAACCCTTTTCGACACCTTTTGTGGCTCATGCGTCGATTTTGAGCTTTTGCACGTCGCCTGTCGGCACGCTCTCGTCTTCATCTGCCTCGTCATCATCGTCAGTCTTGCCCGCAAGGCCCTGCTCCCACAGCTGCCGACCGGTGAGTTTTGAACCGTCTTTGCCCAGCAGGCCTCCACTGCCACCGGCCCCGCGGCTCTTCTTGGCCATCTCGGCGGCTTGCTGCTCCTCGTCGCGTTTCCGCTGCTCGGCCATCTCTGCCAAAAAATCCGCCTGCCACTTGGTAAACGTCTCGGGCGTCACCGGCGTGCCGTGGAACTTTTTGTTCTCTTCGCGCTCGGCGGCGAGCAGAGCCTCCTCCTTGATCTTCATGGCGGCCTCGTGGCGCGACACAATCATCTGCTCGGCGGCGTCCTTGAGCGCGGACACAATGGTAAAGATCATGGCCATGCCCAGGTTCTCCTCAATGGTCTCGGCGAGGCCCGACAGCAGCTCGTCCTTGTCGCCGGCGACGCTGAAGAGCGGGTGCTGCTCGTGCTGCTGAGGCGGTGGTGCCAGATCGAGGTGGGGCGCCTTGTCTGGGTAGTCGTCGGGGTACTTGACGTGGAGGACCATGACGGGCGGCTCGTCCTCGTCGTCTGGGTCGGCGTCGGCAGGTCGTGTCGCCGCAACGACATCGTCCGGCAGGTCGAGCTTGATGGAGATGCGGAACTCATTGTCCTCGATCTTGGTGAACTCGTCGGGGAAGATGGACTCGAGGACCTCAGTCTCCTCGATCTGGTCTTCGCGACCCATGGTGAGGGATGTGTGGGGCGTTGAGAGATGGACGATGTCGTACAGTAGAGGTCCCCCGTTTCGCAATGTCGTGAAGCATCGTCCAACGCGAAGCTCTTTGCCAGAGAGCAGGACTGCGCTGCGGGGCAGGCGCATGCCTTGTACAGCGCCCTAATTCAGCGGCTTCAGGAACGTCTTTGGAGAGAAAAGGTCGCCCTAAGAGTGTGGGGCAGATTCCCGTCCGTATCGGTACACCGCCCGGCATAATTCTGCCAGATAAAAAAAAAAATCTCACTATCCATTTTCTCTGGAAATTTTCTGTACTAGGCTTCGAGTACAAGGCTGTCCAGAGCGAACCCGACAAGTGATTCTCCCTATATCTCCTCCGAAACGCCCCATTTGGCCTCGTTTTCGGCACAACGCAACACCACAAACGGCCGCCCAATTGACGATTTGACGATAGCCGACATGTCTACCTCCAAGAGCGGCGAGAAACGAAAGGCCGAGCCGTATCGGGCAACGAAGAAGGAGTGGCTGAAGAAGCCGCGGCTGGAAGGCGGTGATGGCAAGAACGGGACGAGCCCGTACGAGAAGGGTTCGTTACCGTGGTCTCCTGACGCAATACATATACATTCTCGGTCGAAGGACCATTCTAACACAGCATCTCTTTTTTTTTTTGTCAAACAGGCACATCCACGTCTCGCGAAGCACACGCAAAACAGAAGCAGACGGCGCAGGAGCGCCGGGCGGCCAAGCCTTTGGCTGACGAGCTCGCACGGTCAAAGAAGTTGTGGGAGCGTCTGCGGCGAAAGTCGCACGTGCCCAAGGAGGAGCGCCAGAAGCTGGTGGACGAGCTGTTCAGCATCACCACGGGGCGGATGCGTGACTTTGTGCTCAAGCACGACGCCGTGCGCGCAGTACAGACGGCCGTCAAGTACTCGACCCCTGAGCAGCGCAAGGACATTGCCAAGGAGCTGCAGGGTGCCTATGTGCAGATGGCCGAGAGCAAGTATGCCAAGTTTTTGGTGGGCAAGCTGCTCGTGCAAAACGACGAGGCCACGCGCGCCATGATCATCTCCGAGTTCTACGGCAAGGTCAAGAAGCTCATCAACCACCCGGAGGCGTCGTGGATCCTGGATGACGTCTACCGCACGGTGGCGACCAAGACGCAGCGCGCCAAGCTGCTGCGCGAGTGGTACGGCCCCGAGTTTGCGCTGGCCAACACGTCGGCCACGGGCGACCCCGTCGCCGGCAGCACGGAGCCGACGGCAGACTTGACGGAGATTCTGGAGAAGGAGCCGAGCAGGCGCGGCGTGATCAAGACGCACTTGCTGGCCATGATCAACGCGCTGGTGCAGAAGAAGCTGACGGGTTTCACGATCCTGCACGACGCCATGCTGCAGTACTTTTTGAACGTGCCGGCGGGGTCCGAGGACCACCGCGAGTTTGTCGAGATGATCAAGGGCGACGAGGGCGGCGACCTGCTGAAGAACATGGCGTTCACCAAGTCGGGGGCACGGCTGGTGTGCCTGCTGCTGGCGCACGGCGACGCCAAGGACCGCAAGATCCTTCTACGCACATACAAGGACACGTTCCAGCTGCTCAGCGGCGACCCGCACGGCCACGCCATTATCCTGGCGGCGTGCGACCTGGTCGACGACACCAAGCTGACGAGCAAGGCCATCTTCCCGGAGATCCTGGGCAAGAACGAGGAGTCGGGCACGGAGAACGTTGTGTTTGTGGCCAACGACCTCAACGCCCGCACGACGATTCTGTACCTGTTTGAGGGCGCGTCGCGGGCGCTGTTCCCGGCGAGCCACGCCGCCGACGTCGCGCTGCTCGAGGAGATCCACGCCATCCGCACGACGACGAGCAAAAAGGATCCCGAGGTCCGGCGCAAGGAGCTGATTGCGGCCGTGTCGCCGCAGCTGCTGGCTGCCATCGCGGCGGCACCCGCCGAGCTCGTGGCCACGTCGTTTGGCTGCCAGCTGGTGACGGATGTGCTGCTGTTCGCCACGGGCGACAAGACCGAAGCCCTGGCTGCGATTGCACAGACGGCAGCCGGCCCGACGACGACCACGACCACAGGCAGTGGCGGCGGCGACGACAATGACCTTCCGGGCGCTGTGGCGCCGCACGTGTCGCAGTCGGCCTTTGGCACGCGCCTGCTCAAGACGCTCGTTGCCGGCGGCCGCTTCGACAAGGCGACGGGCCAGGTCAAGCCTGTGGACCCGCCGCTGCATTTCGCCGACGTGCTGTACCCGCAGATCCGCGAGCACGTTGTGGAGTGGGCCACGGGCGCGGCCAGCTCGTTCGTGGTGGTGGCGCTGCTGGAGGCGGCCGACCTGGCGCCGGAGCACGCCAAGGAGCTGAAGAAGACGCTGTCGGAAAAGAAGAACCGCAAGGCGCTGGAGCAGTCGTCTGTGGAGGAGACGTCGGAGCAAAAGGCCAAGCGCGAGGCGGCCGAGGCAGCAGCGGCAGCCAAGGAGGCGGCGGCCGAGATCGGTGACAACAAGGACAAGAAGGACAAGAAGGACAAAAAGGACAAGAAGAAGGCCGACAAGAAAAAGGCGGCGGCATCAGCGGCACCGGAACGGCCCGTAGGCAATGCGGGTGCCAAGCTGCTTCTGGAGAAGCTTGCATGATCCGCGCGGTACTCTTGACATGCTTTACACGTTTTGTATTCTTCGTTGCTATTCACTCTACATGGTTGGCTTCTTTTTATCATCGCATATACATGTATAAAATAGTTGTTTCTGCGTGGCGTTTGGCAATCAACTGTATTGTGCTTGGATTTCTGGAAATTGATTGAAAGTAAATCGTTATGAGACACCAGAAGAGGTTCCAGGACTAAAGTCCCGCGGTCGAGAGACTTCCTGATTTGCTTCCTCTTTTCTTTTCTTTTTCTGTCCCTTCCAGCATAACCGCACCGATCTTTACCTTGCTAGCTTCTAGCTTTGTTCTATTTTCTCCTGTGCAACACATGTAAATTATCTCCTAAAATAACACAGAGTCTTGAAAAGGACTACGCCGCAGTCCAAAGTGCAAATGTAGCAAGACGTTTTCACTGCACAAAACCATCACGGGCAAATAATTGGACAAAAGTACGAGGATTGGCGAATAAGAGGCGAGCAAGAGAGCAGCAGACAAACAACCACCCAGCAAGCTGCATATACACTACACACAGCCTGTCAGGTTCTGTTGCCAAAATTAGACATGGCTGTGTATTGGCCCCCAAGACGGTGAAGACGGCCAAGATTAAGTAAAAACAAAACAGAAAAGAGAAGAGAGAGAAGAGAAAAGGGTGTGCTGTTTCTCTGGAGGGGGACAGGGGTACGGGTCCTCCCACACATACGAAGTACGCACACACGCGCGCACACACACACACCATGTTGACACAAGAGGGCAAGTTACATGAATGGTGGGGAATTCAAAGAAGAGGCGGCTTCGGGAGACATTTCTGTATGGTCGAACAAATGGCGATTCGGGGATCGGCGGCGGCTGTTCGGGAGCACTAAGAATTAGGCGCTTGGGCACTAATACGCCTAAACGACGACGACGGACGTCATGTTGCGAGAGGGGGATACGTCCAAGTAGAAAGAACAGAAATAAGCAAGCAAAATCGCTTCGCATAAATGGAAGACGACAGCACAAACTAGAGACAAATACATCACATTGACCAGAAAATCCCTCTGCAGGCCTTCGCAACGGGCCACCCAATGACTGCTGTTCTGTGGGACTGTGCAGCCAACAGACAACATTCTGGCCCCCAAGTTGCAGGTGCGGCCGAAAACGAAACCGTCCTGCACGTCGATGGTCCTGGTTTACTCCGTCTCCGCGTCAATTTCGGAACTGAAAATGAGGAAAATGTCGAATGCAAAGGTGATCACAAAGGGGAGAAAATAAAGGCGTCATAAAGTAGGGTTGGCGGCATGCCCGAAGCGGAAAGAACCTGCGCCCCTGCGGTTTCCTGGAACAGCCTTTGGTGCATCTCCACCGCCACTAGCGCCAGCCTTCTCTGCCTCTCATCACAGCTTTTCGCTCTTTACTCTCTCCCTGATTTTTATTTCTGGTCTTGTGGTCTTTGTTGTTCCTCGCTTCTCGTCACATCCCGTCTCCCATCTCTTTGCAATGCAACCCTGCGTGTGGCGGCACCCGTTTTTGCTCCCACACCCTCATATCCATTTCATCCCCCTCTCATCCCCCAACAGAGTATCACAGCTCACAACACATTACCCATGATACGTTCCCTCCACCCAACTGCAGCGCCATGCCAGCAACTACGGCTTTGGTCTGCGAGCCTTGGGTGCACAGAGTCCGTCCGTGTGCTTTGCTCAGGTGCGTATGAGAATGCGGCCGGTGATGGGATAGCAGAAAGGGCAAGGCAAGACAAGAAGAAAGGGAAGCATAAGACGGTAATAAAATATCTGGCCCCATCTGCCCCGAGCAAAAGCGTCTGGAGAAAGAGGCACGGATGACTGCCAGGCGTCTTCTGACGAGGCTACGAACACACAAGCAAGAAGACGAGTACGAGGGGAGACGAATAGACGAATAGACAAAAGCAGAATAAAAAAAAGAAAGACGGTCGACGTGTACATCCCAGCCGCAACCACACACGTCCATTCCACCCTCCAATGCGTCGAGCCTGCTCTACATCCATGGCAACTGCATACTAGGCTTGCATACTCCTCCACTCATCACCATGTGAGTGTATGGCTCTCCCTCCTTTGATTTTTTGATGATCAGAATACGATGGCTGGTATCGGAGACGCGGATGAGGGGATCTGCAACGAAGGGGACGAGAAAAGAACCAACCCATTGCGAGGGTCCGTACTCTCCGTACTGCGTGTTTATTTCCTCCTATCACAAATGACTGGTAGACCAGAATGCCCATGTTGGGTTGTATCCAGCTTTCCCCTTCTTCATTTCTCTTATTTTTGTGCGTCTCCTATTTGAATTGCCTGCCTTTTCAATCGGACTCTGTCTTGCTCTCTTTCATTTTGATTTACTGTACCTTCCATCCCTCAACTACCTCTTGCACGTCAGTTCCACTTCCTCGTCTCTCGTTTTACAAGTCTGTCGTTATCAACCTCCAAGTTTAGTTTATTTCCAACGGGCGCTACTTGATCGTCTCTCGTTTACCTGCCCTATCCACCCACGGGGTAATAACTCCATCCCAAGATAGAACCAGAGCCGCACTACTCAGCTGCGCCACCGCCGGCTCCAGACAGCACTACTCGGCGGAAGCGGATTTATCTCTACAACAATCCCGGCTAGACTGGAAACGACGTTGCTCGTGCGTTGTTGTCTTCCTCCTTACATCGCCATTGCCGGTTGCAACTATATTGCCATATGGTTATATAGTTACAATACGGTCATCACGGCTTCCTCCTCCGCCACACGGCTTGGCCATATAAGTCGTCTCCAAGACCGTGGCATCACAGTTCTGCAGCTGCATGGGGCCGTCTAGCTATCCGCAAACAGGCTTTTTTACGTTCGCCACTGTCGTATAACAACTTCCACTCGAAACGAGTCTGGTTGTAAGCGGAGACGCTCTTCACCACAACATCCAACTTCCGAAATTTTTTTTGATGAGATACGAGTCGACAGTCACTATCCATCATGCATATTCCTTTCTACTTCGCCCGGGATAACACCGAGTGTCCGTCGGGCACCCAGTATTATACCTGTGCCAAGAGCAACTACAAAGGGTGCTGTACGGTGGACGCCTGTGACTTCGACAATGGCTGCCCGGACAACTCATCGCCGGGTGCGTCGACATCAACGCCGGCCAAGCCGGCTACAACTGCAACACAGACGAAGCCGGCTACAACTGCAACGCCGACGAAATCCTCAAGCTCTTCAGTCTCCTCAACGCCTACACCATCTGCCACCCCCTCCTCCTCCTCTTCCTCCTCGCATTCGTCCTCGTCATCTACACGCCCCCCTTCTTCTTCTTTGCTCACACCATCCTCAACTGCGAGTACGTCAGTTGGTGCACCGCCTGCAAAGGAAACTGATGCTTCCGGCAATGACGGCAGCCAATCATCCTCGCATCATCTTTCTGGTGGAGCGATTGGAGGCATCGTGACCGCTGGTGTGATTGCCTTTATAGTGCTCTTCTGCCTCGTTCTCTGGCGGATGCGCCGCCGCAACCAGCAACTAAAGGAGATGGCAGAAGCCGCACAAGCCGCCGCCGCCGGCCAGCAACACCCACCGACGAACGGCTCTGTGTTCCCCCAGCTAACCCCATCACCGGCCAATCCGCTAGGCACACCGGGCATAGACGAAAAGTTTTCCAGTGCCAATGTGTCCCAGAGAGAGATCCTAATGATCAACGATGCAAATGGTGTCGTGAATGCCAAGGTTGCCGAGTTGCAAGGCAATTCGCCGGCCAGCACAACCATACCGCTCTTTGGCGAAGCAACAACCGGCAGCCAAGAAGAAGCCATTGCCCGGTGGGGTTTGCACGGCGCCCGCATGATGGCTCTGCACAATGCGGGACTACGTCGTGCCGCAGGTGCCGAAGGAGTAGAACCAGTCGTTGACTATGGAGGTATGTTCCGCCAATATTTCTTCTTCTGCTGTATTTTTTCTCCCTGTTACTTTGTTTGCCATGTATCCTAACAATATGTAGGAAACTACCAGGTCCCTGTTTCAGAGTTGGAACCTGGTATTGCACCGGCGCCGCTCCACGTAGGCCCGAACGTGCACGTTGCTGAGCTCGACGGCCAACGGCCGGCCGTCGTCTCTGAGCTGGAGACGCCCCAGCCCACGCCCATGTCCACACCGGGCATTGGCTCGTACTCGCCGTCGCTGTCCGTCGACAGCAGCCATGTCGGAGGGCGGTCGACCATGGTCTCGCCCTGGCGCAACTCCAGTCGCACGTTGAATAGCGAGGTCAACACCATCACTGAGGAAGGCGGCAGCGAAAGCGGCGCGGCAGCGGGCGGTGCAGCCTATTTGCAGCCAAGCCCGATTCCGTCACCGTCTCTGCAGCCGCCGCACTCGCCTTCGCGCAGCGTGTCAACCACCGAACCGCCACGGGCCACGCTCGATCTGTCGCAGACGGAGAGAAGTCGGGGTGTGAACGTGACGAGCTGGGGTTCGTATAAACCATGAGAGTCTTTTATGTGGTTGTGCGTTTGCGAATGTCGTTGTTACTTATTTTGTCTTTTTGTCAGTGATGGACTCGTTGGCCCATAAGAGGCCGCTTTTGTCATGGACGTACCATCGATATACCCAAGAGGCCTAATACTCGTAGCCCTATGCCACTCCTTTGTAAATATACTATTTCAAGTTTACTTCCAGATATCACGACATCAAATTTCGTTAGTCGTAACACCGTTTGTCGCTGTTTCTACTCCATTGTATATCCAGAAAAGTCCATTTTTATGAACGCTCAACGCCCAAGCGCCGCTCCATGCAGACAAAATAGGCCACTGGTGAATCCAGGGCGACAAAACATCTCATTGCCCGTCTCTATGATCCTGATCCTGATCCTTTTTTTTTTTTTCTGGGTTGTAAATCGCAAAACACAAATCAATAATCAATAAAAAATTAAAGGCAAATCTCAACCCCAAATCTCAGTAAACGCCTCGGGCCTACATCCGTCGTGAGATGGCCCATTTTGGTTGTGTCATAAGGGAGGAACGTGATAGGAAATGCAAGACACATAGATGAGTAGCTCAACCCTGCAGCTTGCCCATCTCCTCCAGCAGCTCCAACAGGTCGTCGTCCGTAATCTTGTTGGCCAGCGACGGGATCAGCGTTTTCGCCTCCTCCACGCCGTCTGGGCACAGCGACCCCAGCGCTGCCCGCTCAAACTTGGTCAGCTCCGTGTGTGACGCCAGCAGCCGCTCCACTGCCTCGACATTTTCCTTGCGCTTGAACCGCGCAAACGCGTCGAGGTAGTCTACTGTTTTCGTGAGGACCCTTTTGTCGGTTAGCCTTGCCTTTTCACTCCGTCGGCGTCGCTAGGGCTCTGTTCCCCTGCCTCCGCCCTCCGCCCGCGTGGACTCACTCTGTCTCGTTGACGTTCTTGCGGTCGTTGCGGCGCTTGGCCATGAGGGCATTGATGACGAGCCATGCCTCGGACAGCGACAGGGTCTCGACGCCCTCGAACTCGCCTAGCTTCAGCTCCGTGCCGGCCTCCTCCTCGCCCGGCGGAGGCGGCTTGGGCCGCGATGTCGGTGCCTGGGGCATAGTGTGTGGAGTTGTGGAAGGAGACGGGGCGTGGGAAGGAAGAATGGGAGGGCAAGGTTGGCGAAAACGAGATCCGAGTGCCGTCGGCGCGAGCGCACGCGGGACGGACACAAGCACAACCGAGATGTTTCGCTAAAGCTGGTGGATCTGTCCGTGTATCGTCACTGCGTCGCTCTCGTCTCGCTGTCGTGGCTATCGTCGTGGTTGGTGCGGGTTGCGTGGTTGTCGACAGGAAAGTTGTCAACGATGAAGTAACCTGCTTTCGAAATTTGAAGAGAAAGACAGTTCGAAGTTGCACGCGGCCTCGCAGAATGGGCCGGAGAAGGCTCACTAGCGCCGTCGCACCAGAATACAGTGCGCGTAGGGGCGGCGTCGCCAGCACGTCGCGTGCGCTGGAGCACCAGAGCCAGAAGGTCCTCTCCGCATGCAGCCTGGAGCCTGGCCCCTTTCCACTTCCCCATTTTAGCGTGTCCCTTTGGAGTGTGCTGGGGCTTCGGTTCCTAAACCAAAACGTCGTACGAAATACCTTGCGACGACATTCCCAAATCGAAGCGACAAAGGCCAAGACAAACGTCGGCCTCCGCCATCACCAAGCAGCATCCACAGACCGGTGATCGACTGCGACCCTTTTGTCTTTGCGAAGCATTGCCGGTGAAAACGGCGGCAAGGACTGGCATTCCACGCACGCCGCAGCGTCGTCTCATCGATAGGGCACCTTGGATGAATCTCATAATGAGGAGACCATAGACACGACGCGACGAACAGCATCATGTGAGTTGGGGGCACCGTATATGAGGCTCTCGCTGCGCTCACGAGCTGCGCAGCCCATTCGGTCTTGCCACTTCTGCTCACAATGTCCAGGACGGTCTTCGCGCTCATCGTCATCAACAAGGCCGGCGGTCTGGTCTACAACCGGTCTTTCACAGAAGGTGGCCTCAACCAGCTGAGCACAAACGACTACCTGATAATAGCAGGTACATTCCATGGGTAGGTCTCTTCTGTATTCCTTTTTCGCGGTGTTGCTTCCGCGCTACGATGGCCATATGCTAACGTCATCCAGTGTCCATGCCATCACAACCCGCCTCAATCCCCTCAAGCACCTCAAGGGAGCCGCGACGGGCGGCGCAGCAGGCGCATCCGGAAGCCCCAATGTCGGCGGCACATCAGGCGCCAACGGCAAACCCCCTCCGGGCACGGTCATGACACCGGCCGGCCTGGCGCCCAGCCGGCCTGATCCGCCATCGGGCCTCGAGGTGCTCGAGACGGAAAACTTCCGCATGCAGTGCTTCAACACTCTGACAGGCACCAAATTCCTGCTGTTTACCGACACAGCACAAGCAAACGTCGATGCCACAATGCGCCGTGTCTACGATATGTACTCTGACTACGTCATGAAGAACCCTTTCTACCAGCTGGAGATGCCCATCCGCTGCGACATGTTTGACCGGAAACTCAACTCGTACATCCGCGAGATCAACAACCGGTAGTCCCGACCAGGTATACCTGGAATTCCGGGGCGTTGCGCAAAGAGTGGCCGTTGCGTCTTTTGGGAGAAGGTATTGGTCGCGACGAAGTTCGGAAAAGAGGATATACCACATGTCATGTTTAAGCAACGCAATAGAACAACTAGAAGAGTTTTTCGTTGAAGCTCGAGCTTTACGTGGTGCTTCATAAAGTCGCACGTGCTTGTGAAGTTTTGTTTATGTGTCTATTATCATACAATGGTATCTCGCACGGGGTAGACAGTCCCCGGGTACCCATTCGGCAGCGAGAAAAAAAAGTAAAAAATATCGACGGAAGAACAACACGAAACAGCTCTCTGAACATGCAAACGTATAACAGAGAGTGATTGAGAGAGGGACAGAGAGCCGGCAGCTGCCGCCCGTCGATCGAGGAGGGCGCAGCTACTTCCACTATGACGTGTCCATCGAGTCGTCTTTGCTCCCCTTCTTCGTAGGCTCGTCGTCCTCGGTGTCATCGCCGCCCTTGCCACTCGGTCCGCCCGTCTTGTTCAGCAGCGGTTCTGCAGACTCGTCTTCCTCCTTGACCGACTCCAGCGACGCCGTCTTGGCCGCCGCCTCGGCCTCTTCGCGCTGCCGTTTCTGTTGCCGCGCGTTCTCCTCCTCCATACTCATGCGCAGCGCCAACGCCAGCTCAGGATCCGTCGAAGGGTCGAAGCCGAACTCGTCAAACTCGCCACCGCCGCCGCCTGCTGCGCCGCCGCCCGCATCGCCACCAAAGCCGCCGCCCGCGCCGCCGTCACCGGCACCCTCGCGCGCCAGCAGTGGCGTCTGCTTGAGCTGGTCGCTCAGCAGGTTGCCGCTCGGCGGGATCACGACCATGTGGCTGCCCTCGCTGCCCTTGACCTTCTCGTTGAACTTGGAAAGCTTGTGCTGCGTCTCGTCGTCAAGGTCGCCAAACACAACAAAGTCCACTGACACGTTGTTCTTCTTGAGCTTGCCGGCCAGCGTCAGCAGCGACTTGTCGTCCTCGGGCACCGACGAGCACACAAAGGCCACGATGCGCGTGCGCTGCGTCTTGTTCTTGCGATGGCGGAGAGCGAGCTAACAAATTTGTCAGTAGACGGTATCCACGGAACACGTCATGATGTAAACGAAAACAAGGCCCTCCTTTTTCACTCGTTGCCCAACGTACCAGTGCAACTTGCAGCGCCGTCATCAGATGTGCCTCGCCCTGGATCTTCTTCTTCGTCCGGTGCAGGCCCTCAAGGATCTTGCCCTGCTCGGTCGTCATCGTCACGAGCACCTCGGGGCCTTTGCCGGCCATGCTCATCAGGCCCACCTCGGACTCGGGGTTGCCGTTTGTAATGTGCCGGAACACGACGCCGACCGCATCGGACTGCGCCTCGAACCGCGTCGGGTGGTAGTCGCCGTTCCGACTGCTCTCGCTGTTGTCCACGAGGATCATGACCGCTTCCATCGGCATCTTGCGCGGTGTTGGTGGGGGGCTGGTCGGCCCTTTGTGCTAGGATTGGTTGATGAAAAGAGGATCGGGATTTTGACAATCGGACGTCAATTTCGATTTGGAGCTTGCTTTGTCGCGGTATGCGTGGAGGTATGTAATGTGATGGGGTGTGGTAGATGTGGTGGATGAGGTGGTTTGTAGGTAGATGCAAGCAGTGCTGAGAAACAGGCGCCGAAAGCAGTGGAAGCAGTGGAAAGGTCGAACCAAGCCAAAGGCGACACGCACAGCTGTCGTCAGGCAAAGGTCAGCCTAGCACAGCAAGAATGTTGCATGCGGGAGCAGGAGCGGCAGAATCCACACTAGCCTGTTTACAGAAGGCGGTGAGTGGTTACGCCGTGCACGGGCCATAAGGCCATGATTTGCAGCGCCCACCAAAGCTCGTTAGTGTTTGTTTACTTTCTTTGCACTGTATTACAGGGCGTCGACTGGAAGTGCAGCTTTCAACCTCTCATCCATAACCAACGCGTTGTCCAAGAACGACAAACAATCACAAACACGTCTCAACAGTTCTCTCCAGAACCTGCGTCTCAAATTATTGCATTCTACTATAAAAAGCACAGTTATCTCCACTATGCCTCCTCGCGGAAGAAAGAGAAAGTCGGACCAGTCCGTCGCGTCCGAGGTCGACGACGCGACGACGACAGCGACAACGACAGCGACAACGACAACGACAATGGCCACAAAGACAGAAGAGACCTCCAGCAAGCGGCAAAAGGTGGGCGTGACGGTTGCCCAGAAGCAGGCTCTAATTGACAATCTTCAGCTCGAGGGTGAGTTCCATATGCGAGGACGACATTCGCGACGAGGACAACATGGGACAAAGAGACGAAACAACGAAACGTCGAAACAACGAAAACTGACAATCAACAGTGACCGAGCGTGCACGGAAACTGCGCGCACAGTACAACCTTCAGGCACAGGGACTGCGGACGCGTATAGAAATACGCGTCAACCGCATCCCGATGGCCCTGCGGAAGCTCAAGATGGCCGATCTCCTCCTGAAGCACTCGACCGACCAGCAGAAGCCCCTTGCACCCAAACAGACCACGGCCGCCAGTCGGGCACCACCTCCAGTCCCAGAGAAAGACTTCAACCCGGCACGGTCGGTGGTTTCACGCGCAGAGTCCCCTCGTGCAGCTCAAGCGGCAGTCAACCGGCCACTCAAGCGGCTTAGGTATGTCATTCCTTGTTTATACCAGCCTACCCAGTTACCCCTACGACCGCTAACCTGCGCCTTCCTCAGTGACCAACTGGCCAGCGGCGACAAGGAGAACCAAAACTCACACCTCGACAGCCCCAAGAAACGGCAGCGGGGTGCGCCAGTGACGTCCCATGGCACACAGCCCGGGCAAGTCCTGTCGCCAGCATCGTCCAACTCCCGCATGAACCCTCGTGACCGCGAGCGTGGTGCACCGGCTCCGCCGTCCCCTGCCAAGTCTTTTATTGCTCGGCCCATGTCACCAACGAAGCAGGCGTCTGCCACGAACTTGATCAGCTCCATGGTGGAGAAGGCACGTGCTACGCGTGCCGCCACGACCCGAAAGCCGACGACATCGTCGACTGCCAGCTCTGCTGCTGGTGGTGCGACAGCAACAGCCGCTCGCACGCGTGGCAGGGGCGCAGCTTCAAAAACGACTGCGGCCCCAGCTTCTCGGTCGGCCGCAGCAGCCGCAGCACGGAACGCCAGGAGAATTAGTGGTATCAGCGAGTCCAGCGATGCGAGCACGTCTACGGTAGTGCGTAAGGTCGGGAGACCGGCTACTGGTACAACAGCGTCTACGGCGCGGAAGGTCACGGGAGCGACAGCCGCAACGACGAAGAAGACAGTCATGAGCTCGATTAAAAAGGGTGTAGCCAGTGCTACGACGAAGAGAGCCCCGGCTTCCAAGGCAACGGCTGCCACCACAACAACATCGGCAACAACTCGCTCGGGTAGAGTCCTGCGAAAAAGAGATTGATCATCTGTTATGAACGACGGTAGGACAGAGAGGCTGCCACCAATCACTTTGATCGTTGCATACGGGTCACTTGTTTGGGGCTGTTAGTTTTATACTTGCTTTCCAGTGTGGCGTTTTTTGTTTGTTTTTGCATCAGGTCGCTTTACCGTCTATCAAATGGGCCAATACAAACGACGCGATTTTGTGTGGTTGTGGTCTTGCTATACATCTCTCACCATATACTAGCGAAACGCTTTTGTATTCAAATTGTGACCAATATTTTATTATACAACCCATATGACTTGGCAATATGCAACAACGCTACTGTTGTGGTACGGCGTTGGCAGCCGCTGCGGCGGCGGCGGCAGCAGCCTTCTTCTTTGCCTTCTCATCGATAAACTCGATGTTGTCCTCGGGGATCTCCTTGTACTTCTCAAGCAGATACTCCTCAATCTCGGGGCTGACGTCGCCCTGCACAACAATCTCCTCGCCACCGCTCGCCATTTTTGTGACCGAGGAACCCGTAGCAAACTTTTTGCCAAACTCCTTGGCCACCTTCTTCAGGTCCAGGCCAAAGGCCTCCAGCCCAGACACGGAGGTAATGTGCTTCCGCTTGTTGCGCTCGATGCGCTTGATTGTGACGACGCTCTTGGCCAGCAGGCTCGCTTGCTTCTTGTCTGCGGCCTCGGCCTTGGCCGTCTTCTTCTGTGCGTCCTTGGCAGCACGCTTCTGAGCATCGATCGAGAGGGCGGCCGTTGCAGCCTCAAGGGCTTCTATGCCAAGGGAAGACGTCGCGTGGTCAGAATACGGCTCTCGTAAAACACGTTTGCATCCATCTTTACCACACCGACTCCATGCAGTCACATACCTTGTGACCAGACCTTCTCGTACAGCTCTGGGTTGTTCTTCTCTAGCCATTCCTGGCACTTTTTGACGGTGCCTCCGTACTCGCAGTACTATTCGATCCCCGTTGTTAGCATGCTCCTCCAGCGATTGCATCCCGCCGTGCGGGCGTTCGTGTGCTAGAAGCATTGTTTGTATGTGGCGTGCGTACCTCGGGCGGCATTGTGCATACTGCAATTGATCAACAAATCAGGAGGTCAGAAATAATAACAACAATGGGGAAAGGCTGCAGCGACCTGCACAAAACAGCTCGGGGCGGATGCGTACCGCCACAGTAGAAGACATGGCGGCCCTGGGGTTCGAGGACTTCAGATGACTCTGTATCCGCCATGCTGTCTGGGGTAGTGAGGTGTGTGTGAAGGGTGATGGAGCGGTCGTAGAGTTGCCAGGAACAGAGCGCGTTTGGTCACAATATCACGATTAAACGATGCGTTGTGCGGAAGATGCAATGCGCCGAAAGCAGCAGTCGTCTGCTTCGCAGTGGATCGGTTGCCAGGTGTGCTCAGAGTTGACGGCTCGTCGTGTCGTTACCGTGTAGGGGCGCGTATTGCGGGCGCCTCTTGTGAACGTGTCGGCGTCGTCCAGTCGTCAGTATTGTCGTCGTTTCAAGGTATGGGGATTTGGTGATGCATTTTCGCCGGCTTAACGAGAGCTTCTTAGTTACCAGCGGCGCGTGATACAGGCTTTTTTCGGCCCTGGCCACAGGCCTAACGAAGACTGGTATTTGCCCCTCCTTTTACTTTTCGCCGCCAAAGCAAAGCTCTTGCCTGGCGGGGTAACAAGGCTCGTAGGGTGTGCTGCGCTGGTGACGGGCCAATTTGGAGCTTAGCTCGCCCGCCGTGGGGCGCGAGATAGTGGGAGCCGTGGGCGTTTCGCGGGAAGGTATCAGACGCTGGGGCCAACGATGCTCATGCAGAAGGTACTTCAAATTTCTCAGTAAGTCGCTGTAACCAAAAGTACCGCGATTCACCGTCAATCCAGAGCACTGGAACTATTGCCCAAAAAGGAAGTGACGATGCAGTGTCAACACAATCCACAGCGCTTACGAATGTACACAACGAGCTTTCCTTCTCAGTTCAGCCCAAATGCCAACATCACAACATTGTCAAATTGCCTCTTTCAACAATCACACCCAGCACTGCCCAACTGCCGCCCACCCTGGACGACGACCCTGGATGGCGGCTCGCCCCTTTTATTGTCCGATCTTTCGCGTCGCCTCCTTGTCAATTGCAGATATGGCGAGCGTGATATTGGCAATAGTCGATACATGGAGGGCGCCTCTCGACAGAATTCATTTCCCATGCCCCCAAAGGCTCGTCACATCGAGAACCATAAAGCAATTCAAATGGGTGTCATCTCGACTATCGGGCCCTCGTTGCATGACTGTCACCGGCATATCAAGGCATATCAAGGCAAAGACGCGCTCGAGTGTCGTGTCATCGAAACTCGGGATGTTATAGTAGCGAACGACTGTTGGCAATTCCAAACATCAGTCATTTGCGCCGAAGCAATCAAATGCCACCTGCCTGTAATGATTATCCTAACGCCTTTTTGCATTGTTATTTTCGTTTCCAATATGCCCTTTAGGATTTGTTGTCGTCATTATTCATGCTCTTTACAGACCTCGTTAATACATGGCCGTCTGATACTTCCTTGCGATCCTATGCATACCTTTCAAACATACAATGCCAAAGTCGCTAACCAGATCTCTAGGACATCACGGTGGTTATCTGCACCCCACTGCCCGCGCGTAATTGGCTGTCTGTGCAACAGCCAACATCCCGGCGGCTCGCTGCTCGAATTTAAGCGCCCAGTCGCCCACACGCACGCTGCCATTGGCTCGCTGATCTGCAACCAGGGTATTGTTTACTTCCCAACGTCGCCGAGAAACCTCCAAACATCCCGGCCATCTCACTGAGCGCTGTCTCTGTGTTTCCTGGTTGGCGCGCGCCATCCCACCATGCAGATGGAAAGCCACCCACCTCTGTCCATCCCACTTGTTTCGTCGCTGTCGTCGTCTCTAGATTTGAAATGAACGTCACGCCTTTGTGAGCTGATTGGACACCATCGTCGAACCCACTCAAACCCCATTAAGCAGAACACAGCGTTCTTTCCCTCTTCCGGAGCCTGATGGGGGTGGACGCAAGAGAATCCAGCGAATTGGCGAGCCTGACCACCCTCCAGATCGTTCTTGAGGAAACATGCTGCCAACACTGTCGTCAGGCATGGGGACCACATCGGGAAGCAGGCAGGCAGCCCGTGAGTGTCGAAACGGAAACAGGAGGCTGAAGAAGTCGAGGGCCATGCAGTCACACGCTACCGTCACAGGCATGGAGAAAGAATGAGAGAATCATGTCCTGGCCTTGCAGCAAAGTTGCTGCTCCGCGCGTGCTAGCCGCTGGCAATGGATACTACGTGCTGCTACAGTCAGTCGACGTGCAGACGTCCCGTTCCATTCCATGCCATGCAGCTCGTCATGGCCCTTCAGCCCCCAACGCTCCCTCCGTCCGTCTTCACGCCATGACCACCCCGGCTTCTGGTTGAGTGCCGTGGCTATTTTTGTACTGGGTCGCCTGGCCTGGCCATCATCTTGCGTATTTGCTACCCGGTCAAATCCTATAACCACCTCCATGGTCGCCCTTCAGCCTTCTCTTCCTTCGACATGTTTTATTTATTTTCTCTCTTTTCTTTTCCTCTCTTTTGCCTTCTCTTCTGATCCTTTTCCGTCATCTTTTCTTGCCGCTCCTTGTGTGCGTGTACTATTTTATTCGTATAGAGTTTCTAGGCTCGTTGATCGAGACCATCCCATCGTTTGACACTCCTTTCTCACTTGTTGCTGGACTCGACAAAACACTCGCTGACGCCGGACGTCCTTCGTTGACCAACTGCATTGTGTCTCTTTATTTCTTTCATTTACTTTCTGTCCCATTTTCTCATTGTTAGCTCAACATGTCCGACCTCGCACTCGCCACCCACCGCGGTACTCTGAACCCTGCGCAGGACCGCAGGGCAGAGATCCGCACCCTTAATACGATAATGGAGGAAGCCGACTTCAGCGATGCCTCACCCGTCGGCTCCCAGGTCCCGATGAAGATTCAGCAGCAGCAGCTTTACCAGCAGCATCAAAAACGGCTTCACGAAGAGCGCTTGCGCGAGGATCGGTGGCACGGCGGCAATGAGGAGCGAGAGCAAAAAATCGACCTGTGGCTCTCGCCGATGAGCGACCACTTTCCCACACCTCGCGGTTTCAACTTCCTGTCCGCCCCGATCCTACCCTCGTCCCCGTCTTCCGCATCCATCGATGACGAGGCCGACATCGACGACGAGACGTCCCCGGGCAGCAACTCACCATCAAGCCCATGGCACCACAACGGCAGCGTATCCACCGACGTGACAGAGTTCGACGACATCTACAACGCCTCCGATGACGAGTCGACGACCCGGAAGAAGAAGCTGCGGGCATCCGGGATTGGTCGTTACAGCAGTGCCTCTCGCCGTACTTCGTCCGCGATGTCGCGTCTGAGCAGCAGCTCTGAGGAGTCACGCAAGATGCTCCCTCAGCTCACCATCCCCCAGCACCCAACAATCTCTCTGGCCGATCCCGACCCGAAGCTCTGCACGTCGCCGATGGCCCCCACGCCGTCTGCCCAGGTTCCCATGTCACCTGCCATTATGTCCTTTATGCAGAGGCATCACGCCCTGGACCTACCCACTGTCTCGGCACCTCCGTCGCTGGACGGCAGCCTGACTTCCGAGCAGATGTCCCAGATGTCTGCTCAGATGTCCGCGCCTCCGACCCCTATCATCGGTGCTGCGGATGACGACAACGACAACAACGGCGGCTGGTCTGGCGTACAGTTGCAGCCTGACGCCCTTGCCACTCTTCAGTCTCTAGCTCGCTCGGACGCCGGCTCTGTCGTGGACATCAATCTGGAGCCTGAGCGCGTGATTGAGCTGCCTGCCGAGGAGGAGCAGCCGGTCGAAGAGATGTCTGAGAACCGCTCGCAACCTGTCCTGAACCTCATCACGTCTGGTCTTCCTCGCCACACCGTCCCGTTCTCCCCGGCTCAGCAGCGCTCGCTTGCTGGCCTGACCCGCCTCGAGATCCCGTCTCCTGGCGGCTTCTTCTCGGGCCTCTCACCCAGAACCCGCCACACGTGGAACATGACCGCCATGACCCCCATCGACTCGGCTCACCCTCCTACGTCTGGTACTGCGGAGCAGTTTTACAGACTGCCGTGGGCTGACACATCTGCTCCTCCGATGCCCCGCATCATGAAGGAGCGGCCGCTCCACATGCCGGGTGCCGAAAAGTCCAGCTCGCCCGTCGAGCAGTTTGTTGAAGCCCCTATCATCGAGTCTGACGATCCCGCCACGGCCGTCCGTGCTCAAAAGACCCCCGTTACCGCCCAGCTTGTGAAGGCCGATGAGGATCCGATTGCTCTCTCGGAGACCGTCGTCGAATCTGTGGAGATCGCTAAGTCAGAGGAGGTCAGCTTTCCCGCTGAGGAGGTGATCGCCACTGAGATCGTCAACGACTACCTTGCCATGGACGCGCAGAAGATGCAGCAGATTGCTCTGGGCCACCTTGACCGCACTGAGATGTGGCTTGTGGCGCAACGAGCATACCTCAACGGCGTCGCAGACCTGACTGAGAACGTTGAGGAGTTCCCGTCTCCTGGAGAAGCTGGGGAGGAGGAGGCTCCCAATGTTCCACCTAAGGACGAGAACCTGAAGGTGGCAGTGAGCACGGCTATCGCTCGCAAGAAGACTGTCCGCTTTTCCGAGGCGGTCAAGTCTCCCGCCTTGCCACGCACGCTGCCATCTACCATGGTGCACCAGGAATCGGCGTACTTTCGTGCCTTTACGGACTGCTTGGTTCGTACCAGCTTCACGGACATGTTCATCTACCGCTTGCCCCGTTTCGAAGCCCTGCAGGCCCAGCGCCTTCTCCTGCGCGAGGCCCACCGTAACCAGCTTCTCGGCAAGTACCAGCTGACGGTGCTTCCGCAGTCAGCTAAGAAGCGCATGAGCGCCAACGTCGCCCGCGGCGACGACAACCTTGTGGACGACCCGGCCAAGATCCGCGCTGACAAAGAGTCCGATGCTCAGAACCAAATGGCTCTGACTACATGGCATGTGGCTGCCTTGAGGCTTCTCAACGGCGGACGCTTGATCTCGGCACCCATGCACAAGCGCCTTGCGCGCATCAGCCGCATGGCACCCGGTCCCAACGGTTTGTACCGTGACCGCGCCCGGATTCTCGACCTTGGCGGCCAAGCGACCTGCGACTGGGCTTGGCACGTGGGCCTGCAGTACCCCAACGCCAAAGTCTACAGCGTGACCACCAAGGCCATCCGCCAACTGTCCAACGCCAACATTCGCGGCCCTTCCAACCATCGCCAGGTGGCCGTGGAGAAGCTGACAAAGCTGCCGTTTGACGACGACCAGTTCGACCTGGTACGCGCAGCCGAACTGTACTCCATCCTCAAGTTTGTCGGCGAGAACGGCGAGGACGAGTGGGAGTCGTGTTTGCGCGAGTGCTACCGCGTGCTCAAACCCGGCGGCTACATTGAGTTCACGGTTCTGGACTCCGACATTGTCAACGCAGGCCCTCTCGGCAACGCCAAAAGCGTCGAGTTTGGATTCGTCCTGCAGACCCTCGGCTACGACCCGTCGCCGACCAAGATGTTCCTGGGCCGCCTCGACCGCGCCCGTTTCACCGACGTGCGCCGTGCCTGGATGTGCCTGCCCGTGGGTCCCCGCCCCGAGTCGCTGACCAAGCCGACTGCCGCGCGCGATTCAACTGGTGCCGTTATCCCGACGGTCCAGCTCGATGCCATGGTGCACGGCTCGACCGACAATATTGCCGCTGTGACAGGCCTGGCCGGCAGTTGGAGTTGGGAACGGTGGCTGCTGCGCGCGGAGATGGAGAAGACGGCCGGCGACCTGCGTCTGTCAGATACTGTCACGGCCGGCTCGGCGATGCGCGAGGCCAGCAAGGGCCTCAATGGTGTGCACGCCATCCTAGAGGAAGGCCGCACATCCGGTGCGGCTTGGCGTATGCTGCGCGGCCACGCACGGAAGCCGCGGTCTGAAGTTGGGACGATCAACATGGTGTTGGATATGAGTTTCTAGGTGAGATCGTTTGCAATCTGTGCGTTGCAAGGTCATTTTTCCTTTTTTTTGTCTCATGTTTTTGGTGTGCTATGTAGCCGCTTTCGTTTTATTCCCTATGTTCTATTGCCATCTGCTTACAACGCTTTTTTTTTGTCCTTTTTCCTTGTGTTAGACTGGAAGACAGACAGGCGGTTGACAGTCGTCAAGAGGGTTCTTTCTATTTTTCTTTTATTTCTTCTTAGTTATATGTAATATATACCCAGTTAAAATAACGACACTGGACGAGCTGGTAAGAGGAATAAATTTGATATACTTACAATAAGAGTATTTTCTTTTTGAGTCAAAACCCTGTTTAACGTTTATTGTTTTGTTTCTTCGAAATAAAATAAAATAAAAATTTACTGTACTTTATTAAAAATTAATAATTTGGTTCATGGACCACGTGTCATATATCAAATAAAATATGAATAAAAGCATAAAATGGCAAAAAAAAAAAAAAGAAAAAAAAGAAAAAAAAAAAGAAAAGAAACAGCTGGTATGTGCAACAAATGCTTATTCTAAAACAATGTTTTTAAGTCCATGGAATTAATCGGATATATTTATTTTTGGTACAAAATGCCAATTCGCAGTTGGAACGCCGTCCATTAATCATAAAGAGTTGGAGATTGTATCGTTGCAGGAAACCCAAGCCATTATGGTGCCCTGAGCATCTCCTGTTGCAGCCGCCGTCTTCCAGAAAAGAGGACCACTCAAGTAAGGGAGCCAACAAAGAAAATAAAAACGACAATAGAACAAACCGTTACCCAAAACGAGTGCAGATACCAAAAATCAAAGCCATATAAACAAGACATAGATGTCCCACGAATTTTCCTCCAACACACGACACTGAGAGAACCTGGATATAATCAACCACACAACAAGCGCAATTTTCTCGCGTCCAATAGGCCACTCTTCATCCTCGTGCCCTTCCCTAGTACTCTTTCTTGGGCCCAAAGCCGGGATGAAATGCAGACGTTCGGTCGTTAAAAGAAATCAAATGCAAAAGGTATGCCAAAAAAAAATGAGAGAGATGCAACGCAAACCGCCATATAACGAGATATCCTACTTTATGAAGTCATGGATTGGCGCCCCAACCCAAATCCATGGTTTCCATTGGACCCATGTTGATAATCGTTCGGAGCACACCCTCCGAGACGGGCGTCATGCCCGTCTGCCCATTCATATTCCATCCCTCGGAGATCATGTAGTCGTTTGAGGGCGGATCTGCGGACATCAGGCCACCTAAGCCGGCGCCGTTGCCATTCATAGATATACCTGCGGCCGCAGAAGAGACTGGTTGGCCAGTGGCATAGTCGGCTGCGCCGCCGTTGGCGGCGGCAAAGAAGCCACCAGACGAGCTGCGGTCGACTTGTGAAGCTTGCTGCCCACCAACCAGACCACGAGGTGGTGACACGGGGCTGGTGTCAAACGAGCTTCCGCCCGAGTGCATGGCACCTGGCTGTTGTGGCGGCGCTAGGGTTTGCCGGCTCTCGGAGGCACTGCTGGAGTTCGGCGTCGGGCGCGTGGATAGGCCGTCGCCTGGTGAGGTCGACATGTCCTGAATCTCGTCGACAAAGCCCATTGGTCGGCCGCTTGCCGTCAAAATATTGGTGACGGTGGGATCCGCGAAACCGCCAGTTGCTATGTTGAACATTGGTGATTGCCCGTTGCTGCGGTCTCGTGTGGGCAGGCGAGATTCTGAAAAGGCCCAGTTGTTAGACGCGGAGGGAGCCACACCTTCATTGGTGGGCTTAGACCGGAACCTGCTGCTTCCGCTATTCATACTCGTGGAGGCTGTATCCGAAACTCGATCCTTTGAACTGTCGTCGCCGTTGTCTTGGCTGGATGCGTTGTCAGACTTTGAATATTCCTTCTGGAACGAAAGGATGCCGTCGACGGCACCATCATCGCAGACGGCACCTGGGCGATTGGCTGCGCCCTGAGGGACGCCTGTTGACGGCTATGAGTGTGTTAGGGCATGGGGCAAAACAAATTGTACGGATAAATGTAACATGGTAACATACACTATCGTAACTCATGGGGAAAGCGGACTTCAGCTGTGGTATCCGCTCGCCGAGAGCTTCCAGGTCAACATCCAGCTGCACCAAGAAAGACTCGGTCAGCGGGTTACGGCGCTTCAGAGCACTCATGGCAGTGAGAAGGAAGCGCAGCGAGTCGGCGGCTCGGCTCTCGTCTGGGCGGCTCTTCAAGTACTGCACAAACACTCTCGCAGCAACGTAGAGGCAGAAGGAAATAAAGGGGTTCATCTAGCGGTGTTAGCGAAAAGAACAGATGTACATGCATATTGTAAATGCATATCGCGGAAAAAATATGAATGGAGCGCTGGGCATACAGTAGACAGGTCCATATGAGAGACCATGCGCATGATGCTGGCGATCTCGTTGGCTGCCGAGATGCAACGGATCTTGCTTTCTGGACTGACGGACTCGTCGAGGGAGTTGTTCTCAGCTTTGAAGATCGCGGCTTGGTGTAAGCAGATCGTCGATGTGTGTATACACATGTTGGTGAAAACAATGTTTGGGTTTTGCAAGCCGGCGGGCAGCTTGAGCTGGGCTGGCAAGCCGAGGAGAGTGTTGAGCAGGATGTTGTCGAGGTTGCGATGTCGCTTCCAGAACTCGCCGTTTAGATCGCTGTCCTTATCGTCATTGTCCGGACGGTGGAGATGGGTGAGGTTGCGGCCGAAAAGGCAGGCCATTAGGATGATGCCGGCAAAAGGAGTGAGTTGGCCAATGCCCGAAGGGCACATGGCGTCATGTAGCGGGATGCTCGCTTCGGGGCGGCTCATCTCGAAGGCTTCTTCGGAGCTGGGCAGAACAGTGCTGATATCGCGCTCGTCCACGGTCATGGGCCATCCTGTGCCGATGCTAGCGTATCGATCTTCGCAAAAGGCCATCCAGAAGGTGCGGCGACGCTCTTCCTTTTCCGTCCAGTCGCGGGGCGGCGGGATGCACTGCTTGACTTCTAGGCCGGCGCCGTCCAGGCGGTGCAGACCAATCATCTGCGCAAGGCGGATGGCCTGGCCGGTGCTCATCCAAGCACGGGGGAAGTACATCATCTTGAACTCGTACGAGGCCAAGATAACATGCGTCTGACAATGCGCGACGGAGATCATGTGCTCGCCGAAACCCTTCATGTAGTCAACTTCGAGGTACTTACGAGCCCGCTGGTAAAAGAGGTCCTTGAGGTCGCTGTACTTGTCCAAAACTGTGCAGGCAGACATCCACATCGAATATCGCAGGCATACGGGAGGCCGTTGGTTGGCAGAACTGAAGACGACGCGTTAGACATGTGTCCTGTCTTACACGTGGAAAACGCATTTCTAGTTCCCACGTGCAAGATGGTAAAGGCTGGCAGTAAGCACTTACAGGTTCATGGCGGCCAGATAACGGGCCTTGTGTATCATTGGCAGCGACGGATGGATTTTGTCAAAGTAAACCTCCGTCAGCTCATCAATGATACCCTGGTCAGGCAAAGGCTCTTCCAAATTCAGCTGGACAATCTCCCAGGTCGGGTTACTGTCCATGCCGCTCATGTTTCCGGCCATGCGGTTGCCAAAGTTGAAATCATCAAGCGAGCCTGGGCGTTGTGGTGACTCGGCATTGAACTGCCAGGTGTCCAAGTCACGGCCGATGCCTCCTGCCAGATTCATTGCGTTTGGGTCGGCCATGGAGAAATCACCACGGCCGCCGGCACCAGACGCACTGCCCACGGTGGTCGACGAGGCCGACCGCTCGTTCCCAGACTTGGACAGGGAACCGTTCTTGGACGCATTCGGGCCTGCACCGGACTTGAGACCGGCGGAACGGGTGTCGCCCGCCGTGAAACCATGGAGAGTGTCACCAGCGGCTGAGCTGGCCGGGCCTGCGTCCTGTGACTTGAGCATGACCTCGACTTGCTTAAGTCGCTCTTCGAGGGCCTTGACGTAGCCGCGCTTGGGCCCGCTCTTCTTCCGGACCTCGTCGTAGGCGCACTGGTGGCCCAGACGGGAACATGTGCTGCAGCTGGGGCGGCGGCCATCACACTTGAGCTTTCGCCTCCGGCAGATCAAGCAGGCAAGACGCTTCTGGCGGGGGATGTTGGCGTTTGGGTTGTCGTCGGGGCGCGCGTTGGAGGCATCAAGGCCGTCGGCCGCGTTATCCTCGGGCGACATTGATGGCGACATTGTGATAATTCGGAGAGAACAGTGTGGATGAAGAAACCTACACCGTTACTGCCCGGAAGGGATTCGATCTACCGTCGATAAGCGGGCCCGCTCGTCAGCCGAGTCCCAAAGGCCGTACAATTCGTCGGACGTGCCGATCACAGCTGATGGCCAGGTAGCAGCAGAGGTGCGAGGCACGATCGTGTGGACGCTGCGGCATGGCAGACAAGGCTGCCAGTGCGTCGGTGCTTTTGCTTTGGGGATGTGGCAACAGTATGGTCGTTTGTGTTGCGTTATCGTCGGTTGGCGGTCGCCGCCGTCAGTCGTTCCTGCTGCTTTTCTTGTGGCCGTAGTGCTTCGGGGCCAAGAGGGGCAAGAGTATGTTGTACAGGCAAGTGACTATGGGGCGCTCTTCAATGCCTGGACAGGCACCCTGTTGTGCTGCAGCAGAACACACGCGTAATGCAACAATGCGGAATTAAAAACGAAGACAATCCTGTCTCTCACAACAACGAAAGGACAGAAGACACAAGTTTAAGTCGGCAAAACAGACGCAGCACGGCCGACGAAGGAATTCGGACGAAGGAAGGAAAGAGCGAAGGGCAGCCAGATTGCTGACGAAGGCTCTGTGGCAGGAAAACCTAAGGCAGCAGTCCGCATGGGTGGCACGGTGTGAATGGAGCAGCCGCACGCGAAGTAGACGATGGTTGGCACTGTACCGCACTGTACTGGCCCATACCTGGCAGCCCCGTGCCATCGCGCTAACCCCCTCGCCTTTTCAACTCATCCTTTTGTTCCCACTTGAGCAATGGGAGGGGGGTATGAGATCTTTACGACCACTGCGTTACGACCACATCGTGCCGCTAACGAATTACCGCCTGCTGCGCCACCAACGGGAACACGTCCAAGCCGAGCTGCCAACCACGAGAACCGTTCTGTCTAGTGATGCCTCTGTCCCAGACGGCGTCCTGAAAGTGGTGTGTGGTGTGATGTTTTGCGGCGGTAAGATGCAACGACAAATCACAAATTCTGGGGGCAGCGAGCTCCAGATACCACAGACGTCGCTCTTCGTGCAAAAAGACAGAAAACTCTCAAGATAAGAGAGAAGGAGAGAAGGTAGGCTGCTTCGCACCAGTTGCGCTAGTTTTAGCAGGTCACCACTGTTTGTTTTCCTGCAACATGGCCATCACTTTCTTGCCCCTGCTGCTTCTGGTTCCTTGCAGGGTAAAACTGCGGGTCGAGGAGCCATCCAGACTGGACCGGACTCTTGGTAGCTGAACTTGACAGTGCCGGATAGGGCAGCACGGCGCGCAAAACTGGAGAAGATCAAATGACCGGCGGGTAAAACTACTATTATCTGGCGGTCATGTACCCAGCCGAGGACACATTGTGAATGATTCACTTTAGAGACTATGTTGTAACCGCCCACAAAATAAGGGCTGGAACTGGGGGGCATTGGCAACACACGCAGGTCACGCCAAGAAACCTGTTTGGGCCACCAGACATGGCCACCATTCGACAAAACTGGTGGAGTGGTGTTCGCACAAACCGTTGGAAAGGGTTTAAAGCAGCCGGGCGGTTACGACAAGCCGGAAAGAGGCCACAGAAGGAGCGACGAGAAGAGACAAAGAAGGAAGCTAGCCGAGAACGCTTTTGATCCCCATTCGAGAACATGGAGTGTCACTCTCAGTGCAGCGGTTTTCACTGCGGGGCTCTTATGCTTGGCCCATCTGAATATGAAATAGGTGCGTACAGCGCACGTCGATCGCTGTTGGACAATGCTGAGTTGTGAAATGTCTCAGTGGCGAGAAGCCTTTGGGCATGGGCGGTGCACCTCGAATGATTGTCAATGCTCTTTGCGCACATCCAGACCAATTGCGATGCACAGATTTGGTCGTTTGTCGAAACCTGACCTTATCCCAACTGAGAAGGATCGGGGGTTGCTGTAAGAGTCACCGGCCTCGGAGCAGCCGTCGTTCTGCAGCGTTTCGTAATATTCAGCTTTGGCGCAGATGTACTGGAAACAAAAGTAAATGTCATTTGTGGTAATTCGTATGGTTGTGTGGTTCTATTCGTCCCAACGAGCAGCTGCTGTGTCCGGCCGGTATCGTGCCCCATCGTTCTCGTGTTCGGTTTGCTTGATGTCCCCACCAAATCCCAGAAGCGCGGATGGCATTCGGCTCGACTCGTCTAACGCCCGGGCTGGGATGATACATAGCCTCCTTGCATATGGGTCCATCATAGCTTTATGGTGCCTTTGCAGTTGTTGGCATCCCTGGAAACGCTTCCCGAGGTCATCTGGTCTTTATTCGGGCTATTTGACTGCTCCGAGTTGCTTTCATCGGCGCTCATTCAGTGACGACATTGTTGGCTTGTTCATCTGTCGTCACCTCTGCTCGTAGTTATTCTTGAACAGTCTCAATAAGAGGATATTGCACGTGCGGCGCGTTAAAAGCCATATTCGACCTGACTGCTCCAGGCTTATCACTGATCTCTGTTTTGAGCACAGAGAGCAAGCCTTGCATGTATCGTAGTGTGCTTAATACGTGCACACGGCGCCTCACGCCGCCGTCTCTTGTTTTACACGAAAGACCACGATCAAGGAAGTTGTTTGCAGAGGTGCATTGGTTGTGGCGCTGCTGGCACAGGAGCAGACCACGGATCATTTTTCTTGGTTTCGCCCTCCGCTTCCGCCGCGTTCATTATTGTCGCATTGCCCAATTCTCCATGGCGGCCAGCTAGTACTTTCTCTCCGTGTCGACGCCGACGATGCGCAAGCTGCCCAGCTCCGCGTATGCCAAGAAAAACCGCGTCGGCGCCCATGCCACAACAGGCACCGGTTGTGCAGTTTTGAACGTGTAGACGTGCTCACCACTTTCTGTTTGCGTGACCTCCAGTCCCGCACCTGTATTTCGCGTCCTGCTGTCAGCAAATAAACTTTGCACATGAGACTATTGGAATTTGTATCAGGCGCTGTACTACGAGACAACTCACCTTCTGTGCTCCCACCAATCACGTAGTTTCCGTCCCAGCTGAAACCTGTTTGGAGGAGAAGAGTTAGCCGGTGGCTCGCTTTCGTATTGAGAGACGCGATGTAGCATAACGCAATGGCATAACGCCAAGAAGGCTCCCTGTATCAAGAACAGCTCAAGGCAACAACTCACTTAAACTCCTTACTGGTCCAGCCATAGTTGTGATTGTTCGCTGGCACGTCCACTTCGTTGTGTCCCAGAGTGCTATTATCGCGTCAGTGCCACCTGTCGCCAATGTCCGTCCTGTAGGGCTGAGAGCCACCGACAGACACTCCGCCGAATGGCCCTTGAGCGAAAACTCGTCCGACTCGCCTTCGCCGACCGTGTGGTTGACCTTGAGGACGGGCTCCAGCTCTGGAAAGGAGAGGATGCGTGTGCGACCGTCGCCCGTCGCGACAAACACGCGTTTCCCGCTCCAGCAAAAAGCCATGTCGTTTGTCCGTGCTGGCATCGTGTTGACCGCCGTCGGTGCAGTTAGTGTCCGTTCGAGGATGAAAAGCTTGTGGCTGTCACTGCTGCCTTTCTCTTTCCCTCCCACGATCAGGTAGTCACCATCGGGTGCCCAAACAAGAGTACTTGCTTCGCCAGGTACCCGGACCTCATTTGTGCATGTTTTTGTCCGCACATCCCAAAACTTGACGGCACCATCCGCGCTTAAGCTACATAGCTCAGCGTCCTTAATGGGGTTGAATGCGACTTTCTCGATGGCTGCTGTGTGGCCCTTGAGTTCTGTAGATTGCCGAACGACAGGCTTGTCCGGGTTCCCTAAAGCATTTGTTAGTGTTTGTCAAAGTCGGACGGTGGCCGGTGCAATGGAAAGAAGTCTTACAGACGCGAACAGTCCTGTCGCTCGAACCAGTTGCAACCAGTGAGCTCAGCGGGTTCCAAGCTATTGTGCGCACGCTGTTCCGTTCCTTGCGTTAGCCGCATAACTCATGCTGAACGGCTTCCTTTCGTGGACCAGACATCGTCTCACCCATTGATAGTTGCCTCATCCGTATCCTGGTCCTTGCCCTTGTCTTTGTCTGCTGCTGGGTTGTGGAACTGCATGCCTCTTGACGCTGCCGGATCCTGGTATGCCTGGACCTTGAAGCCCGAGAAGTAATTCGGAAACTTCTCCTTTGCTAGCCTCTCGCGAGGCTTGATCACAAACGAAGGCATCGTGCAAGCCCTGAGTCGGCTGTGCCGTCGGCAGAGGAAGGAAGGGTAAGGCTGTGCTGGGTGTGGTCGGTCTCGGTCTTTGCAGTCTCGAGGCAAAGATTGAGCGTAAGCCTCCGGGTATAGCTATCTGAGAGCTGTGTTCCAGACGCAAATCGAAGTTTCTGTACTGGACAGAGTAATGGACTGATTGAGAGAGGTTTCGTAGCGGTTTTGTTGCCAAGCCTGCAATGGGGTCCCCAGATGCTGTTGCTCGACGGCAGAAGATGTGCAAAGCGCAAAGTGACGAATTGCAGTCTCAAAAACCCGAGCCAATGGCTTAGCCTTTGTCGGCGAGCTCTTCCCCCCGCAGAAACCCAGCCGCGTCGCACCTGCCGCTATGTTGAGCCACTAGCAGGCTCAACCCCGTTCTTTAGCCCCTGTGTCATCAACAACACGTGAAGATACGGAAGCTGCGACCCTCAAAGTCACCGTAAGGGGCCACAGCTTCACCAGAAACTGCCAATTCATCATCACCCGACCATCATTACCACAACCTCACACTAAACACACGATACTTCAGAAACGACACTACGTCCAGTCCCTCACCAGCATTTCCAGACTCGCGCACTGCCCATCTTACCTATAATCCCGGCGCACGAGAGCTCTCCGGACTCTGGACCCGGTCAATGCGCAGGCCATGTACTGGCCGGCTGCCACCCCGCGTGTCTTCAGCACGAGCACCAGCACCGAGGCCGCTGTGCCCGCCGTGACGATCTCTCATGATGGCCTGCCCCCTCCACCCGCTTCGGGCCCGTCTGCGTCGCCACTGCTGTCGCAGGACCAGCAGAGCAGGCGTCCATCGACTCTCTCGGCCAACCAACCGCAGTTGTCCCGTACCGCGTCCAATACCAGCCAGCATTCGAATCACGACTCCCTCGGCATACCGGTTCCCGCCGCTTCTCCTCGGGTACCGACCACACCCTTAACACCCATGACACCCGCGATCAAGTCTGTCGAGCACGGCTACTACGGGAATGATGGCTTCGGCGACGGCCTCTACCCGCGCCGTGTGTCGCCGCTTGTCGTGCCGTCATCCGAGCCCATCCTTGCCTTGCGAATGTCTCGTACGAGCCAATTCTTCGCCACAATCACAGCCACGTCAATGACGATCTGGCAGACAAAACCGACTGTCATTCTGGCTGTCATTGTGCGCTCGGAAGGATCTCTGGCATCCTACGGCGAGAATGTTGACCTCTTCGTCCGCCCCGACTGTGCCATTCTAGTTGTGTACACAAGTCGAGGCTTCCTTATCACCTACTCCATGGCCACCTCCCGTGAGACAGAAGTCTACCGGCCGCAGTTCACCAACCCCACCAACATCCAACGCCGTCGCCAGAACCACGTTGGCGACCCTGGCCACGATCATCCCGAGCAAATTCTATGGGGCCCTGGCGAGGGACCCGGCATACGCGATGTCAGCATCCGATTTCGAATGGTGATCAAGGTTGATGCAGGCATTGAGAGTGCTCTAGCCTTGGATGACGAGCTTGTTGTGGCTACAACGAAGCCTGCTGCCGTACAGTGCATTCGCTGGGCGCCGGACAACAACGGAAGCCAGACCAGCACGGAGCTGCTGAGCCGCATGGGCTGGTTGGATAAGAAAGCGACCGTCCGTGAGATGATCTTCGACAAGCCAATGAGTCTCTCTACGTGGGTGACCAATGACGGCAAGGTTTATGCTGTGCAGCGCAACACAGACTCCTCGTCGCGGTCTGCGACACCTGCAAATACCACCGATGCGCCGTCAACAATAGTTCCACCCCCCTCGGCGTCCGACACGCTGGACACACCTGCCACCATAACTACCACGACAACAACTGCCTCCAGTACTACATCTACTACTACGGATGCCCCAATAACCACTTCCGCTTCTTCGTCTTCTTCTTCGTCCACACACTCCACCTCGTCTCACAAAAAGCTCTTCCGGGGATATAACCTCCACCACCCCAATTCCGATGACGAGCATGCCATACGGGCTATCATCAACGCCCGTTTTTCTCTTATTGCCGTGGGGTGCGTGGATGGAATTGTGCGCGTATATTCTGTCAAAGACTACGTGGGAAGTATTCCACTAAGCCATACCCACGTGCCGCCCGTATCGGTTTTGACCACTGGCCGCCTGACAAAAATGGCATACTCGCCCGATGGGTACTGCCTGTTTGCAGGTTACGAAAATGGCTGGGTGACATGGAGTGTTTACGGCAAGCTTCTGGGCCACTCCTTTAACAGCGAACGCGCCATGGCAGACAAAAATAACGAGGAGTGGTTGACCGGTATACGGGATGTATCGTGGGTTGGCCAGTCGGGCGACGTCTTGCTTGTCGCTAAAGAAAGCTCAGCCATCTGGTTTTTGGAAATGGCAAGGAGTGCCTCTGCCGGTTGCTATAGTCACTCGAATTTGTTTCGCACCGTATTGCACACCAACCAGAACATTATGGTGTACCGGGGCTACGACCTACCGGATATGACAAGCATCTCGGCCGAACCTTCGCTTTGGCATACAGCTCGCATCCCTGCCAACTATCTCTTAAACCAATGGCCCATCCGCTGTGCGGTTATCAGCTCAGACGGCCGCTACGTGGCCGTTTCCGGGCGCAGGGGTCTCGCACACTACAGTATCAACAGCGGTCGCTGGCGAACGTTCGCCAATAAAGCTGCGGAAGATGAGTTTCAAGTTCGTGGCGGTATGTGTTGGTACCGCAATACGCTTATCGCTGCCGTAGAGGCAAACCGATCATTCGAGTTGCGGCTCTACGAACGCGAGGCGATCCTTGACAACAATAACATCGTCTTTAGGGAACCCATGAAGTCTCCCATCGTCCTTATCACCACAACCGGAGAAGATTCCTTGCTGGTGTATACCTACGAGAACATCCTTTATCACTACATATTTGTCCCTGCAGCTAATGGATCTTTGCGGCTTATGCGCATGGGCCACATTGGATTTCATGGGATTGTACGCAGTCCTGCGCGTGTTCGTGGCTTGAGCTGGGTCCTCCCAGAAGGCCAGTTATACGATGGCGACCCCTCGTTGGATGTATCTATGGCATCCGTGTTGTTCCTGGTTGACGGCAAGCTCGTCCTCTTCCAACCGTCTAGAAATGAGCACGGCGGAATCAAATACGACATGCGCATTATTGCTCAGACGGTGGAGTTTTACGTTTGCATGAAGGACCAGCCTTTTTCTTTCTTGCCCGCTGCCGCTACCGAGACACCTGTCGCGCCCGGATCTATCGACTCTGACGAGACGCTGCAGAACTCTCTTTGGCTCTTTGACGCCGGCGAGCTTAAACTGTGGACTGACACCCACGCTGCCCTCGATGCGGTGGCAAACGGCACCGTGCAGCCACCCATCACCATCGATCTGGACTTCTACCCCCTCTCCATCCTTCTCTCCAAAGCCCTTGTTTTGGGCGTTGAACCCGACCTAGTGCAGCGGCGGGACGTCAACTTTTCCTTTTTTCGGTACAACATACGGGTTCGTACTGCTCTTTACCCACTCGCTGCTTAGTTCGTTTTTACTAACATGCGTCGTAGACGCATCTCTTCCTGCCTGACGTTCTCCGTGCCTACTTGGGCGAAAATAAAGCTCTTCCTGCCCTACGGCTCGCACAGCAGTATCAGCACCTTGCATATTTCGCACACGCATTGGAGGTCCTCCTGCATCAGGTTCTTGACGAAGAAGTTGATTCGGCACCAAAGCCTGAGGCAGCCGTCTTGCCGCGTGTGCTTTCGCTTTTGTCGAGCTTCCGTGCGTATCACGATATTGTCGTGCAATGCACCCGCAAGACTGAAGTGCGATCCTGGCGCACGCTTTTTGCCTACCTTCCGCCGCCACAAGAGCTGTTTGAAGAGTCGTTGCTGCGTGGCAGTCTCAAGACGGCCGGGGGCTACCTGCTGATCTTGCACACATTTGATGCACTCGCCACAGCTAGTGAGCAAGGTGTTCGGCTTCTGAGACAGGCCATGCAGGAGGGCGACTGGGAGCTGTGCAAAGAACTCGCACGTTTCTTAGCGGCCATGGATGATAGTGGGCAGACGCTGAAGGAGGCTGTGGCGTTGGCCAACACCGCAGGTGCCGACGACGGCGAAGGCAGTGTCGCGTCTGGTCATGCAGGCGGGCCGTCGTCTTCTCTCGCGGCGACTGGAGCCAGTAGTCGTCTTGCTGTTCCAGGGCGCAACAGCAATACGAGCCAGTCCGAATCGGATGCTGTGTCTACTAGCGATGATGGAAATAGCATTGACTCAAGTACGGTCAGTGGGCATTGAAGCGACCAACGGTCCCCCTGAGACTTACAACAAGGTTTCAGGATACCCTTTCTTTTGTTTGTTGAGCCTTGTCTTGCGTTCGTATTTCTTATTTGCATAGACTCCCCCCGGTCCTTTTTGCCTTAAGCAGCATGTCCTTGTGTCTGGCTACAAAACAGACCCAAGGGAAAGCAAGTATGGAAGTGCATTATGGAGTTGACCTGTTGGGTTTCCCTTGTACATCAAATAAATGCCAATTCGTACCACGCCTGTCTCCTTACCGCGAATGCAATAATTCTGCAAGACGTTGTGCAATACCGGCCTGGTAAAGGGGTATTATTGAACAAAATTATTAAATAATGATATTATATGGGAAATTTAACGATGAATATGGGTTGTACGAAATGCCGAGACTCTACTCACGCGGCAGCAGAAGACGATCCTAGACGCCTCCTCCCACGCCGTCTCTTGAGCTCGTTCCATTTATCTCGAATGGTGATTACTTCGCCTTCATGTCTTGCTTTGGCACGACCCTCACCAAGATCCTCGAGGTTCTTCGTTTGCAGGGTAGTGCCGTCTCTGGCCCCGCCGTAGCGCCGACCATAGCCATGCACATTGCGGCCGTTTCTATTGGCGCCAATGTCTCTGGGTGGGCCGAGGTCAATACCCCCAATGCCAATGGGCCCGGACCTGCCGGGCACACCGCCACGTCCTGAGCGTCGGTTGCCAACAATACGCTGGACGTCGGGCAAGTATGCCCAGCTGTAGAGGGCTCCAAAGGCCATGAACGTGCCGAAGAGGAGAAAAAGAAGACCCTGCCTCGTTGTCGAGTGGTAGCCCGAACTGACGCCGTATACAATGAGTACGGCGACAATGGATCCCAATTTCCCTGCCGCGGCTGAGATGCCATGGCATGTGCAGCGGTAGCATGTTGGGAAAACCTCTGCTGGGATAATAAATGTAAGGGTATTTGCGCCTGGGTTGTTTGTTAGTCCGGCTTAGGAATCAAATTTTGACAAGAGTCTGGAAACATCCATACCAAAATTGAAGACAAAATGGCAAATGGCAACCATGGTGACTGTAGCCGGAGCGTATTTTGTGTGCGCGATGCCGTAGTATACGCCTCCGGTAATCATAAAAAGGAAGAAGAGGCAGATGAAGGACGTCGTCAGCCACTGACGGCGCCGTATCCGGTTTGCTGCAAAAATGAAGCAAGCGCTTCCTGCTATTGACGCTAATGAAACCGTCAAGAGGTATTGTTTCGCTTGCTGGAGCAGGATGTCGTATATTGTGTCGCATGGTCGGGTTGGGTCGGTTTGCCAAATGGGCATATGACCTTGGGCACTCCATGTCGGCAACGTAGAATTGCCCCCATCAAGGCTCGAGTTCCAACACTTGAGGGACGAGTTGAGCTCTGGAGGATTCCCGGTTACCCAGAGATCGGCCAAGACACCGCGGTTATCGAGTGAGAAGCCATAAAAGCTCACATCGAGAAAAAACCATGTCGAGGCAGTCCCAAGGAGGTAATACCAGTTTTGATCCCGGATGAAGTAATTTTTCAGGTCTTGGATCGAGAACTGTACCGGCATCGGCTCGTCAGAGTGGGCACCTCCTGGAGAGTAAAGCGACACGGCGCCGCCGTTGATACTATCACCCCCTCCGCCGCCTCCGCCGCCCGCAATGCTTAAAGGGGCACCATATATGCGCTGTGTATCACGGAAAGCGGTGCCAGGCTTGTTCTTCACTTCCAAGGTGTACAGACCGCAGTCGTACAGGAAAAAGCGGAATATGATAGCCAGCAGAGCAGGCACGGCGCCGGAGCCAATGACAATACGCCATATACCATCCACAGCTCGTCGACATTCCTCGGCATACTTGTCGTTGATGCCGCACTGCATCTCCTGTAAATGGTACATGTTCTCACGGCCGAGAACGACCCAAACGCCAACAAGTTGTGCCAGTGCTTGTCCAACGGGTTGCATCAGGAAGACAGATGAGATCATCGTTGCTCGAGACGAGGTACTAGCCCATTCGGACGTTATTACGGCACTCAATGGATACTCGGCTCCGATCCCTACAAATATAGATGGTTAGTATCAACGAGGGGGGCGGAAACGATGGTGATCGGGTGAACAAACCAATGCCCATAACAAAGCGCCACTAGTATTTGTTAGTCCGGGGGTTCAAGCCAACAGCCAATATAATTCGTGGGTGGCAAACAAGGGGAAATAAACAAAGGACGGTAACATATCCCGACAAAAACGATTGTATTGGGTCTTCTCTTACCCAAACAAATAGGCCAAGAAAAGAAAGATCATGGTATCCATAATTGCTGGTCGCGACGCCGATGGTGGAGACAATTACGAGAATGAGCTCGATGCCATAGAGGCGAGTTCGGCCGTAGTAGTCTGCGAGAAAGCCAAAGCTAAGCTGGCCGACAACAGAGCCGAGGAGAGTGAAGACGTTGATGAGAGTGCCGACATAGTTGTAGTTCGAGTCGGGGAAGTACACGAAGGAGATGGACGCGAGGATGACGTTTGTAGAAAAGAGATTGTATCTAGAGGTAGCAAGACAACCCAGGTAAGAAAGAGCCAAAAAGCGACGACAAACAAAGCTTGCTGTACGGCGAACAAGGGATTGGTAGTAGGATGGAGACATACGAGTCGGTGAGGAAGCCTGAGGCAGCGACACCCCAGATACGGAGGTTCCACGAGTTCAGATCCAACTCATATCGAAGCTGACTGCGGTCCTGCAGAGCGGAGGCGACAGAGAAGAGGCATGCGGTTAATCTATGATCTCTAAACCAGCACGGGATAAATAAGAAACCAGGGAAGCTCAGAAGCGGCTCGGGATGGCGTCGAGTATAGCAAGATGCTTATAGGGCCAGGGAACGTCACGAGACCGGTGGCACGGAGAGCTTCAACAGCACAGAAGGCAATACACCCTGACCACGAGAAATACAGTAAAGAACCGAGCAGATACCACATACCTGAAGATCTTGAGGAGACAACGCCGAGCTATCAGAGCCCAGGAACCCCCGGTTTCTCCTCCGTTCTGGTTCTGGATACATGGCTGCGGCCATGTTAAAACAGTGACACAGTCCAAGGTGAGGGCATAATGGGATGTATCGGAAGCGACGAGGGGGAGGTGGAAGAGAATATTCAAGCAAGACAAGAGAGTGTCAGAAGGGTCGAGAGGGAGACGAAGCTCGTCGCCGTGTCACGAGCAAGCAAGCGAAGAGTCGGAAGGAGGCGGCGTTAACGATGGGTGGTGCGGCCCCAACGCAGCCTTGCGACGAGAAAAGATTGGAAGAGGGTATGAAATAGAGAGCAACGAACAGAAGGGAATAAAAATAGTGGTTGCAAGAAGATTATTGCGAAAAAGGAGTGACGCCAGGAGGTGGAGGCAAAAGTCGCATTGCTATTCGCAGAAAACGATCCTCCAGGCACAGCACAGCGCAAATAAAGAGGGTTCCACTGACCTGGGCTGAAGATCGACAGTGAGAACTGAAGGCGGTGGGCAGAATGGGGAGTGGCGAGAGGGACGATCAGTCCATCGCGGGAGCGAACGTTGCAGCAGGGAAGCAGGGACGAGAAAAACAATGTGGAGAGAGCTGATTTTGAGGTACGTGTGGACGGGACAGCAGGCGGATGGACGGGCGGGTCAATTAAAGTTATCGTGATGGTTAGAAATTGGGATGCAGACTGGCGTAGAGGCAAAATGAAGGAAGAAAGGAAGACAGATGGAGAGACATGGAAATTGGACGATCGAGTCCTTAAAGAGGGCACAGCGGCCGAGGAAAGAGCAGCTGGTTGAGGTGTGGCTGGCTACGGCGAGGAAGAAGGAGAGACAGGCACGAGCGATGCACAAAGTGGAATGGTGTCGGCCAAGGCCAAGACTTCGACGGTGACGAGAATTAGAGACCAGGAGAGAGGAGAAAGAGGAGACGAGGCAAAGCAGGAGGAAGCAAGAGGCGGGCGTCGCAAAACGGATGAGGACGGGAAGGCAGAGCGAAGGAGAGAACAGAGAGGAGCATTCGAGGCGAGGCAGGTGCAGAAAACCGACCGGGGCAGGTTCGATCGTGGGCGCCGTTGGCGCAGCGCTAGGGAAGCCTATGCCAACCCAATAGCCTAGGGCCCGAGGGGCGCAGACGGGTCCCTGGGATTCCACGGCGTTGCGACATGCTGATTATGCTCGGACTTGTAGCATTGACCACTTCTGAGGACAATCTCTCTCGCTTACGGTGTACTTACCGCTGATTGAAGCTCACTCGTAGGCTGTCGTGGTTGCGTATTCTACGTCTTCTAGCATCACGGGATTGGCCCCTTATTGTGAACCTTTGGTTGCTCCTTCCGTCACATTGCACTTTATGCTCGAAACAATCACCCCGCAAGTTGTACTTATCCCTTCTTTCCCTGCTTGCGTGCATTTGGTCTTGCCGGGGTAAGAGGAAGGTGCAATTGTGACAGCAAAGCTCCGCCAGCGGCAACCGGCCACGGTCGCAACGTCTGGCCCTCCTACCGCGTACTTCGAACCTACCACTGTTCCCCATCCGCTCACCGAGACCCTTTCTGGTCCTGATCCAAGCTTCAGGTTTCTGCAGGGCCCAGCCTTCTCTGGAAAGGCTAGTCTGGACTCTCTGAACCACAGACAGGCGCCTGTCAACTCTTACACACGTCGATGCTGTACCCCGCGACCGGTTAACCGTTGGACCCCAGACAAGGCTGTCCTCGCAAGTATCCTTCGAGATATCATATCCTTTCATTACTGGTGTACCGAGCGCCGTCTCCCGCAGCCGTGTCTTAAAAAGTTTAAATACTCGCGTCTCTGTACATGTACAACCCGTGTGACAATTCCGTGGCACTGGGATACAGTCGCTTTCAGTCCCTGTCTTGTGCTCCCTTTTATAGTTCGCTGAGCTGGTGGTCTGCGCCTTCCCTGTCTGACTCTTCGTCGTTCCTGCCTCTTTTTGTTTATCTTAGTCATGTAGCTTGCTCTTTCCAACATATTTGCGTGTCCTACCTGTACCTCTTTTCGTCATCAAGCCGCCCCTTCCCCTATTTCTTCGTCCTTATTGTTTTCTTTCTTTTGTTTTTGGACCTTCATCCTCCCCTCCAACTCGTCGCTCTCCCATCTCCTTTCCATCCTCGTCCACCTCATCCACCTCATCCACCTCATCCACCTCATCCACCTCATCCACCTCATCCACCTCATCCACCCACACATACACTTACATGCAAACGTCATCTCGTTTAGCACGCGCTCACAGACGGAATTCCCGCCTTGTCTCTCTTGGCCCGTCCTCAACTACGTCTCGGCTTCCTATGCCCAACCCACCATGCCTCGTGCCTTTCGCCTCGCTGGCCTCGGAAATGCTCTTCTGTCTTGTCTCGACCTCGCCCAGCAACTTGCCCGTACGACTAGACGCGTGCGTCTGGCCATGTGCTCAACTGATTCGCCATGCCCAGGCCTAAGTACACAAACCGCAAAAAGCCCACACCTTTCCAAGCCCACACTCACAACGTGCGCCCTAACCGGCGTAGTCGACTATTTCCTGTCACTCCCGCAACCCCGGGTGGTTGCCGTTACTTTTGTCTTGCTTAACTGTGCCGTCGCTTTTGCTGCCCACACCCTTCTTCTTCTCTTCACATTGACCACACTTTGCGACTAACACGCAAAATTCAAACCAGCTTCCGCTCAGTCTAGCCAGCCCCACGTAATGGGTTCCACCCACCCGTCCAAGCTCCCCACCCAAGCCAAAATCCCTGTCACGAACCCCCATCCTTGTTCGACACTCAAATCGTCTGCACAAATCCCATCGTCGGAATTGCCCATGTGCTCGCCCAATGCGCAGAGAGCCGTCCAAAGACTAGCTCATTCCCACTCACTTGTTAGGTTCCATCAATGGTGTGAATGCGGAGTCTGGCCCTTCAGTCCCACCCTGCTAGCCGCTACCAGCCTTTGGTGCTGTATTCCCTTCTCTCTTTATTTTTGATGTTTCCCATTTGATTTTCCCACGGCGGGCTGCAAAGGCTCTCTTAATTCGTGCCGCAGATTCTACCCTCCCCTCCATCATATGTGCTGCGGTTGACCAAAGTCCTTGTGTTATTCTCTCTAATATATTAACCATTGCCAAACAGCTTCTCACACACTTCAGTTGCACCATGCAGAAGCCAGGTTGAAAACGACTTGAGTGCAATGGCTTCTCACACGACCATTCGCACAAAACATACCAATCTGGGACGCCGTACGCTTTTCGGGATTCTATCCCTCTTTATTTGCTTCGTCCATGAATCTGGCATACCACATAAACCCGACCGTCGGAACTGCGAAATGAAGTTGATGGGCATTGCCCTGTGAATGCATATTTGGTCTCGCGTAAATTCGCCATTGCTTCCTAATCCCATCGACACGTTTTTCACCAGGGCTGGCATGCACTCCGTACGACAGGTGTACGATGTACGATGTACGATGCGATACCCTGGCCAAATACGTCAAGGGCGGGGCCGCGGACGGGGGGGCAGCGCAGGCAGAATGGAGGACACGGGGGCGTGCTCTGTAGCACGCACGAGACACGAAGACAAACGATTAGAAGCAGAGGCTCTGTATCGGCCAAACTGCTCCTGCTCACGCCCATGCCTATTCACACGCCACCAAACCTGTGTCGTCCCTCTGCGCAGGAGTCCCATTTCGAAAGACCACAAGCTTCGACCCGGTCTGAGGCAGGTAGGGTGCGTGCTTGGATGTGAGCTGGGACCAGTCAGAAGCCGCAGGACACGGGGACTACAGCATAACATCAACGGCCCCTCACTCTCATTTGGATTATTTCAGCTTTTTGGGGGGGGGTTCCTACTTTCGTTTCGGCGCTTTCTTTTTGATTCTCGAATATATCTTACTTGCCTTTTTGGATGTTAATAACCCGTTACGGATTGCGAACGCCACACAAGCTCTTCCTCGCTTTTCTCAGTCAGATCTCTCCTATATCCGCCAATCCGTCGTCATGGATGCCTCGCCGGCCTTTTGACCTTCGTTTCTAGTCTCACACCCCCTCCTCTGCTTCTTCTTTCTACAGGAAGACAAGGGGACGGCGAAAGGAAGCAGGCTGTCCGCCGCAGCATGAACGACCAAAATAAATTCACCCCAAAGAAGTATTGTAAAGCAAGACGCCCAGAAAACACACACACAGGCATACCTACGCCAACGCATACGACATCGTCAACGCCGACATCAGCTTTCGTCCCGCTCGTCACCCCCGCGCTCGACAGTTCGACAGGTTACTGTCATCCTATCGATCTCTTGTGTGCATTTTTGCCGCCCGGATTGTCGTGCAGCAAGCTTGTCCTATTTCCTCCCACCTGATTGAGTGCACCGATACATCCATTCACGTTGCTTGTGTTTACGGTCCCATTGTCCCATTGTTGACCAACTTGAGTGAGCATCGCCGCCTCGCTCTCGGCTGCCACGTCCTGCTGCCTCCCTCTCGCCTCGTTCCTTCTTTCGAGCTCTCTCCACCCACCCTTTCCGGAGCGGCCCTTCCCCTGCTCTCCTCTGAGCTCCTCTGATCTTGGGCACTCTTTCCATAAAAGGACGGCAGAGCCTCTGGCACGACTCGTTACCCGTCCACCTCTCAATCGTCTTACGTTTACGATTCTGGCTTGTGGCCGACCACTTCCATACTCTGGTTCTGAAGAGAGAGGGTAGAGTGGGCGATCAAAGCGCGGATCAGCTTCACTTCCTCTCCGTGGATGCTCGGCCCATGCAGTTCGATTGGCAACTGGTGGCCAACATCTATCTTAGGTGTATCTAGCTTCCTTCTTTGCGCTTTTCGTTTTTATCGACAATCATCGACAACCCTTTCCTTCGTCCCACCGTGCACCTCTCTCTCGTCGACCTCCTGCTTCGATTTCTTTGTCTGTCTGCGCTCCTTGCCCTGGATGGAGCCGTCTGGCCTCCCTCTTCTCGACAAAGTTCTCGGCAGAGTGTGCCTCCGGGCAAGGATATCGAACTTGCCTTGGTCGGCATCGTTGCGCCGATCTGCCGCCGTCGCCTGACCTCGACAGAGTCTCACGGTTGCTACACGAGACAGCTTTCACCGTCGCCGATACCGTGTTTTCTGAATCGGTGCCGATTTCCCAGTCGTCCGACCGACCCCCACGGAAGCTGAGATTATTCGCTGTGCGTCACCGGTTTCCCCCGACCCGTAGCGCACAGCGTCTCAGACACGCGCATTAATTTTGCTTTTGCCGCCGAACTATGGCAACGTCTGGGTCATCCTCCTCGTCTTTCTCTGCCTCTTCTAACGGCTACGCCTCGTCTTATGCTTATACTCATACCAGCCGAAACGGTTCCTCTACCCGCACCCCGAGTTCCTCTGCCGTGTCCGCCGTGACTTCCAACTCTTCGGCCCCGCCGCCGACGCCGTTGCGGCCCCTTGATTTGGGGCCGCCAGGCTATCAAGCAACAATGTAATACCACACATCTTCTGCGGTCGCTTTACTCTTTGCGCTTTGCTCTTTACTTTTTGCTTTTATAACAGCTGCTTCTCCCCGGTTCCATCGCTTACCCCCCACCTACTTGCTGTTGTGTATGCTACGTTCTTCATTTTTTCTTATATGGTGTCAGATGTATGCTAACCTCATCTCCCTTTTCTACTTGTCCAGTATCTTATATGAGCGTACCGCAAACGAGTCTACCGTGTATCTTGGACCATGGGAGATTGTAAACACGGAACCACGCCGCATCCGGTGGCAATGCAGCTACGAAGGCGAGGTGCTGGAGCACTTTTGTAAGACATCTGAACCGTTGCTACTTACACATATATCTTTAGAATACAATCACACTGACTAGTCATCATAGTGCCATCTAATACACCAGCCGACATTTTCCCACACACACTACATGCACGGCATCGCCCATATGGTGATCCTTGTGATATGGAACTCTATCTGTCGTTCCTTGAACCACATCGCATCCGATATGTCACTAACGACAACACTATCGCACACGACGACCATGTCGAGGCACGGTACGAGTTCACCACGACTGAAGGATCCCATCGCCTTCAAGGAGACCTCCGTGGACAAGACTTGATCGACCATTTCGACTTTGACGTCATATGGTCCGATAAGGAGAGCCGCACCGATTCGTTTGGCAGCGTCCGTGGTATCGGCGCTATCCAGCGCATGAAGATGTGGCGCGACCGATATACGACATATCACTACCTCACTTTCTACGCAAATCGCACCGACCGGCGGTACCGCGAATACCTGGTGTATTCGTTTGATGCCGAAATAAAAAACCGCGATGACAGCCACCGGCGGCTCCGTCTCACAGTGCGCGGACGCCGCGGTAGTGCCACCGACAGTGGCAGCAGCAATCATGGCGGCAGCAGTGGCGGAGGCGGTAGTAGTTCTGGTCGTCGTTTCTCCGTGACATCGTTACGACAGCGACCACGCACTTCTAGTAGTCACCACCATAGCAGCGGTCATGGCAGCTCATCACATGCTTCCAGCTCACGCAGCTCGCACATGAGCTCTGATCAGGCTTCAACAGTCTCGCCACCTTCGTCGACATCATCTTATTCTCCAGGCAGCGGACTCGACATCCGGTATCTGGGTATCCAGTTTAGCCGAGCTGACGGTACGACACTTGAATCCTTATGTTTTGACTATTCTCAAATAATGCTGACCCCCGATCCTTAGACTACTATAGATTCATTGAGCAGTGGACGATTGCCCAGAACGCAGATGCAGAGTTTCGCGGTGTCCCCTTCCCTTCTGACCGTTTCGAGCTTCCGTCTCCTGAAATCTTCCCCGGGAGCAACGTGGCTTCGTCATCCGTACTAGGCCTGTCTATCGTGGAAGAGCCTCCAGAGGGATACGATCCAAGGAGCGTCCCATCCTAAGAAGCGGCTAGGGCAAGAAGGCACAAAAAGAGGGAACGGAAAGCCGAGTCTCGAATGCTCTAGCACAACACCGGCAATAACGATCACAACAAGACGAGCGACGAAACGAACAAAACGTAACCCAAGAAAACACCAAAATTATCAACTACGACTTTGACGATGAGCAATGACCATCACATGTATACATGTAAATAGATAGACACACATTCGAAAGAGAATGGGCTTTCAAACCACGAACAGTGCGAGCACTTTTTTATTCCGGAGTCAAACCACATTCTTCCCATATTTCATCAATTTTGCAACGGCTGCCCTTGAAATATCATGCGTTTGCGCTAGCGGTGTGAATGTTGGGACAAAACAATGAAGGATAAGCATCAGCTAATAGGTCAGGAACCGAGACCGTCTGACAGGTCAGCCTAGCAGGCCTAGCTACTAGGGCCGGGGAGGAAAGAAGTGTCTATTGGCCAGCAGTTCTGCGGACATTGAGACGGATGTTGGGGGATGTTGTCAGACGTTGGTTACCAGCCCGCGCTTATCATCTGCAGCTCCCAACAGACGCTGCCTCGTGGAAAATGAAACTCGGCTGTCCACCTGCACTCTGTGCAAGGGAGGTAAAGAGACCAAGTGCGGCTCTGTTTTACAAGAGGAGGGGTTAACTGCATGTTTCTCCATGCAACTCGTCAGTGGCGTTTTCCCTTTGTGGGCGCTGGTTGCAATTGCCAAGTACCGAGCAACCAAAATGTGGCGTCGAGGGATGCCAGCTGCTGAGCGATTAAAGGTGACTCGGCTGGTATAATATGCTGTAACATCAGTTACAATTGAGTGCGATTTTGCGTGCCAGGATGGCACCAAACAAAGCAACTCGACGTCAAAGTGATGATGCCGCCAATGATAAGGGCAAAAAGTGGGGCATTGAGCTTTGTGTTAGTATCAGTGGTGGCTGTAGGTGGGGGAAGGCCAGTAATACATGAGGTACACCAGCGCTACGTCATCCACACCTCCGTTGAACCTGTCTCGAGCCTTCTGTCAGCCCACCAGCCTCTGTTGAACAAAAAAAGCATCCGAGTCAGGGCGCCGCCCTGCTTTACAGGTGATTTCTCCTGTGCGTACTACAAGTGCAATTTGCCAGCGTCTACTTTGCATTCTCGTCTATTCTTTGGCATCAGGAAGACAGCCATATCAGCACGAGCGAACGTCCCATGTCTCATATCATATTCCGTTCTTAATTTGCAACGCTTGCCATCATCTCAGTACCGCCATCTCACAGCCAGGTCACACCAAAAGACCGTCGTCATGAAAATTGTTCTCTCCGTCAACGCCGGCTCATCGTCTGTCAAGGTTTCCGTCTACTCCGTCGCCGCGCGCAACGCGGAGCCACGCCAGCTGGCCGAGGCGCAGGTCAACGGCCTCACAGCACCGCCTCCAAAGGTTGATTACAGCCGTCACGATGGCAGCACCAACGGCGGCAAGAACGTCGTCTACAAAGACAAGAAGGTGACGGACATTGACGACAAGGCCGGCAGCATCGACAGCCAGGACGACGCCTTTGCGTTTTTGCTGCGCCTCTTTGTCGACGACAAGGATCTCCAGGAAATCGATAGCCACGACGACATTGCCATTGTCACGCACCGTATTGTGCACGGCGGTGACTACACAGCGCCCCAGATTGTCGTCGACGACACCTATGCCCACATCGAGGCCCTCAACGACCTCGCGCCGCTGCACAATGCCAAGTCCCTCGAGATTGTGCGGTCGTGCCTCAAGCAGCTGCCGCAGGCGACAAACGTCGCCTGCTTTGACTCGCAGTTCCACGCCACACTGCCGCCACACATCCGCACGTACCCCATCGACCCGGTCATGGCCAAGAGCAACATGCTGCGCAAGTACGGGTTTCACGGGCTCAGCTATGCTTTCATCACGCGCGCCGTCGCCGATTTCCTGGGCAAGCCCGTGGACGAGACGAGCATAATCGCCCTGCACCTGGGCAGCGGCGCCTCGGCGTGTGCCATCCGCGGCGGGAAGAGCTGGGACACGAGCATGGGCCTGACGCCGCTGGCCGGTCTTCCCGGAGCCACGCGCAGCGGCAGCGTCGACCCGAGTCTGGTTTTCCACTATGCGTCCGATGTCGGCAAGCTGTCGCCTGCGTCGACAAAAGACCTGCACATCTCGCGCGCCGAGGAGATCCTCAACAAGGAAGCCGGCTGGAAGGCACTGACGGGCACCACCGACTTTGGCGAGATTGCGGGCTCCGACAAGCCGTCGCACCAGCTGGCGTTTGACCTGTTTGTCGACCGGGTGTCGGCCTATGTCGGGTCCTACTACGTGGCGCTCAAGGGCGAGGTCGACGCCCTCGTCTTTGCGGGCGGCATTGGCGAGCACAGCAACCGACTGCGTGCTGCCGTCGTCGACCAGTGCAGCTGTCTCGGCTTTGCTATCGACTCGGCAGCTAACGGCGCTGGCCACTTGAGCGATGTAGTCACCGACCTTACTGGAACAACCGGCAGCGAGACCAACAATGGAAGCAAAACAGCTCGGCGCCGGGTGGTGGTGTGCAAAACCGATGAGCAGCTTGAGATGGCCCGGGAGGGCTCAGCAGACGAGAGCTTATGGGCCGATCGCAAATAGACGACATTTGATGGGGCAGTAATTGTTAGACATAGTTTAACGTTGTGTTTTTATGCATCGTGCTGTATTCATGAGTTGCGATCACAACGCAGTAGCGTTCTTAGAAACTGTATGATTTTTTTAGGATTGGTTGACTTGGTAATTGAAAGTCGGTATCGTATACGGCCATTTGGCCCCCAAATCACTAAGATACAGTCCGTATGGCCGTCCGCATATCACACAACTCCTTCCGTGTTCTGGGAACCCGTTGTGTAGTTTTGTACAAAATGAAAAAAGAAGAAGAAAATGAAACAAGAAGCAGAAAACGTTGACGGGAATCCTCGTTTATATCAACAACTCCTTTTTGGTGAAATTAAATACGATACAAACTCCTGTGCGACGCCGCAGTTCCAATATATAACAATTAAGGGAAAGGAAGGTAATGAAGAATTATGAGAAAGGATCGTAAGGGTTCCGACTTCAAAAAGGAACCCAACCAGTAAGCCATGTTGCCCGTGCCTCCTAAATAAACGCCGTGTAAAAACAAGAAAAGCCATTGGACCAGAGAAGCACTTTCTCACATGTCCTCGACTTGCCGGGCAGCATCAGCGAGTGCAGCTAGGGACATACTGTCGATGCTCGACCCAGAATGGGAGCGGCCGTATGACGACCGAATGGGCATCTGGTATTCCATGTCCATGGGGTACTCAACGTGTTCGGACATCGGCGAGTAGGAGCTTTGGCGAGACGACCGAGAGTCGCCGTTGCGGTTCTTGGACGAGCTGGACGAGTGACCAGGTCGGTTGGACTTTTCGCGCTTGTAGTGTGTCTCCAGGTGCTGCTTCATGTTGTCGGTGCGCGTGAACATCTTCTGGCAGCCCTCGAAAGAGCACGGGATCGTCTTCACGGCAAAGTGGATCTTGGCGTGGCGCGAAGCGTGGCCCGACGTGGTGAACGTCTTGTCGCAGTTGAACTGCTGCGAAAGACGGCATGGGTATCTCTTGCCCTTCCGGTCCGACGTGGCCTCTCTCTCGGTGTGATGTGCCAGTTTATAGGCGCCAGAATCCTTCATGTAGATTGCCTCGGTCAAGTCGGCATGCGAGTGGTGCTCATCCGTCTTGTAGGTGAAGTAGGGTGACTGAACGTTTGCCGGGGCGTAGGCCGTGCCATGCTCGCGGTGAGCCGACTCGGGCGTGAGGGGAGTCGCCGGGTCAAGGGAAATCTGCGAGTCGAATGAACAAGAGCGCGACAGCTCAGGAGCGTTGGAGGACTGTGAGTAGACAGAGCCAGAGTTGGATCCTCTCATCGATTGCGAGTGTGTTCTGTAGTCGTTGGTGTGCAAGTCGTCCTCCACGAGGAGGGAAATTCTGCGCCCAGAGGAGTTGTAGCCGTCCATGACACTGATCTTTGGGTGGTTGGTGCTGGTGAATCTTGGGTCGGGCAGATTTGGGTTCTCGGCGTGACGGCGAATGTATAAACAAAACGAGAGAGCTATCTGCAGCAGTGTGCATAGAAGGAGTCCCCGTGTTTTATGGATGAGGAGGTGGTCAATGGAAGGTATTTTCGGCTTGCTCGGTGCAAATCGTTGCCTTTGAACCTCTTTGTTGTCACCTTGGGGGTGGATGATTCAATCAACTTGGATATATTGTAGAAGATGGTGATCGAAAAATAAGACGGCAAGGCGAGCCAACAGGTTTGCGACAGGTGTAAAATGCGTGGGCAGATACAATGCGATATTGTACGTGAGTGAGAGAAGGTGGCCGTCTGAGTTGGATATAAGGCAGGTCGTTTTAGTGTGAGGTTTCACTTTTCTTGTCAGCGACTGGTGGTTTATGAAAGAGCCAGTGTCTTGCTCTTCGCAAGCAGCCATGCAGATCGACAGCGATGTGAAAGAATGTAAAACAAGACAAGTAATGCCCTCCTAGAAATTAAGAGAACCAAGACAACAAGACTCGTAAAAATTTTCACAGTGACAAGACGGATTATGAAAACCGACAAAAAAAAGAAAGAAAGAAAAGGTAAGTTTGACAGATAGGCGGTGCAATATGACAAGAAGGGAGACGACGCAAAAACAAATGCAAGTTTGTGAGAGAGAGATGTGGGCGGATGAAGGGCGCTTAATAAAGAGCGGCGCACACACTATCAGAGGCGAGGAGCAAACAAGATGAAGCGAGAGTGCCTTAACAAATGTCACCAAGTGACAGCAAAAGAACAGAAAGCACGGCAAGGAGGAAATTGGACATCAGGGGAAAAGCAGAGCCAGAGCAAGGTGCCTGTTTGCAAGGTCGAGGAGAGAAGATGCGTGGAACCACGTGATGGTAGCTACGAAGTTTTTGTTTTGAAGAACGCGAGGAAAACAAAAACGAAGGAGGCAGTAAGGAAAACAGCAACGGCAACAAGGGAATTTACCAAACGCAAATGGAACTCACAATATGGTGGCCGTGGGCAAACGGCGCAGACAAATGCAATGCAAACGGTATGGTGAAAAAAGTGAGACCTTTGCTGAGAAGGGCGCAACACCTGGTGGAGAGCGGGCGTGTTTTGGGGATCACGAGAGAAAGTGGCTGTTCTTATCTGACAGGCTATCTAAATTTGCTGCCGGGTATCTGTCAGGCACCTTTGGGTAGGGTTTGCAGGATAAGAGCGACTGTTGGGTGTGCAGAGGCAAAGAGAAGCGATGGGGACGAGGTGTTGGTGGCACGATGGTGTATGGAAAAACGAGTTGAAGAGAAACAGAAAAACGAAGATCTTGAGAAATCCGGGGGCGTCAAGATGTTTTCTTCATATACAACGTACTAGGACGAGGAATGAGGGACCTCTGGGAAAAGTGTAGCAAAGTGGAGTAAACTATAGAAGAAGCAGGGAAGGGAAAGAGCGATGGAGGAATCAGGAAAGAGGGCACGAATATGGAAGGTAGGGGTGGGCATAGATGAGTACGCCGGCGCAGAATGAAGAAAGCACGTAGACGATGAGATCACGAAAAGGAAGGAGCACAACGGGGGAGACAACGGCAGGAGCAAGCAAGCGCAGTTACGACATCGATTGGAAGCACAGTCGAAAGGCAAGGGCATCCAAATAGCCAGCGAGCTTGGAGAGAACGCTGCACTGATTCCAAGCTCTAATTTTGGCTGGTCTCTACGTTCGTTTTCCTGATTTCTTTTTTTTCTTTTTTTTTTACGTTCATATAAAGAGATCGATTTTGGCAACCGCGGAGCACGTACCCTCGTACCGTAGCGTCGAATGCAGGGCGTCTTTGGTGACAAGTCGAGAGCACTAAAGAACAATGAAACAAGGGACAATGACAGAAGACAAGAGAATGGAGGAGCAGAAAAAGGGAAAAAGAAAAAGAAAAACAAGAAAAAAGAGCCACTAGACAGGCGAGACAGGTACTCCGTGGACAGGAACAGGGCAAGGTATGGCCGTAATCAATTCAATGGCCTAGCAAAATGGCACTGTCGAGGGTGGGTGGGCGCAACTGGCAGCTGCAAGTGGTGATGTCATGACTTTTCCAGGGGAGAAGTGGCCGGCATTCGCGCAGCAGACCCGGCCGCGCAGCCACAAAACAAAAACGGGGAATTGAAGAATTGACAAGGAAAGGCCGGTGCGGCAGGCCAATGGGCGCACACGCAAAACAGAAGCGAAGTATGTGCTCGACGAAGACGACGACAACGTGAGACAGCAAAGTGTAAGTAAGTCCATCAGCGCTGCATATGGAAGGACAAGACACTATTTGCTGGTAGACCCACTTTAGGCCCAGACCCAGCCAAAAGAGGCCGTGAAGTACGAATTAGTCTCGTAGTCAACTAGACGCAGACGGATGCTGCACAAGCCGCCCCGGGGGTTGATCATCAGGAACCCCCTTCCCGCATGCCATTTGGCCTGGCCTTTGATGAGTGAGTCGAGGCGAGTTGCACTAGGCAGTAGGGTGAGAGGGTGAGTCAGCCTTGGTGCATTTTTGTACTTTTTCTACGTGCCTGCACCGAGGACCCTTGGCACCTCTAGTCCGACAACCCTATCGCACGATGCTTCGCACTTTTCTGCCCTAAACTTTTGCGGCGGCCGCCCCCAGCCCCCCGCGCCAGGAGTGCCAGTGAGTCCGACAGCTGTCCGCCCCACGGCCCTGATCCTTTGTATGACCTCTGTGGACTTGGGTTCATTTTAGCATCATTTCCAGGGCAGCCGTGGCAGCGACCAGGGCAAGTAGCGGCACACACCAACCAGCCAACACCAGGCCCCAGGTCCAGCAAGTGTGGCGCCCCCCCAGGGGCGAGATAAGACGACAGCAAACCAAGAAAGGCACGCTGTGCAACGACGGCATTGTGGCCGTTCCATTGTGGCCGTTCAGCAGCCGTGGTGTTGGCGGCACTGTCCCGCTCTCAATGGAAACGTTGGTTCCTGCTCCTCTGGCGCAAGCCAGGCTCGCCAGGGTGCTCCTTCCCGGCCGGACTTTTTGGCTGGCCATGCATTTCTGGGCCATGACACATCCCACCCTCTTTTGCTGCCAAAACGATCGAAATTTTGCGCCTAGATCGACGATGCACCTTGCAAGCGGGGGCCGTTCTCTCCCTCTCCATCTTCCTCTGCCGAGTACTTTTTCGTTACTTGATTGTTTGTCTTTTCTCTTTCCGTCCTCCATTTCCCCATTTTCTGTCCACTTATCGGTCCCTTCGTGCCTACTCGATTTGGTCGTTTTCCTTTACTTCTTGCCACTTCTAATCGTAATGCCCGCACGTTTTCCTCGCCGCCAAGACCCACTGCCAGACTGCCAAAAAATAATAGTATTGAAGGGGAAAAATAAAATAAATTATAAATAAATAAAAATAAATAAATAAAAATAAAAAATAAAAAAACATCCACATAAACACCTCTGTCCTCAGTCCAGACTACGGGGTACCCGTAGCACTATCGCTCTTTCACAGGACCCTGTTCTCTTGGCAGAGTCCCCTTGGCCCACCCCTACGCCTCACTCCACCACTTGCAACTTCTCTCTTGAGTATGTCGTACTCGCGATCACTATTTGCCTCTGCAATCTCTGGTTTATTACCTCTCTGGCTCGAGTCCCTCTCTTTTGTCCACTTCGCTCGCGGTCTCGATGCACCATATATCCTCCTATTGTCCCAAAGCAGTCACGATGTGCCGTCTGGCCCGCATCGATCGATCGAGGCCCTGCTGTTCATTATCTGACTGGCCCATCCCTCGTTTAATTCGATGCCCGTTGACTGCTGTGGAGCAAAGGGTCTCGTCCTCATCCATCCATCCATCCACCCACCCTGCCACCCTGCCTGCCACCTCCGCACGTATCTTGTTCTCGTCCAAAGTCTCTTCTGTCACTTGTCTGGTCCCTGGTGGTCCCCTGCCCTCCCTATTCCCTGATTTTCAATGGACCCCTGTCGGCCACGCCTTTGGGCTCTCTCCAGTCTGGGCTAAGCATGGTACGACACCTGTGGCTTTGTGGCTGCCAGGGTGGTGTCCTGTCGGCAGGGTGCGCGAATCCAGTCTTCAACTAAATCAGTCATTTCTCTGATCGCGATCGAGATCCCCCAAGAAGAGTCCCATACTAAATAGCACCAGTCGACGGCGCAGCCGATGTTGCCACAGCTGTGCCAGAGTGCACTGACAGAAGTGATAAACCCGAGACGCAACAAAAACTGAAGGCGTGATACTGCATATTATCATGCATCATACAATGCCCTGCATGTCTACCCTGCTGCCATCGCGATGCTGTGCAGCGATTGGCTAACAGCATCCTGCATTGTCAAATATCGTCTATCGGCGACCCTGTATCAAGAGCAGACAACGGGTCCATGATCGAGTGTGGGCAGTCGAGGCGATGTCCCTTCAAAACAACACACGATGCTTCCTCCTCATAGACTCGACGACCGACGTGTTGTTGTGGTTGTTCCGGACCCTCGTCGGCTTGCCGGCAAGCTTCATTCTCTCCGTAACGCCTTATCCTTGCACTCACGTGTATTTCGCATCCCGTACTGTGCAGAAAACGACTGCTCTTTGCTTCTTGTACTCCCGCTGTTTCCGTACGGAGTGCTCTGTGCGGAGTGTTGCTCCGGGACTTTCGCCAGCCTCTCTGGGCACGCCCTGCACAGCGTCGCCCCGTAGTGGAGTCCAATTGGGGTCCAAAACGTGAACCCTGCAGACTGTCGATCCCGTGCCATCCAAGCTTCTGTCTTTCGCTTCCTCAACAAGTGCCATGCCCCAGGTTCAGGGCCCTTTTGTCATTTAGCGCCTGGAATGGGCGCAAATGAATAAAATAAAACAAAAGGGAATAAGTGTCTTGTGTGACAGGTTCCCGTACCAGACAGCGGAGTTTTTGCTCCGCCTTCAATCACAACAGCAACTACATTCGTACGCCGTAGTCATACGCCGTGCGGAGTACATATGCTGCAGAAGAGTGCAACGTCTCGAAACAGGCACGTTCCTCATCGACGTCGACAGTTCGCGGTGCCAACGGCCCATGCAGCTCAAGGCTCACAACATTCCCGCAGTTCGCTTTGAAGAAATACAGATAGCAACGGTATCCTGGTTTTGCTTCGTATATGTAGTCGTGTCGTCGCAATGTTGGGATATCTTTCTTTGAGTACGGAATACAAAAAAACATCGTGCATAAATACAGAAGGGGTCGCTGACCCATGTCCATTAAAATTGTCTATGACACCATTTTTGCCGCTGGCCGCCCAGCCACAGGCCTTCCTGAACGCCAAAAGCCCTTTTGCGAAATATGCCCTGTCAAAATTATGTACGTGCCGACCTGCCGGAACAATGTCGTCAGGTTTATCTATTATGTATCACGCGCTCCTCATTTCTTTGTCGCGCCTGTATCCACGCGTTTGGCAGGTGGCAGCGCTGGCTTCTTGAACACGCCGTCTGCAACACCGCCGCCGCCTGCGCTGCCGCCGATTTGCGTAAAGGTGCCGCCCTTGAAATACCGGTCCTCTTCCGCCTTTCTCTTGCGACCCATCTCGGCGCGCACGCTGGGATCGACCAGCTCCAGTCCTTGCACGGGTGTAAATGCCAGCGACGACATCGTACCGGCCGTTTGGCTGCCCACCGTGGTGCCAACGCCAGATGCCCGCAAACCATGTCCGCGTAGATCTAGGCCGCCGGCCGCCTGGCCAATGCCCCGCAGCGACGATGCTGCACCGCTGCCGCCGTTGACCGACGACGCCAGGCCGCCCCAGCCCTTGTTCTTGGCGCTCAGCTTGGCTCGCGTGCGCTGGTCGACCTGCAGGGCGCGCACGCGACCGTCGCTTGCCGCACCGATCATGCCCAGGCCCTCGGTCTCGTCACCGACGCCGTAGCCGACCTCCTTCTCCTCCTGGCCAAACGCCATCCGGTTCTGCGCCTTGCGTAGGTCCGTCATCGCTGTTGCCGCCTTGGCCTGCCGCGCCCGCCGACCGCCGCGTTTCCGCGACGGCTTGTCGTCGGGTGCCGGTAGGGCCCGTGCGCCTGTATTCAGTGGCTTCTCTTGAAGCTTCTCCAGCCGCTCCAGGCACTGGTCTTTGAGCTCCTCACCCTGGCTGCCGTCCGGCGACGAGTGGATCCGGTCGACACGCGCGGCCAGTACCACTTTGGCCGAGACAATGCGCATCGCCTGCTTCTTCAGGTCTGTCGGAATCGTGTGAATGATGGGCGATTGGTAAAGGTAACCCTGCTGGCGTGACGTCACGTTTGTCGCCAGGGCACTGGCGTTGGCGCCCCTTTTTGAACCCCATGCCGCAATGTTGCAGGCGGGGGTCTTGGACAGGCCCGTCAGACCCCCGGCCGTGTTGAGAAGCTGGGCGGCCGTCAAGGAGCCAATGAGCGCTGTTAGGTTCGGCGCAAAGATAGTCATGCGCGACTGCACGTACTCGGTCAACGCCCGTTTCGCCACATCGAGCTTCACCATCGCGCCACAGGCCGCCACCACGCCGTCGAGGTCGTTCTGCGCCATGGGCTGGCCCTTGGAGGTGATGGCGCTTGTCGTGACAATCATCAGGGTTGGCTTGTCGAGCACCGAGTCGAGGGACACGCCGAGCGGGTTGTCCGTCGACTGGGGTATCCGGCGCATGGCGTCCGAGTCCAGTGGGCCGTTGCCGAGCACCGCGGCTGTCTTGGCGTACTCGAGCGGGTTGGTGACGAGGGTCTCGAGCTCGGGGAAGCGCACCGAGTAGTGGTCGCGTACCCATTTGTGCACAAGGACCACCTCATTGTCAATGGCCGTTGAGAGGCCGTTGGCCTGTGTCAATAGGTGGTACTCGGGGTGCTCCTCGACGTTTCCGACGTGTTCGTGTCGTGTCTCGCTCGGTTGTGCTTGGTAGAATTTGATTTTCTGCAGGGTGTGGTCCAGACAGGTCAGGGCTGCTATTTCTCGCGCAAAAGAGAAAGAAGAGAGGACAGATGTAAACGCTGCATCTCGGTTTGGTCGTCCACGACACTCGGCACAAGACCGGTGCGGGACGAAGTAGTTTGAGGGATAAGAATGATCACGAACCTCTAAGATGGAATCGAGCGTCTTGACGAGGCTCGTTGCGGACCGCAAATCGTTTGGCTTGCCGTTCTTGTCTGCCTTCCCATTGGTCTCCTCGTCTCCTTCGTCGTCTTCGTTCACGGCCCCCATGGCGTCGTCATCGTCATCGGAGCTGACCAGGTCTGTGTCGTCCATTGGCACGTCGCCTCCGGACAGGCCCATAATGGCCGCCGTATTGTCCTCGCCATCATCCTCCACGCGCGCGCCATTCTCAGAACCAGAGTCCTCAAAGTCCTGAAGCAGCTCGTCTGCGAGGGTCGACATTTTGTGTGGTGCGCAGCACCCAGGGGCGCTAATTTCGTTTGTTAAAGATGCTAGTGTAGATTAAAGGCGTCAATAGTATCGTCTATGTGGTCGATGAAACCAAGATCAAATGTCGTCAAAAATGAACGCTGTGCAGGGAAAACAGAAGACAAGTGACTGTCAAGCAAAAAAGCTGCGAACGCGACAAAGAGGCAGCAACCGCGATGTCACTAAATTTTGGGTGGCAAATGATTACATAATCAGTCACGTGTTGACAAGAGCGCCCTCCAACAGCAAGGCGCTTGTACCAAAAGGCAAAAACCAGCGCCTATCACCAAAACGGCGTCAGTCGACCACGACTACATCTCTCAGCACCACTTGGACAACTTTATATCGCACAGCCGACGACAGACACAGTCACGATGGAGTCGCGTGGACCTCCTCGAGTCAAGAACAAGGCCGCCGCGCCTGTGCAGGTTAGTTCAAATCAGCGTCTTCTCGTATTGTTGTTGCGCCGCGTCTGTATTGTAAAATGCTAACCGTTTTGTCTGTCGCATTAGATCTCGGCCGAGCAGTTGTTACGAGAGGCGGTTGACCGCCAAGAACTGCCGCTCCAGGCACCGACGACACGATTCGAAGATCTCGAAGAGCTGCACGAGTACCAGGGCCGCAAGCGGCGCGAATACGAAAACTATGTGCGGCGATCGCGGACCAGTCTCAAGCCATGGGCCCAGTACGCGCAATTCGAACTGGAGCAGAAGGAGTTGGCACGGGCGCGATCTGTATTTGAGCGGGCGCTCGATGTGCTGCCCAACAGCGTGCCTCTCTGGATCAAGTGTACGTTTCGAGGCGGCTGCTGTATTCTCACTTCCCCTGCGGTTTCTCCCCCGCGGTACATCAAGTGCTAACATATGGCAACAGACATTGAGGCCGAAATCAAGAACCGCAACATCGCCCATGCCCGGAATCTGCTGGACAGAGCCGTCACCCGTCTACCGCGGGTAGACAAGCTCTGGTACAAGTACCTTTACGTGTAAGACTGACTTTTTTTCGTAGTACTCCTTATGAAATATCTGCTGACACAACATATGACAACAGCGAGGAGATGCTTGGCAATGTGTCTGGTACAAGACAAATCTTTGATCGCTGGCTTAAGTGGGAGCCAGCCGAGGAGGTCTGGAACGCCTATATCCGGCTCGAGAAGCGGTACAACGAATACGAACGCGCCCGCGACATCTTCCGGTCGTATACGATTGTGCACCCTTATCCTCGGACATGGATCAAATGGGCCAAGTTTGAAGAGGACTTTGGCACCAGCGATCTGGTCCGCGAGGTGTTCCAGACGGCGGTCGAGTCGCTCGGCGACGAATATGTGGATGAGAAGCTGTTTATGAGCTATGCGCGCTTTGAGGCCAAGCTCAAAGAATACGAGCGGGCACGCGCCATCTACAAGTTCGGCCTAGACAACCTACCACGAGCGCGGTCGATGCTTCTGCACAAGGAGTACACGACATTTGAGAAGCAGTTTGGCGATCGGGAGGGCATCGAGGATATTGTGGTGTCTAAGCGGCGAAGACAGTACGAGGAGCTGGTCAAGGAGAACCCCAAGAACTACGACGTCTGGTTCGACTGGGCCCGGCTCGAAGAGACGACGGGCGACTTTGACCGCATCCGCGATGTATACGAAAAGGCCGTCGCGCAGATCCCGCCGGCACAGGAGAAGCGGCTCTGGCGTCGGTATATTTTCCTGTGGATCTTTTACGCTCTGTGGGAGGAGACGGACGCCAAAAACCCGGAACGGGCGCGGCAAATCTACGACACCTGCCTGGGCCTGATCCCACACAAAAAGTTCACGTTCGCCAAGGTGTGGCTGCAAAAGGCTCTCTTCGAGGTGAGGCAGGGGGAGCTGACTGCGGCACGCAAGACGCTGGGGCGGGCGATTGGCATGGCACCCAAGGACCGGCTGTTCAAGGGCTACATTGAGCTCGAGAAGAAGCTGTTTGAGTTCCAGCGGTGCCGCACGCTCTACGAGAAGCACATTGTCTACAACCCGGCCAACTGCAGCACGTGGATTCAATGGGCAGAGTTGGAGCGCGGCCTGGACGACCTCGACCGTGCGCGGGCCATCTTTGACATGGGCGTGAGCCAGCCGGTGCTAGACATGCCCGAGGTGCTATGGAAAGCATACATTGACTTTGAGGAGGAGGAGGGCGAGTACGAGCGCACACGGGAGCTGTACGAGCGGCTGCTGGAGCGGACGGACCACCCCAAAGTCTGGATCAGCTACGCCCAGTTTGAGATCAACATTCCTGAGGCGGGTCCCGACGACGAAGACGAGGAGCAAGAGGAGGACGCGCCGGTCAGCGAGGAGGCCAAGGCGCGGGCTCGCAAAGTGTTTGAGCGGGCGCATGACAGCTTCCGCGACAAGGAACTCAAGGCGGAGCGGGTGGCGCTGCTCAACGCTTGGCTGGCATTTGAAAAGACGCATGGCAGCGAAGAGGACGCGGCCAAGATCCAGCGGCAGATGCCGCGCCGGACAAAGAAGAAGCGGCGCATGGAAGACGGCAGCTTCGAGGAGTACGTGGACTACGTGTTCCCAGCAGACGACCGGCAGGCCAAGAACCAGATGAACCTGCTGGCGATGGCCCAGGCGTGGAAGAAGACGGGCGGAACGGTCGCAGCATCGGCACCAGCGGCCGCATCCGAGGGCCCCGAAGCAGCCTCCAGTCCGTCTGCATCATCTGTGTCTTCGCGAGGGGATGATCGAGACGAGTAACCGCGTGTGACGGCAAGAAGAGGTTGGAATATGGCATGGGGGTGTATCAGCAAGCGTCGAAATAGGATCAGGATAATGATAATAATACCATGCTCAATCTACACAACACTACACGCCACGATGTTGATTTTCACTCGTGGCGTCCTGCTTACTTGTGCGGTCCCTTTGTCTTGCTGTCCTCGCATATGATTCCTTTGTGTGCTATTTGGTACGGCATATCTACGCTATAGGCGTGTCATTTTGCATAGGCACCCATTCCCCTGCCACAGCTCTAAGAAGCGAAGCGACGCAAGAGCCGGAGTGGGCTTGACACGCATAGTTTCATGCCTTGCAGACGAGAGATTGGGTCACAAGGAAAAAACAATGCAGACAGTATCTCCCATTTCCGAAGCGGCTACGCAACATAGTGTCATTGCGTGCAGGAAAAGTTGCGGAAACTATGGAATGCTTCGGGAGTAATTTAATCCACATTTTATATAAGGCGCAAACACACTGGTCGGCGATCTATCTCGATCGCTCGCTCGCTGATGGTCTTGCTGTGGTCTTGGCGACATGCGACGATGGACAGGGCCGAGAGGAAGAATCAGAGACAGCGGACGATGCGCTCCAACAAATTGGCGATCATTTGATTACGTCTTTTGACGATGTGTGTTGAATGGGTGTGTTAGGTGCTGTTTTTGCTCTGCTTCGTTATTTAGTTTCATTCTGAGGTTGCACTTTTGTGTTTTGATATATGCTCATTTCCATTTCCAACCGGCACATTTGCCAGTCTGTTCAGAGTGTTGCATTACGCGAACGGGTGCTGAGGCTGTTGACAGGAAGAAAACGGAGCAAATAAACCACCTACTCACGCACGTTTTTTATTTTATTTTATTTTTATTTTTTATTTTCTTTTTTCTTACCAAAAATTAATTCGTACGGAGCGGAAATACTGGCAACAGCTTATCGATGTAGGATCGTAGGACACGTAGCCAATGAATCCAGACTTCATTGCCGCTCTATCCGTCGTTGACCTATCTTTTCGTCGTCCCTTCACCGCTTCTCGCTGTGCTTCCTCCCCTGGTATTTGTTACGTGAAAGTTACGTCGACGTTGCGTCTTTTTATCCCCGCAGCTGGAACAGACAAGGAGGACAAAAAACAAGTGCTAAGGAGGCCAGCAAGCAGCATCAGAACGCAACGGAGACGCGTTCGTCACAATAGTATGGCCATGGTCTTATTCTCGTTGATTTTGCTATCATGTTAAGCGTGTTTATCCGTTGTAAAGATAAAGAAGAGGAAGCTGTGAATTCAAATAAGAATTTAAAATAAGTTTCGAATAAAAATCAGTAGAAATAGTCGGTTTATAAGGGCATCTCCTGCTGGCAGTCTCTCTCCAATATTTTTTCTGCCCTTATTCTTTCTCTTCTGTCGTTTCCTACTCCTTACTTTATTTCTTTCGTTTCCACATCCTGGTTGGTCATGATGCAGTGTTGCGCAGCGTTCCACTTAGGCAGGCAAATAAGAAGTGAAACAAAATAATACTACTAATAATAATAAATCACGGTAAAAGACCACGACGCAGGACCAAGGAGACACTGGCGAAATGCCTCGATGATATGCGTTCCTGATAGCCGTAGAATTGAAGCCTACGACGTACGCTAAGCCAGTACCAGTCAAACGGGCCACTCTCGCAAGACAGCCACGATATCCTCGCTTTCTTGGCCCCATCTGCTCTCGGCCGATCATGACATGGCGTGTCCATGTCATGAATGATGCATACGAGCGCGTCATGACCGGAAACTCGACATGATACGCACGAACAAGAACAAAGTCACCAAGACGAGAGAAACACAGTAAGGCAACTTCGATACGATAGTACGATGTGTGTGACGGGCGTCTTCTCCAATACGATTTTATAAGCACGGGAAGGCATGCATGAAGAGTGATATATTTGATGGGCTGTACTTTGTGATAATGCGTGGCTCTTTCTTGAAACCCGTAGACCTGTCAGCCTGTATGTGTGCACCTCTGATGACTCATAGGCTGTTGAGTGCTTTGCACGTGATATTGCCCATGGAACGAGCTTCTGAATGTCTATTTCGTTCCCATTATTTGTTTACTTTGAGTGTGTAACAACACTTTGCTTCCATCAAGGTCACCACCTCCTATTTTATCATGGATGCTACAGCCAAGAGCGGCTTCAGCCGGCCGCAGTTTGAGTCTTTGCTCAAGCGTCGGTTCTTCTTTACAGAGTCCTTTGAGATCTACCGCACGGCGCCCAACTTCCAGGGCGACAACCGTGGCCTCTACGACTATGGCCCGCCCGGTTGTGCGTTGCAGGCGAACATCGTCAGCGAGTGGCGCAGCCACTTTGTGATCGAGGAGAACATCATGGAGCTAGACTGCACGGCGATTACGCCGGCTGACGTGCTCAAGACAAGCGGCCACGTCGAGAAGTTTGCCGACCACATGTGTCGTGATCCGGCCAAGGGCGAGTATTTGAGAGCCGACCATCTTGTCAAGGGCGTGCTGGAGACCCGGCTGGAGGGTCATGCCAAGGCCGTGGCGGGCCAAGCCAAGTTCACAAAGCTGGACAGCGCCGTCGCACAGGAATTTGAGTCTATCCTCGCCCAGGTACGCCGTACCCTTTGTTGATGGTTGGGGGGACGAGGAGGTTGGCTGCCCAAACGCATCCCTTGAGGGAACGGTTTGCATTAACTAGCGCACAACTCCTCCACAGCTGGACAACTATGGCGGCCCAGAGCTGGGTGAGCTTATCGAGAAATACGACATTCGGAATCCGAACGGCAACGGCAAAGTACTCCCTCCCGTGCCCTTCAATCTCATGTTCCAGTCGACCATTGGCCCCAGCGCCGCCGCGCCCATCTACCTGCGGCCCGAAACAGCCCAGGGGCAGTTCCTTAACTTCCAGAAACTGCTTGAATTCCGTCGCGGTGCGATGCCGTTCGCGTCTGCCTGTATCGGCAAATCCTACCGGAACGAAATCTCCCCGCGTTCGGGGCTGTTGCGGGTGCGCGAGTTCCTCATGGCCGAGATCGAGCACTTTGTCGACCCGGACACCAGCAAGAGCCACGAGCGATTCGTTGAGGTAGCGGACGTGCAGCTGCCACTCCTGGACCGCGGCACACAACTCTCAGGCCGCACCGACGTGCGATTGCTATCAATCGGTGAGGCGGTCCACGGGGACACAAAAACGGGGAAGTCATTGGTGGACAACGAAACGCTTGGGTACTTCCTTGTTCGCATCTACCTCTATTTGCTGAAAATCGGGGCCGACCCCGCCCGCGTGCGCTTCCGGCAGCACTTGGACAACGAGATGGCGCACTACGCCTCTGACTGCTGGGACGCGGAGCTGCTGACTAGCTACGGCTGGATCGAGTGTGTTGGCTGCGCCGACCGCAGCGCCTACGACCTAACGGTACACGCCAAGCACACGGGCTCGCCGCTCAACGTCGAGGTGACCCGGCCGGTCCCGGTGGAAGTCGATGCATGGCAGGCCGTCTTGGAAAAGAAAGTCCTTGGGCCACGGTTCAAGAAGGACGCAAAGACGATTGAAGCCGCCGTCGCGGCGCTCGACCAGTCGACGCTGGCCAGCCTTGCCGACGAGCTTGCGCAAAAAGCAGTCATTACCGTGCCGACCGAACCCCTGGTGACTGGCGCTTCGTCTGTAGAGCTGTCTGCGGACATCTGCACGATTCAGAAGGTGAAGCGCATCGAACACACGCGCAAGTACACACCGAATGTGATTGAGCCTTCCTTTGGTATCGGCCGCATTCTGTACAGCGTCCTTGAACATGTCTACTGGCACCGGCCGGATGACGTCGCGCGGGGGGTAAATAAAAAACAATGTTGCATGTCATGATTTCTATTACAAAATGCAGCTGCTAACATGTCTAGGTCCTGTCTCTCCCGATCCTGGTGGCCCCGACCAAGGTGCTGATTGCACCGCTTTCGAACAACGCAACTCTGCAGCCCATCGCCAAGAAGCTGGCCGCCCGCCTCCGCCGTCTGCGTATTGCCAACGATGTCGATTCGTCGTCTACGTCCATTGGCAAACGCTATGCACGCAATGACGAGCTCGGCACGCCCTTGGGCGTGACGATTGATTTTGACACCGTCCAGGATGGGTCGCTGACGCTGCGCGAGCGAGATTCCATGGCACAGGTGCGGGCGTCCGAGGATGAGATTATCGAGGCCATCTGCAGCCTTGTGGAGGGGAGAGAGTCCTGGGCAGCTGTGTACGAGCGGCTGCCGCCGTTTACGGGCCAGAACCAGGACGAGTCATGATTTGAGGTTTGCAACCCCCCCTTTTCAAAGGTACGAGTCCGCGTACGCATTCTACGTAGCAAATGAAAATAGCACATAACACACAAACACAAATCTAGTGAGCTTCGGATCTCAACGGCCCGCGCCGCCTTTTTGAGACAACGCTGTCTTTTCACGCAAATTATGTGTTTAGTACGAACTTGGCGCGTCTACTGTTGTAGGTGCGAGTTTTGCGATCACCGATAAAGTGGGGGGCTGCCACGATTAGGAGTACTTGGTCCGAGGAAAACGAAAACGAAAATCGAAAAACTCGAGAGGCAAATACCAAAAACTGCAGTAGTATTGGCCAATACAGTAAGCTACTTTCGCAAAATAAGAAAAGTAAATTCATAAAATCATAAACAACATCCAACATACATGTCAGAACCGATGAGCAAATATAGATTTCCAACTCGCAGAAAAAAAAGAGAGAGGTGAAAAGCATGTAATACATGAAAGACATAGAAAGACATTAATAGCCACTCAGTTGCCCCGTTTCCAAGGACCGTTTCGACACTCCCGTTTGCCGCTGGCTCCCCTCTTTCGCTCCACCCCGATTCTGTATGTCGTCACAGACATTGGGTGTCTCCACCCCTGACGTTGCCGCTTTTTTGTTGCTCATCTTGTGTCACCCAGTCAATGTTTCTCGCTCGTCTCGTTTGAAGCAAAACCAATCATTGAAAAAAAAACGTAA